TGTCTGTGCCAGCCGCTCTCTCTCACCTGGCTATCAACACGCACCACTCACTCCAGGCCAACCAAACCCCCGGCATTGGCGTTAATATTTCGTTTCTTTTCCCTCCTTGCTTGTATTACCCTCGATCTCTGGTACTTCATTTTTTTTTTTTTTTAAATATTTTCTTATTTTGCTTTTAAGACCTACTTCGGTCTCTGGCTGTGGCCCATCTCGCCGTACCCTCGATCTGTTGATCTGGGAGTATTAATTAGCTACCAATATCCCACATATCATACATATATATTGTCGGTCTTACGCATATACAGCCTGCTCTCCCCTTCTCCTCTCTCATTATTTTCACTCCATTCCGACTTTGGTCGCTGGCTCTCCATTCTGATCCTGTAGTCATTCCCCCTTCTCGCTTGCTCCTGTCCAGCACTTCCGCAAACCATCAAGAAAAGACAAAAAAGGCGAAAAGGACCGCTAATCAGAGAAGAAAGACTTTCAAAAACAAACAGTCTGAGACAAAGCACTCTCCTGAAGAGACATTCAAAGCAACAAGCTGCTTCCGTTAAAGTTGGGTGAGTACAAAGATGTTCCATCTCATATCCATACAAAGAACATCTCCCCGTCCACGTTCCTGAACTTTCCTACCCCCTCTCCCCACAACAATCCACGAGCACAAGTACAAGCATCCAGGAGTTACTGGAGAAAGACAACAAGCAAGCTAGGACCTCTAGCCACCTGCTGCTGCTTCCCCCACATGGGAGTTGGGGGTAATTTGCAGGAGAATGGCTTCCAATAGACAAGGAAGCAGAGTACCTTCAAATATTTTTCCCTTGCATCCATTGATCATGGACGTTGATTTGCTAATTGTCTTAGCACCAGCTTCCCAAAAGCATAGAAAGAGAGAGAGAGAGGACAAATTGCCTGTTCCTCTTCTGGGAGAAGACTAAAATAGACACATGCTCGGACGGTCGCATCCTGCATGTCTCTGATCCAGTCCCTGTTCCGCGTCTATTAGGGGAAGCATAGGGTAAAACTGCGAATAGAAAACAGCTTTCCCAGATTCCTTCTCGCTAGTTGGGTTTAGCTCCTCTCACATACCCGGATGATCGAGACGGTGCCTCCCGAAAGCAGCCCGTTACTCAGCCAAGCTCCTGTTTCAACCTCTCTTATTTTTGTCTTTGGAGATATCGCTCCCGGGCAAAAGTCCGCTTCTTCGCTCTCCTCCCACTGCTGTCTTCAGCTTTCCCCTGGAGACGTTGGCAGCAGCCCCTGTTTTGTCTAAAATAAAAGAAGACGCATCTGACAAGTCAGGGTCAACCAGATCACTCCTGACGGTCCATAAGGATAATAGATACTCTTATCGCGCGGCAGAAACTCAAACCAAGGACCCCTTTTTGGTTTGTCCTTCGTCAACCGGATCCGTGGGCAAAGAAATCCCACGTTGCTTCAACATATAAAAGAAACAAAATAAAAAAAGCCGATTCACCACAATCCTCTTGAAGATAAAGCGACGCAAGGCCCAGACACTCATACACCCTCAGGCACAACAAGGCGAGTATAAGGCATATTCCGCCACGTGGAAGTGATTCGAAACAAGACAAGGGCCAAGAGGGCATCTGCCGACAACTTCTTCAAAAAGGTATCTTTAGTGCAGCATCTGTGCATTCAGGTTCTTCTTCTTTCACAGTCGTTTGATTCAATGGATTGACCGTTTTTTTCTATTTCCTTCAGAAAACGACTCCGCCATTGAACACTTCAACCTGCGCCATCCACTCGCCACTATCTCCATCGCCTTCAACGAAAAACCTGCCGCCCGGACCAGGCTGCTTTTCCAACCTCAAGCACGTGCTGGCACCATTGTCTTCTTTTTTCCGTTGACAGTCACGTCTGGGGCTCTGCAACGGGATTCCCCCCCAACTTCAGGCGACCTATTCTGACCATTCACCTGCCGCAGTAAATTCGCTTCTGTGAATCGTAGTGCGCTTCGCTTTCATTCAAAAGGAAGCTTAAGACCCCCTCGTTCTCGAAGGAAAAAGGAAAAGAAAATAAAAGAAGATATACTATCAACAACTTCCAGCTTTGAACGGGAAGCAGAGTCACAGAGAAAAAAAAAAAAGATAAGAACTCGACCAAATCCTTCATTGACCCTCGAAGGACTTAATCCACGAAAGAGCACGCTTGTCTGGCTCTTTGACGATAATGAACCATCAGCATCCTCCTTCACCTCCACCATCTGCAGACGGTGAAATCAAGAACCCTTTTCACGACTTGTCCCAGAATAATACACTACAGTCTCCGTTCCTTCGGAACCATCACCCTTTCACAACCATGTACGCAAGACAGGATTACCCGTTTGCAAAAATTGATGTGGATAATAGGGATGTCACTGAAGTGATGGTAAGTGGCAGTTATCGGGTCTTGACATATGCACGTAAAGCCATGGGATGTCGTTCGTTTGGCTAACGAAACAAAAAAGGCCGGATACCCACAGACCGGCGCCTTTAATAGTGTACCCGGGGCAGAGTTCCCACAAATAACTTCGGTGCCTCAATTGGTATGTTGACAAGCTGTTGCTCAATGCGGAAGAAAAGAGGGATTGACTTACGAATTATCAGACTTACGTCCGCGCCATGCAGCTCACGGGTAACCAGCACCACCAGCATCACGCCGTAGATATGGGACGAACCGGAAGCGGAGGGTCCAGTTCCTCCAGAGGCTCAACAGGAATGCACAAGTTCCAAGAGGCCGATAAGAGCAGAGTTCAGAGGATGACGAGAGTCAGAAAACGCACAAGAACCGCCAGATCAGACAAGCGTAACCTAATCATCACTGCGCCGCTGAGCGTGCTGACCAAGGACATGGTACACATTCCGATCCGCGACATGAAAGCCTGGGTGAATAGATCCGCTGAAGTGCGTCGGAAAGAAGTTGCCGCAAAGAACGGAAAGATCGCGAGGCCGATGAATTCGTTCATGTTGTACCGCTCCGCGTATGCTGAACGAACAAAGGAATGGTGTGCGCAAAACAACCATCAGGTGGTATCGCGTGCATCTGGCCAGAGCTGGCCGCTTGAGCCGAAGGAGATTAGAGACCTATACGAGGGATACGCTACGATTGAGCGGGATAACCACCAAAAGGCTCATCCAGACTATAAGTTTGCGCCAAACAAGACACAGAATACCCCAAAGAAGAAACAAACGGCGACGAAGGATGACGAGAACAGTGACCTCGATGACGCCGGGTTCGACATTCCTGCCTGCTCACGCCCAGTGGGTACCTGGCCGAGTCGCTCCGATGCCGACGAGGGATTTGGCAGTCGTACCTCCACTCCGTTTGACAAGGATAGCAGCTATGAAAGTCGCACTTCAACCCCGTTCGATCACCCCAACGGTGATATGTATATGCATCATTCTGATATCAATCGGTCATCGTGGGAGATGGTCAACCCAGGAAGGCCCCTTCCCGGTGTTCTATCACCGCCAGAGCAGAGCCACTACTACCAGCCCTCAATCCACCAGAGCGTGCTAGGTCCCGGCATTGAGGATGTGACGTACAAGAAGATGGGTGTCCCTGGCGTATCCTATGAGCCGCAGGGAACATTAAACGGCCTCCCTGGAAACCCGCATCCTGACCTCCTTCCAACACAACCCAGTCGAACCGTTGAAGACTCCACCCAGGTCGACCCCCAACTCCTTGAATTTAGTCACCACCAGCAGCAATCCGTCACCGAAGCAGGTAGCTATCCTGGCCACCTAAATCTCTGGCAGGTGCCCCCGACAACCCAGCACTATGTTCCAACCAGCATCCCGGCGCAGCAGGCAGAGGAATATTTGTCCGCACATGCGCAGCAGACCGGGTTCCATCATGGTGCGCCCTTGATGGAGAGTCGCGATGTGTGGGGTGAGGGACACAACGGCGAGGCTGTCAAGCAGGAGTTTGGGCAGGAGTTCGACCAGTGGCTCACCGGGCATCACACGTACTGATCCGCTTTGAATTTGATGTGATTTTCTCTTTCTTCCATTGTGTTTCCATTTTTCCATTTTGTGTTCTTCACTCCACGCAACTTGCGGATAAAGGGATATGGGAACGGGGAAAGGAATGGGAGTTGCTGGTCATGGGAAATGTCTCTTTTTTCTTTTTTTGTCTTCTTGGGTTGGCAAATTTTGTTTTGGGAGCGCGAATATCTCTTTTCTTTTTTCTTTTTTCTTTTTTTCTCTTTTTCCCCTTTACATCATTGGTAGGCATGAGTTTTTCTCTGTCTCATTTTTGATCTTTGTCCTTTGTGACCTCCCTTTTTACGCGCCAGGGCTTGGGGCAAGATGCGATGTGATGGAACATGGGATATCACGGCGTGTGTATGTAGTCCTTTTCTTGAGAGCTGCCTGGCGTTTTTGGCCCCTTGTTTTCTAAGACGGGTTGGATATGATCATATCATTTTTCTGTCTTCTTTCCTTCAGGTTTTCTGATCACAAATTTGGATAACTCGGATCAGGGACTTTCAATCATTTTTTTTCTTTTTTCTTTTTCATTTTTTTTCTAATCGGCCAGTGCATCCGGAGGCGGCTGTCTGAACACCTTTTTTTTCTTTTGGTCTGGAGGGTTTTGGATCTGGGCGGCTTCGGATTTGGTATTTTTGACGAGCCATGGTGATAGATATGACGTTTATAAGTTTGAGAAAAAAAACGAAAAAAGAAAAATATTTTTTTTCGAAGTTTGATGTTGATTGCTTGTTCGGAATGCTTCGGCCGCGACATGGTTGAGGAGTGTTTCATCCTATCCTGGCCTACATACTACTTTACCAACGCGTCGCGACACAGCAAATAAAGATATTATTTCAATCTTGAACTGATGAAAGCTCTCCACGCCGCAATGAAGATGATTATCTTATGACAGATATATATATATAGAGCTTCCATTCATGATTAATTTTTATCTTGTAATTGCCTGTTAATCCTAAAATTGAGCTGATCTCTCCCAATTACCCAACCAAGAACATAACCTCCCTCGCCATCATGTACGGCGACCTGGGAAACAAACTGGTATCTTCCCACCAACCCCCAAAACGCCAGCATAGTCAAACACCTCCTAGCTAACTTTCCCTCCCTCACCTTTTTTTCCTCCTCCACAGGTCCAACACGCCAAACGCATCCAATCCCTTCCGCACGTCCCCCCTCACCACACAGACCTCGTGAGCAGCCTCATCGGCGAAGTCCACGAGCTCAACGCGAACGTCACCCACCTACTCTCCCCTTACGGCGACCAGGACGGCAACACGCCAGCCTTCAACCCGTCCGCCGATCCGGCCACGGCGTGCGCTCTGCTCGTCAACCACCTGTGCATGCGCCGCAACAAGCGGTGTCTGTTGGCGTATCACCGCGTGCGGGTGGAGAAGGTTGAGGAACTGTGTTGGAAAGGGTGGGATGTGGTGGATTATCGGCAGGAGAGGCGGCAGCAGGAACAGCAACGAGGGGAACAAGGTGGTGGTGGTGGTGGGAGTGGGAACGTGTTGAGTCCCGAGGAGGAGGAGTACCTGAGGCTGTATGGGGAGATGCTGCTGAGTTATAAAGGCCAGTGGACGGATGTGGATCTTACGGGAAGTTTGGAGCCGCCGCGGGATCTGTTCATTGATGTGAGGGTGCTCAAAGATGTGGGGGAGGTGCAGACGGAGTATGGGTATGTTGTTCGTCGTCTTGCTCTTCTGTTTTTCTGCTGGGTTGGGGGGCTAGGTAAGGGCGTGGAGTGTTATTTTATTGCTGACCTACGTGCAGGTCGATTAATTTGACGAAGAACAGTCAGTTTTATGTTCGGCTGGGGGACGTTGAGAAGCTCATTGCCCAGGGATATCTTCAGCGCTTGAGCTGAGTGGACTACAGAGTGGAATGGGGAAACAGAATTATCGAACTTTTGCGATTTGAGGAGGCTGGGTCGCTGGGATACGGGGACTATGCGACCTACAGTATGATCGTGAATCGCTTTTTTGTCGTGGACGGCTATGCCTCGACTGGAAGAGGTATGCTTAGAGGGTAATCCCATCAATGTTAACTTTAGAGACGAAAACGCTTCGTCTCATGCCTAAGGTCTGACGGGTAACGAGACACCGTACAGAGTGTATTGGATGATGGATCGTGTGCGAGAGACAATGGGGAATAATTATGCTGTACGCATGGGCTTCGACAAAGCGGAGGACGTCCTGGAATGGAAGAAGTTGTAAATATAGTCTCAGGGCCGCTTGGAAATACTCCGTACTCCGTAGTTAGTATCAGAACAAATAAGTTTTATCGCTAATCCCTGTCCTCAGTTATGTCACCGTGCATGCGACAAGGCCCCGTCAGCCTAGCCCGTGCCTTTTGGCTATCATCGCGAACGAAAGAATTTTTTTTTTTTTTTTTTGGGGTCCTTCTCAAGCTCCTTTCGTGGATGTCTCAGTTCTTTGAGGCAACGTTTCTCGGGTGCGAGGAGCGGCTAAAGCAGGCTTCATCGCCAGCACGACGGATAGCAGTGGACTGCCCAGCGCTATCCGGTCATTCTCAGCGACGATGTCGCCACCCGCGATGGTCATGGCGGTCCAATTTGGCGACAAGGACGGGCCCAGAATGGAGAGTCGACTGACCAAGAGATACGAGATGGAGTGTTTGATTCCTGCGCCTTTTGAGTTTCTGCGCTGAGCTGGAATGGTGTCGCCTCAACGTCATACCGAACTGTCTCGACCTCACGCGGCGTGCGATGACAGCCGGCCCTTTCTTTTTAATTTTTTTTTTCTATCTTCGCTTTCTTTCGTCGAGTCTTTTCTTTTAACCTCCTTCTCGGCGTGCCCAAAACAAGTATTTTTTTCCAAGGTTAGCGATATCGGCTAGGTTTATCGCGTTGACTATCTTTATCTTGCTGTCACTTCCCCCCGCGCTGGGTCCGAGGGCGGTTCGCGACCCCAGGATCCAAAACCCCCATCCAGGAACAAGCTGGACGTGTGGAACTGCCAGAATTTCCTCGAATAATGCCGGTAAGCTGCTGATCAAACATGGAGGGAGGGAGATCACCTGGACCCGGGTCCGGTGGCAGAGAAGAGTCCAGCCAAGCGCTCCCGAATCGGAGGAGAGCTTATAGCACTAGGGATACCCGAGACGACCGGCTGTGGTCAAGCGAAGCGCCTGCGCGAACCAGCTCGGATGCTGCTGGGACTGAGAGTCTGAGAAGCTGGAGTCGCCGGCCCTCGGTGAGCGAGAGGACGCCTGCGAGGTCTTTTTTCCACAGGGCTTTTCATGGACCGTTGGGTAAGTCATGCATCGGTGCTGGTAGTGTGCTTTGTCTGTAAGATCGAATTGGGGTTGAACGACAGAGCTAACGCAATAGCTACCTACGTGGGTCGTGGCGCGCAGAGGACGGCCAATACTCTTTTCAGGGTGTGCGAGAACAAACGACTGAGTTAGAATCGCGAGCTATATCCGATGCGGAATCGATCCGTAGTGTAACAACTACATTCTCGGGGAATGGCGACAGTGTGCCGTTGTCGCTGGATCAGAGGATCTTGGAGCCCTTCAGGTCCAGAGATCGAGCAGAGAGCCATATTTCCCAGCCCGAGGTGATTGTTGAAGAGGAGTCCGGTTCCGATACCCCAAGGGCGGGATCTGCTCATTCTGGAGGATCTGCCTTGACCGCTTTGCTGCGCCCTCCCCAGCAGGAGCAGCAGAGAGTAGATTCTGATATACAAGACGATATCCTTGGTGAGGACGGGCACGACGTTCCGGAGGAAACACCTTTGGTACGACAAGAGTCTAGGGCAAGAAGTCCTCGCCAGTATGGTACCTTGGGGGACGCGGAAAACCCTCTGCTTCTCCTTCCAACCTCCACGCCCCCATGGGATGCAAAATCTTCTCCACCGACAAAGAAGATACAGTGGAGGAATTTCTGTGATCCAAGGAGGTGGGACAGGCGGACAATACTCCAAAAGGGCGTTATATACCCGGCAAGCCTCCTACCAGCCGTGCTCTTAGGGCTTCTCCTGAATGTCCTAGACGCTCTGTCTTACGGAATGATCTTATTTCCTCTTGGAGAGCCATTGTTTGCGGACAGGGGTGCCGACGGCATATCGATGTTCTACATCAGCACTATTATTTCACAGCTAGTCTACTCTTGCGGTGGGTCTATCTTCAAAGGTGGCATTGGTTCCGAGATGATAGAAGTCGTGCCTTTCTTCCACAAGATGGCCCTTATGACCTTAGCCAGGGTGGGTGCGGATAACATGGATTCTGTCCTGGCAACAACAATCCTGGCATATGCACTCAGTTCTATCCTTACAGGGACCGTCTTCTTCATTATGGGTGCCACCGGGCTGGGATCCTTTATAGGATTTTTCCCTCGACATATTCTGATTGGGTGCATTGGTGGCGTTGGTTGGTTTCTTGTAGCAACCGGAGTTGAAGTGTCTGCCCGACTTTCCGGTAATTTCAAGTATGATCTGGATACGCTGGAGAGGCTCTTCCAGCTCGATACCATATTCCTCTGGACGACCCCTTTGCTTCTTGCGATTGGTCTGCTCGTTGTTAAACGATATATCAAGTCGAATTTTCTTGTGGGGGGATATTTCCTCTCCGTTGCATGCTTGTTCTATTTTTTCAAACTTGTGCTGGGTATTCCTTTGGACACATTGCGAGAAAAAGGATGGGTGTTTGAAGCTCCTGCGTCCGATAACCCTTGGTATCACTTTTATACTCTCTACAGTGAGTCTTATCCGGTGACCTCTTGTAGCATATCTATTCGATCCTTTGCAGCCCTGACGTTGCTTTAGACTTTTCTGCAGTCAATTGGCCTGCCCTGGCAGATACAATTCCAGCCATGTTCGCCTTGACTTTCTTCGGCATTCTTCATGTTCCAATCAATGTTCCCGCTCTGGGTATTTCTACTGGAGAAGACAATCTCAACGTTGACCGGGAGCTAATCGCCCATGGAATTTCCAATGCATTGTCTGGCTTTGCGGGAAGTATACAGGTAAATCTCTTTCTTTTCTTTTTTTTTTTTTTTTTTTTTTTTGGCCTATTACGAGTAGGAGATTCTTTTACGCAATATACTGACAATTGGCTAGAACTACTTGGTGTACACAAACAGTCTTCTTTTCATTGCGAGCGGTGGGAATCACCGTTTGGCCGGTATCATGCTGGCCATAGCTACTTTTGGGATCCTACTAGCCGGACCTGGTCTTATTGGGTTCATACCCATCATGGTTGTCGGAGCCCTGATATACATGCTGGGGATAGAACTTATGGAAGAGGCTTTGGTAGATACTTGGGGCAGGCTTCATAGATTGGAATATATGACTGTAAGTTGTATACGCCATCACAACGTTATATTTCGAAGCTGATAGTCAACAATAGGTAATGATAATAGTCGTCACGATGGGCGCATGGGATTTCGTCACTGGAATTGTTGTTGGGATATTTCTTGCTTGTCTTAATTTCGTTGTCCAGGCTTCCCAGAAGTCTGCGATTACAGGAACTTACACGGGACAAGTCGCCGTGTCCACCGTGCGGCGGAATCCAACCCATGCTAAATTCCTCAAGGAAGCTGGGAGACAGACGTTTGTCATTAAATTGTCTGGGTTCCTTTTCTTCGGCACCATAGTGAGTGTTGAGAAACAGGTACGGTGGCTGATCGAGGGGGAGGTATTCAGCCATAGGCCAATTCGCTTCCTGGTACTCGACCTTTTGCACGTCAAAGGGTTGGACTTCTCCGCCGCTGAGGCTTTTACTAGACTGAATCGGATGCTGCAGACTCGACGAGTGCACATGATCATTTGCGGCGTCGATATTTCCGGCGAAGTAGGCAGAAGCTTACGAAACGTCGGCCTATTCGAGCAAGAGAACGAAGTCCCCGTTCTCGAAAATCTAAATTCCGCCCTTGAGTACTGTGAAAACGAGCTTTTACAAGCGCTGCATGATCGAAAGGATGCAATGTCAGGGATAGCAAGGACCGAGCCATCATCGCTCAAACGTACGTCAAAAAACTCCCCTTTCCACCCTACGTGGATATTGTGTTCCCCTGGATACAGGCTAAGGGCACCATAGCCATATTCAAGCCCCAAACATCCGACCTCCCCGTCAACTCTCCCCGTAATCTTTACCTACACCAACTCGCCGCCACCACTCTCCGCGAAGAAAGTGCCTCTACCGCCGCCACCGCCTCATCCTCCACCCCAACCGGCAAACCTACGAGCACCAAACCGCAACACCAACCCCCTCTCTCTCTCCTCATGCACACCTTCCAAGGTCTAACCACCCAACCCGAAGCCTTCTGGGCCCCCGCTGCGGCCTACTTCACGCGTGCCGAGTACCCCGCGTCCAGCATTCTCTACCGCATGGGCGAACAGGCGCAGCACTTCTTCCTCCTGGAGTCCGGGATGCTGCGGGCGGAGTACGACACGCCGCAGGGGAATTATTTCGAGCTGATCGCGGCGGGGCGGCCGTGCGGGGAGTTGCCGTTCTTCGGGGCGACAAGGAGAACAGCGACGGTCAGGGCGGAGACGCCGTGCGTGGTGTGGATGATGGGGGAGGAAGGGTGGAGGAGGTTGAGGGAGAGGGATGCCGATGTGGGGTTGGAGATGATGAGGGTTTGTTTGAAGTTGACGGCGGAGAGGATGCATACGATTACGTCGTAAGTGCTCTCTCTCCCCCTTTTCCCCCCTTCTTTGTTTTCGTGTTTGGGTTGGGACTGACTTTGAGGGTGTTTAGGTATGTTTTGACGGCTACTCGATGACGATTTCGGGTGGGTATTTTCTTTTTTGTCTCCTAATTTTGTTCATATAAAGTTGGACATTTTGGACATAGGTGGCTTTCCATTTTTTTTATACCAAATTTATGGATATGGGTACCATCCGGAGGGGGTTGGGGTATTTTCTACGGAGTACGTTGGACATAGACATGGGGATTTGCTAGACGGGAAAAGGGTAGTAGAATGTATATTTTTCCCATGGGGGACCCCAAAAAAAAAAAAATAAAATAAAAAAAAAGAGGAAGGATTGGAGTAAAGACAGTCCCAATAATATCTCTTATTCATATCTTGTCTTGTCCTGTATATACATACGCCTTGTGGTTAAACCTGGGAGATGCACGATATATTTATTTTCTAGAGCAAAGGCACGAGCGCACGCTAAATTCATCGAACCAGAAACCAGCACGGTCCAGCGATCCTATCTCCGTACCTCGTCTGAGTGGGCAGTGCAATTGCTACAATGAGGCAGCAAATAATATCACAACAAAAACAAATTTCTTTAGGTATGGCAAGCGTCGGTGTATGTATGTGCAGGCCTTTCAACGGTGACATCTGTCTCTCTCCCCCTCTCCGCATCATACCCGTGCATGCATGCCGAATGATCCCCCGGACAATGTGTAACCTCCTCGGCGGCGTGGGGGGGGGAAAATGACAGGAGACGTGCACACGCTATACCTCCGTCCTCCGACTCGCCGGTCGTGGCTGATCACTTAAAAATGTCTTGAAACAACCTTTATTGGGGGGGCCTTTTGTCAGTGCTGGAGAGTGGATTTTAAACCATATATACACGGGTGTAGGTCCAGTATCATGGTTTGCTCGCTGGAGAGTGTAGTGTCCGGCTTCTACCAGGAGAGATGGTAGAACGTTGTGTCACCTGTAAAGTAGGAGGGTGACAAGTCTAAAAAAAAAAAAAAAGAAAGAAAGAAAGAGGACTCCTTTTACTCTTAACTTTGTCATTAGCCTGAGGATGACGAAGTGGGGAATAAAAGTGATATGAACATCCCGGCTCACTCGAAGAGTTAGCAAACGAACATACAAGGACAAATTTAACTCTTATAGAGGGCGCGGAATAGGCTCCATGCGTAGATACATTGTTACCACCGGGGTGCTCCGGAATAGCAATAAAGAAAGAAGGGGAGGGAGACAAGAGGCTGGAGATGCATGTTGACAACCACAACTGCAATAACGCCGAGAGCTTCTGTACGGCATGGGGCCCAGCTTTTAGCTGTACAAGGGGGGTAATATGGACTTGGTTGCTTTGGAACGCTTTTTGGAATCACGTCCCAACAGAGGTCGATGGGGAAAAATCATTCCCTCCGATCATGGCTTGCGGTCACAAGGAGATGGCACGACAGAGGTGACAAGTGCTTCCAATGGATGAGAAAAGGAAAGCAAAGACCAAAAAAAGGCGAATACGTCATATATCTACCCTGTACCACAAGAGAACAATAACCCACTGTTGGTAACAGGTGGGTGGCCTGATTGTTTCTTTTTTTTTTTCTTTTTTTTCCCTCCTAGGACCTTGAAGGAAATACAGACAAGAAAAAAAATAATACTCCGTACAATAAAATGAAGTAAAATCACAAGTTTCATGTGTGGTACTCTGTATTGTTCCTGGCGCCATCTGGCTGTGGAGTTCCTTGGTAAGGGGTAAGAGAAATGACTCGGCTCATTAAACATGAGGTCGTTGGATAGGGTTGATTCCGGGCCAGGATGTCGGAGTCTCAAATCGAAATTGCGAATTTATTGGTAGTGCGGCACAGGTCCTCGGCACAGTTACAATCATTAGGTAGGAGAATCCCCATGCTTTTCGCCACCCCTTTTTTTTGGTGGTATCGAAGGCTGGGAAGGAAGAGAAAAGTTGAACAAGAAAAATAAAAAAAAAAAAATAAAAAATTGGACAAGAACAGCCAAAGTATCCACACAAGCTTGCACATCAAACTTTCCGGAGGGAAAGGTGGATGAGTCATGAAGTAGGATGTACCCACAGTACCTGTGAGGAGGCGGAAGTTTTTCACGCTGAGAACCCCGTAGACACTTGATTCTGGACCTTTCTGCGGAGAAGAGGAGAAAAGATAGGCTTGGAGAGGGTATCATGCTGGCCCAGGCTCAGCTTCAATTGACGATCAAACATCCTACACTGAGTCCTCCGTACAGTGTTGATATGTTTGTGTGCGCACTCAAGTAGGCTGTCAGTGGGGACCGTTCTTGAAGTGCTGAATGTTCCCCCGGCCGGTCTAACTAAATATCTGCATTTTGCTATGGTGAAGCTCCCGGTGCTTTGTCGTCCTGTCGGGATCAAGCCCTGGGTCTTCGTGGGTCCGATGGCGGTATTGGAACCCCACCGTTTGTGACAGGAGAGCGGGCGTGTGACGAAAGCTTCATTCCACCACATGGCTCCGGAGCAGGAGTCGGAACAAGACGACAACCAGGAATATCGTCGAGAAGAGAGAGAGGGGGATAGAGAAGAAAAAGAGGGGATAGGAGAATGAGCACAAAAGAGAGTGTGAGAGCAAGACAGATGCGGGCGTCTCGGGAGGGCGTGAAGTTTGGCTGTGTCGTTTTCTGCCGAAAAAGGGGGTTGAGAGTGAGTCGGATGATTCAGCGATGCCAAGCCTGTGTCGCCAAGCTTCTAGTCTGTCTTGGCGCATGTGGGGACACCTGCACGAGGTAACGCCCCCGCTAGCTGGAAGGGGCTAGCCCATACATTATGTCATTCAAATTGGCCAATCAGATGTCGTTCCTCGTATACAAGCCGTTGACACGTGATTGACACTCTGACTAATCCACTTCTTCCCCCCCCCTCTTTTCATTTCCTCCTTCGTGGAGCCTTTTCTATTTTGACGATTATTTTACCGGGGGGGGCAAATGTAGGAGCTGTCATCGAATTACGGGAGAAGAGACGTTGTTGCTCGTCAGTCAGCGGGAAGATGGCGAGTCGCTCGCGGTGAAGGAGGCGAATGGATAAGTAGGGAGAGCCAACTTAAAAGGAAAAAAAAAGAGGGCGGGTAAAACGGATGTTGAGGGGGGTAGAAGGGATGTTCTGGGTGGTGTGAAATGGTCATGCGATCATCAGAAAAAGGCGGGAAAAAGGGAGAATTTGGAGAAAATAAGCATATTTGGATGAGTTGCAACCAAAGACAGCTTGGCTCTGTCGGGGGACGAGACTCTTCCTCCCACGGATCCGTCCCATCCAAAAAAAATGATGTATGTCTCTCATGCCCAGAGTATATCTGTACATACTCTTGTATGAAACTCATTTTTATTTACCTTTTTGGTTCAGGAGCGTTGCGGCGTTTCTTGCTGGCCAACAGACGCGAAAAGAAACGTTCCGCCAAAAAAAAAAAAGAAAAAAAAAAGAAAAAAAGAAAAGAAAAACAAAAGAAAGGTTCGGCGGTGGTAAGCAAAAAAAAAAAAAAAAAAGGCAAGCCGCTGGAGAGATGGACGATCGCAGGGTGGGGTGCGTTTAGTGACTTTTTTTTTTTTAGTTTGGCCTTCTCCTGGACGTGCGAGCTGGGATGACCCTTACCTCCCTAAAACAAGAGCTTGAACCCTGCACCAACCACGGGCCTCAGAAACGGGTTCGACTCGTCAGCCGTCTGCGAGGAGGAACCACGGCGCTTCCCAGTTAGGCGACGATGAAGCTGCAGCCAGCAGACATGGGGACTCCGGAAAGACGCCGGCAATAACGGTGTGAATTAATGCTGCGATCCCCTTCACCACCGAGTCGCAAAGTGAGCTGCTCTGCGTGAGTGTAGCGGGGATACAGCTGGGGGAACGTAAACGAATATAGTTAACTATGTACTCCATACATACGTAATCTGTCAGTACGGTATAGACACAAACTCGAAGGGAACTAACTATCGTATGGATGATTCTGTGGTGAAATACGGAGTCTGTATGGATTTTTGACTTTTTCTTGTCTGCGAAGAATGACTACAGTATTATACAGCAAATACGGGCGGGAGGGAAAAACACTGGAGCAGAAGCACAAGAGAGGCGAGATCAGAGGTATTCCTTTACCACCCCGCCCCTTTTTTTTACGGACATTGGTAAAGTAAACGGCGAAGCGTTGGGGTGAGACAGGTTTCATCCTCCTATCAGATATCGCCCGTCAATGCTCGGGGTCCCAGCGATTCGCCCTTCGCCAGCTTTTGAGCGGACCTATCACCGACGCCCTACCTCTCTCTCTCTCTCTCTCTCTCTCTCTCTCTCTCTTCCCCCACCCCCCCTGACCCCGACCGTTGACGCTGCTCCTGGCGGTGGTCGCCGGTCACTGGTCGCTGGTCGCTGGTCGCTGGTCTCTGGGTCAGCAAACAGACAAACGCAGGTCCCGTCTCCGTACCGTATGTAACAACATGCCTGCATACGTACATACATACAGTCAATCCACTGTAACTCGGGTATGCATACGTACATACATACTGTCCCCTGTAACTCGGTATGTACTTGTGTAGTCGATGGAGCGTGTGTCCTGTCATTTCCGTATGGGTAATGTACCAAGTTCCCCACTTACCGAAAACTGGCCACGAGCAGCGCGATTTGCAGCCGCTGATTGGCCAGTTGCGGGGGGAAGAACAGCCCAGAACCGACTAGCGATCAGCTGCTCTTTCCCTTGCTTGGTTTCTCCTTTCCAGCCACACCCACTCGCCGCCGCCGCCGCCCGGTCACGACTCACCCAAACTCGCCCTCCCTGCTTTTTTACCCTTTTTTCTCTTTTCTTTTCCTTTCTTTTTCTTTTTTTTTTTTTTCTCCTTCTCTTCTCTCTATCTTCTTCTCTTCTTCTCTCTTCTCAGTCTCTTCCAGCAGTTCGCTTTTTTCTGCCACCAATCGACATTGATACCCCCCCCGTGCTTTGTTGCTTGTTGGCCTGTACTTATTTCCTTTTGGCTTCTTTTCCTCTTCTTGAGATACCCCCCACAAACAAACGAGATACCCAATCCTATTTTTTTGCGGATTTATAACCACTTTTATTGTAATAATCCCCTTCCTCAAAGTAACAGCCCGAAGAGCTCTCCCTCAAGCTTCAAAGGGTACAAAAAGGGTAAAAAACACACACACACAACCACAGGTCAAGGAACGTTGTCATCTAGATCCTGCTAGACAGACACACGCGAACTTCTTACCTTGAAACATCACCATCTCATCGAGTCAAGTCATGTCTGAAGCTCAAAAGCCCGTCGAGGAGACCCCCGTTGCTCCTCCAGCCGCGGAGACCGCTGCTCCTACCACCGAAGCCCAGCCTCCAGCTGCTGAAGCTCCAAAGGACGCCCCCGCCGAGCCCGAGGAGCCAGCCAAGGAGGAACAGAAGGCAGAGGTGACTCCCGCGACCGATGGCGTGCTCGGCCACAAGGCACCCGGCTTGGTCAAGTAAGTTGTCCTTTCTCAGAGCACCTCGTTGCTAAGGGGATTGATGGGGCACCGCTAACAAGTTGAACCCCCTTCTTCATTCAGGAGCCTTCGTTTCTCTAAGCGCTACTTCTGGTTCAGCGACGATGCTGTCGAGGTCTCCAAGCTCAGCACCTACTTCCAGAACGAGAAGCTGAGCATCGCCCACCCAACCGCCGCCTGGGCTAGCCAGACCGGAAAGGGCCTGCTCTTCATCGCCAAGCGTGCCGAGGACAAGGCTCACCCTACCGGAATGATCAACTTGGTATGTTCATCGGACCACGTGCACTGCAGTTTTAGAGCGACATTAATGCTCATCTGATGTCCTTTGTACAGGCCGAGGTCTCCGATATTGCCAAGGAAGGTTCCAACGAATTGACCTTCAAGTGGAACGGCCACAAGCATGCTTTCCAGGCAACCTCCGGCGACGAGCGTGACAGCTGGTTCGCCACTATCGAAGCCAAGTCTGCTGAAGGCAAGGCTGAAAAGGAAACCATCGTCGGTAGTGACGGATATAAGGCCGAACTCGAGAAGCTGAGTATGTGAATTTCGAACTAGTCATTTCTATATTTTCTTTTTTTTTTTTTTTTCTAGAGTAAGAAGGTGGAGTGGAACTAACTGGTCTCACTAGCTGCTAAACCCGCAGCTGCCACGGTCGCCCCTAGCTCGCCAAAGAAGAGCCTTGAGGCCAAGGGCAAGGATGCTACGAAGAAGCCCGAGGGCGAAGAAGCCAAGGCAAAGAGCCGCTCCCAGTCTCGCAAGCGCGCAAGCATCTTCGGAAACATCCTAGGCAAGAAGGATGAGGGAGAGGCTAAAAAGGAAGAACCTAAGACGGAGGACAAGGCAGAGGGAGAGGATGCTAAGAAGCCTGAGGCGGAAACCCCTGCTGAAGAGCCTGCCGCTGCCGCCGCCACTACCGAGGCCGAAACTCCTGCTGAGACCACTGAAGGTGAGAATGCTTTGCCGTTTTCTCTCACTTAATTTATAACTAATACATCCTTCTAGCTGCTCCAGCTACGGAAGCCAAGCAGGAAGAGCCCAAGCGACCTGAGGCCAAGGCTAAGCGCAGCTCCGTTTTCGGAAGCTTCCTCCAGAAGGTCACCAACCAGGGCCACGGCAAGGCTGACAAGGAGCCTGCAGCCAAGCCAGCAGAGACCACCACCACCGTCTCTAGCACCGCTCCACAGCTCGGTGACCCAGTCAACCCTGATGCGTCTGAGCCAATTCAGCCTGAGAGCGTGACTCAGCCAGAGGCCAATGAGCCTGCTAAGGAGACACAAGAAGAGCCCGCAACTTCTCCATCTTCTATCAAGGGTGGATTCCTTAACTTCATCAAGAAGGATAAGCACGAGGTTAGTACAATCAAACCCTTGAGTTGACGCCAACACCAGTGAACATACGTTCTGACGATTATCCAGGAGAAGAAGGAGGCTAAGCCTGAGGACAAATCCGACAAGAAGCCAGAGGATGCCCCTGCTGCTGAGGAACCAGCTGCCCCTGAACAGGCAACCGGTGCCACGTTGAAGGAAAAGAGACGTACTTCGTTCTTCGGAAACTTCGGTACCAAGAAGGAGAAGAAGGTCGAGGCTGCTGAGGGTGAGCAGGCCGAGGGTGAACAGGCAAAGGCCCGGTCCCCATCTATCCCAAGACTTGGTGGCCTCTTCCGCAAACCAAGCAAGGCGGTCAAGAAGGACAAGGAAGTTGCCCCTGCTCCTGCTGAGGGTGAAGCTCCCGCCGAGAACACCGAAATCACTGAGATCAAGGAGACGACTGAAACCGCCACCCCAGCTGTAAATGGAGCCGAGACCTCTGAGAACAAGCCTGCCGAACCTGCCGCACCCGCTGCACAGCCCGTCCAGGCTGCTGCTTGAAGGGCTGAGGCCAGGACGAGCATAGTTGAGATCGAGAAATGGTGGGACCAGCGCTACATGTCTCGACCTGGCACGTTTCAAATCCAGTAAATTGCTTCCCCTAACCGTAAAGCAAAGCCCCTGGAAGGATGCATGAAAAGATCGTCTCCCACCGCCTCCATCACTGACAATACGGAATAAAAAAAAAATTATGACGCCATGACCTGGAAGACAAGCCAAAGCCCCCAACTCTCCTATCTCGTATGAATTCGCCATGTCAAATTCCATTGCTCGCTCGCGCGGACGCGGCCTGTGTCCCATTTTGTGTTATTGTCTTTCGGTGCGTTGTGTTTGGGAACCTACTAAAATTTAAAATTGCGAGGTGGACGTGAATGATACCCAATAACCCCCCGATACCCAATTGTTGCCGTGTTTGATAATGCCCTTTTGTTTTGTCGCTTGGTCTGCTATTTTGAATCTTTTCTTGATTATTTTTCTTGCCAAGTGTGGTCTATTTGGTTCTTATTTGTCGTATGGATGTACATCAGACGAACCATATCTTTATCTATCTTGCGGTGTCGTGGCTGTTCTTAATTCCCGTTGACTTGAGCCGAACTGATTTAGGAGGTTGCGATGTGACCGTCTTGCTTCTATTCTGCGCGAGTCATTGGGAAGAGATTGTAGCTAGTATTCTTGATAGTCTCGACGCTGATGTTTTATTAATAATTAATAGTGCTTGTTATCTTCTGTATCAAAGTACAACTCATTTTCTGTCTGATCCTTCTTGTCGTTCTGCTCCCTACGAGTAGTGCCTTGAGTTTCTGGTTAATGGCTGGCAGCTGAGACTTGTAGATCCCATTTGACGTTGAGATAACTAGTTCTTACGGTGCATGTCCAACATCGCTCGGGCTCTGTGCTGAGGTTCTTCCCAAAAGCACGCGCAAAGCCCGCATAACACTTCAGCGCATGGATTCCAAATGGGGTTATGCTCAAGGAATATAGGGCTTTACAAGCATTGGTCAGCTGGGGTAACCCATATATTGACTACCTACTTTGGAACTTCGATGGAGCGACAACCAGGGTGCTATGTGGTCTCTCGAGTTTTACGGGTATAAAAGGGGCGGCTGTGTGTCAACCCCCTTTTCTTTTTGATTTTTATTTTTATTTTTATTTATTTTTCCCTCCTTGTATTCACTATTAACTACTCCGTACAGAGTAGGTATATTTACATCGAAAAATAATCTTGTGCAGGATCATAGCGTTCACTAAAAACACACGCCTGTATGTATTGTTTTTTACATCACACACAGCTCAGACTTGCCTTTATATCTCCTTCATGAGCACATCTCCCGTCCCATCTCCATCTCGCCCTTTGACTTAATCTTTCCCTCCCCTTTTTTTCGTTCGCTTCCCATCCATGTCCAATTTCCACTGAGCTCCCACTCTACTTCCAATGAATGAAAGCATGGGGTGCACAGGAGAGAAAAAGAGGGACATATCAAAAGAAAAAGGGTAAGTCGCGAAGGGGAGAAAGGGGAAAGAAAAGAATCGTGAAAGGAACAAGGATTAGAGCCGGGGAGGGAATACTGCCTGTCATAAGTATCTGTATGTCATCATCGCTGTGTATCTCATAGGTAAGAAGGGGGGGTTAGAGGAAACTGCTGGGGTGGGATTATGCAAGCGGACTACGAGAGCACTTGAGTTCCCTTACTCCTACCACTCTCCATCTTTGCAGTCCTCGAGCCGAATTGGATGGCTCTTTTCTTCTCCTTCGCCACCAGGTTCATGCCCAAGTTCCACGCCACCAAGCGCAGAGCTTTTTTCCCCGGTTCAAGCTCTGGTTCTTCAGGACATTCGACCACTCCATCTCCGCCTGCCGATTCTGCGCCATTGGACGCGATGCCGAAGCCACACTTTTCCCAAACGGGACGTTGAAGGGCCCATCTGAGAAAGTCCTCGTCAAGATATGGATATCTCGCTTCGCGGCCCCAGTTCGAAAGGACGCGATCATCGCGTCCGAGGTTCCTCTTGCCTAGGCGCCCGACGTCCAGATCGATCTCGTCGACAAGGCCCTGGAAGCCCTGCCGTGCGAAGGCGAGGGCGTGTCGTTGGTATCCGGCGAACACTTCGTCCGCGCCAAGGCCGGAGAGAAGGACCCGTGCTGCCGTCGTGTAGGGAGTGGGAACCCCGGAATCATCATCTGGCGTAACTTCGCCAACGCCGCGCGATGCGAAGTATAGCGCACACGTTATCGACAGGTCCATCTCCGTGTTGTGAGGGCGCATCAGGCGTCGAATTTGGTCCCTATGCTGTCTTGTTTCCGCGTAGGGAATATTTATGCAGACAAACCGCCACGGGCGCGTCGGACAAACTCGGCGCAGCTCTGCGTACGATGACCGGCCGGTCTTGCGGTCCGGGCAATCCTCAAAGACAGAGGTCTGGTTGCCGTTCTTGGCAAGATTAGCTGCGGCTACTCTGGGGTTCTCGAATGCGACATTCAAGAGGTCGATCGGCTCGTCTTCTGGGAGTAGTTCATGCGCGAGCCTCGCCAGGATGGTGCAGTCAAGCCCGCCGGAGAAGAGGACTGCGACCTTTGCTCCTGCTGATAAGGAAGGAGGGTCGGGAACGGCCTGGACGCGAAGCTCAAGTGATTGGCGAAGTAGATTCTCTAGTTCGAGCACGGATGGAGAGCTGGTGACAAGCGGGGACGGGGCTGGGGGTGTGGTATCTGGAAGGCATTTGTTCATGGGTGGTATTGGAGCACTCTACGGCTTTCAAGTTAGCTTTAACCTCCTGGCATTCCAGCGAATAAACGTACAGGAACTGCCGTGAGAGAACTCGTTCCATGTACCCATGGAATGGTTGTTACATCGACGATTCGAGAGCCGCGAGCAAGATGGATAACATGGATGCCGTCAGTGGTCACTTCTTCAAAACAGTTAGATGAGGATCCATCACAGACGCTGGAAATCTTGAAGTTCCCCCTTCCGTCCCATCCAGTCAGCAATGATCTTCTCCCCAGGAAGTCTCTGCCGTAGATAATCCTCGATGCGTAGCCATCATAAAACACAAAAGAAAACGGGCCTGATATGGTACTGACAGCATGTGCCAATCTGGGCAGGGGGTCTTCACATGCATATGATCGTGTGGGATCCTCTGAAGGCCTGACTGACTCCAAGAACAGCTGGAAAACTCGATGGGTATCGTTTCCACTGATAATCTCATTCGATATTTTCCATGCCTCTCCATTCCAGCAGAGGACTGACTGGCTGGAAGGGTCTACGAGAGGCTGTGCTTCCACATGATCCCCTCTGAGAGCAAGAACAGACGATATGAAGGTTAAATACCGCTTGCAATCTGCGTCGCCGTCGCACTGCTCATCGCCGCCACTTGGTGTTGGGCACGATACGCATGCATGATGAGCCCGGTAGCTGTCTGGTCCTCTATTCCTGATGATGCGCTGTGTGTCTTCTTCGGGGTGGACAGCTTCTGTGCTACTAAGCGAGAAGAAGATGCCACACATCGTGGACTGCTCCTGGGCAGCGTAGAGTTGGCCAGAAGCTGTCTGAGGAGCGACAGGCGGAAGCGCAAAGGGGGAGGATTTTTCCAGGGCTGGGTTGGGATTCGACCTCAGGTTGGGCTTATCAGGGAGCCGGCGGAACAATAACCCGTGCGATAAGGCTCCCGTGATCAGCCCATCGCCCAACGCTGAAACTCCCTTCGATATTCCCCCACGGCAGCGTCCTCCAGCGTGTCGGGACAGTGCAGGGAGGCTTTGCTATGCTGACAGGGTCGCCGAGCTCGTATTTGTCGTGCCCTTTCTCGAGCATGAATATGTCCTGCTGTTGACTGCCATCTAGTTACCTTTCATTTTTACCGCGGCTGGTGCAGCGTGTTGGATCTCCCGTATTGACGGTTGAGCTTATGCCTCCCTCATCGGAAGTCTATACATCTTCCCCTTCTCCTACACCAGACAACAAGCAAAACCAAGAACCACCACTATCTGGAGTTGGAGGACCTGGCAGCAAAGAGCCTGCCGCTCCCTCAATCAGGACTAGTCCCACAGGCTTGCTTTCCCCTGAAGATGGTGAGAAAGACACAAACTTGTTCAATGGAGCCATGGATGAATCTAAGCCCACGATGGAAGATAACGTCTCTTCTGGAGACACTATGAAGATGGAACCCGAGGATAAGCCCTCCGGAAGTCATCCTGAGAGATCTTCGGAAGAAAACATGAGACCGCCCACTCAACCGATGGAAAGCTTGTCAGTCTCGAAGGGAGCACCGGACACCTTGCCAGCCTTACAACTTGATACCGACACCGATTCCACCCTTCCTCCTCCTCCGCCACAGAAAGACAATACTTATATAGATCCTACTCCGAAGACTCCTCAAGCTCCGTACTCCCCTCTCACAACTCCAACCTACGCCGATAAAGACCTCCCCGATGTTCCTCGAGATGTTCAAACAGCTGAGGCTGGTGGGAAAGAAAGTGATAAGGAAGGGGAAGACAGGAAATGCGAGGGTTCGCAGTCGGAGATTCAGAGCATAATAGAGCAATTCGCGGACGAAACAACAAGTTTGCGTCAAGAAGAAATAATGTCTCCTCGACTTGAGTTGGCCGCACATCCACGTTTCCCTCCCCGTAAATCCAGCCTCGAGCCCGTCCCATCGTCCTTGGATGGCGCGGGCGATCAGCAGTCTAACTCCCGGCAACCACAAACGTCTTCCATCCTATCGAACCATTCTCGCAGGTCTCTATCACCCCCCGCCGTACCACCGAAGTCTCCCCCGAGTGTATCCCAGAAAGCGACTGTTGGCGAAGAAACGGAGAGCACCGGTCCACCTCCTCCAGAACCCGAGCCCGATCAGCCATTTGACTTCCACCGCTTTCTGGAGCAGCTGAGGCATCGAACAGCCGACCCAGTAGCTAAATTCCTTCGTTCCTTTTTAACCGAGTTCGGGAAGAGGCAGTGGATGGTCCACGAACAGGTCAAGATCATCGGTGATTTCTTGGCGTTTATCACAAACAAGATGGCCATGTGCGACGTCTGGAAAGAAGTCTCCGACGTTGAATTTGACAATGCCAAGGAAGGAATGGAGAAGCTGGTCATGAATAGGTTGTATTCCCAGACTTTTTCTCCCGCGATACCTCCCCCTCCAGTCCTCCCTCGAAACAGGAGTAGAGGGCGGAAAAAGGATTTGGAGAAATTGCTAGGCCCTGGCAGACGAGGTCAACATCAAGAAGATGTCGAGCGGGACGAAATTCTGGCCCAAAAGATCCGGATCTATAGTTGGGTGCGAGAAGAGCACTTGGATATACCGCCGGTCAGTTCGAACGGCCACCGCTTCCTACATTTGGCTCAGCAAGGTGAGTTCGTCTCGCGCCGATAAGCTTGACGTGATCCCTAACTGTTCTATACTAGAGCTATTGAAGATCAAAGGCTACCGCGCTCCAAGAGACAAGGTCATTTGCATTTTGAATTGTTGTAAGGTCATTTTTGGTAAGGATTTCACGCATATTCTCCCTCCAGGAACAAAAGTGCTCACTTCCTGAAGGTTTATTAAAAAACTCCAGAGATAGCGACACATCTGCTGATTCCTTTATGCCGCTTCTGATTTACGTTGTGCTGAAGGCCAACCCCGAACATTTGGTATCAAATCTACAGTATATACTTCGATTTCGCAACCAGGAAAAACTTGGAGGAGAGGCCGGCTACTATCTCTCTTCATTGGTATGGCCTCAATATCCATGCCAACCCGAAAAGCATCTAACACCTGCTGCTAGTCCGGGGCCATACAATTTATCGAGACACTTGACCGGACCTCTTTAACAGTCAGCCAAGAAGAGTTTGACCGGAATGTTGAAGAAGCAGTCTCTGCCATCGCCGAAAAACACAAAGAAGCTGAACAATCACTCAGTCGGGAAGCAGAAAAACCCCTAGCATCTCGTGAAATTACCCCTCGAAATTCGGAAGAGCTGGGATCGAGATCCACCGACTCGCCCTATGCCTCTAACCCAGAGGACAATCCTTCAATGGCTGGATTACTGCGTACTATCCAAAAGCCGTTGACGACCATTGGCCGGATATTCTCAGATGAAACAGAATCTCAACAGCAGCAGCAGCGAACGCTCGGGCCGCCGCAGCAAAATCCGGGATTGGCTTCAGCTCCATATCAGCAACAGCAACAGCAACAGCAAAGCAACAATGGGTTAAGAGGCGTTGATAGGCAGCGAAGTCGGAACGAGCCCCCAACGCAGCAACAGAGGAACGGATTCGAAGCACAAGAAGCGGCTGCGCGCCAGGCTAGTGCTGAGGCAGCCGAAGCGCACCGTATACAGCGTGCTGAGCATGCTGACGTTGTGGAGTAAGCTGGCCGCGTTCCTGATTCCTCAATGATATTTTAACACTGATATATCGCCAAAAGGACGTTATCGGGGATGTTCCCAAACTTGGACAAGGATGTCATCGATGATGTTGTCCGGATGAAGGAAGGAAGGTAAGGACCGCCTTAGATGCCTTTGGGCTTTACTCGTAGCTAATGAGCCTCCCCAAGAGTTGGTCTGGCGGTAGACGCATGTCTCGCTCTTAGCGCCGAATAAATCACCCAGGACGGAAGATTTGTCGTCGTCGAGCAGCGTGACCTTGAGGCAATTTTATTGAACTGTAGGCATGAGCATAGTGCTGGGGATACCCTTGAACAATTGACCATTTGATATTCTTCATTTTTCAACATGCCCAGTGGGGGACCAACAAGGTAAATAAAAACCGTGAAAAGTCATCACAACAGGTAGTAGAGCGACATGATGCAGAGACTGCTGCTGGCGCGTTCATCTGTTCACTTTTGTTTAGCACAGAGGGCATAGATACTTAATTTTAATAATTTGCCGGAGGCCTCGCGCCTGAATTTCATATTTCTTACCACTGTGAGTGCTCTGTACAGAGTATAGGATTTCAAACTTGTTGTTCGAAAGCTGCATGCTCCAGAGCCACAAAGTTTCTGGTGTTCATTTTCGTCATCACACGCAAGTCTGCAACACAGCTTGGCCGGCAAAGCTTCAAAAACCACTCCAAAAGCCCAAAAGAAAAATATTAACAGGAACCAAAGAAGGCCCGAGCAGACAGCTTTGCTTGCTACCTTTCCCGCCGGAGCTGACCTGAATGCAGCATGCCGAAAAAGAAGAAATCCCAGGTCAGCCTGGCGAGCGAGGACGTCAAGGGAGAAAGCTCACCAGCAGCAAGCGTTCCTGCGTCTCCAGATCCTCAGTCGCCGCGGCCGCCGCTGCAAGGATCCGGAGCGAAGAAAGGAGGTGAGAAGAGCAAACAGGCGCAGCCCTCGACATCGGCACTCATCATATGTCGGAACAAGTAAGTTGAACCCGCCAGATCACAGTTGTACTGCTTCTTTTTCCCACACACGATGATACACCTTTGTTTTCGTTGTTCGTTTTGGTTTTTTGGCGCTCCCCCATGTCCTTTTGGCCCTTTGGAGGAGATCGGTTTCCGCTGACGAGATGGGACGCAACTTTGCAAAACACGCAAAAGACACTGGCGATACATTTCTTCTTTTCACGGCCCTTGGCTCCAGCTACCTCCGGATATCCTCGAGACCCTTTCGTTTAGTAACTATGCCTCCCCGCGACCTCATCCCATCGACCCCGCTGTGTTCTTCGACATCGTCAAGATCCGCCGCTCCATCGAGGAAGCCACCGACCTCGCCGTCCGAGCTGCGAACGGGACCACCTCTTCGGCGCTGGGGAATTCGCTCAATGCCTCCAATGGCATCCTGAGCGGCGGAAGCAGCGCGGTGCTCGGACTAGGGATAGGCGGGGGCAGTGGGCACGCGAAACTGAGCCGCGAGCGACGACATCGCATGCGGGAGCACGCGACGCAGAAGCTCGCCAAGGCGTACCGGCTGGACGAGATCGCGGCGAGTGTGGCGACGATGCAGTCTGCGTCTGCGCTCGAGGAGGTGGCCAAGCTGGTGCTGCAGCGGAACGAGTACGACTGCGATGCCCAGTATGTGCATTTTTTCCATGAGAAGATTCCGTCTCGGTCGTTGGCGCAGTGTACGAGCCTGGAGCCGCTGGATGAGATCATTGCTACACGGCCGCGGGAAGGGTCGACGTTCAGGACAAGAGCGGTGACGAGGGTGTTTAAAGATGATTATACCGGTGCTGCGAGGGATCTTACGGAAGGGCTGAGCGTGTTCCGTCTATACATGACTCCACACGTAGAAGGCAAGGGTGAGGCTGAGCTGTTCGCCGCTAGGAAAGAAAATGAACCGCGGACCATGGATATCCGGGTGGAATTGAGGGTGGATGAGAAGGATCAGCCCACGGGCTTGGAGACGCAGCTATTGTTCCATCGGGCCGGTGTATATCTGAGTATCGCCTGTCAGCACATCAAATCTGCCTTGGATGATCTAAAGCTGTCTCAGAAGGAACGCATCCCTAAGCCAGAGCCCTACAACGAAGGCGCCAGCTCCCCGTCGTTGTCCCCTGCTGGAAAGGAGGCATACCGTCGGTGGCTGGAGGCGCGCAAGATTATAAAGACAAATGCCCGACGTGCCCTTCGTGACTACATGAGCTTTCTGTCGCACTTTGACTATACGCCAGGCCTTTCTTGTGAAGTAGCCGAAGCATTCCTACGCAAGGTCAACTATACGTCATCTGGAAATTTCGGAAAGCCACGCCGGCCGCGGACCCATCCAAGCCGTCTGCTTGAGTCTGGGGACGGCAGCGAGGATATCCCCGGACAGAACGGTCATTCGTCTCTGCCTTCCACTACGGTATATAAAGTCTCCGAGCTCTTTTCTGCGCAACCTCCGCCGGACCTCCCTCCTTTCCCCGCCGAATCCCAGGAACTGGTTTCCGCAGCCCAGGCACATGGCGGCGACAGCGATGATCACTCCTCTCACGAAGCTGTCACTTATCACCCCCTCCTGACCGATGCACTCCACTCACTGCTTCTATGCCACGCACTCGTCCAGACGTCTTCAAAAGAACTTCTTCGCCATGCCTACATGGCTGCCCGGGTCGCCCGGGTCTGCGACGGATATCCGATCTTTCTAGCCCCGCGGTCTCCCTCCCGTGCAGACTGGATGGAAGTGATCAGTCACGTAGATAACTGGATCGATTTGAAACAGCCGTGGGAGTCTCTCTGCGCGCCAGCACCCATTTCCCAGGGGCAAGGGATCGAGAAGATTGGCCTCACGGAGGAGGAAGAGCGGGAGAATCGGAAACATGAAGCGATCCTGGAGGCACTGGGAGACGACCGGGTGTTCGATGAGGCAACCTTCCGGGCTGTGGTGCAGGCGCGCGAGAAGCGGATGGAGCAGCAGCAGCAGCAGCAGCGAAAGGCGAGTGGGCAAGGCGGTGGCAGCCCTGTGATCAAGCGCTGGGCGCAGGAGGATGGGAAGGAGTATCCTATCTGTACGGAGCGGGCGGAGGGCATTATTCGGTGGATCCAGGAGGCTCCTCTCTCTACAGGTGAAGGACGAGCAAAGGGGAAGAAGGGGAAGAAGAAAAGGTCCTCCAAGGGTGATAACGAGACTCCCGCTGAAATCATGACGTCGAGAGAAGACAGCTTCCAAGATGCGGATTGAAGTAGACGGGGGCAGCAACTTCTGCTGTGCTTTCAAAAACGTGGGCATCACTGGGCTACCTTTTTGAGCAAAAGTTTAGGATTCCCTCTACGAAATGGCGACGGAACGGTTTTTTCCCTTTTTCCTTTTTCATTTTCCTTTCTTTCTTTATATTTTTGGCAAATCATCCCCGGAAATTGGATTTTTTTTTTTTTTTTTTTTTTCTTTCGAGCAATGCGCCGTGTCAATTTGGGATCTTGTACGTGTACAACATAGCTACTTCTTTGCTATTGGAAATGTAATTATTGGAATCATGCTTCCTTTTCCACGAATATCTTACTAAATAGAAGTAATAAATTCAGGTCATGTCTTCTGTGATAACTAGTTGAAATATGATGTTGTAGTTTGATGATTGCCTTTTTTGGGGACTCCGTATGTGGTCTGTTTGGTTTGTTTGATCGGTTTAGGTGATCTGCTACATTACATAATATTATATCACATGATTTGCCACCCCGCTTGATCCTCCAACCAATCACAGCCAGCACAGAGCCTCTCGCTTAGCCTTAGCGCGGATTGCGGTGCCCCACTCTCATGTATAAATAAGTGCTGGGCCCCCGACCCTTTTCAACTTTTTTTCTTCTTTTTCTCTTCTTCATACTTACCTTGTCTCGGGAACCGCGATCATGAAGGCGGGCTCCCATGAGATGGTCCCTGCATTGCACAGCGCGGCGGACGCGTCTTGTTCATCGGCCTTCGGGTCTTTGAGAGGCGTAATTTTTGACTCCCTTCACTCCACAGTGTGAGTGAGACTTGTCTCTTTTTTTCATCAATTTCTCTCGCTATACGCGAGAGGTTGGAGAAGAAAAACGATGGCCCCCTATGTCTCAAGTCGATACCTGTTCTCACCTTTTTAGAATAGAGCACTGGAGTTTCGCCCCTTTTTGTCCGCATGTGCTTTTTTGTATTCGGGCAATTTAAACTGCCAGGGCATACTCCGTATGGTTGTTTTGGTTCAGCAAAGCAAAGCGAAGTGTACTCCGTAGTTGATGAATAGTACTCATGTAGGCCTTTTGCCTCGTAACAGTGAATGACGTCGCAACCGCCCTGGCTCGCCACGTCTTAGCGCAGGCAACTCTATTTTTCTCATAAAGCGTCGATGTTGGTGAATGAATCAAATAAGCCAACTTAAAAGACTTTGTGTGTGCATCACGTAAGACGATAATCGTGAGGCTTAGAAGATTTAGAAAACTTGACGTCCTTGTCTCAGCCCCATTTCACCGCGGAGGGAACCAAGATCCATAACTACGAACCCCCCCACCATGCCAATCCAGCTTAATCCAGCTCCCGCGGACGACTCCGGCGATAAACAATCTGCTTCTCGAAGCAACTCCTCTTCGTCCGATTCCCAGCAGTCCACCCAGTCCACCGCTTCTTCCGCCACGGGCATGTCTGAACATGGCACGGGTACGGAAGGGCAGCTGAGCAGAGAGGAAGCTGACCGCCTCTACGAGGAGCGAATGGAAGAGGAATACGCAAAGAGGGAGGGTGGAGCATAGTTTTTAGCCCTCGAACACGTCTGCGATATTAAGCCGCGATTCAGCTCCGTTCTGGACGTAACATCTGCTCCACCTTTTCCCATCTGTGATCGAGTGTGACGGCCGGTGGGCGCAGAGATGCGGGGATAGGCTCAGCTTTGTGTATATTCTAAAAGGCTACTACGCTTCGTCTTTCTCCTACATTATACCTTGTTCCCTCCGATGCATGAGATGCAGTAGACAGGATTTTTCGCATAAAGCATGAGAACACGATGGAACATACAACATCAGAGGTAACATCCTGTTCAAAGTGTACTTTTCTTAAGCGCCACATATGAAATATCAAAGGTAGAAGAATCGCCTCCACCTGAAACCAATGTCGAGGGCCTTGGGATCCCCCCCATCCATCCCCCGCTGAAGAAGTGGTTGGTATCGCCAAGATCCCTGAAGCTTTTGCGTCTCACTCATGCTGAGGCCTCATCCCGCCTGTAAAGTCCCACACACCCCCGAAATGCGGCAGCGCCCAACCGCCACGTGTGTGCACTATCATCAATCAGCATCCAACAGAAAAACCACTGTCTGGGACGGGTGCACTACGCGCGCCGGAACGTCATAGTTGATGGTACCCAGCTACTCGCTGCGAAACCCAAAGAGCACTTTCCATGGCTCTGGCATCAGTCGGCTGAGATGTAAAGGACTACAACGGCATGTTAGCAAAAAAGAGTTCATGTATGTACGGAAAAAGGAGCCCTCGATTGTATCTTACCATTATTTCCCCGTACAAAGACATCGCCATAGGATTTTCTTAACTTTCCGTTGACAAATTCCTGCGTCTTTTCCAGGGCGATGTTCATATACCCATCTATAGACTGCAGTTCGCCTACAAAAAAGGAAGACCAACCGGGATAAGCTCATATCGGGAAAAAAAAAAAAAAGGGTTTACAACAACGTACCTTTGTAGACGACGCCAGAATTAAGCTTGACGGTCACGGATGCGCCAGTGATCCCGCTGAGAAATGCCGAGGGATCCTGGCTGTCGGCGGCTCCTCTGCTCTCCATTGCTGAGGCAAAAGAAAAAAAATTGGTTCAAAATCAGGCAAAGTAGTAGCCTCTAGCTGGCTGCGGAAGAGTGGCTTTTTTTAAATCTGTGACTCTTGGCGGAGGGCCGGCCTGACAATCATCAGGAGCTGTCCTTGCTGGTTAGGTGGTGATGAACTGGCGCGCTCCAAGGCGGTGACAGCGTTTAACTAAATGGATGAGCAAAACTCTCAAACTCAACGAAACTAACTTCCACCACTTTAGCCAACCAGAAACACCAGAAGTAGCTTACTATTTGCTGTGACGCTATTGGCCTGGTGGCAATGAAGCTTTGTGCGGATCTACGGAGTTGCGAAAGGTTGATATCTCAGAATCTATGTAAATAGTTGTTCGCTATGGAAAAAAACCTGAGACAGGTTACCAATGCTGATCTTGCTACTCGCTCAGGGCTTTGAAGGACTGTAAAATTTAAGGGGAAAGGGATCTCCAGCATCTCAATATGATGTTCCTTTCTTTCATTAACAACCACATGCATTCACGGACGGGGTGCACCCATATAGATCTAAACAAGTGAATCCGTGGCTAGAGGAACCTCAACTCGTGCTGTGTCTAACGCACACATTCTCGGCGGATCCTACCGGAAGAGTCTCTAAGAACACTTCTTTTCCTTTCACGTTTGCTTCCTTCCACCATCCGGCACAACCCACAGTCTCCTACAAAAAGCAGCAGAAATGGCATGCTTCTTGGTACTGAAGAGACTACTACTTGGGCCTTCCCCGCCATCTACCCAGGACCGCCTCCGGAAGAGGCTTGGTGAGTTCACACCTTTAAGAGAAAACCCCCCCAGATGCCGTTCCAGATCGAATCCTCTAACGCATCCCTATCCCTATAGAGCAACGCCACCTGCTGTCGGACGAAGGCGAGAGCAGCCTGCAAAACGGCCAGGGCCGCAGACTCCTCGATTTGGAGGCGCAGACTTACGACACCTTTGATGACAACGCCAGCAACGCCTCGACTCGCTCCCGCATCAACCCAAGGATCATCTCCGATGCCATCTTGGGTCTTTCTGACGGCTTGACCGTTCCGTTTGCTCTCAGTGCAGGTCTTTCGGCTCTGGGCAATACCAAAGTCGTCGTGCTCGGTGGTCTTGCAGAGCTTGCAGCAGGAGCTATTTCGATGGGCCTTGGCGGATATGTAGGAGCCAAGAGCGAGATGTAAGCTATCCCATTAACCTGCTTCGTTGGTGGGTAAAGAGTGTCATGGAGGACCCCAGCTGACATCCCGGTGTGCAGGGAATCTTACCAGGCTACCAGACGCGAGACTGAAGAGTTAATCGATGGCGCGCCAGAGGAGACTGCCACGCGCGTTCGCCAGGTCTTCGCTGAATTTGGAGTCCCGGAGAGCGTCGTGGAGGATATCAGCAACAAACTGCACGATTCACCGAACCTACTCATGGGCTTTCTCCTGAAATTCCACCACGGCGAAGCAGAGCCAAACTGTAACCAGGCCTGGATCTCCGCGATCACTCTTGCCTTGGGTTACTTTGTTGGCGGTTTCATCCCCTTGATCCCATACTTTTACATTGACAAGGTCTTGGTGGCTCTTTACTGGAGTATTGGCGTCATGGGCGTCACGCTCCTCGTCTTTGGATACATCAAAACCTGCATCGTTCGCGGCTGGTACGGTAGGGACAACATTATCGCCGGCATCAAGGGCGGACTTCAGATGATCTTGGTTGGAGGTTTGGCTGCCGGGGCCGCGATTGCGTTAGTGCGTGCTATTGATCAAGGGGCCGGGTAACCAGCGGTTGGGGGCGTTGGCTTACTGCTTTCGATTTCAGCGAGTACTCTCTGCGATTGATTGGTTGTTGTCCTTGGGGTTCGGCGCCATAATAAAGGGGAAAAGACACCAGGAGTAAACCGGTGCTTACAGACTTTGCAGGATAGTTTAGACTATACCCAATAAGCAAAATTTGAATTAAGCCTCCCAATGCTTATGTCTCTACGTCAAGGCCCTCGTAATCAGCTCCTTGCCTCTGCTTGACAGCGGGATCTCCAGAGCCAGCTCATGTCCCCTGTCGGACATCTTGCCCCATGTTTTCCTGAGAATCCCTATCACCTTCTCCTCGTCGTGCTCCCGCTCAAACTCCTCGAACTGGTCATCCAGGAACACCAAGCACGCAACGTCCTCCAGGACCTGACACTCCTCGTCCGTCTTCATGTTCTCCTTCCGAACCAGGGCCGCAACCCTCTCCGAGTCCGCGGCCGAATAGCCAGAATTCAAACAAATCTCCTCCACCAAGCTGGCATGGCGCTTCTTTAAAGCTGCTCTCCATGATAGATAGCCCATTTTGTTCATTGGGTAGGAAGAGCGAGGTACTTCCCATCGGCGAAGGTGCTGCGCGCGCACCGCTAGACGGAGGAGGTCTGACGGGGACGGAGTGTGCAGGGTGAGGTATTTGGACATTTTGTTGGCGTAGTGAAGTTCATAGGGAACCTGTTTGTCGTCAATTGTCACGACATTGGGATCGTCTGAGTGCGCATTATCTATCGCGTGCAGGGCCGATTCGAAATTAGAGACCATTGTTTTGTTATTCTTGTTTCTTTTTTGAGCGTGCTCTAGTGGTGATGGTGAATAGTAACTGGGTATATGCACAAGCTGCGAACTCTTTCCTTGAAGCGTTGCGATTTGAAGATATTTCGCGCGGATTAATTCCGGCGCATTTCGGGAAGGTTTTACGGCGGGGCGATAACGTTATATCGTACTGTATAGTAAGCGGACCCTCGGTTGTTCCGATTCTAGTGGCGATTTGCCAGGTGTCGACGTAAAAACACCGGTATCAGAGGAAGGATGCTCTCCTTGCGTGGACGAGCGGTTCTTTGAGCGCTGTCCATATTAACAAGTCTACTTGCTACCGACAGCGAGGGCGGCTTGATATGTGAAGCAATTCCCTCGCTGCTCTGAGATGGACACGAACTAGAAGAAACAAAAGGAGATGCACGATAGCGGATATTTGTAGGCTTATAGGAGGTCTCTGTTCGGTCCAACTTATCGCATAGTATAGTGGAGGGTAACTATACCTTTATGCGATATGAAGTCAAACCATCTAGCTATGTTGTTCTCTTCCGGTTTCGCCGCACAAAGTACGCCCTATCAGGCACTCATGGCTGTCGGGTAACCAAAGAGGGACTCCGAATCCCCTCTAGCCCCTCCGCACGCCAAGCGCCGTGTTTCAATGATATTACGAGCGGGAGACAATCAATATCATCCAACAATTGCTATAAACTCTCGAACTCCACATGTCTAGATCTGGCCTTACAAGGTAACTAGCTGTCGTCCCCATTGGATATCTTCCTGCGACACGGATCTATATTTCTTACAGAGCAACCCTCCCAGCATGGCCGCAGATCGACCCCTCACCTCATTTCGCCTGCTATCATTTGACATCTATGGCACCCTCGTGGACTGGGAAACAGGAATTCACGAAGCACTGAAGCCACTGGTATCCCGCCTCCCAGATAACCATCCCCTTAGATCCGATCATCTCGCGCTGGGAAAAGCGTTCGGTAAACATGAGCGCGGTCTGCAGACTACACAGCCACGGCTTACCTACGACCATGTGCTGAAGACTGCGTACGAGCAATTGGCAAAAGAACTCCATGTCGTCCCCCAGGGGAACGATGCGGAACACTTACTGGACGAGGAAGCATGCATGTTCGCTGCCAGCATAGCTACCTGGCCGCCTTTCCCCGACACCGTCGATGCGATGCGCCGGCTCAAGAAGCGGTTCAAGCTTGTTCCGGTGTCGAACGTTGACCGTGCCTCGTTTGAGAAGACTCTGCATGGCCCGCTGGGCGGTGTGCATCGCGATCTGATGGCAGGTGAGCCATTCTTTGACGCGATATACACTGCGCAGGATATTGGGTCGTACAAGCCCGACCTACGGAACTTTGAGTATCTGATATCCCATGTGAAGGAGGAATTCGGGGTGGAGAAGGAGGATATTCTGCATGTTGCGCAGAGCCTGCATCACGATCATGAGCCGGCGAAGAAGATAGGCCTGAGCAGCGCGTGGATTGCCCGGGGCGATGGCGGGCAGAGCGGGATGGGAGGGGAGGTGAAGGAGTATATCCAGACGGGGAGGGTGGCTTTCGGGTGGCAGTTCAGAAGCCTGGCGGAGCTGGCAGACGCGGTCGATAGGGAGGGAACGAATAGCTGAATGCCGTAGTTTAGTATACTCCGCACTGTGTATCGCTTTGCTTATACTCCGTAGATTTAAACTAACTTAGTTAAGTTAGACGGAGCGAGTTACATAAGATTATACACGTGACTGAAATGATCACGGGATCCGTCAAGTCAGCCGCTAAACCCGAACAGGCTAGATGCGGCGTGTAGGGCGGGCGACAAAGGCCGGCGCCTCCCTTCATCATCAAGCGTCGCCCCCAAAGAAGGACCTTTCTCGCCCTTTGGCTGAAGACTCAGTTCGGGATCATCGTCGGCTCTCTGGATCTCAGCACCGTGGGATTGATTGAGAACTCTGACGGCCTTCCTCGCCTCTGGGACACACTGATCTTCTCATGCTGCGGCGCGTGAGTTCAGCATCAGTCCCCCAGTCGCCACTTTTGGAACCTCAGAAATCCCAGTGGCACCATCGCCTACCACACTCAACCCCGACCGCTCATCTTGACGATCGAGCCGCTCACGTCCGTTTCCCTTCTCCATTTATGACCGCCACCCCTCAGAGCTATGCATCGAGCTTCTCAACGACACAGTCGACGTCACCCGCCCAGAGCGCATCTCAGTCGGCTCCAGACTCTTCATCCCCTCCCTCCTCACTCGCAATGTCTGCGCAGCCTGCCCAGCAGCTCACCGCGACTAACGCCTTCCCCACTCCCGCCAGCAGCGTGAGCGGCGTTGCGAAGGAATCCCAGGATCCATCCGAGAAGGCGGCTCGCGCTTTGATGGAGTCAGCTGAAGGCGCGCCGGGTTTCACCGATATTGACAATGGCATCCTCCAGAACCAACAAATCCCACAGAACCAGCAAGAAACCATCGCAGGACTGATTCCCCAAGAGGACGCAATGGACATAGACCGCAAAGATGATCTATCAGAGGACCCCAAAATTGCCGCTCTCCAACAGGATATCGGGCAGGCGTTTCACACTTGTAAATCCTGTAAGGCCTCAGATCTACTGTTTGGTTTGTGACCTTGACCTGTGCTGTATTAACATGGCTAGCCTACTCGATATCTGGACCAAGCCCTCGCTTTGACCTCATTTCTCTTTACGGACTGGGTCCAGTGGCCGCCTCCGTTGCTCGAACGGATCCGGTCACAGGCGAAAAGATTAACAGGCTGAGGAAATCCTACGAAGGGAAGATCAAGGGGCTGGGACTCTCGGGAAGGAATAAAGCGGTTAAGCGCGAACCCGGAGCGCCCGGTGGATTAAGGCAGCTGACAATGTGGCCTGAAGAAGAGTGGCAGAACCAAAAAGTAATCGGGAAAGATATCAGAGTTGCTGAACCAGATTCTACACTACACAAGTTGCATATGAGGGCTATGAAATTGGAGCCTGGGCCTGTGCCGAACAACGACTATTGGGAGGATGTCCTAGGCCACGAGAAGCCACCCAAGCAAGGTGCCTCAGCTGTTCAGCCGAAGAAAGCAGCGGACACTGTTGGTGGTGCTGTTCGACAGAGTACCCAAGCTAACGGCACACCAATATCGACGCCCGCCCCACCCGTTGAGTCGGGTCGACCGAAACGTGCGGGCAAGAAGAGAAGCTATAATGATAGCAGTTTCGTTGGGTACGGAGAAGGCTTCCCAGACGATGACCTAGATATGGATGGTGGCTTTTATTCAAACAGTGAAGAAGGGGCTAGGGGTTCAGCCAAAAAGAAACGAAAAAAGGTGATAACCTCTATCATTTTGCTCCCGCAGATCTCTTTCTCTTTCCCTCGCTCTCTCTCCCTCTTTTTTTTATTTGGGGCGGCGGGGGGTTGGGGGGAGGGGATGAATTTACTCGACTCGAGACTAACACACCTACCAGGATCATGTTCCGGTTGTTCCGCCCTCACTGACGGAGCGGAAAGGCAGTTATGGCGTCGGAATGTTTGGCGTTGGCACACGATGACGCATGCTACGATGAATGAGACAAAATTTGAATGGACACCCGCAAAGCGTTTGCCAGCGCGCATTACGAAAATGTTTCCGCGACGAAGAGTGGGGAGTTGCTCTCTCTGCAGCCCCAAGTATGATAGTTTATTGCTTCGCAAGCATCCATTACGGGATCGACGATTTAGGACCTCCGTTGGACAGACTTTCGATTTCGACTTCGACTTCACTGTACACAATTAGGTGTTTTTCTATTGCTTTGATTATTATTCCGTCACTGGGGCAAATTTGCATAATGGCGTAGGATATACCCGCCTCGGTCCAAAAATGGCGTTAAGACGACGATTGGGTTTTTGATTTTCTCTGGGAGGATTTCTGGTCTGGCTGGGAGTGGGTGTCATTATTACAATGGATTTTCTGATTATTTTGCTTTTGCCCTGCCCTAAGTGGCCCCTATGTCTCGTTCTTACCGGGTGGGCCTTGGTGAATCCATATGGAATTCAAGGTAATAACTACCCTTTCCCCCTCGAAATTTAGCTTGTTTCTATTGCGATTTGAGTCACATTTCTCAGGCTACTGCTTTGCTGCTTTGCTGATGGTGTCTCCCCCGCCATATACGTGGGCCATGAAAGAAAGATGAAGTAGTTTTGCTTTTTTGTTTTGTTTCTGAAGTTGGGCTTGTGTTGGGTGTGAAGAGAGCCATGGTCGTCTATGTCTTTTCTCCTTTCTATGCACGGATGGTTCGTTCCACTGCTGCTCATATTCACTGCATGGAAATGGACAAGCCGCCCTCCTTGTCAGAAGAAAGGCAAGTATCTTCTCCACCACGACAAGACCCTGTTTCAACATCCCCAGATGAGAACGACAGTTCGATGGGAATATACCAGTTTAATAGCTCCCTTAACAGGTTGCACACTCGAGATGGAAGATTGCTATTATACACCTTTTCCCGTCTCCGGCTGTCTCTTTCTTTAATGATACCTGATATGTATGCATGTACATATATGACCTCTAGAGAGGTTCTATAGCGTGAATACAGACATGGGAACTTGAAATAAAAGCCTTTCTTTTCTTGTTGTTCGACGCGGTGGTGGGATAGTTATAGTTTGAAACAAAGGGAAATTTTTAGCGAGATCGAAGCCTCGAGAGGCACCAGTGATAAGTCGACTATGTGTATGATCTTGGCTGGCTGGACCTTTCACTATTTTAGATCCACACAGTGACACATTTGAGAGCGCTTTCGGGAAACTCAGCTCTTGACAAGCAAGCAAAGACCTTGAAGGTGAATGTTGCAATAATGCTCACTATTGAGCTCAGACATATAAATAAGGTCCCTAAGTCAGGATTGTGCGGCACAAGCACACCCTTTCCCTATTTTTACTTTGGCCGAGCTGCAGATATCTTTCCCTTTCTCAGAACACAGTCCTAATCACTGAGAGAGCCTAAGAATTGCAATATGTAAGTTGGTTATATAGATCTGAAGGTCTCAAACTATCTATATATAAACAACTTCAAATTTTCAACCTGACTCGAAAAACTGATAGCCTTAGTTTCCAGCAGACTCCTTGCATACAGCACATAATTCGCAAGCGAGAAACGCTTTGGATCGCTCCCAATTTCTGTTTAATTTTCGAATCAGACCATTTGCATCGATAAGCTCATTTCCCTGGGAAAATTCTGACCAATGACGACATACATGGTTTAACTGAAAGATTCGGAAAACCTGATGAAAACCCTGGCAGGCGTCAAAGGGGAAATATTCCTGTAAGACAAGACTCTGTCCTCGAACTTAATGTGAAGTTCATAGCTTGTCCTAAAAACTCAGCTATAATGGCAATTTTTTGTGCCATTTGGGTATTTTGTACAAGCCTGTAAGAATAAAGATATTCTCCCCCCCCCAAAAAAAAAAAAATAAAAATAAAAATAAAAATAAAAATAAAAAAGAAAAGAGAGAGTGAGAGAATAGAGGAGCCCAGATATATGGGCCTTGCTTTAATGCAGCGGGTGCGCACCGATAGAGCTCCTAAAGCGCCCAGAAGTACACTTAGAAGGACCGAAAGTCAAACCAGTGAATTCACTAGTGAGGGGCGGAACAGCAAGTATAATCGCAGGAATACACGCAACTCAGAAAAACAGGCGCATCAACTGCAACGGCCAGCGTTCATACACCTTTTCGTCCTGCCGTGAAGGAGAATCGACTCAGAAGACAGCTGTCAGCGACGCTCATACGCGGGAATATTTGTTTTTGAGAAACAAAAAATTATGATAAATGGGAAAGGATATCATTTAGAGAGCCGAAACAAGCAATAAAGGTGAATATATCATGCCAAGGCATTGTAAAACGTAGCAGATTCGTTTACGAGGTAAGACACATCAGGAAGCTCATCGATAAGATGCGCCATCAGCTCCGACTGCTCTTCTCGGCTTAAGCTTCGGTCCCTCCAGCCAGTATTGGGGTATGGTTGGTTGAAAAACTGCGAATATTGACCACCGAATGCGCTTGTCCAAATCATAGGATCCAGCGGGGCGTTACCATAGGAGAGATGGCTGGCCATAGTTGATGCAGCAGAATAGTTAGAATCCCAATTCCGTAAACCGGTGACAACAGACGGAAACGAATTATGAAACGAGCTTGGGTCAAACAAAAGATGGGGTGGCGCTAAAGAGGAGGGGGAGTCGCAAATCGGAAGAGGCGCAGATTGCTGAGTGGGAATAGAGTCAGTGAGGTACGGCGAAAGCGATGAGTGAGAAACGGTTGGCTGAGAATCTGAGCTGTGATAACTATTGCGCGAACGACATGCTTCCAGAGAATCATTGGTTCCATAAGAACACTCCGATGATATCGTTGGTGACCTAAAAAAGGAGGGATGCTCTGGCGGCATTAGAGTGGCAGATGTAGCAGGATCGGGACTCGACATTTGCCGCGGAGTGGTGACATCGTGTGAAGAAGCTGGAGACGGTCGATTCGATGGAGTATGTACCACAAAGGATTCATCGCTGTCATAAGCCTTGAGACAGCCAGCTATCAAGCTCTTATAGAGTTGTCTGCAGGACTCGACCCCTGGCCAACGCTCAGCACTAACAGCAAGTACTTCCATGGCAATATTAATGTGCTGGATTACTTCCTCTATTGGATGCTCATGACGAATGCCAGGGTAAGAAAGTGACCAGAGAATCGTATTTAGGGCCATGCACACGGATTGGGTCCATATCCAAGTCAGATCCACCGAGCCTGTTGTCACTTGATCTTTGTGCATCTTGATATTGAACGCACAGGCATCGTAACACCTCTGCGCCGCCTGTAACGAAGGCTCTGGAACCTGTGGCGAGGGCCGGTACATAAAGACAATCATGGTATTACGCCTTCCTTCGAACCTGTAGCGCGTCAGTCGTCTTTTAATTCCGTATTAGCTGTGTCGTAAATGTATGGAACATACCAAACCGGGCTCAGTCCACTTCCTTCATCGTTGGTAGGACAGGAGTTAACCCATTTATCGATTTTCTCTAACATCTGGGAAAACCATGGATCTTGGTCATCAATGGGTGTATCCCGTTTTCTCAAATAGAGGGTGCGCCGTATTTCAGCTTGAAGAAGGCGCATTTTGAAAAAGTGGATGGCAATGCACTTTTTCATTATAGGCTGCGCTTCTGGCGATACGCCTTGAGGAGTGATGTACTTGTCATCGACAACCTCAAAGAACTTCACATTAATATGATCATGAGTAACGCAGAAAGCGCTCGGCCGGCCAAGACTGTGTGAGAGACCGTACTCCATGGATGTTACGATCCAGAACAGCCGTCTCCGCATATCAACTTCAAGGCAGTTCAAAGGTTCGCCAGTTGGCGACGTGGCAATGGTAGTTTCGTCAGTAAGGCCCAAATCTTGACATATTTTCACTGCGGTTCCGACAACCCAATAAGCTGCCGTCCGCGTGGGGGTCAGAAGTGAGTATTGACCAATGAGTACGAAGCATTGCAGGGTGGAAATATCCATCTTTCTGATGCTGGCATCCAAGTACGGTAGAGCAGCCAGGTAGAACGCATCTGCTAATCCGGCGAATTGCGTGCTCAGCTTTTGCATGCTGATTGCAATGACGATCCGCAACTGGAAGTTTTGGCAAGGATCATCGGAGCCATTGTAAACCGCATCTACGTCCTGTCTAAAGGATGGCTCGTGCAAGGTGGGAAGCATGTATTGAGCTGCAACTCAAAGTCAGCCGACCATGATGCAGGGTTAACCTGTGCGCAATCGCTATATAATACCCTTTGCCATGAACAGGTCCACCAATCTCTCAGTCAAGCCCCGGTCAGGCAGGTCTGGTTGGGCTACGGAGCTAACCAGCGGATATATTTTCGACGTTGGTTTCTGGCTCTCTTTCGTAAAAACGTATTTGATCTCTTTGGCAGTTATCTCATTAACAACCTCCTTTATGCTTTTGGTGTCCGTGTTTTGTTTTGCCATCTCCATCACGAAGCGAGTGATTGCGATGCCACTCGACGGCCCCAGAAATCTCGATTCATCATTTTCTTTAAATTTGATAAGGCCTCCCCCCCGAACCATGAGTTCGGGGTCCGGCGAGTTCTCGATCTGACTTTCCACCTGTGCGAGTTCTTCGTGGAGTCTCCTGACCTTGTCTTGAAGCTGCAAGATATATGTTCTCGGTACAGTCGTATTCTTGACCGGATCGAAATAAACGCATTTGGAGTTGCTCCGCTGGCATGGACCGCATCGAGGAATTCCAGTGTCGCATCTAGATTTCCTCTACCGGAACCTCATGAAATAACGCGGCGGATTAATACAAGCCAAAGAAAGCAGCAAGTAAAAGGAGGCAAATTGAGAAGTGGCTATCAGGGACGTATTGCTCTTGTAGTTCTTACCTGTCTACATCGTGTGCAGGCGGTTAATGTATGCGCAATGCGCCCGCCCATCTGCTCCTCTGGAGACTGCGGGGAGCCTTTTGGCAACAGTGTCCCGCGGGCGGCAGAGCGCGGTGGTTTCGAAGCACCGGCATCCATTGGGACAAGAGCTGCGCGAAGAGACAATGCTCAGGCTTCATCGTCATCCTCCTTGCGGCGGGCTTGCGGTGAGCGAGCTTGATCGACGCAGCTGAAAGAGAGTTTGGCCGATTCGGGATGTGGGGACGAAATTACTGACTAAGCCCAGCCCTGTTACCAGTCGATACGCACCTTGCGCTGGTAGCAACCGAGCTGATACCGGTGTATTCTCAACCTCTGTTACCTGAAGGCCAGGGATTTGCACGTGACGCAGCTGGCGCGGCCTGTGCGGAGTCGGCGACAAACGAACGACAACCAGCGGCGACTGTTGGGCACCCTGACTCGCCAGGACGACGTGCATCCAGCGCATCGACACCGCGTCCGGAAGTAACAATTGATGGGGCTATCCATCTATCAAGACACCCTCCCAGGAGGCACTCTGTGCTTCATGCGCCGGAAAACAGCCCACCCCCCAAATAACAATCGACTGCCGAAGGCGGAGCCAGAGCACGAACAGAGAGAGGGTTGCAGTGAAATAATAACGCTATCACACAGCTCACAGCATCATGCCATCCAATAGGAGCGGGGAAAGGTGAAAAGCACAGAAACATGAACAGGGGAAGAAAACCACCAAGGTGGAGAGTCACTTCCAGGGTTCATTGAAGGGCGAAGCTCATTTTTTATATCCAAGCCCACAGCCCACTCCCAAACGCTAATATCTGCACAGACGTGTGATCCTTCTAATAGTAACCTTGAATAAGACTGATCAGTTCACTCCGCACAGTTGGTCCCCACAACACCTGCTTTCCTGCCCCGTACTCTGTACTGCTCAGGACTTTCACCTGAATACAGACGCAGCATTATCCACTTTCCGTAAAGCTAAGTTGATCATCGCAAATACGTCAATTACAGTATTTAAAGCTTTCTCTCTATGTCCCATCTTCTATAAGAGGACCATCTAATGAACATAATGATAGCCAACTAAAATAATCTCCTGAAAATTATCCAGCCCAAGCACTGAGACCATGCTGCAGTGAAGATTCCGGGAACAGTGAAAGCTAAGCTTTATATGGAGATGTTTGCAATCAAAAAGTTTTTGGAGGGATTTTAAACTCCATATGAAACCAAGATGAAAAAGTTGCTGAGTGATGAAGATAGTGACTTGGTCCATTCAGCCGCTGCTGAGAAATGCTCTTATGGCTCCAGTCATTGTGAAGAACAAAAGGAAATCAAGACCTGATTTGCCTGAAATAGTAAAATGATAGGGCACAAGACATACTTCTGAAGGTGTGTGTGGTTCAATTTCAGGTTCATGGTTTGGGCTGAGACTCATCCTGCTTGTAGCAAGGCCCTCTAAACTCATCTTCTGTAGGCTGACACGCTCAGAACAGCGGAGGAAAGCCTTGTTTCTTGGCTGTGATATGTAATCAATTGTACTCCGTAGTGTTATCCGGTATGTTTGCTCGAGTGGTACCCAGATATTGGTATGTATAGAAGTCTTATTCTAAAGGAATTTCATTGCACGAGACGCGTGGGAGTCATATGCTGATTCATATCCTTGTTATTCCGTACAAATCCTAGATAGCGGACATTCATTGATATCTTAACTACCGAGGTGAGGTCCCATGGAATCCCGTGCAATTACAAATGGGCCTAGAATAGAGCAAGGGTACGACCAAGGTCGTAATTGGTCTCTGAAGGTGTTTCAAGTCAAAACGTCTCATAATAGTGCCAGGTATCTTTACAACACCCGCCAGTCAATTGGGTTAATTAACTAACCATTCCACTGGAAAGAGACAAATCTCCCTCATCCATTCATTCCGCAGCTGAAAAAATGGTTAAAGTTTTCAGTTCGGCGACTCCAAATGAACCAAGCTCTTTCTTCCGAAAGCCCATGCCCGGCTATACGCAACTGCCGATGACACTCCCGTGCTGTTGGTTACAGCCCTGTAGAATCGATATCTTCCCTGCAGGGACTGGCGAGTCCGTGGGAATTCTCAGGTCGCTGGTGGCCAATAACACCATGGCGCACTACTGATGAGGAGCGGGCCTTTATCCCACTACTGACACTCATTGAGACGTCTACATGAGTATACGTGAGTCTGACCTCCCTGTGGCATATGAAGGGGAGCTTTGCAAAGGAACAGACCCATACAACAGTATACACGTCTCTGTCTGAGTTTGAGTATTATTCGGTCAAGGATTCTAATGATGTGCACTGCTAGTCAAAAAAGCTCCCGCGGGTGATCGTATGGATATGAACAGTTTAGGTATATACGAGAAACGAAAACAGACATGACTGTGGAATGGTTTTGGTTCCACAAAATGGGGCAATTTCGACGTCGAATTGTCAAAAAAACGATCCGCGTCAATTAAAAGGAGAGTCCGTAAAATTTTCGAGTATCTTCCTCCCCGTATTCATCTTATTGATAGCTCATTTAGAGGTTCTCAAACATAGCCTTGATACCAGCCCAGGTTTCCTCACCGCTTGGGATAATCTGGTCAGGTGGAAGAACGAAACCGTATCTACCAGTATCACGGAGCTCAGCAGCGAAACCTAACTCAATATTTCCAACATCAACAGCCCAGTCGACGCTGTTTCCGTTCGCCTGATAGATAGTGTTGCAAATTGGGCCAGTGGTGAAGCTAGTACCGTGAACTGCCTCGACTGCCTGGCTAAAGGCGTTCGCGAGGGAAATATGCATGTCGTGGTTATCAGGGGTCTCGGAGCAGCTGTAGCCATATGCTGTTTTAAGGGGAAGAAAATATCAGCGTGATACTATAGAGAAAACAGCCAACGGGAAAGAAAAGACAGATAACGACAGAAACGAGAAGGGAGCACTAACGAGTCATGAAGAGCTGAGAGTAGGAGTGCCAGTCGATGTATTGTTTTACACCCTGGCTCTCTACAAGTCTCGGAAGGTATTCGAGCCAAAGTTGGGTCTCTGGGGCGTCACCGGGCTGGGCTCCTATTGATATGAAATAAGCGTTTTGCGTGACAGAATATGATGGTTGAGAGAGATGCACCTCTGTAAGTTTCATCGCAAGGATCTGGAGATGAGCCGCTTCCTTCCCACATGTAGGGCCAGTTGCGGTTCAGATCAGTACCGGGGCAAGCACCCTGGTTAGGGGTACGGTTCTTGCGCCACATGCGGTCACGGGTTTGGGTGAAGACGAATCCTACATAATTGCAGTTAGCAAAAGATTTCTTACGCAAGCTTCAATTGGAAAGCATCCCAGGACGAGGCATACCGTCTGGGTTAGCAACGGGGAAGATGTAGAAATCATAGCTGTCAAGCATGGCTTGCACTGTAGCGTCGGCAGCACTGGAATTGCTCAAAAGGCTGGCAGCCATATATTCCACAACCTAAAACCACGATTAGTTTGCCGAATACAGGTAGCTGCAAACCATAAAATGAGGGATCTCACCATGGTGGTGATCCATTCACGGGCATGGGTAGTTCCGTGCCAAACCACAGCAGGTTTTCCTTGTTCAGCTCCCCAAATATGGATTCCCTGGATAGGGCGATTCTCGTAGCTGTTTCCAACACTGACAATCTCGGAGTTCGAGGAATGCTGGCTCTGGAGCTCGTTGAGCCAGTTCATGTGGTCATCAAAGCTGTGATAATCCATGAACCACTCGGAGTCGGGAGCGGTTGCATATGATCCAGCTAGATCAAAGATTAGCGATCGAAAAAAGAGTGTCTGCGTCTCGTGTATTTACATACCTTTGAAAGCACTAGAGTGAGTGGATTCACTCTCGATAGAGGCTCCGAGATCCTCGTGCATAATCTCTGTCTTGAGGCCAGCGATGGCCTTGTTGAAGGCCGAAAGCTGGTTTGGTGGGATAACAATATCTGCATCGGAGCCGGCAGCTTTGGGATATTTCCATGTATCCAGCTTCAGGGTTTTAATGATATCGACAACCTTGGCGTGGTTGCTTTGTTCAGTTGGGATGCGAACAACTTTGTATCCGCTGTAGTTTACATTGGGGACGGCTGCGGCGAGAGCAGACGCCACGAGCGTCGACAGAACAGCGAGCGACTTCATGATGCAATGAGAGAACGACCCAGGTACCAGACAATGCTTCACCAGTCCGGAAATTTGCAGGCACGGCCGACTTCAGTACGGTACTTGAACGCCTTGAGACCGCAAAAGACGGAAATAAGAGGAGAAGATCAGTCCTCAGGATTTCGTCAGGACTTTATAAAGAAGGCTATCCCGCATGGATGATACCGGTTTCCTTCGGGAAGTCATCACGTATGATCATATACCGCGTGCCATGCAGGCATGTCCTGCGGAGAAATGATGGTGCAGAGCAACTAATATTTAACGTGCGGAGTATTCCGTCCCACAAATTAGGTGAGTGGCAGCGTAAATCCCAGAGCTGCAATTCTAATTTGAGCCATTTCCACTGGCTGCCATGCACGCTCTCAGCCAAACGGTATCTGGAGTTAGCTTGACGTTTTACTCGCGAAACCAGAGACGGGCGACCAGCCAAAACACCCCCAATTCGCCCCACATTCATAATCGGACGGCAATGATCTTCATCAGGGACGAGTACTCCGTATGTTTCGGGAAACGTCAGTCCTCAGTAAATCGGTCGCCGAAGTGAGCCGCCAGGGGCGAGGGTATCTGACTGGCCACAGTTTCAGGCGCGCCAGTACCAGACATCATCCCACGGGACAGAATGTGTCACCGGAAGCCACGCCGATCAATCGCAAGTGGCCTTTTCTTTTTTCATTCTGGAATACTTGGAGTGATCAAACGCGCAGTCAACTAATTTCCATCCTTGTTTCTTGCAGGAAACCACATGCTGTTGAGTTGTTGATGATGAATTTGTTCATGAGACCGACCTGCGAAGCATAAATGGGCAAATGAAACAGCCCTCCCAAACAATTTTAAGTCGACACTAGCTCTAAGAGTTTCAAACAAATGCTTATTTATTACTCTTGTACTCCGTACTATGCGGGCATGAAAATTTGTCAAAGCAGAGCAGCCAGAGGTGGCAAACATGACGAGAGGTTGTGAGTTGACTCCGCATTCCGGAATAGACCTTGATAACCTGCTGTGGTTGTGGGGGGGTTTATCCAGGGACTGGACGAGCCGAAAATCTTGGACGCCGCCGAATCAGCGCTCGAAAAAAGACGTCGAAGAGTGGAAAGGTTGGGTTGCACTCGGGCCGTATCAGGAAGATGAGCATCCTCCAGGCGTTGCTTCCCGTCAAGACCCCACTCCTTCGCCAATGCGAAGATCGACTCAAGATCTTCTGTCGAGGGATTCGGCTAGCGCTAGCTGCGTCCTCAATGTCGCAAGTGATCTTCATACCGGTCCGGTGGGCATCCTCTGACCACGACAGTTGAAACGTCTCCAGCAAGGTCCTGAAGGCCGCTAAATCCTTCGAAGAAACCGACGCCTCTCCTGGCTGCTCTCCGTCCAGAGCAACGCTTCACGTCGCCCTGCGATGTGATGGGTCCTTCGACGGAGGTGCAGTTAAGGTTGTCGGGGCGGTGGAGCCAGCTACCCGGCTTCCGGCTCGCTGACTGGTTGTTATTACCCCTGAATCTCACGTGATTGTATTGATTACTAAGTTTATTCGGCCAATCAGCGCGCGTTGACTGCTCGCTCACTTTTTATTTTTTTTTCAAAAAAAAGGGGATAAAAAACTGGGAGTGCAAGGAGGATGTAATGAAGACCGAGGATGTATGGATTGTTAACCCCTGCCCCATGCCGTCCTTCCCCCAGTCAAGTTATTCTACGGAGTCCTCTGAAAAAAGACGCGTCACACGACGTCGGGGCTTTTCCGGGGTACGGAGGGCCTTCTGTCGAAAAGGGACCCAGAAACGTTCCTTTTTTGTGCCGGCCGACGGCGGCAACGGAAATTCCATGGCAAGCGTCGCGTCTCGTACTCCCGGCTATTTTGTGCAAGAAGCTCAGGGCGACAATAAGGCGTTGGAACCGATGAACCCTCTCGTCAACCAATTGGAAAATAGCCCGCGCTTCTACGAGGACCTTGTTGTCTGCATCACAAGTGAAGGGCGTTCGTCCGCATTCCACAGTACTCCGTATTCGGGGTTACGCGAATGATGCAATGTCTTTGTGAACCCGCCCCCCCCCGGTACCCCGTATCCCCTACTTCGCCTCAAATTTTCACCGAGTTTGTGATCCAGATGCTTCATTAACACACTTCATTGCCGTTTATCAAAAGGGATAATAATGTACATCGAAAAATAGGCAATGGCATTAGCACAAAGGAAAGAGGCGCCGGGCCTCAGAATTATTCAATAAGACGCATAGGCCGTAAAAGAGCGATCCCCTGTTTTTTAAAATAAAAAGATAATCAACGTTTGAAATCTCTATCTTTAGTAATATATGTATATATGAAAGGAGCGGAAGAGAAGGAATAGGTAAAGGAGTGGAAACGGAGTATCGCGCTTGAGTATCCCTCTCTTTCGAGTCATGTTGAACAGAGGAAAATTCTATGTCACTTACACGCCACTATTGTTATACAGCAACCGGTTTGTGGTGTCTCGTCCGGGGTTGCGAATTCGAGGCTGTGATAGGCGCTTGATCCGGTTGCAGACTTGGCCTGAGGAAATTCCTTCAAGGGCCATTAAGTAAGCTCCCACGCCAGCAACATGGGGAGCAGCCATGGATGTGCCAGACAAAACCCGTCTCGCATTGTTAGGGAACACGGAGGGGATTTGGTCGCCCGGTGCGTAGATATCCACTGAAAGCCAAACAACACCGTCAGCAAGGGCCTTTCGGTCATTTCACTCGTACATTTGGAGCAACGGTTTATAAACCTACCAACACTCCCAAAATTGGAAAAGTCCGCCCGAGTGTCTCTTTCTGTGCTCGCTGAAACCGTGCATACCCCACGAGCCGAGGCGGGTGAGGTATTCGCTGCGTCTTCCTGCAAAGGGATCAGAATACACAAACTGCCAACGCAGGTTGGAGAAAGGACACAGCATTTTTAGAACTCACCCCATCGTTACCGGCTGCAACTGCAAGAAAGATACCGGCGTTTGCTGCATTTGTAGCAACCTGGTTGAACGCACGTGCCCCGGTTCCACCCAAGCTAAGGTTCATAACGGCCCTCCCGAGGATGTTGTTTCGTCTGGCATGGTCTACACACCAGTTGATACCGCTAATGATGCCGCTAGTACTCCCACTGCCTTCGGCATTGAGCACTTTAACAGCAACGATGTTAGCTCTCTTGGCCACGCCGAAGTTTCTCCCGGCAAAGGTCCCGGCGGTATGAGTTCCGTGACCGTTTTCATCTTGGTTGACATCGTTAATCTCATTGGTACCCCAAGTAGCGCGTCCCTCGAACTCAGGGTGCCGAATATCAATACCCGTATCAACCCCATAGATGGTGATTCCCCGACCGGCGGATTCATCAAAGATATAGTCACGGTTACCAGGCCTCTTGTTAGAGATTCGTCCCAGTCCATAAGAGGGAGCATTCCTCTGGGTGACGAAGGCGGTAATATTCACCATTCGGTCTGGCTCAACATACGCCACCTAATTCAAGTCAGGAAATTGGGGTTGGTCATGGGCGGCATGATTCATCTCTCACAGCAGAGTTATTTGCTATTTGCTCGATCGTCTCCCGGGCAAAAGAGCCGCTATAACCTTTCATCCCAGTCGCGCTCCAAGTGCGAGATACACCGCTAAACGCTCCTGCACGCTTCCGGGACTTACTATTCATACTCGTGGCCCAAGTTCTGTGTGATTCGAAGTCGGATTCAGAAATTCCTTCATTCATGACAACTATGTACGAATCTGGAATGACGTCGGTAGCGCCGGCGGCGGCATTGATCATCTCACCTGCCTGGGCGGCAGGGAATGCCGTGATTAAAAGGAGAATGGCGCTGGAGAGGAATCCCATGGTTGATGATGGTTAGGAGTACACTTGAGGGCCCTGCGATGAAAGAGATGTTTATCGCTTGGTGATCAGTGGTGAGAAGATGGAAAGAGACAAATATATATCCAAGGCGGCGGGAAAGCATCCCAATGAATTAAGTGTCGATAGCATCCGCAAACCTGCGACACCTTCAGAGGGAGCCCGATTTACTTTACCCCGGAGGACTCTTCATGCAACGCGAGACATCTCAAACACCCAGTGTACGGTGATTTGTTCCGTTTGCTGTTTTACGCCACAGCAAAACATCATGAGCCTCGTGCAGTCCTCAGAAGAAAGGTGAAATTATTTGTCGGGTGTAAGATTTGGCTTGGTATAGTGGTATGCCGAATAGACTTGGTTTAGGGGCATACGTCTTCGTGTCGCTGGAGCAAAGCTGGCTTTAACGCCAGGCCATAGCAAACAAAGACTACAAAGGAAAAATAACATGCTCGGCCCTCATGTGCGGACGATAGATTCAAATCGGCCATGAAGCAGCCGATTAAGTAATGAAAACCAAGGGAATATGTGATTCTATCACATATCTTGAGGTTAGGCATATTCTGCCTACTGGCACTGGACATGGAAATTTCCTTTCCAGTGATCGAGTGAATTGTCCTTTGCTGTGTGCTTTGATCGAAGGATCCGACCATCAGGAACCATTCCCAAACCTATGAAGTCAGACCAAGACTCAAATCTCAAACCCTAGTACCGGTGCCACATGTCTAACACACATAGAGCACGTTAAAAATGCGCGCTTTGTGTCCTTCGCGATACCATAGCGCAGACGCCACGCCGTACTCTAATATACAAGCAAGCCGAGCTCCATGCTCTTTGATGGCGGGATGAAGAACGCCGGTCATACGAGGAGGGGAAAAAAAGAAAAGGAAGGAATCTCGACCTCGTTCGACGGGTGGCTTCCCACTTATCTGAAGCCAGCACACATCCAACCGAAATGCGTTCGAACTCTGAGCGAACCGAGCCGTATTCTGCGACACGACAAGTTCCATCTGCAGCTACAGATGGGTCTCCTTGCTCCCTAAATAGTAGCAGCATGTGGTCTGACCGGACGAGTATCCTCATAAGCGAAGAGGTAAGCATCAGTCATGGCCGCCGCTACCTGCCCTGGCCCCCTAGGAAAAAGTTGTCCGTCCGTCTGCCTTGCCTGTCTGCCCGTCTACATACACCCCTTCATCAAACCAGCAGCGACGTTGGAAGCCTTCGCTTGCGCTCTCATTGGCTAAGGTCCCTGTCTGAGCTAACATGCTTAGTCACATAGCTGCAGCCAATCACGGCAGCGGGATATGCTATTCACGTGATCACACCCCTTGCCTCACCGCCTTGCAGATCGCAGGCTGAAACTCGACGGAAAGGAAATGCGCTCAGAGCAAGACCGCTTCGCACCAGCCAATTCGTATCAGACGGGTATCGGGGCCCCTGTGGTTGTCCCACTGTTTGATCTATTTTAAATCTGCTCCTTCGTGCCGACTGCGCCGGTGAATATGGGCCCTCGGAGAGATTCTGCAGAGCCTGTGGATCTCACCACGCCGGTCCCGAGGATGTGGTGCCTTCTTGAGATCTGATCACCATGCAGATAGTGGACATTACATCAGATATTAGTCATCATGCCCTTACCCATCACGTGATACGTAGAAAGCTCCAGCTTCATTCGTCCTCCGTAGTAGTGACTCGATCAAAAAAAATCGAGGAATGGAATCAAATTGAACTAAAGCAAGTCATGATTGCATGGCCTTGACCTTGTCCCAAGTTTGCACCGTGGATCCTTCAATGCAATGACATCTGTGTAGAGAAGAATCACGCTGACAGCAGCAGCAGCGCGGGACGTTGGTTGGAGTATCCCCGTGTTGTCATTCGGGAGTGAGCTCCGCCAGTGGCTGCAGGCGACGAGTGCCTAGACGAGCGGGCGGGGTTAACCGGAATTGGGTATCACAACACCCTCCACGCAGCGCCCCAGAGATATCAGAACCCTGCCGCGTACGCGCGTGTCCGGTGAATCGCAGTTCCCCAATAGGCGACCAAACCGTCTCTCGCCATCAAGCTTCTAAAACAAACTTCTGATCGGTCACACCACCCTTGATCAAGCAACCTTCTGGTCGATTGATTACAACTATTACCTTTCTGCGTCTGATGGCGCTCAGTAGATGCATTTTATAAATCATAGGCGAAGGTAAAATGAGCCCTTTGCCTGAAATTTTTTTTAAAAAAGACCCCAAAACAGTTGCTACCAAGTAGTGAAACCTATTGGCAGGTCTCAGTCATCCAATCAACCAGATTCGTGACATTTCCATGCTCTTCCCCACGGTTGAAATAGGATGGGATAAGAAGTTGTACGGAGTACCAAGAGTGAGGCACCAAGAACGAGCCTGGATTTGGAATTTAACTGGAAGCCAGGAAAAGACTGGAGAACTTATTTCGTATACTGGTGGGAGACATGGATCGGCGTCTGTGTCTGTGACCCTAAGGTAGTTGCCGAAAGACGGCGAAGCAATGCTATCGATTACAAAGTTCTTCTCATCGGTACCCTTGTTGCTATCGCTCGCTGAATGTCCGTGGCCTTTTCTTGGGTTCAGAGAGAGAAACATGGCGCCCAGCTATAAGATCGGGATACTCTTCCCGATGGAAGGCGCAAATATGTGGCAAAAAAAGATTGATCCAAGCATGTTGCGAAGCCTGATCGCCGTTGGGAGCAGTCATGTTTTTAAGAGTACATAGGCAGCCGTGCCTAACGCAAGCAGCTTGATTCGGGGAACTCGAGACGACTCATTATTTGTCCAAGACCCAACTCCCGTTCACAAGGCACGTTTCTTCTTCCTTCTCCGCATTTTGCCCATCTAACGACGATACTGGGTATGTTAGCATGCGAATCTGATTGGGGTCTCCCGATGCAGACTGCATACGTGCTTGTTGGGACGGCTACACACACATATGGGCCACGTTGGTAATCATAACTGGGCTGGTCAACCCTCCCTTTCTTTATTATCATGCACGCCGCTCGATGCATGATTGTGGAAGTGGATGGAAGGAGGGGCTCTAGAGCCGCTACAATCGTAGTTATGGTGGCATTGACGAGGCTGCAGCGCCTGTAGCTCACTCAGAACCTGAACTGTGCAGGTGTCCAGCTGGGATGAAGACAACAGCAATGCAGAGGGACTATAAGCATCTGGTGCGAAGCACTCTTGTCATTTCGCAGTATAAATCCCTTCAATTCCCACCCAGGGGCGTCGTTTTTACTTATCCACATGTCCCTCTTGACCTAGTAGAGTGAAACTAGAAGAGCGAAACAAAGCGAATGCCTTGATTCATGGGAAAGAAACTCCCTAACTATAGATTCTCGAAAAGGAAAGGTCGAACTGTCTCAAAAACTCAGTCTATCATTGATAACGCCATTGCTAGGTTTTCTCGCAGATATTCAACCTATAAAGACACAGTGAGTTGGTTTGAACATGTCATAAGCTCTGTGAAGGGAGAGGGGAGGGACTTATCCCAATCTAATAACGTTTTCCACCGCCAGATGCCCTCAGGTAGCAGAGTCGCTCCTGCAGCTAGAAGTGAACTATATAGTAAGGATGCCCAGATTGTCATCGAAGAGCAATTCCAGACAGTCATGGACTCTTTCCAGAGACTCTTTGGGATATTCAGCGTGGTGAATAAATCCGTGTATTATCGCGATTTACTCCATCTCGAACAGGTCATGGGCGCAGAACTGGACAAAGAAACACATCTCCGAAATTTGACGAATGCGGTGTCAGCAGTTTCCCAGACAAAAGATGAGGAGATTAGAAAGCTCGCCGAAGAAAACGAGAGGTTAAAGACGGAGCATGAGACCTTCGAGGAGAACAAAAAGACCTTTAAAGCTGAGAAAGAGGAGTTTGAGAAAAAATGTCGCGACATGGAAAAGAACTACAAGAGTCGGGAGGAAGAGCTTGAGGAGAGGTTTAAAAACAAATATAAAACTGCGGAAGAACTTCTTAAGAAACGTGTTGAGAGGGAGAAGAAGGCGGTGGAAGAAAAGGTGGAAAGCGAACTCGAGGAGCTCAAATTCAGCAACGCAGAACTGAAGATGAAACTCGAGACAAAAATGTCCGAGTCCGAACTCAAGATTGAGAGGTACGAGGCGTACGAAAAATTGCAGAAGGAAAAAATCAACGACCTGGAATCAAAGCTGCAAGTCGTTGACCCCAGTTATGCGATGAGCAAGAAGTCCAGCACATACTAGTAAGAGAGAAAGCGCCCTCTTGAGCAATAAAAACATGAAAAGCTAACCTCCATCTGCACAACCAGTCACGAGATCTTCGGGAGATTTTCAGATAGGATTGCGAAGATTGCGGACGATCATTTTGGAAAAAGCCCACCCGAGGATCACATAAACATCGTACGTCCTCCGTACTACCAATATGAAGATGATTTTGGTTCCTTTTTTTTTCTTTTTTCTTTTTTTTTTCTTTTTTTTTTTTTTTTTTTGGCTAACAACGCAATAGATGCAACTTTTAGGACAGCAGCACAGACTTTCTGAGGTCAGTGAAATATTCAATTATGCTTCCAGTTCGGAGACGGAAGTCGCAGCAAACCTCAGAAAGTGCGCCATTCGCCATTTCATTGCATCTCAAGTCGCTAAGGTGCTCATGAATTCACCCTTCTCCCCAAGGACATCAGATGGTCATCGGGACAATAAGGGTCTGCAAGCTATTCATGACTCATCAAAACTCAACAATCACCAAAGGATGTTGTGGAGAATGATCACTTTGAGAGCTATTGATAGCCGCGCCGGGTTTACAGCATGGGCTAAAGAGCTATCAGCTGAGGCCATGGAGAAGATTCAATGCCTCGTCGAAAACAAGCAGCATAGTAAAATCAAGAGAGAGCTGGCAAGCCTGTTCGAATTTACACTTGATGTGTGGGACGTAACGATGAGAGACGGGCGTAATTTGGTGATCAATACGCACCCGCCCAGCAAGAATAACGGGACGTGGAAGTTCATAGACAACCCTTTGCCTTTCAGCAACGGAAACGGTAGCACTACAGCAACTGCAGTACCGAGAGTCGTAAAACCAGAGTCGTTTGCCATCTTCCCTCGGATCACAGGGGAGTTTGAAGAGGAAGGAAAGAATGAAGATATGAAAGAAGAGATTCTCCATCCGGGAATTGGGCTCTTCTCTGATTCTCCTGTGTTCGAACTGGGCCTAAGGGAGTTCCGGGAGCTTAAGAGAGAGGTCAACAATTCCCATAAGCGACACGCATCCATTTCGTCCCCAATAATAGCAGAGCCGCAGCAGCTATCACTTGACACAGGAGCTGGCAGGCCGAGAAATGGGTCGACCTAACCGTTGGCATTGGCTGGAAAAGGGAAAATGAGGAACATAACCGATGAGTTTCAACTTGGATGATAGGTGTCCCCATGTTGTTGTCGACTTCCGCTTTCCAGAATTGCACTCCAATTGCTCAGCCCCAAGGAAGCGTTTCATTTCATCGGTAGTCAAAGCAGCTGGGGCGAAAGGGCCTCAGCACCATGCCTAGGCTAGAAAGGGAATGGGACTCGTAATACTAGTAGTTAGTAATGATAATTTATCAAGGCCGCCATTCCACATATTCACATTCATTTTGCATAACTAACGAGGTCGGTAATATTGGCACTTCTGTCTCCTCCGCCCGGTGGGTGGTCTTGTCGCACTGTTGGTAAACTGCAGGGAAGTATGTCGGTACTTCATTGGCGAGAGCGAGATTCCCGGTAGCCATGGACCGCCCAGCTCTTTGCGTCGCAGGTCACTCCGACAGACTCGAACCTTGAGGGTGTGCGTATCCAAGTGTGCGGCTATCGGACGACATTAGTGCTGCGAGAGCGTTTTTGACCTGTGAGGTTCACGCACAAGGTGAGTAGTTACAGAGAAAACAGTAAACGTACTCCATATTTAACCGCTAAATATATATATATATATATATATATATATATAAATATAAAATAATAATAATAATAATAAATAGAACTAATTTTGCCCGATTTCCCTGCGTCCTTCAGGCCCCAAGGGAGTGATTAACGCCAAAACGGACGGCTTCAGCAATCAACACCCAAATTTAAAAATATTTCTGGGAGCGGACATGACTCACCATTGGTCTGAAGCTGAGCCCCAGGAGTCTCCTTGACTTGTGTGACTGGGCGGGGAATCGTATTTTGTGCGACGTCGACGACCTACACGTTAGGCGGTCGATTGGCGGGGAACTCTGCGGGCGAAGAGGGCACTTCGGGACCCTTGGCCTAACCACAGTTGATCTCGTCCGTCCCAAGGCCAGCGACAGGCCCGGCAACAGAACGGCGGCCTGGGTCTCACTGCAATCATTCTTCAGCCCCCGTTTTAATAATCATAATATCACCGCTAGTTGGACGGATCTGCCGATAGGGCTGAAGCACTAACCCACCCGTGAAGCATCGAATGTATGTCAAGCTGGGCTTGCTGACCCAGCTCCAGGGCCGCTGATCCACCCCTCGTCCACCTTGCCCTGCTTGAAGATGTGTGAGGTTCGTGGATCTCCCTTTTCTCGACCGCGTTTCCCGCCCAGACGATGCGTTCTCCTCAGTCTTTTGGTATTATCATAGTTAAATCAGCTGCACAATTTCACCTGCTTCCCCCGATGCCCCTGTCGCCCACGGTGTCGGGAGCTTGGGAGAAACCCCAACCGCGTCCTCAAGCACCAACCCGCTGGAACACGCACCCTCACGCCCCGCTCGAGTATGCATTGAAGAAAACTGGTTCTAACCCTGTCGCAGTTGGCTCCTAGCCATGGCATCAGTTTATCCAGACTTAGATACCCCCCTTCTTAAGGTCAGCCGGCCCGTTGCAGCATGCTCCCGATGCCGCAATGCAAAGATCAAATGCGACGGCAAGCTGCCCGCTTGTTCCGCCTGTGAGAAAGCAGGAAGAGGCAGCAGCTGTTCCGGCGCCACAGATAAGTTTGCCAAGGGCAAGGAAAGAAGCTACGTCGCCTCGCTCGAAGCCCAATGCGAGCGACTCGAAAAGAAGATCGAAGCCACCAAACGACGTCAGCAGGGAATCGTTGTTGCGCAGGCTGACCGGGAGAACGTCGGCGTACATGCAACGCCGACGGCTACTACTTCATCCTCCAACGGTGGAGATGCTACCTACGGCCAGGAGTGTTCTGACATTGATGATTTGGTCGGCGATTTTGGCTTTTTGTTCGTTGCTCCTCAAACCCAGAGCCCTCAAACCCCCTCCCATTTCACGAGCTGTGTTATGCTTACGGCACTTACAGGGCTGTAAATGCGACCTCCAGGGATTTCTATGGAATCTGTTCTTCCACCTCATTTGCCGGCTTACTCCTTACCGTTGCTGTCGCGCAACCACTGCCGCGGCCAATCCCACGCATCGGGTTGCCGCCCCATTCTCAGGTTGCGAGTCTTACCCTGAGCTACTTTGATAATTTCTATCCATTGATGCCATTTTTGTCAGAAACAAAGTTCTGGGCTTCTGTGGATGCTATCTACCAAGATAATGGCCGCTTTGCAAATAGTCACGATCATTGGACGCTACGTATGGTGCTGGCCATTTCCGCCGCCTCAAAATCAAGACTTATGAATGATCGAGACAGTCAGATAGCAATGTCCCATGTGCACGTTGCACTTGGTCATTCCGAAGATGTCCTAAAGCCAGGCACCATTGCCGGAATCCAGGCCATCTTGCTTCTCGCACAGTATTCCATGCTTAATCCGGGTCATTTTAGGACATGGTACCTTATTGGGATCGCAGCACGGGTAGCCACTGACCTAGGCATTCATCAAGAGCACGCCTCCGCAGCCTACCTCGACAAAGCTGTTTTGGATTCTCGCCGAAGAACTTTCCACTGTGTATATTCTCTCGATCGGTATGGATCCGTGTTCCTAGCCACTCTATTTTTCCTTTGCCTAAAGGCTAACACTAAGACATGCGGGCATAAGATGCGTGAGCACAGCTTTGGGTCGGGCATTTTCATTTTCGGATGACTCCATCAACGTCCCATTTCCACCGGATCCGCCGCTTTCTGCCCCCCCGCCGCCCTGGCACAGCGGCCTATTTCTCAGGAGCATTGAACCTGCATTGTGTCTCTTTCAAATACGCCACTTTCAATCGGCTGCTTATCAAGACATGTTTCTAAGTGGGCACCAGCATTCACCTACTGCGCAATCGTGTGCCTGGGAACGTTGTTCAGCGGCAGCGACCTGGTTCCAAAATTGTCCCAAAGACGCACCAGCGCATTTCTCTACCTTGTTTCACCTCGAATACCTTTACACCCTTATTCTCGTGCTATCTCCATCAAACCGCTCTCCAACAATCAGCGAGACGAATCAAATTCTTCTTTTCGAATATTCCATCGACTTTATCTCCCAGCTATATAATGAAGTTACAACCCCAACAGCTTTCGCCCCACTTCTCACATACATACATATCGAACGCACCTACTACGTAGTATGCAAATTATTCAATCTTCTCCGTCAAAATCATCATGAACTCTTGCGAGACAAGGACGCTGAGCAACGAAAGCTTCAAAGTTCACGTCCTATTGGAGGAGCTCTTCCCGCACCATTAAGAACGACCGCCACATGCCGACAAGATTCGACAAAGCGGGCCCTAACATGCCTATATGAGGCACATTCGATATTCGAATATGCGTTCCGTCGTTGGAATGTGCGCTCCTTATTGGATGGCTTCAATCACAGCTCCACTGAGCTTCGAGCGATGCTGTCATCGATGCTCGAGCAGCAGCAGCAGCAGCAATACACTCCACCTGCACATGGAGCCGTTAAACAATCGCGTTTGCCCAGGTACTAGCCTGATTAGTGGCTGACAACATCAAACAAACATATCTTGGATATCTGGCATCTACGGAGAACACGTCTCTTAAGGCGTCTGTCCAGCTATTTAACGGGTGTCTATCATTTCTATACATCTTCCCATGAGACATATAACTGGGACTCCCTTTGTTTCGCCCGTTTAACTAGCTTCTCGATTTCATTTGTTCTGCAGAGGAGGGGGTTGTGCCCCCGGATGTCATGATCCTCTGACGCGAGCATTCCTATACATTGGCTTGGATGATCAAAAGCAGCCCTATCCGTTCTGCCTTTCTCTTTGAAACTGTTTAATTTTCTGCCATTACCCTTGATGGCGATAGCAGGTATAGCATAGCGCTTTTTAATCAAAGTTCTCACATTTCTGTACATGAGCACGCGCTTTCCTATGCATATATCCACACAGGCTGCACTTGCCTCGCACATTCCTGCAGCGCGCAATATATGAAACGTGCAGAGAAAGAGCAAGCCAATGGCCGACTTCATTCCCGGGAAAGCCAGCAGGCCATCCGATCATAACAAGTCGACCATCTCAACGATGATATTCACGAGCCCTTGCGCAAACCACCGCCGGAAGAGTTCGCCTCTCGACTAGGACTGCAATTTTATCTTTTTAGGCGCCTATCGCTACACTACAAAAGAAATGTATTGGCCATTGGCCTGGGCGATCTTCACCACAAGCAGCCTTGTGACCCATGGTAAATTTCCGGCCCTTGAAGGAAAATCTCACCTACTAAAAGGCGTTACACTTCAGCTAGATCAATAACAACACATGCCGCTCCACCTGACGGTGGAAAGAACCCGCAGATCTCCAAATCAGGCCTCGAGACCGTCGAGACGAGCCGTGAAGGACTCGACAAACTCCTCTCTACAGATTCTAGTGACGGTTTTCGCGGCGATCCCATCAAACCATACGGCGGTAAAGTTCCAATACATAGGAATAGTCTCCTTCGTTCCGAGCAATTTAGACGGTTGGTCGGCGATCTACAGACCTGCGGCACGGATCTCCTCTCGTATGGATCTGAAGATTTCCTCGCAAGATCTACCGAAGTAAAAGGGTCAAGTATAAGATCTTGTCGGGAGGCGATATTCACCTTCCTCAAATGGACCAAGGGCGATAATCCGTACCTGAATCTTTCGAGCGTCAGTCGTGCACAGTTGATTAAAAGTGCGTTAGATGGTGATTGCGGATGTGCGTATCTGCCCAGTTCGCAGCTGAGGTTTTCGAGTCTACGCCATGGACATGCAAAACGAAACAATATCGATGGCATGGATGATCCTCCCGCTCATGGTCACACTCAGTTTAAAGGATCATCAAAGATACCCAGGGCTAACCCACTTGAGATCCCCGATGTGCCAACTCCATCACATCTACAAGCTTGCGAAGAGAAAATGTGTAGAATCGGCGACTTGGACAAAATATGTACTCAGCCCAAATATCGAATGACTATGGCTGAGATCGGGGTTTGCAAGATGTGCTACCCCAAAAATGAGGAGCAGCTGCGACTTTACTGCATTGTCCGTGAAAAACGGGAGAGGAGGGCCTTTTTTGTGGCGTCTGCGATGGTAGCCATATTCGCGATCGGCGTAGCGGGGGTAATCGTTTTTAATGACTGCGTTCAAAAAAGAACGAGAGAGGCATCTAGCAATATGGGAGAGGGAAGGATATATCCGCTTCGATGCTGCGGTCTCTGGGATTTTCTCAAACGGCCCTGGGCTTCACGGGTTTGCGGATACTTTAAGCGCGGCAGAGAAACAACAGGTGTCGAGGGATCTACATTCAACAGAACAACCGTTACAGAGGAGGCGGTACTTGCTAAAACTTTCGAGGACGGAAACAGCACGAACGCCGATCATTCCAACGGGTACGAACTCGAAACTATCGATCCTAGGGCCCTGAACAGTTTTCAGAGAGTCGGGACGTATGGGAATTGGGCAATAGAAAGTACAATTCCTGCTGTGCCTCAAGCCGAGAGACCCAATATTCAAAGGCGATTCGCAACGACGAACGTCTCGTCAGCTTGGATGTCTTCCAGAGAAAGCTTTGACATCGATGATGTTCCATCCCCGTCTGCGTGTCCCACAGAACCTATCTCTTCACTTCAAACTGGCAACGTTCGCAGCGAACGCTGAACGATATGATTGGGGGCGTAACCGAAAATAAGATTCTTGTATTGTGAGGCGAAACAACGAGGAGTCAAGCTGCGGTTGGCTGTCATAGGTGGCAAATTTTGTTTTGTCTCAGCTAATCCCTTTTTGAGTCCAGATCCTTTGTTCGTTACTTGGGTACTTCGTACTGAATACAAATACTCCCTAGTTACACAATATCAGACAAAGCTCTAGCAGTGGGACGATTTACCTCAGGATACAGTCATCATTCCCATGACTTGAACGGCAAAGCATATTCCCTGGTCGAAGAAAGGAGGCCATTCTGTGGAGTTGAGAACAATCTGTAGTCGACCGTGATCACCAGACTCGATATGTCTAACTCCCTTCAGCAGTTCAGGAGGGTTAATCATTTTCCACTCCTAACAAACTATCTAACTAAGTGATGTCTGAGACAAGAGATACTCCACACTGTCAAACTACACCAATGACTCCCGAAGTCCTTGTTCTTCTCAGCTTAGGTTAAGATATGCACATATATGTACTCCGTATATCCGGAGAATATAAGATATTTCATACATGCCTTGCAAGACATTGTGCATGCAAGCCCCGCCCCGTCTCCCATTTTAAGTCATGAAAACATGAGGTTCATTTCACATATGTACTCTGTACCCAATCCTCAAAACAATCGTCCTACCTTTGATCTTTGCCAATATCTTTCTTTCTTTCTTTCTTTCTTTTTTTTTTTTTTTTGCCTTCCTCTTTGGCTTTATAGATCCTTCGTCCTCTCATCGCTTCCCTGGATCCAGGCGTCCAGCTTCGCGCGATCTCTCACCTTAAATCCGACCTTGAACTGCTTTGGATCAAGCGTCAAAGCACACTTGTTGATACCGGCCTCGAGACAATCCAAGATCGGATCGTCAGCGCGGTTCTTCGCCGGAACGATTCGGAACGCGGAGATGAGGCGCAGGAAAGCGGTGTAGAGTTCTCGGTTGGCGAGGTGGGAGCCAGCGCACATGCGGCTACCAGCGCCGTAGGCGTAGTGTGGTGTTCCTGCACCATCGGAGACGTTGAGGTAGCGTTCGGGGCGGAATTCGTAAGGGTTCTTGAAGTGGTTCTCGTCATAGTCGGCGGCATAGGCGTTCTGTGAAGAAGACATAAGTGAGTTAGCGTTCATAGCTGGAGAAGGGACAGCCAGGATGGCACTTGTGGGGAGGGAAAATACCATGAAGAAAGTAGTTCCAGCGGGGATAGTTGCTCCCTTGTATTCGATGTCCTTGATACTGACGCGTGGTAGGCAGATGGGGATGACGGTCCAGAATCGGAGAACTTCCTTGACAAAGGCCGTGATGTAAGGGACTTTCTCTTCGACGAGACATCGCTCCCAGGCATCGCCATCGGGGTAGACCTTCATGATCTCCTGATAAGCGCGTTCCTGGATCTCTTGGCCATGCGCAGAGGCGAGATAAGCGATCCCCATAATCAAATTGCCGGGAACGGTATCGAGACCGGCGGACACCATAGTCAAACAGATAGACTTGAGCTCAGCTATATTGATACAGTCAGCGAAAATGCCTTAAGAATCATTCGAACTACAGAAAAAAAAATACTCACCTTCATTGAGCTTGGCCTCTGGATCCTTCAAAATATTTCCGGTAATACATGGTTTATCGGTGCCCTTCGCAATTCGGTCTCTCAGCATATCCAAGAGTAAGGACAGATATCTATCACGACGCTCTCTGAACTCCTTGGCTTCATTGTTGCGGCTGGGCCATAGCCGCAGCAACGGAATATAATCCTGCCAGTTGTTGCTGGTGCTTCGGAAGTTGCTGACCACGCGCTCGACATGGCAAATTTCCTTCAAGAGTTCGTCTTCGATGCTGCCATCGATGCGGATACCGTAGTTCAGGGTCAAACTAGTGTTAAGGGCAAAGCGCTGGAAGTATGGGTTGGGGTCCACGTCCACGGTTCCATCTTTGCTGTCATTCAGCAACTCCTTGATGCTGACTGTGGATTCGAGGTCGATGATTGGCATGTATGATTGAACCGCAGGACGGTTAAGAGCGGTGGCAGCGGCCTTCCGGCGGCGCTTGCAAGATTCATCCCATGGAGAAGTGCCAATGGTGAACCCCTGTGAACTTGAGACGACGGTATGGAAAGTATGAAGAGTTGGGCGGGAGATTAGGGATGATTGGTGAGTGATCCAAAAGTGTTTGACGGAGTCAAACGTGTTTGCAAAAATGATTCTCTGAAAAGGAACAAGTTGACAGTCAGTCAAAATTCTGGATCTCACTCCTCTAGCATGGGGGTTTCTTCACGTACTTTATTACCAAGTCGGACCTGGAAGACCTCTCCGTATTTCTTCACCCAGCCTTGGGCCTTTTTCGCGTGGGAGTCTCCGAGCTGTATCAGGTTCCCAAACATCGGTACGCCTGGAATCTCCGGGAGATTCTTGATCTTCGGGATGTCGGTCTTATTCAATTGCTTGATCACAAAGTAGACCACCGCCACGACGGCGATGGCTATCGTCTGATAACCCATGTTTGGCAACCTGTGCACCACCGCTCTCAGAGATTCAGACCAAGGATGGCAATGACAGAAACGGAATGTTCGATAAAGACGAGCAAATTGAGGTGCTGGCTGACCGGGGTGGAGATACCGATGGGCCGCTGCAAGCGAATTCGGAGGAGTGCTCTCTTCCCTGAGCCTACATGCAGAGAACTAATCCAGCCACCGAATAGGTTGTGCAATATCCGAGTCTGCAGCTACGGGTCACAGCGAGTCCTGAAAAGAAAGGAAGGTCGTACCGGGATCAAATAAATACCCAACAATGCAAAGGCCGGAATTTCGACTCAGCGTCATGAATGGAGGCCACGGGAGTTCGTGAGAAAATACGTAACAGGTGCTGCCGTCTCAACCTATTTGACTTGGGGCGTCCCCGCATTTACCCACAGGCCCGTATAGAATCTCGCTGAGCGCGGAGGTGTGATTCGTACGGAATTCCGCACACGATGATTCTACAGCTCAGAATCCCATTCTGAGGGACGAAAGCCAAGCATATTTCTATGCATAACTAAGCTTCATCGAAGGTAGAATCTCTGACTGCGGCCACGCCGGCTACAGTATACGACCCCTTAAACGCGAAGCGGCAATTGCGACTAACGACGGGCGATGATGAGAAAGCTGCACATCCCGAAGCTGGCCGGCGCGCCCGGGCTCAACGCCAAACCCCACACCACTGCAAACCTTCCCCGGCGTTTCCGGCTTGGCGCTGGCCCGTGCGGCAGCAGTATGATGGCGCGGAATTTCCGCCGTTGCGCGTTTTCCCCCGCATCAACATAGCCGGATCGGGAGTCGGGCGGCGGGCGGTGCCGACGACGAAGCCGAGAGCTGGCAGTCAACGCGCACATCAAAGATGCCTTTCTAACTGTCATGTAGCTAGCTATATACTCTGTACAGCAACACTGATCTGTTCCCGGGAGCTACGGTGATATCTGTCGTCCAAGTGCCCCAGCGGCTAATGCCACTTGAGGGAGCCAGATGTACTCCGTACAGCGAGCTAGAAATCCCCGATCGTTGGCAAACGGCGAAGAGATCCACTTGGTGGAAAAATCGACCCCATACCTCACGCGCCTGTCATCCGCCCAAGCGACAACGTAAGGTTTCATTCCGCACTTGGAGCTGTACCCAAAACCCAAGCTTCTTGCCCAGGATGCGAGCTTTTCCGTATGCTTCACTCGAGATGGCGGTTTTGATAAAAGACTTTATTGGGAAGGGGGGAGGAAGGGGGGAGGAGGGAAGAACGCCGAAATAAGGCCGTTGGAGAAGTCGATCTGATGCTAATATCCACTTTGGGCTACGGGGCAACTAGTCACTAAATTACTCTGCGTTTACTACGTACTCATCTGCAGGATTATGGCTCCGCATAGCAAGCCAGATACGGAATGCAGACCATCAACATTTTGAATGCCTTCCATGGAGATCATTGCCGCCATGTGATAAGCTTGGGAAAAATTTAGTCTTTCGATAACGGGGCTTTGCATGATTTTCATCTCGCATGGCGCGGTGGATATCTACATCCCTCGCCCCTGTGAGAACCGCCATCATCCAGGAACCGCATAGATGGAATTCGTGCCGCTGGGCCGACTGATCTTGAATATCGGTCCAGGCCACCGATCCCAGTGCCGTCGACCGGAATGCCCTCGCGCGCTAGGTAGCGGCAATTGGGATGGCAAACACAGCAGGGATTCGAGGTGCCAATTTATCCTGCTCCTCTGCGAATGGGAAGATAAGAAAAAATCAATATAAGGGACTGGATGATACCCTCTTGAAGAAACATTCATATTCATCTCGGAAGCGAGACTCGCGTGCATCCTCAACATAATGATACGGAACGATACCATGCTGGATACTCTGTACACCTCACAAAAAGAAAATAGATCTCAGGCGTTGAGCGATAAGTGCGCACCTTATACGGAGTACATACAATGCTTGATTGTGAGTACAGATACAGACACACATGAAAACTCCAGCACCCTTTGATCAGCATGTCACAGGATTTGCTACTGGCTTTGGCTATAGTGAAGGCTACTCACACCTTCGCCCGTTATCAAAGCCCAGCTCGCTTGCGGCTTCTACTTATCTGGATCAAGATATCGTTTTGCAATGGTCGAATTAGAGCTAAAAGTATTGCTGTTTCCCTGCAGATGTATGGTTTGACAGTTGAAGTGAAGCGACTTTGTCTTGTACGACACTACATGTGTGCGGTGTTTGTTGGAACCAGATGGGTGACAAAGAGCGTCGCAGCAGGCTCAGCTTCGGCTCAAATTGGAGACGGAAAGCTTTGAAAATGAGCGGAAAACTCAAAAAGAGAGATTTTGCTGACCAGAATCCCGATCAGCGTCAGAATGGCAAAACGAGATGTTTCTGGTTTTCAGCTTGTCCGCCTAGCATTTCAAAACTGGCCGTGAATTCGTATTTGCTGACCAGTCTCCCGTCCAACATGAGGGTCACAGCAGATTCAGTGACAAGAAATAGACAAATGAATCCATGGCCGAGGAAAACCAAAGCGCCCTAGCACCGATGCACGTGAAACCACGGAGCAGTGAACACTTACCAGGCCATTACTCGCTAGGCTGCTCCTAGTTGAGTCGACGGATCAAATTGCTTGCAATACCAACTCGCCTTGCCAGTTTGGAGGAGTGCATTCTCAAGCTTCTGGAAGGCTTGGCGGAGCATGCACTCGTCTTGGCGATGCATGACAGCTGAGCGAGCAGCGATGAGGGCGTCGCGCAATATGGCGCCATCAAGAACACACGTCGAGCTATCCAGACAGATCATGCATGCGGATGCACGGCGATGGAAGGCGAAGGAGCGCTCTACATGCAAGGATCAATACTACATTATGGGGGTAATCATCTCATGGGATCATCCCAGCCAACAACTGTGGCTTGCCCCTAATCTTATATGGCTCGACGGAAGACATGGCTTCTAGAAAAGAGAATTCCATCCTTTTTTTCAGCAGGAAAATTTTCACTCCACCTGGGTCGTGCATTTTAACAATCTCAACAAAAAAAAAAAAGAAAAAGTTAAGTTTTCATGATCCTATATTACTTATAGGCCGGCATCTTAAGACAATCTGAGCTCCCCTTCTCATCTCATTGCTCATTTGACGAACGCTTTTCTGTAGAGCTATCATCCGATTTGTCGGAAGATCTGTGAAGTTACCTTCGGAAAGACGAAGAATGTGGAGGGGAAAAAAAAAAAAAAAAAAAAAAAAAAAAAGACTAAATAAATAAAAATAAAAAGAAAAGAAAAGAAGACAAGCACTTGTGTGAGTTAGTGGCGGGTCACCTAGCATCAACGAAAAATCGACTTCTCTGTGCGATCACGCAAGAGAATAAAGTATGGGATTCCGAAGTAACTCGCTGGTACAACTCGATGACGGTGTGGATGCGGGTGAAACAATCGTCGCACCAGTCAGAAAATGTCTGCTTTCCCAACCGCGACTCCCTTCCGGTCGATCTATGGAGAGCGGTGAATGCAGTCAGCCGCAAATCGATGTGAAGCACCCACATGAAATGCCGACCGTCTGAAGGCGTGATCTCAGGCAATGCACCCCCAAGGTGCCTCGCTTCAAGGTTTGTTTTATCCAGCATATCGCTGTCAAGGTAAATTATGATCATCTCAAGATCGAGATGCTGGTTTATTTTATTTTACTTTATTTTCCTTCCCTGCCTTTGCATTCTTTTTTGCAATGCATCCACCCAATACCCCCAATATCTTACCTCTTTCAAGTGGTGTTTTTTCTCGAAATTTCTGCTATCTTTCGAGAAATCATAACGGGCGCAAGTAATTCGAGATAAGGACTCTCGTACGGAATATTTCCATGCTCGGTCAAGTCACTTAATACCTGTGGCAGTGAACCCGGTTTTGCCCTGTCAGCCAATTATGCGGCTAAATAATATGTTGGTTTTGAATCCCGGGGGGAGTTTTAACATGGATACCCATGGGAGATTCCATAATGCGATTGCGTATGTGTGGCCATAATCTCTTACCAGGGGTATCTCGATCTTATTGGACGTTGGAATTCACACGAGCCAAGGTCGTAACTCGCACTCTGGGGTTCCCACCCTCTGATTCATCTTCTGGACGTCTCAACGGCGTTCCTTTTTTTCTCCACGTTTGGCCGCGAATTGGTTCGCGTTCGCCTATCCTCCGCTGTAGATCCACATGGTTGTTCTAGGGCGTCAACCCTTGGAACGCTTCTTTGCGGTGGGGGGCATTTTGTTGTCCGGTATTCAATACGGTCAAAACAATTTCCTCGCACGTCGTCTTTCACTCACAAAATAAAAATCTCCGTCCTTGAGTAAAAGAGCAAAGAGACGAAGCATCCTTCGTATCTTTGGCAGTCGATGAGCGATTCGCGAGCGAATCTGGGGTGGCATTGCTTGGCAAAAGCTTCGTCTTCAGCGAACACCCCAAGGAGGCGAACTCCCGTCAAATTGAAAGCATGGCTGTGTCCACCTGCTGCTGGAAGCGTCAGGCATTGCTGACCCTGGTCTCAGGCGCTATCAAAAAGGGGGGGGGGGGGGCCTCTGGTCATCATCCACGCGCCATTGAGCACCATAGCCGCCCCTTGCTCGAGTGTTACATCGAAATAGCCGTGGCTCCACATAAGATTGGTCGGTGGGTACGAAGGAAGGAAATCAGCAGGACCCGGTACAAACAAGGAAGCCCGGGGAAGCAAGGAGGTTATCCACATATAAAAATTGGAAAACAGTCTTTCAGACGGAGCTGCAAAAGCTGGTGGAGGGCCAACAGGTTATCTTCAAATTCAGCCTCCATGGATTTTGGACGAATATCGATACCGGTATTCGTGCGAGATGGGAGGCATGTATCAATCGATACACTCACAGGTAACGCGACCAATAGCTTCTAAGGAAAAAGAGAACCGAAGTGATGGAGTCATCACCATAGGCACGACGCAAAAACGAAACCCCACAGATTTAGCGAGGGCTAAGCTTTGGGGAAACAAAACGGGCTACATGTCCTCGAAGTCACTCGGAAAGTGCGAGAGGCGATTTCAGACCTTCGGCTATTTCAAGTATTCAAAGTTATCAGCCACTTAACTTACCATGCCGTGATGGCGGCTGCTAGTAAACTGAAGGTGGTAATTCGTTCGGACAACTTAATTCTGATCAAGTTCCCCTCGCCGAAAACGTGTAACAACGCCCGGGCGTACCCCCTTCCCCCTGTTGCATCACTGAGCGCTAGTCGTCGAGTTAACCTCTCCAGCTTTGGTAGCTTTTTTTGTATATTTGCGTGTGGGGTGCGGTGCGGATGGTTGCTTTCGACGAGGGCGCCGTAACTACAAGCCAACTAACATCTGGAACGACACAGGTGGCCGCACGAGAAGCCCAGGGATCTGTGAGAAAGCCGACTTTAGCCCGCGATGCTACTCACCCAGAAACGGAGATAACATTTGCTCTCTGCTGCAAGCAACAAACGTCTGACCACCCTGATGGTTTTTGATGATTGGCGCCCGCCAGGCTAGGGCCTAGGAGGTAGGTTTGTAGCCGCCGCCCACTAAGCCACTTTTCCCAGGAGTTGGATCCCCATGTCTACCCGTTTCCCACCACGGAGACCATTTCCTGCTTTTTATTGTCTCAGATTGTGGATCCGATGTGACCTCCTCCCGGGCTATTCTCCGCTCGACCAGCGGAGACCAACGTGCCCATGCTTTCCCCGCCGCGAGATGGGAGCTTAATATATCTTGTCCTGTTTCCCTCTTCCTCCCTTCCTTGGCCGCCTTTCCTTCCGTCCCCTTAAACCTGTCTGCTCCTTTCCTTCTCCCTTGGCCACGTTGGACTAGGTTACGTCCCCCAATTAACCCACCATGTCCGACAGCGACGTCAATGTCGACGTCACCTCGACGGACAATGAAAAGCGACCAACCCCTCCAGCCCGGGTCTATGGCCTGGCTGCCCGAGTCGATCCTACCGTTACCTTCGAGGAATTTCGCTACTGGGCGAAGCTCCAGCGTGCGGAGGAACGAGAGGAGAACCTTCGATATATCGAAGAGCAGGGCCCTATGACGCTATCCAAGATGATCAAAAACCGATTCTCCCACGGAATCCACCATGAGAGGAAGAAGAAGGAACAGAAGGAAGCAGCCAGACGGGAAGCGCTACAGGTCACTGCGGAGAGTAACGGCGAGCAGGAGCAAAACCCGAAACAGACCGCGCGTGAGGAGACGATGACAGTGACGGAGGAGGAATGGAAAACAGCCAGCAGGGCGCTCAAGACAGCGGGCTGGGGCAGCGTTTTCTATCTGATCACAACCGATATTCTGGGCTGGGAGACCACTGCGTATGTAATCTTCTCTTTGAATGCGTCCGTTCACCCGAGTTCCAGGCCTAGTCTAATCTGGCCTTGGGGAAATCTAGGTTCGTGTTCTCCAGTGTAGGATTCGGCCCCGGCGTGGCTCTGTACATCATCTTCGGTTGCTTCGCCGCCCTCAGCGGTTGGATCTTGTGGAGAGTTTTCCTAGGATTGGACTCGGCGCAGTATCCAATGGTTTCATTTGGCGACACGTACTTTCGCGTTTACGGCAGGAAGGCACGGCACTTCATCAACGTAGCACAGTCGCTCCAGCAATTTATGACGGTCGCAGTGCTTATTCTGTCGAACGGTATCAAGATCGCCCAGCTGTCGAAAAGAGAGATCTGCTTTATCGTCTGCATGATCATCTTCATGGTAGCTGGCATGATGTTTGGCAGTATTCGTAGCTTGCAGCACATCGGATGGTTTGCCAACGTGTCCGTCTGGGTTAACATCATCAGCTTCATCATCATGTGAGTACCTACCTAACTATGCCTCTTGCTGAGAGGGAGATAATGACTGGCAATAGCATGGTGGCAAGTGCCAACTTTGGAATCGATTACGCCGCCGTCACGCGGTCCACGCTGATCAAAGAGATCGGGCCCGTTCGGACGTTTGCAGGTCCTCCACCGGACCAATACCAGCAGCAGGCGCACGGCTTCGCTGGCCAGTTCAACGGTGTCAATCAGATGGTTTGTACGTATCGCCGCTCTCTTTTTCCTTTTCTGCAGCTTCCTCTTGCCAGCTTGCGTTGACGCCTTTGGATCGTGATATTAGACAGTTACGGTGGTGCTCTCCTCTTTGTCGCTTTCATGGCAGAAATGCGCCATCCGTGGGATTTCTGGAAGGGCTTGCTCTGTGCCCAGGTCTTCATCTGCCTGGTCTATCTGTTCTTCGGAGCCTTTGTACGTCAGCGACGTGTTCTAATTCTCGGGGTTCGTATTGATCTAACCTCATTCCTCCAGGTCTATGGCCATTACGGCCAGTACTCAGTGGCCAACCTCAAGAACGTCATTCAACCCCGCGCACTTCAAATCGTCTGCAACTCCCTGGGCCTGATAACGGCCTCGATCGCATGTTGTAAGTAGCCATCCCGTGCCTACCCCACCACCCCCAAAAAAAAAAAAAAAAAAGGAAAAGCATGCGGGCGCTGAGACATTTTCGGCTTGACTGACCGCTCCTATCTTGGTAGTGATGTACTTCAACGTCGGCATGAAGACGGTCTATATTGAGGTCTTTCAGGAGGCCTTTAAATTCCCACCGATCACGACGCGCAAGGGACGATGGATGTGGTACGCCCTCGGTCCCGTCTACTGGATCGTCGCGTTCCTCGTGTCGGCATCGGTGCCGAACCTGAACGGTATTTCTGGTCTCGTGGGCGCGCTGCTGATCCTCAACTTCACGTACACGTTCCCGGCCTTCCTGTACATCGGGTTCAGGTGTCAGACCGATGCGGCGCTGCCAGGAGAGGGATTCGACCCGGCGACGGGCGTGACGACGAGACTCGACGGAGGATGGAGGCGATGGCTGCGCGGCTACAAGAAGAGCTGGCCAATCAACACGCTCAACCTCTTCTACGGCCTCGGTGGGCTCGTGTGCTCCGGGATGGGGGCGTGGGCCGCTATTGAAGGGCTGAAACAGGTCTTTGGGCCCGGTGGAACCGTTGCCACCTCGTTTGGGTGCGAGCCACCAGTGTAAACGGCCGAAACGCAGAGACGCTGGTACTATTCATCATGGGACCGCCCACCCTGCTTGTTTGCTTTTCCCCCCGCCCTTGGGTTTGATGGAAAGGGATGGGAATAGTAGGCGGTTTTCCACGAAGTAATTTGACGGTGGGTACTGAGAGTCTCCGTGCAAAAACAAAGGCACACGAAATGAGGATTATATGTGTGTAGAAAGTGCTTTGACATGAAAGGTACTAATGAGATATACTGTTTGTGTACTCCGTATATATATTCCTAAAGCAAGTACCCGTAGTGAGAATTGAAAGCTTGAAAGGTGAGTTCAAAGTCATCGTGTTTGCTGGAGAAGAAGAAGAAGAAGAAGAAGAAGAAGCAGAGAGAGGATTCTTTTCCACTCGTCCAGGAGGTTCATACTTTTTTGGATGGGAACCTCAAATGACTCATTTTGGGGCTCTCCGATGCGGTGGGGCACGCAAAGCTTTGGTGGTTTCCCCAATCGGGTTTCCGACTTCTGGGCCAGTTGCTTCCCTCCTGATTGGGCAATTCGCCCTGGTAGCCGCCAAGAGCCGCGCGTGATGGAGCCTTTCCCGATCGGGTAGCACTAACCCCAACACCTTGCCCTACATTCATAGCTCTGCGTGCCTTTTTTTTTTTTTTCTTTTTTTAGCGTTTCCTTTTTCCCCGCCAGAAATCTTCCCCCCTCCCCCCAGTTTCTTGGCGCGTCCCCCGGCCTGACCGTGCTGTAGTGTGGGGGAGAGAAAAGCGAGAGAGAGAGAAAGAGGAAAGCGGCAACCCAAACCTTTTCCCCACAGCACATCAAACCTTCCATTCTCTTGCGTTGTCAGGCGCGATTTCGACTGGCTGCCTACCCGCTTTCGGATGTTTTTTTTGTTCTTTTTTTTGTTTTTTTTTAGCGTCGTTCCTGCTCTCATTTTTGGGAGAAAAGCTCTTTAGCTTCTCATCCAAAAGGCAGGCGCGGAATGTTTCCCTCTTCTAGCGACCATTATGTAGCTTTTCGCGGGGAAAAGGTTGTGCTTCTTCCTGGTTGTCGGGTTCTTTTTGGCTCCCTTGGCTCCATCTGAGCTTGTGCGTTGCGTGCGTGCGTTTGTGAGTGTGTGTGGACCGGCAATCCAGCAGTGAAGCTTCGAACCCCCGTCTGAATACCGGCCGTTTCGGAGCTGTCGATGACGGCTTCAAGGCCAAGGAATGTATGTATATGCGTTTTGCTTCCAAGGATGCGAAAAGGAGCGGAATAATTCCTCTGGTGGATCATGCCCATGGGCAGAAGAAGGTCAAAAAATATCCCAACCCTTGGGGGGGGGGATTCAAACCGGAATGTTCTCTGCGATCCGTTGTCTGCATGGGCCATTGCTTAAAACCCGGGGGATATGCTTCGCTGTCTTTGCCTTTTTACTTCTTTTTTTCTTTTTTCCTGTTCTTAAATTTGCCTTGCTTTTATTTGACTGGTTGGTTTTCTTCCGGCCTGGTGCGAAACGGTTTCCTCGTTAGATAAGCTGGGAGATCGACTTAACTATTCCTTGTCTTCTTGCTCGATTTTCGGCTTCTTTTCGCAGGTTGACCCAGCTAGCCAAGAGCTTGCCTGCGCAACAATTCTCGCGCTGTGTGATATTGATACCGGACGACCTTGTTCTTTGCGTTCGTCCTGAATCCTGCATTTCCGCGGGGGAAGTGCCCAGACAAATTGCTACATTGTCCTGCTTCCCTGGCCCTTTGCTTCTTTCTTTTCTCTTTTCTCTTTTCTTTTTCTTTTTATTTTGTGGGTAAAGATCCTTATTCCGGAGCAATTGCACAAAAGAGTGGATTAAGATGACTGACCCGCCCTAAGTTGATAGTCCCGGGCGAAGCTCTCTCTCCCTTATACTTATATAAAACACGTTTCTTCAGCGACCACACTCCGCCTGCGCAAGTCTTACCGGCTCACAAGCCAATTGGTAGCGGCATTGGCCCCTTGCGATAGTTACTGGACCTTCACGTCCTTCCACCACGGCGAACTATAATCGGCGAAACGAAAAATGCCGGATACGAAAGAAGTCATCGACGAGGCAAACTCCAAGGAGACGGTCTCCGAGGTGGAATTCGACCCGGCCGCAGAGAAGGCCCTCCTGTGGAAATGCGACATCTGGGTTGTGCCCATCCTCTTCCTCCTCTTTCTGCTGTCGTTCATCGACCGTATCAACATCGGCAACGCACGTCTCCAGGGCCTGGAGAGGGACCTGAACATGGAAGGCCACGATTACAACATCGCCCTCTTCATCTTCTTCATCCCGTACATTCTTCTTGAGGTTCCCAGCAATCTCATCCTCAAAAAGGTCGCGCCCTCTACTTGGCTCAGCGGCATCATTGCAGCATGGGGTACGTATTTTTTTTAATTTTCTATTTTCTATTTTGCTCATGAAGGAGGAGCGTGGGGGAGCTCTTTTATATTTAGCTGGAGCTCTTCTGACGGGGCATTATCATAGGAATTGTGACGGTTTGCCAGGGTGTCACCCATAGCTTTGCTGGGCTGGTGGTGTGCCGTTTCCTCCTCGGTGCGTTCGAGGCCGGTTTCGTCCCAGGTATGTTATGTTATGCTTATGCGCCTTCACTCATGTAATGATCTAACAACGAGCCCCAGGATGCGTCTACTTGATCTCGATGTACTACAAGCGACATGAGCTCCAGACGCGAATCAACCTCTTCTTCTCTGCTAGTATCATTGCGGGTGCTTTCAGCGGCGTGAGTATACATACCACCTTGCAGTGCTCATATCTCAAAACATGGGAAAGGAGGGAGGCTAAGAGGCTAACGCGAAATTCAGCTACTCGCATACGCAATTGCAAATATGGACGGAGTCGCCGGCTACGGGGCCTGGCGTTGGATTTTTATCCTGGAGGGGATCGCAACCGTGGTGATCGCCGTCGCATCAAAGTTCATCATTGCCGACTGGCCGGAGACGGCTAAGTTCCTGAAGGAGGACGAGAGGCGACTCCTGATCGCCCGGCTGGCCGCCGACAACAAGGGAGCCACCATGGATCGCCTCGATAGTAAGTCAATCAAGCGGTGCTTGACGGATGTCAAGGTTTATCTTGGGTAAGCACACAGATCTCTGAACAAACAGAAAAAAAAAAATAAAAATAAAAATAAAAAGAAAAAAGGAAAAGAAAAATAAAAATAAAAATAAAAAAAAGAAAAGAAAAAAGCGCATGAGGCTAATTGGGGCTAACGGGGTGTTAGGATCCTCATGTACTTTGGCATTGTGAACACCGGGTATGCAACCTCGTTCTTCACGCCCACGATCCTGAATCAGTTGGGATGGACAGAGATCATGGCCCAGGTGATGAGCATTCCTGTCTTCGTGGTGGCCACGGTGGTCACTCTTGTGTGCGCAGTGATCTCGGACCGCATGCGACACCGCTACGCGTTCACGTTGCTGGGCTGCGGCGTCGCCACAATCGGGTATGTGATCCTGATCTGCCAGCACAGCGTGTCGGTGGGTGTGCGGTACATGGCGGTGTTCATGGTCACCGCGGGAGGGTTTGTGGCACAGCCGGTGGTGATGGCGTGGGTGAGCAACAACATGGGCGGGCACTACAAGCGATCGATCGCGTCGTCGATGCAGATTGGATTCGGCAACAGCGGCGGGCTGGTGGCCAGCAACGTGTTCCTGAGCAGCGAGAAGCCCGGCTACCCCACGGGTTTCGGGACCAGTCTGGGGCTGGTGTGGATCTGCGTGCTGTCCTGCACGGCGTTCTTCTGGTGGTGTCGCCGGGAGAACAGGATCAGGGATGCAGGCGGTCGCGACTATCGGTTCTCCCTGCCGGAGGATGAGCTGAACAACATCGGTGATGACCATCCCACCTTCAGGTTTACATATTAAAAAGAAATAATACGGAGTACATATAATGGAGTATATAACAAGGGTGCCTCTTTTGTTTCTTTTTTCCTCTCTTTTTCCATTTCTCATGAGAACCCTACCATTCAGCTCACTCTTTTCTGGTTTCATATAATTATTTATTTCCTTAGTTATACTCTGTATGTGGTTCGGGGTTCCTGTATATAATAAGTGCAGAACCAAAACCTCCCCTCTTGGCTCCTTCGTATAGCCATCCATACGGAGCTCTTCCATTTTGACTCTCTCAACGGCTGCGGGGTAATAAATTGACTGGCGCCTTGGCCTGGCTGGGCTGGCTCTTTCTCTCTCTTTCACTCCTTCCTCTTCTTAAATTTCAGCCCGGAGAAGCTCTCCGCCTTTCCCCGTCCGGCAGCAGCAACCGGCAGCGAAGTTGACGCGGTGATTGGCCTTTCCTTTTCTTTTCTTTTTTTTTTTTGGCCAGTTCCAGCAAGCAGCAGCAACCTTGCAGCAGGCGCGCATCCGCCTCCCTGTCGCGCTCCTTCCCTTTCCCTTTTCCCTCTTACATACCCCACTCCTTCGCCGCCAGTCCCGATGCAGCCTAGCGCCACGCCCCGAAAGTTGGTCTAGACGGGCGCCGATCGCGGGAATTCGAGTGGACCAATGAGGTCATGTGTTGCCATTTCCTTTTCTGCCAAGGTTCATGTCTTGCTTTTTTTCTTTTTTTTTACTTCTTTTTTCCCCCCCTTCAATGGATGAACTGGTGGAAAAAAAGGGAGGGAAGGAAAAGTACTCTGTAAAGTGAGAGAGGTACAAGAAAAAAGGTGGAAATTACCTTTTTCTTTTTTTTTCCCGCTGTTCCTGAATCCAAAGCTTGGAAAGTCGCCACCTGTTTTGTTTCTTGTGTTGTTTTTTTTTTTTTTGAAGAAGAAGAAGAAGCTGCTCAAGTTGGAAACGGGAAGGAAGTCATGATCGCTTCGACTGACGACAACAACTGACTAATCAGGTCGAAGTCAACTCTTTTTTTACATAACCGGCCGACTTCGCTGCTTGGGATTTGTTTCCTCCGTATTGAATCCCGAACGAGTGGGAAAAAAAGACGGTTTTTGGTTTCTCTTCTGCTTCTGCTGCTGCTACAGTTTTTGATTTCTCTTATTTATTTTTATTTTCGTCGCAAATTTGGCGGGATTTGAAGTTTCGGTTTCTTTTTTTTTGAAAAGATCCCCTTTTTCCTTTTTTTTCGCCTCCTTCCGAACAACGGCTCGGGTTTATATAAGGAAAGTTACACTTTTTTTGGGAGATCTAAGACAAGAATCGTCGTCGTCCTTCTCTGGTATTTGTGCTGCCTGGATTGCGTCGACAGAGTGTCGCTTGTACTGAGACCTCCCTGAATGATTCAAAAGCGGCGCCTGGCGACGATGCTGAGGATTGAATGACCTCGAACTTCCTCCCGCGTCCTCCTTTTTCTTTTCTTTTTCTTTTTTTGCTGCGCGTTCCAGATAGGACCCTGGCATCAGCCTCAAGGCTAAGAAAGATATAGAAATTCCTTTCCTCCGGGAAGATCCAGCCAAGATCAATCACCAGTTTTCTTTCTTGAGCGTTTTCTTTATATTCTTTTTATTTTTATTTTTATTTTATACCGCGCGTTTCGACTGCCCATACGGAAGCCGAAACCTCCAAGTGTTTTGCGACAACAAGGGGAGCAGGCCGTTCCCTCGCCATGCCGACGAATATCCCGGGCCAACTTCGTCCGGCCTCGCAACCAACGCGAAAGGAGGCCGAGGTGCAAAAGAGAAGACTCCGCCTCCTCCCTCGCCCCATCAGAACGCTCTCCTTCTCCTCCAAGAACACCTCTCCGTCCCCGACCACCCTGTCCTCGCCCGTTCAAGGGCCAACTCGCGCCTCCGCCTCTAGAACCCCTACGACCGCGCTCACCACTCCTCCCTCCCCTACTCCATCCCCCTCGAAATCACACCGGCCCGCCTCCTCCGCACGCAGATACTTCCGCCCATCCGCTCTAAAGAAGCTCTTCACCCCCAGCTCCTCCGCGACCACGCCACAGAAGGCGCAGCCACGGTCACACCCACAGTCGCAAAAGAAACACGGCCAAACCAAGAACCAATCCCAGATCCCGACGACCCCGACCCCGGTCCCGGAGCCGCCGCCGGCACAACGACCCCCCCTGAGCCGTCTCTGCCAGGCATCATCGTCGATCCTCACGTACCACCGCAACAGGATCCTCGACAGGGACGAGCGCTCCGAGCGCTACTGCAAGATCCCCCTCACGCAATGGAACCTTGAAAGTCTCCAGTCCGAGCTGGCCGAGATCCGGATCCGGGAGACACTCAGCGCCAATCTCGGAAATAGCGGCGCGAACAACAAGAATAACGACAGTGATCGTGGTCGTGATCGTGATCGTGATCGCGATGATGATGATGATGATGATGATGATGATGATAATCCTCGGCGCAGAGATTACACCACCAGGGATGAAGCGGGAAAGGTTATACTTGACGACGTCGCCACCGCTGCCGGCGCGGCGCGGGTCTTTGGCGGCCAGGCGAATTATAATTGTAATGGTAATAATAATAACGGCATCAACATCAACATCGGTGGTAACATGAGCGTCTGGAACAAGCCCTCTTCGAGCCCGAGCCGGCGGAAGGTCGAGGATTCCGTTTTGCCATGGTTGGAAGCGATGCAAGACTGATTCCTTTTTTCTTTTTCTGTTTTTCAAGAAATTTTGTTCTTGTTATATTTTTTTTTTCTTTTTTCCCCCAAGTCATATACTCCATATACGACTGATCTTCTTTCTTTTGGATGATATTACTGGTGTTTATGATGATGTTGAATTGTTGGAAGATATCCCCTCTTTTCTTTTTACATGTTTTCTGGTATCTTTTCTCTTTTTTTTTTTTTTTTGGGTCGCGGACGGGGTGGCTGGATGTGAATTGGGATTTCAATGACGAGTATGCGTCTGCCTTGGATAGACACAGGGCCTGCTCGTTTTGTTTCTGCACTTGTTTCTTTGCCTGCTTGTTGATATACCCCCCTTCCCCCGTGATACTCTCTGGCACCACAGTAATGCTAGACGGTGCAGCTTTGCTATCTGTGCTTTTTTTATTTTTTTATTTTTTTTTTTTTCAAAGTTCTCAACTGGATCGCCTCTCCATATCAAGAACAACTCCGGATTGTACTATCACAGAAGAACACGGGGTGGGAAAGAAAATCAAAAAAGAATCACAAACCAAGATTGTTTTTCTTCCTTTTTCTTTTTTTTTTCCCTTCAACAAGCAGGGCTGTTTTAAAAGGGGGGTTTTGCTCAGTTAGGGCTTGGGTGCGTCATACTGTGATTGTTTTTATGACTTACATGCTTATTCTACTCTGAATCTTGGTGTGAGAGTGACAAGAGGATACAATCAACAACACTATCCATGACATTTTCTGAGATACATGTTTCTTTTAACTTCTTTTTGGACCATGTCTGGTGTCGAAAGGTGTGATTTGCCTCTCTCTGGGGACCGGAACCAAAAGACTTTATGCATGGACAGAAGGGCGAGGGGTGTGGATACAATTCATCTTTTTTTAATTTTTTAATTTTATGTATCCTGAATTATATCGCACCGTAACTTGACGCATGCGTAACCATTTATCTGACATAGAAGACAAATCTCTCATCCCATCTCATCCTCATTGCATCTCAGGTGTTGGGCCCCCGCCCGCGGGGGGAGGGGGGGGGGGGGGGGGGGGGGAGAAAGGAAAGAAAAGGAATTCTCTCTCACATAGGAATTGTTTTTATTAAGGGAAAAAAAAATAAAAATAAAAGGGGGAGAAAAAGGAAAAACAATTCCCTCAAAATTATTTTCTCATCTATTATTCAGTTTCCCCAACCATGTATACATAAAATTCAAAATTCATTAGGTGGAAAAATAAAAATATAGTAAAAAAAAAGGAGCGACCACCATAATAATAATATCGTCATCATCAAGGCATGGCCTCCTCCCCCTTCCCAATCCCTTTACCCCCTCTTTATTCAAAAGAGGCAAAAGGGAACTCAATGGCTCAACAGATCATGCACGCTGATGCCATTCTTCCCCCCGGCGTCAGAGTTTCCTCTCGGGAACGCCGGCCTGGGCATGTCGGCTATCCCGCTCGAGGCCCTCCGGTCGATGTTCAGCATCAGCAGTGCCGTCGTGGCTTCGCGGTCCATGTCCACGTCCATGCTGTCCCGGCTGGAATGTGCCTGGGGCAACATTGAGGGCGTGGAGGCGCCGCGTTGGTGGCTGTGTTGGCACTGATATTGTTGTTGTTGTTGTTGGTGCGGGGGGATGATGGGCGATGTGGTGCTTGATGTGGTGGAGGTGGTTGAGACGGTCGATATGGTGGAAGTGTTGGAAGAGAGGGTGTCGCGGTGGACACGAGGCGGGAAGAAGGGGGTGTTTGAAGGTGGGAGGGCGGGACTGGGGAGGATCATGGGGATGATTTCGAATGGGGAAGTGTGGGAAGAGCGAGACTGGGTATCTCCGCTTGCTCGGGGAGACGTAGTTTGGGAATAAGATGCAGATGGTTCGGGATGCGGATTGAACTCCGGAGAGGCAGAGTATGAGGATAGGCCGGTTCCAGGTTCTTTGGGGGTATTCCACGTTGGCGACGTGGGTGTAGAGTCTCGGCGGATGTTTGCGGCTTTGAGGTCCGCGATACACTGTTCGAGATAGTTTACGTATTCTATGCTTGCCTGTGGGGGGAGAGTTTCAGCATCGGTTAGCCAAAGTCTGGGGGCACCTCTATACATCTCAAAGAGAAAAAGAGACCCAACCCGTACCTGTAGTATAGCAAGTTTATGCATCTCCTGGCCCTTGCAGGCCGGGATCATGTTCTTCAGGGTGGCAAACTCCTCGTTCATCTTCGATCTCCTCCTCCTTTCGATGAGGCTATGTGCCGTCCGGCGTGCGATCTTCCGACCGGCCGCGGTCGTCGCACCGGGCTGCTTCCTCTTCGACCCGCTTCCGTCCGCGGACGCACTCTGGCCATCTTTCCCTTTTGCCTGCGCACCGGCTCCGGAAGCTTTCGGCTGTTCCTGGCCTTTTGGTTTGACCTGGATGATCTTCCTGGTCCTGGTTGGTGGTGGGGGCAGGGTGAAATCGGCGGCTGGCCTCTTTGTCGAGGATCTCTGACGCAAGGTGCGGGTGGAAGACAACTGGGCGGCGGCATTGATGTCGGGAGACGGGGGCGAGAGAGGAGGGAACAGGCTGCTCTTGTTGGAGGAAGAGGAGGAAGAGGAGGAGGAGGATGAGGAAGTGTTTGTGGTTGTGGTTGTTCCTGTGCGGTTCGACATGACGGGCGGAGGCAGGGAAAAGAAGACGCCAACGGGAGAATTGATGCCCTTGTCCAGCGCCGCAATCTCCGCCGACGGTGCCGGAGTCAGAGGCAGCTGGGCCTTTGGCATCATGAGTTTCGATTGCGCGGCAGCCAAGCCTCGTGGGGGAGGGTGGCTTCTCTCGAGAAAGCCCCAGTGACGAGTTGAGTCTGCAGGAAAGAGATGGAAAACGAAGAGATAGAGATAGAGATAGAAGAAGAGCAGAAGGAGGAAGAGGAAACAAGGAGAACAGGAGAACAGGGGGGGGAATGAAGCCTCAGACGAGGGAAGAGAGGTCCGTGAGAGCGTCACGGCGCGGCATGATGGGCAGCTGCATCTTGATGGAGGGAGAAGCGTAGCTTATTGTACACGCTGCTGTTGTCTCGCGCCCCCGGGCACACAGAGAGAGAGAGAGTCTTGCTGAGGACATCGAGGGAGGGCAGCGCCCGGCGGCGCCTCTTATAAGCATTACCCTCGCCTTTGGCCGGGGCTAGTTGCGGTGCCGGCGAGAGCAGCGAGCTTCCAGGCAGGGTGTCGCGTGCTGCCACTGATAGGCTGGCAGAGTTTCCAGGGAGACGCACAGACCAGTTCACATGTGGCCGCTGGGCTGCGTGATTGGCCCCAGCTGGTGTTTTTTTGATCTTCTCAAACTCACGCTTTTCGCTGTCGGATTGTTGAGCGTTGCGGTTGTTCCCGTAACGGCTGTGATCATGGAGTAGTTGTGTGGAGTACAGAGTATACTATAACCACTATACTATACACACGAGAAGACTACGGAGACGCAGGCTGTCTTGTGTTGTTCACCATATTTGTATTTTTTTAATTTTAATTTTTTTTTCTTTCCTCTGATTAACTAGTTGAATGCTGCTTTTAACACCACATTATAGAGTACTCTGTAGATACAGCCATCACTGTCTTCCCTTCTTCTTCTTCTTCTTCTTCTTCTTTTTTGGGTTTCAAAGAGTGATCATAATCTCCCAATTTAATCCAAAATACTCCTGTATTTTCCCCTTCCTTCTGCTGGGCGGTGTGACTTGGGGGTGGTGGTTTTTCAGTTTTGGTGCTTCACAAACAGCCGATCCATGACATAGCCCGCAAACATATCCGGCCCTGGCGTTCCTACCACCCAGTCAACCCGGTTCCCCGACCGATTAGCCAACCACAGCCCGTTGTCCTCAACGTCCGGGTCATCGTGGTCCCGCCGCTTTCGATTCCGTCTATCGATCACGCACATCCCACGCGTCCACTGCCCCGTCGTCTCGACCCGGAGGTCCAGCGGCGAGTCGAGCGACAGCATCCACTGCCACGAGTCCGGCAGAAGCGCGTACCAGATGCACACCGGGTCATGGAGGCTTAGCGCCGCCATGTCGCCCTCGTGGCCCGGGTGCATGGCCTCCAGCTTGGCGAAGCTGTGCTCCAGGATCGCAGATGTCCACTCCACCAGTGGCGAGCCGGTCGCCACAGTGGACGCGATCCGGTCTCGGAACTGCCCGCGTGTCAGGTTGTGAGACCTGGTCACGTCGAGAGACACCAACTTAACCTTGAGCTGCTTGCTCAGCGTCGCGGGATAGACAGGCAGCGCCGACGGGAGGTCTGCCGGCGGCATGGTCGACAGCGGCATCTGTGATGTCAGCGCAAAGATCCTAGCCGCCGCCACGGGATCCGCGTATGTGTTGAATTCCGCCGTGGGAGTTACCTAGATATATATCTGGTCAGCATCAGTTCCTCTGAATCAACTCTCCCTTCCTCTTTCTTGCTCTTTCTTTCTTTCTTTGTTTCTTTCTTTCTTTCTTTCTATCTCTCTCTCTCTCACACCCAAAGGTTCCATACATTTCCAGGGCAATCAACAGCACCACCCATCACCACCACCTCTTTCACTCTCAGAAATGTCTCCGGGTCTTCGACCGCCGCCAACGCGAGATTGGTCAGCGGTCCAAGGGCTATAATCGTAATCGTCCCGGGGTCATTCTCCCGTAGTAACCTAAGCATCTCTTCGTAGGCTGGTTTCGTCGACGCGATGAATGACGAATGACGTCGAGCGGCAGCCTCCAGCTCTTCCACCGACGCCGGCAGAGGCGAGAACAAAGACTCCCATCCTTGCGCCGGCGTGAGATGGGGATGCTAGCAGTATACGATTAGAAACTCCAGCTTTCCGCTCAAAAGAAAAAAAGCACATCAAAGACATACACTTGTATGGACATTACCGAGGCCATCTTTGCCGTCTAGATATCGAAAAGAAACCAAAAAAGTTAAAAATCCCAACACCTTGTTCAGAAGGGGTGAACCGTGACCAAGCTCCTTCAACGTGGTTTGGAAAAGGGGGATCCTGAGCTTACGAAAATAATCCGCCAGCATCTTCTCTCCGGCCAAGGGTCCTTCGGCGCCGACGGCCATGAGCGGCTTGGACGCCATCAGCGCCTCGAAGCCAGGGGCCAATCCGCGGTTGTGTCTCCATTCCATCTCCTTTTCGATGATGTGGAACATAGAGACTGCATTTCGAAGACAGCTATAAATGAGGCGTGTAAGTTCTCCCCTTGCTACATACGTACATGTACACACACACACACACACACATATATATATATATATGTATGTATGTGCATGTTCTATGAAGTTGGTTGAGGTTGATAAGAAATTGGAACAGACCTCCTCACTTCGATGTTTCCAAAGGTCAAGGAGACCAGAAGCACCTCGATCTCCTCTGCCTTGGAGGAGAAGGCGAGAAGAAGAGCGAGGATATCATCAATGCCCTGGGGAAGGAAAAAATGGTGTTAGAACCTTTGCTGGCCCTGTTGCCTTTTTTGTTTTGTTTTCTTTTCTTTTCTTTTCATTTTTTTTTTTTTTTTTAATATGCAAGTTATCACCACGAACTCACGAAACAGCGACATGTGTCCCGTCCCATAATGTTTCCATGTACAGATACACCACCCGGGACGGGAACAGGAGTTACAAGATTTAAAAGGGCACATCAGAAGAACAAAACCAGAGGAAAATCAGGCCTTGCCTCACAGGATCTGTATCAATAATGACTCTGCTTTTCGGAGCCATTGTCACAAAATGCCGTCTCTATTTTTTTTTTTTTTTTGACGCAGAGACAATTCCTGCGCCCTCCCGTACGTACGGGGATTATTGTTACTGTTTCTCTGCCGGTCTCCGACAAGCAGTCGTCGCAGTGGATAGGAGTTAACAAATAGTATTCTCCGGCCAGGCCCGAGACTCGCGCAAACCCCCACAGGGCACGAGGCTGGATCAGTGGGTGGTCTACGTTGTGGTGACGTGACGCAGATATTATCTTAATGGACTGGCGAGGATATCAAAGGAGGGCAACGGGGCTGGAATACATTAAAGCCAGATGTCGACGAAGCAAAAGATTCAACAAAAAAAAAAAAAAAAGGAATTCCAAAAAATGGGAAAAAGAAAAAAAAAGAAATAAAGATCAAGGAAAATGAAGAAGCGGAAGCGCGGGGAAGTGGGGTGGACAGTGACGGCGGTGGCGGCGAGGGAAAAGGTTTGCGTTTCTGGACCGAAGTTTCTCCCTTTTTGATATACATACTGTAACTAAAGAGTTAATGAATGACAGATTCAAGCGGGCATGTCCATGGTTCTGGCTGAATTTCCTCCAAGAGCTTAACTTGTCTGGCGGTTCGTCTGGCTTGATGTGGAATCATCGTTCATTATATTCTTTTTCTTCTCTCTTCTTTTCTTTTTTCCTTTTTCCAGTCAAGTGTACAGAGTACATACAGAGTACTCCATCGCTAGTTGTGTGTGGATGTGTGGTGTGCTCGCCTATTGTCAAGCAAACCCCCCCCAGACACATATCATCCCCTTGAAATCCGTGATAAAACAACAGTGTCTCAGATGCCGCCCGGGTTTTTCGTCAGGATTATCACCGCTCCGCTACCCGGTGCCCTCCTCCCCCTCCCCCCCCCCAACACAAATCGTGGCCGAGAAATATGAGCAACAAGACACCCACAAAAACAGGGACACTCCGAAATTCCCTGCGCTCCGTTACAGCCGAAGCGCTGCGCCGCGCCGACGCGTTCCGAGCGTCTCAAGCGTCCGCCCACTGTTTCCTCCCAATGAGTTATTGCCTCCGTATTGTTTATCATCTTTATTTTTAGTTTTAGCGATTTGCTGATTGGACGATCAATGATTCAATTGCTTCCACACCGCCGCGACGCCCATTGAAGACGCACACACACGGTCCTCGTGTGACAGGTCCTCCTCGAAGGATGTTGCCTCTGGACCTCTTTTTTTTTTTTTTTTTTTTTTTTTTTTTTCCCTCCCTCTCTTCTATTATTCTTCTTCTGCAGCGTGTGAAGACTTCCTCGTTATATGCGCATCCCGCCTCCCGTCCCCCGTACTAGACTCTTGACCCGGTTGCAGAATAATACTTGGTGATTTGCCAGGGGGCCGGCCCAGAATTCCGTTGGCTGACGACCGAGGACAGGACCCCTAGACGGGATATTCCGCCTCGCCAGCAAGAGAAACGTAGCATCGGGAAGATAAGCCAACACTTTTTTGTCTCTGTCTCCCTCGTGGCGGCGCTGGGGGGCTTCGATCTTGGAGATATGGTAATAATACATGTAACTGAATACTAACAAACTCAAGGCGCTGGTAGAAAGTACTCCGTGCCTGGGGGGAACCTCCGAACATTGCCATCCGAGCGGCCTGTCTCCTCCTCGAGCCCACGCCAACGGGGAGTGGGGGGCCTGCTCACCCAATGGAGCGGCGCGCCGTGGCCGCCTCGCACCCAAGGGAGAATTAAGCCCTTTTTTTTTTATCGGCAAAATAGATGTGCCCTCTAATGCAAGGGACAACCCCTGTCATTCGTCGTCTGAGAAGGCTGTCATAGAGTTCTTCCATGCAGCATTCCGGAATGATTTTTTGAAAAAAATACATACTCCATACCGTGTTTACAACTTTCGGTCGGATATTCCAACCCTCAAGGTCGTTCCCGTGCAGGACTTGTGCAAGATACAAAGTTTAGGTTACGTCGCCTAACAACATACAGACATACATACATACAGAGTAGAGAGCGTCTATCTCCTCCACTGTGGTCCTCACTATGCAAGTTATTGTGGATATTTTCACACCTCGTTAATCAGCAGGGACTAGTTCACCCGGGATCTTCGCAAGATGTGTCCAGATTCCAGAACAGTTTCACCAGCTTGGGCATGAGTAGACTCTGTAGTTTCACAGGAGATTCAAGATCCCTCCCTGCAGGATGTTCTGCTCGAATATCTGCAGAGAACAAGTTCTCCCTTCCCCCTTCCCCCCCCTCTTTCTCTCTCTGCACGCGTGTTCAAACTGGCTTACCTCCGTGATCATGTCATGATTTACTGCGTGGTGGAACTTGGCAACGATGAGAGTGTCACCGCCACTGCCACTAGTCACCCTCAACAACCGCGCCTATCCAAATAGCGTTTAGCGCACCAGATGTTTCTGGTACTGATTACAGTGGATTTCTGGATAGCTGGCCTCAACCAACCGCGATCCATCACCCCCTTCAACAGGACAACTCCCTCTGCAACCCCGACCCCCAGTTCGACCTCGCGTCCGATCACTCTGCCATCACTCATCCGTCACCTTCACTCCCACCTTTCTGACTTTCCCTTTCTCCTCTTCTTCCTGCTCTCCGCCAACCTTCTGCCTGCTGCTCTGCCCTCCCTTTAGTTGAGACATGTCTATCATACCGCGATGACCTCAGCTCCCGGTTTGACTCCAAGTACATAGAACTGTAGGTATTTTTTTTTTTTTCTCACATTGTCTCTCTCCATGCGGTAGCTAACCGTACTTTTTCCTACTTTCCTTTCAGGAACGAGCAACATTGATTCGACTGCAGCTTTTCTTTTATTTCCCGTCGTTTGGAGCTTAGCAACGCCTCTCGAGATTCACGCTTCGTTGTGGTCCTTTCCCCTTTTTCCTCTCTCTCTCTCTCTCTCTCTCTCTCTTTTCCCCCCCGCGCCACCTCCGCACAAACCCGGACGTCTTCGTGGGCGTCTCGATCAGCCGCTCTAGACCCTGCTTATTTCCATTCTTCATTATCACCCGGTCGATCGACCCCAACTCAAACCCACCCACCCCCTATACTTTCCGTCCCCACAACAGGCCAGCGCTGGTTGATATCCGCCGCTGGAAACATCCTCATAACACCTGATCATACGTTCCACTGCCCTGCGGTAAGCTTTCGTCCTCCCTATCTGGAACGTGGGCGTAGATATGACTGACGCGTGTTAACGGTGTAGCTTCCGCAAAACCATGAATCCGTATCTGCGCTGGGCGATTTTGCTTCTCGTCGCCGGTGGGCTGGCTTACTACTACCGAAAGGGTTCTCCCAAGCCGAAATCATCCTCCATCAGATCGAGCCTGGAGAAAACAGACCAGTCTCTGTCGACTAAAAAGCTGAAACAGCGCAAGCCGAAGAAGGCGCCTGAAGCGACAAATACCAGTGGTAGCCCTACCCCGACCCCGCAACCTCAACCTCAACCGGGAGTAGCGCCTGCCACAACGTCTGCCGCTGCCGATGAGGGCATGAGCAACCTCGAGTTCGCTAAACAATTCTCCAAGGTGAGAGAAGGAAATGCTATCGCGACCGGTACCTCGAAGAAGGCCACTCCAGCACCCCAGCCGGTATCTCGCCCGATGACGGGAGGCAGCGATGCGCCTGGTTCGACCAGTGCTTCATCTTCGATGACCGGAGGGGATGCAGATGACGATCTGTCTCCCATCGGATCCCCAGTTATCAAGCCAGCTGGCGACGTATCCGACATGCTCGAGGCACCTGCACCTGGAGCGTCTGTCCTCCGACTCACCGGATCGATTGAAGACGAGCAGAAGGCGAAGAAGAAGACCAAGAAGTCTGATGGATTTAAACCGGCGGAGACCAAGAAACAGAGACAGCAGCGAATCAAGAGGGAGAATAACAAGCGAATGGTTCAAGAGGCGGAGACGCAGAGACGCGCTCTTCTTGAGAAGCAGCTCCACACTGCCCGCGAGCACGAGCGCCAGGAGGCCGCGAAGTCCAAGCCACCAACCTCAAACGCGTGGGCGCCTACTGCTCTCATGAACGGAGTGAAGAAGACCGAAAGCTCCCCAGCTGCGCTCCTTGACACTTTCGAGCCAGGCACCAAGGACGCTACCCTCAAGTCAAAGGACAATAACAACAACAAAGGTTCAGCGGCAGCGCCAAGGAACTGGACGGATGACTTACCTTCAGAGGAAGAGCAGATCAGGCTTTTGAGTGCCATGAGCAGCGAGAATGAATGGACGACGGTTTCAAACAAGAAAAGGGACCGGCGCCGAGCAAACAATCCAGGTGGGGCAATGAGTGATACAAGCACCTCAGACGCCCAGGTTGTCAAGCCTGAACCTGAACCTGTTGTGAAGAGCCGTCCCCATGTAGAAGAGAAGACATGGACAGAGCAAGGCCATCCTCTTGATTCTGAATGGGCTGCGTGAACAGGAAACAAATTAAAAAAAAGAAAAGAACAAAGAAAGCCAGCATCTATTTACTCTCCACACTTTTTAGCCATCAGCAAGCAGGCAAACAGCACTCACATTGCAATCCTCACCGTGCTCTTCTCAACTGATGCAATGTAAGAGTTATTTTAGCATTTGTGTACCTGGTGTTTAGTTTTCTTTTTTCTTTTTAAGGCTATCTCTGTTTTTTTTGTCCTTTTGTCTGCTTCTGGTTTTCTACAAAACAAACTCTCCGGCACGGTCGCAATACGACTTCAGTTGATCTAGGGACATCCCACTTGAGTCTCAGGTCAAGTATGCTCTAAATCTCATTTTTACCATGCAGATGAGGCATCGTCACAAAAGGAGTTTCATTCCTAGTCAAGCAATCCCTTTTATAATTGAGGCAAAGGTTGTTTATGCAGCTGATCTCCTGGTGCTCCAGAATTCACCTACTGTGACATCTTTATACCCTCCGCCCTCATATTCCCTCTCCTTTTCATCCTCTCTTCTACATTTCAGCTCTACCCTTGATACACCAAAAAAATTCCCTGTCTGAACTCATGACCTTCAAATGCAGCCCAAGAGAGCCTGTTGTGTGTCTTTATTTAATTATGTTTTTTCATCCATGTTGAGTGCTTCTTCATGCTGGCCCCAAGTATGCTTGCTTCTTACCTCGCCTCCTTACTATTGATGCAGAAGCAAGAAAGGGAGAGTTCAAGAGCTCCGCGGAAGCATTTTGAAGACCAGCATTTGATTCTGTTTTTTCCAATTTTGCAATTGATAGTGATGTTCTTTTCTATGTGTAAATGTATTCTGCTACTGCTTCTGTTTGTATGTATTTAATCCGGCGGTTTTTTTTCCTTTTTTTTTTTTTTTTTTTTTCTTTTTCTCTTCTTTTGCTTCATTGCTCTAGTCAGGCTTGTCTGGGTTGTGTGGATTTATGAAGAAATTCCTTGTACAGTGACCGCAAGCCCTTTCTCTCTCTTTCAATGCCAACTTTATATTCATCCACGCCAAGGACTGATAGATCGAAAGGCCATGAAATATATCTCCAGTTGAGAGCTTTGACTGGGTGTATGGGTCAAGCAAAATAGATCGGCCGGCTCGGTGCGGACATGAAAGGGTTTGGCGGCTGGTTGAACGGCGCCCCCGAAAAAAAAAAGGAAAAAAGAAAAAAAAAAAAAAAAAAAAAAAAAAGAAGAAAAGAAAAGAAGAAATTAATGCTGAGACTGATCCAGTAACAACCAGCCTCCGTGGACCTCAGCGTTGCCATGTAGCTTTTATAGACGACCTGCTCCAAGTTAGCTAGACTATTTGAATGAACCTTTCAGGGCACCACATTCTTGTCTTTATACTATAGTTCTATGTGATATTCTTTTACAGCTTCATATATGTGTGTGTGTGACTTTGGAGAGCATGGCAGCATTTATCTTGAACTGCTTGAGCAAAAGAAGGCAAATTATGGATATGGGATCACTGCCACTGGGATGAGAGTTGAACAAGGGGCAAAGCATACATGATGTAGGGATGTGGTGTTTTTGTGATTGATGTTTAGTGTAGCGTCTCTTACTCCTCCTTCCGTGGCGTCTTTACTTGTGTTTGTTCACTGGAAGGAAGCAACTGATGTAACATTTTGCAGAGTCAGTATGGCCAATATATCCCTGCTAGTTATACAGAGTAGTAGAAGTATACTATGACGAGGGCGCTTCCCTGCCTGCATCTTTTCTGCAGACACAGTGGACACCATGGCTGTCCCGGTCCGATGTTAATCCCCTGTGGATCCCGTGATATGATCGCCCGCCAGCGGGCTTGGCAACCAAACCGCATGCAGCAGCATCGAGTGCCGTCCGGAACAAGAGTTAATCGCATCGTGGCCTGTACTGGGCACCCTCCGGTCCTCACTTCACAGCTTGTTGTCCCAATTCATTTATTCTCACAACTCCCCACCTCTTCTATTCTGACCCTCCTTTTTACTTTTCCCCCTTTGTTTTATTGTTAAGTTGTCACAATTTTTGCCCCTGCGATTCTGTGAAGAAGCAGCAACTCATCGGTCTCATCTCGGGTTCTTCTTCCTCTCCCTCCTTTACCCCCCGCCCGCGCCCGCGCAACTCGCCACGAGTGAGGAATCAACTGTCAACCTTCCCTTCCCCACTCATCCTTTCAATTCTTGAATAACAACATAGCTTGGGCCCGAGCGAGTCATGGCGCAGATCCGCGGCACTGCCGGATACAATCTGGGTCACAGCAACCCGTTTGTCGGTCCCGGTCGGGCTGACGCTACAAATGACCCGAGTCCCTTGGATGCGATCCGTGAGCAGACCAGCAAGATCGAAGACTGGTTGGAGACCATTTCAGACCCGATCAAGCCGTATGTCTGCAAATTTCAAGCCCTCTTTACTCACTCCCTTAACACCTCACCTCCGTTTCTTTTTCCCCAAGACCTTGTGCCCCCGCCCCCAGCCAACTTTTCAACCTTGTTTTCCATAGTACGTTGCAACTAACCAGAATATGTGTTTTGGTAAAGATATCTTCCCGCAATTGGCCGTTTCTTGATTGTTGTTACCTTCCTCGAAGATTCTCTGCGCATATTGACACAATGGGGCGACCAGCTCTCGTATTTGCACGAATTCCGATCCTGTATGGGGCGCCCTCCCTCTCTCCTTCCGGCTTCTAGCCGGCACAAATCGCCGTGCAGCTCATGTGTAGCCTTCGGGTGCTAATTGCTGTCGTCTTATACAGTCCCACGAGGAATTTCTCATATCTTCCTTCTCCTGAACGTTATTGCCATGTTGGTTTGTTCCGTCTTTGTTATTGCCCGTAAACATAGCGAATACGCTGTCGCCGGTCTCCTTGGAGTTGTCGTTTCCCAAGCCCTCGGATACGGTCTGGTCCTCGACTTGACCTTTTTCGTTCGAAACCTCAGCGTGATCGGGGGTCTTCTCATGGTGCTCTCAGACTCGTGGGTCCGCAAGAAGTTCGTCCCAGCCGGCCTGCCTCAGCTCGAAGAGAAGGACCGCAAGATGTATGTCCAGTTCGCGGGACGTGTGCTGCTCATCTTCCTGTTCATCGGCTTCATTTTCTCCGGATCCTGGGGCTTCTGGAGAATTTTGGTCAGCATCCTTGGATTTGTCGCGTGTGTTATGGTTGTCGTCGGCTTCAAGGCTAAGTGGAGTGCCACGATTTTGGTCGTGGTGCTCAGCATTTTCAACATCCTGGTGAACAACTTCTGGACAGTATGTATCTCCGATCAAAAAAAGAGGGGTGGAAAAGGGTGTGGCACTGGGTGAGATAGTTACTGACCACACCGCACAGCTTCATTCCAAGCATCCTCACAAGGACTTTGCCAAATATGACTTCTTCCAGACTCTCTCCATCGTGTGAGTATTCTCAATGCATCTTAGCTGGTGTTTCGTTTCTTTTTGTCTGAGTCGCCAGCTGGACGATTACTAATGGATTTGTTTCATCAGCGGCGGCCTCCTCCTCTTGGTTAACATGGGTCCAGGACAGCTCAGCATGGATGAAAAGAAAAAAGTCTACTAATTTAGCCCTTCCCCCAAGCACTACAACTGCACGCATTGCATTCACATTACATTCTAGTTGTCGCATGAACTGTCACAAGGAGAGTCCGGTTCTCCAAACTGAGGTTGAAGAGCTGGAATTGGATCGCAATGTGATATGAAGGAACTCTGCATAGTTGCATGAGCCTCGACACCCTCAAAACTCATGTATACCCCTCCCTGGCGCACCAGCCAGCTTACCCCACATTTCCCATATTCCAATCCTTGGATTGAATCCATCTGATCTGAACTACAAGCAACCTCGAAAAAGGTCACCCTTTTCAACGTCTTTTTTTATGGTGGTATTAGCTGTCATTGGAATTTCAAATAGTCTCTGGAAGCACAAAGCTTGCAGTTTTGAATAACTACTTCAATTCAGATGCTAACATTTCTTTTCTGCCTTTTTTTTTTTATTTTTATTTTTATTTTTATTTTTTTTAACAAAAAAGCTCCTTTTCGGATCTAGCAACTTTACGGTGTATCAAAAACCTTCCAATAGTGTATTCTATAGGCTTCCTTCACATCCCACTTCGCATTCTTCGATCAGGCATTTTCTATGTAAGATTAAGGTCCGTCTCTCCACCGCCTGGGAAAGAAAAAAAAAAGCTGCTCGATATGTTTGGTTCAAGAAAAAGAAAAAAAAAAGAAATATAAAAGACAGTTGTAACAATGCCTTTGTCGAAACCTGCAGCTTTTACATATTGCGTGCATGGTGACGTACATGAGTAGACTTTGCTTGTTTTTAGACCTGCATGAGTATGTGGCCGAGTAACATTGGGGTTGTGTGTGTATTAATATGTACTCCGTACTCCTGTTCTAATTCAAGACAAACAGGCAGTTTAACTCATGCATATACGAACCTGAAAGTACTCCAGGTAACATGTATGTTGCATCGTGGGGCATTGCAGGAATGGTATTTGCATTGTCAAAATATGTACTCCGTATTCTTCCCGGACCATATGCATGCAGCCATTGAAGGGGCTTGTCCCAGATGTTTTCTTTGTCTTTCCATTGACTCCCAAGGAATATCTAACAATATAAGGATTCGTGGGACTGGAAGAAAAAAGAACGATCTCAGTTGCTATCAATCATTGAATAAAGAGCCATGGTTTCTTCTTTTCCTTTCGGGAAAAAAAAAAAAAAAAAAGGATGACAAAGATCATCGAAGCATCGCCTCGGTAGGTAAAAACGCTAATGAGACAACGTACTTGCTTGCGTTGGGATAAAAGAGACGAAAGGGAGGGTGTAAAAGAGTCGCAGCGAATAGCTGCAATAAAAGAGCGGTTTAAAGCAATTAATTTGAAGCCGTAAACGATTTTCTACTATTCTTTCTCCAAGGCCAAATGGCAAAAGGTTCTAAATATCCATACTCCATCGATACGGTTGAATATGCCGAAAGTCGTCGAAATCATCAGCGTCCGCTTCTAGCCGCAAGCCAAGACAGCGCTTAGTGTTATCATCAAGGTTATTGGCATGAGTATTAGCAGCCCATATGGGTGTTAATGGGGTTCGAAAACGAAAAGCCTTTCCGCTGTCAACAGTGTCGTTTGTCGATGGACGATCTTCGGCGTAGGTGGTGGAGGTTTTGTGTAGCAAGGCTGAGGATGATGCTACAAGGGGTTCACGTTGAAGAGCTCGGGAGCCAGGAGAATTAGAGGGAGAGATCAACGTAGGAGATAAGGTTAGGTGAACGTTTCCGGATGTTTCTGTGTTGGAGGGTAGACGGGACGATGGCGCTATCGTGGAAAGTGGGGCACGGGGCGTTTGTTGTCTAGATATCGAGGATTCTAGAGAATCGGTTGAAGTCCCGAACGACAGGACTGGGCAAAGAATATCGCCTGACTGTTGCTCGGGAGTCTTTCGGTGACTGGAGGTTGTGGGTTGTAAGGCATGGGAGCCCTCGCTCGGGTTAAGAGATATAGGTGGAGGTGATCGACCTGACAGCGGTTTACGTCCCTTATGAGATGGTTTAATGCTTGGGGAAAGCTCGGGTTCTTCAGGAATGGCTGAGGGCCTTTTGAGAGGGCTGGTATCACGACTTTGCCGTACCGACGTTTCAGCCCTCACCTTCCCTGCCATGACCTTCGCGCTGGGGGGAGGTTGTAACATCCACCGAGTTTCTGCTCTGCTTCGAGGGCCACAGACAACAGGAGGATGGAGATCGTTGACTTCTGGGTTCCGGGCAATGTAGTACTTGGACGAGTTGAAAGAATCTGATCGCCCTCGACCCGAAAGTCCCACCGATGACCCCTTCACCTCTAATCCCCACAATTCCTCATCTTCACGCTGATAGCGAAACCTATTCCAAGCATCTCCAATAGGGTTCTTCAACGCATCTTTATCCTTCTTGAGGCCCTCCAGCGTTCCCGTTAGAACCTCCGGATCGGCCGGTCGCTGAGGGGAGGTCAGATTTCTCTGACTACTGGTACGGCTGGTGCCATTTCTATGTCCCTTTCGTGACGGCGGTCCGGGGCCGAGAGCAATCTCTTCACTCCAGTAGGAATTTGTGGTGAATGGAAATGGCTGGTGAAAGAAGACAGGTTGGTCTGTGACTATACCCTCCCTGCTCGGATCTCGGACGGTTCGTGCAGCCTCTCTCTTCCGCTTACGCCTGTAAAAGTACTCGCCGCATGGTGTACAGGAAGCGTAGTAGAACACTGCGGATTGTGCTCCTCTAAAGAGCCACATTCCGCGGCACTCAGACGGTGGAATGGCCGGAACTCGACAACTGACTGGTGGACAGGTCGAAAGGGTGCATTACGGAGATGGTGGTGGATTGTATTGCATGAGCTGGAGCACGGATCTGTATGGTCGAATGCACAGCGTTCTGTGAACATGGGTGAGGTCTATAGGGGAAGCTTTTTCTGGGGGGTGCTTTTGTCTATTCAAGGGAGGGGCTGGAAGTCGTCAGAGTGACCCGTGGCAACCGTAAATAAAAAAGACGCATGAAACCTTCGCCATCCGCCCAGCGTGACGAGATAAAGACAAACACAAAACGCCGGCGTATTCTATGCAGTGTTGAAAGAATTGATGGGTGTTGATGCCAGAGCAATCGAAGGAAAAGGAGAGCAGATCAGAGGAAAAGGAGGAGAATAGGGGATCAAATGGCCGAGTTGGGGTTGCCGCGAAGTGATGATGCTGCGATGGGTGCTTAGCGGGAAGGGGCAGAACCGCCGCGCTAGCCCGTCCAGGTTAGGCTGGAGGTTGGCGGGGCTTTCGGTGGATCCGAAACGCTCGGCGGGCGAAAATACATGACGAGGCAGTTACAACCATACGCAGTACCGCCGCGGCGGTTCCCTGACCCCTCTGCCGTGCCCGGGCTGCCATTGGCCACTGCCGGCGCTAAGCATTTTTTAACCGAGCCTTTCCTCTAGTCAGTGGGCCGCAGGTAATCTATTCTCGAGCGTTCTGTATCGACGTTTCCACGATTACCGGCCTCTCCTGCTTGTTTCGACTCCGGGAAGGGAAAAATCCTCCGGAACGCTCACCCGATATCAGATCCGATCACAAATGTATGTATGTGCATACATAACTGCGGAGTACAGCTATACCTCTGTAGATATGGGCGTCGTTGAGGCCATGTTGGAAGAAACATCTCGTAGTTGAGTCGCCCTGCACTAGGCTGCTCTGAGGGATTTCCTCGCCTGAACAGATCCACACACTGGCACCTAAACACTCAACCCGCTGCAAGTTCAGGAGAACCATGCAATTTCTCTAACAACTGATGCTTGGGCCTTCCAAGCAATTGGGCACTTGTCCGCCATTGCTTGACCGGAAAACGGTGAAATGCGGCATTTGTTTGCACCCATAAACTCACCTCCTTGCGGTGAACATGCGCCGAGACTGGGCGTATTATCGTCTGCAGGCCTGTGGAGGGGCCCTGTGCACCCTTTGCGTGTGCTCGGTATGGAGGTACAGTAGAAATTGGCCTGGGAGAAAGCACGCACGCGACACAGCACAAGAAGATTGGAACATAAATTACCCCTCCAAGTTATTATCCTATAATTTTTTGTATATGATTTTTATGTCTAGTTGTGAGTAAATCCTTTTCTGTAATTCGCTAGGTCGGTCTCCGATTCAGCCCCCAAAGTTCCAAGAAATTCCAGCAACAAGGCAAGGAGCATCAATCGGATTAAACGCAACCTCGCAAGCATTGCCAGCATATGTCCTGGTTAACTATACGCTTGGCCCAATTGAATTAGCTGCATTCCCCTTCATATTGTTGCTCGGGCCCGACGATAGGTACATCAGACTTGTAACCCAATTCACCACCTATCTTCTAAACAGGGCTGCAATTGTTCAATTGGCATCGTTTCGAAATAGTAGACATAGTCGTACACCTTCAATCTGCCGAACAAGCCGGGAGGGAATGCCGTACTCCATATCAAGAGGTGTTTTTGACGAGATACGCCACGAAGGACCAAAAAAAAAAAATTATCCGAACCTTATACTGCAATGCCCGAACTTCTCCATGGTATGTAACATTGTGCTAGCCAGCCGTATGCCCGGGGGAGCCAAACGCCTCGCTGAAAGACCATTATTATTTTGTTTTATTGGCGTTGCGAGTATGGACAAGGTGCGCCTCTCAATAATTCTTCGTTCCCTTGATGACCTCGCCTTTGACTTTCGACCAGTCGATCTTCCCGTCTACCTCTTCGTCAATCTCCCCGCATATCACCACGTTGTCGCCACGAATCAGATATAGTCCATGGTCAACTTCTGAGCTCGGTTCAGGGTCATCTGGCGGCCTGATTATCCGCTCCACCGTTTCCGACAGGACGAGATTGGTGAGTTGGTCCGTGGAGAGAAGCGTGCCTATCAAGGTGCGGCCATCGACAGTGAGAACCAGGACCTTTTCTTAATTTGGCGGAAAGGGAAAGAAAGAAAAGAATATGTCAGCATCATCGTTTGAAAGCTGAGTGAGTCCAACAAAAAAACGAAAAGGAAAAGAAAAAAGAAAATAAAAAAGAGGCGAACATCCATGACGATTCGGTCGGGGAGAAGGGGCATTGGGTTACCAACTGTTTATATAGGGCTGCAGAGACATGGTTCGAAAGTGCCCTTGATTTTATCGGTAATGCTGCCCCCGGATTCACTAGTATAACCCTATGAGCCTTTCTCCTCCACGACGATGCTCTCCCTCCCAACCTCGCGGCGGCGATTGTCTGGTAGGTCTTGGGTTGAAGAAATCGCAAAAACAAGCTGCGATGGCTTTAGGGCAACAGTGAAGTCATAGCCTAAGTTCCGTATCTGAGAGCATCCAAGAAGAGGTAGCTTTCGTTTTACGTCGTTCTCAAAGCAGCAGCAACACAGCCGCGGTGCATGATGCCAGCGTCGTCCAACAACGACGACCACAGCTTCCAAGACGCGCTGCTTGCTTAATCCATGCTTAGTCATCATATTGGCACACTTTCCACAACAAATGGAGACGAAAAAGCAACTGTTTGAAAGATGGGCCAATCCTGTCCACTTTGGCTCGATTTCTATCTAGGCAGTTTGGTATGATGCAAATAAAAGGTCATCAGAAAATGAAGTATCCCCTAATATCCAGTTTCGACCCCGAACCCAAACTCCCAGTGAAACAAAGCAGTAGAAGCAGCAACTTTCGCCTATGCCGAACGCTTGAAAGTCCAAAGAACTCCGTAAGCCGCAAGAAAAAAAAAAAAAAAATAGAAGTTATTTGCTGGGAGCAACGTAAGGTATATTGCGAGCGCCTCTCGTGACGATGGGCGTTGTAGCTACCAGACTAGATTCCCACACAAAGCATAAACTAAGCGCAGTTATTTAGACTATTGTGGTATCTATCATTTTCCAAAGAATGCCTCCCTTCCCTGCAATAGTTTCGACTACTTCAGGATCGTCAGATCTAAAGGCACACTGCTCCCTCGTCCTGCACGGTACAATTTTTGGCCCCCCTTAAAATCCCTAGGTTTTGGCAAGTGAGATTCATTCTGGAACTTAAACCTTGAATCCTGAACAATGATTCTAGAACGTCCTCCTGTGGTTGAGGTTGTCGATCCAGTGCTTGATCGTTGCGGACCAGTGCCGTTTGAGAGCGTGTACGCGGACGGATCCAGCATCGAGCGCATTGGAGGTTGGTGTGCGGGACGCGCATTGAGGTCAGGGTGGTCTGCGAAGGACGGGGGACGAGAGGATAGTGGTGTGGAGAGAAGGGATGATGTGCGTGCTGATGAGGCAGACGGAGGGGACGCTGGAGGTGGAGGTGGCGGAGGAGCTGAAGGAGCCGAAGATGCGGCGGAATGTGAAGGTTGGGAGTGACCAAATGCGTTGCGAGCCGCTTGCATTGCTATGGAAGCGGCCGCCGCAGCCTGTCCGCCGTTCGCGACCGGTGGAGTTGGAGGAGGGGGTGGCCTAGGAGCCGATGTAGTAGGAGGTGGTGGAGGTGCGGATGGTGGAGCAGGAGCGGACAACGAAGGTGGCGCGGGGGGAGGGGGAGGGGCTGCGGACACCGGGGGTGCGGGAGGTGCGGAGACCTTTCGAGCAGAGCCAGGAACAGGAGGGGGTGCGCGTCCCGCTCCGGGCAAGGGAGGTGGTGCGCGTGGCGGTGGCATGTCAGGAGCGGACTTCGCTGAAGCCGTTGAAACCGGTCTTGAAGATGGTTTCGGTGGTGGTTTCCGAAGGTTTGCAACTAAAGGGTTTATCGCAGGTGGTGTCGGGGCTTCTGCGGATGGCCGAGGCGGTGGACGCGCACTTGGTAACTTAGGTGCTGTTGGGGGTCTGGGGGCGCTTCCTGTAGGTGCTGGAGGCTTCGGAGCCCGTGGTTCAGAGTCCGTTAGATATGAAGCGTCAGGTGCGGCTCCGGTATCAATTCCACCACGTTTCCTTAGCTTGGGCATTCCTCCGGCAAACAGGCCACCAAGTTGTGGAGCCGAAGGAAGAGCAGAGGCACCGTCGCCCATATAACCATCTCGGCCACTGTCACTATTACTTCGCGCTCGATTTCCCCCAGGTGCAGTGGGAGGAGCTAAACCAGTGGGTGGTTTGAACATCCCGGGTACAGGCGGTGCGCCCCCGACAGGAAGACCGGCCGAACTCCCTGAACTCTTGGAAATCATTGGAGCCGATCTATCATTCGTCACCGTTTTCTTTAGGCTCTTGCCTTTTGTGATATCCGTTAACAGCGCAGACTGGTATCAAGGTTAGCCTACGGCTCATTCGCCGGGTATGCTAGGACGCTTACTCTGTCCTTGGCCACTGCTTTGGGGGGTTGCTTTGGGAGATCTCCACTCCTTGGTGGTCTTCCCGGCGGAGGAGGCGGCGGCGGCGGAGGGGCACCACCGCCAAATCCGGGCAGGGGCGGTGGTGGAGGGGGAGGTGGTGGTGGAGGTGGCATGGTGCCTACGGGAGAGGTAGAGGGCGGGAATGTGGTTTAGTGAGGGAGAGGCATAGAAAATACTGCACTTTATCGAGATGATAGTGTATATCGAAAAGCAAAATGGATATTGTGCCGGTGTGTATTAGATGCCCCGACGACAAGAAATCAATCATCAATGAATCGCTGCTGTGGAGGCAGTCAGCTCACGATGTCGATGTGACGAGATGTTGGGATTGCTCGCTGCTCAGTATCGTCAGCATGTGGCGGTGCGGGTCAAGGCGATTAGATAAGCCACACCTGCACTTGACAGCTGCTGTGTCGGGATTTCACTGCATCATTGGAGCACAGAGAGCGTCGAGTCTCCGTGCTGCAGCAGAGAAATATGAAGCGCATTGCGCTTCGGGCTCCAAGAGGAGCTCGAGATCTGGTATGTCAATTCTGCGAGTTTTCCACGTCGTCCCGACGATTGGCGATGCGCTCCCAGCCAGCACTCGTCGCACCGCACGCTCCACGAGCTTCCAGAAATGCCGACACAATTACGGGCCATTCGAGCAATTTCACCCTTCCTAGAGCGTCTCTACACCGGTTTGCTTCGAGCTCTGCGGTTTTGAAATCACAAGATGACCCAGACCTCATGCTTCGTGAAGTGCTGAAAGATTCACATGTTATGATAACTGGGACGACATTACCAGACGAAGAGACGATTGTACGCTTACTCGAACGTTGCAAAAGTATTACGAATATTGCTCTTTCGGATAACAATGCTGCTGCGCAGACAGCCCAGGATAATGCGACATCGTCGCTTCTTGACCTTGAGAACGAAAACGGGAGCAGTAACAAGCCAGCCCCAAAGAGGACTGTACAGAAAAATTTCCGGCAGAGAGCAACAATTGGGATCTCATCTATGCTTAATGAATTACTGCGAGACCCGAAAGTTTTCATAACACCCAAAATCCTCCATGAATACACTGTGATCCAATCCCAGCTCAAAAAAGGAGACCACTTTCCCGAGATCTTTTCCCTCTACGCAAACAAACCCGCACCGCAAGTCAGCGGATCAACAATCACGTACCGTGCTGTCAATCCTAAAACACCGAAGAACGCAATACCACAGAAACTTGCCGATATGGCCCTCGAGGTTGCCATTGAGCAAAAGAATCTATCCCTTGCTCTCGCTATCGTTGACACAACCTTTTGCACGCCGGCTTTCCGCCGCGCTAAAGTTCTACAGCGGGCCTCCCTGCCTATAGCGGGATTAATCGGTACTCCCCCGGCAGCGTATATGGCCGCCAGCTATGCTTCCACTTTCCAAAACACCATGAATCCCACAACTTCAACGTGGATTGCCTTCTCTGCCATCCTAGCCTACATTACATTTACATCCTCAGTGGGATTGGTTGCTATTGCCACCGCAAACGATCAAATGCAACGTGTTGTATGGATTCCCGGCATGCCACTTCGACAACGCTGGTTGAGGGAGGAGGAACGTGCAGCAATGGATAGGATAGCCGTGGCTTGGGGTTTCAAAGATCCATGGATGCATGGTGAAGAGGAGGGAGAAGAGTGGGATAACCTAAGGGAGTTCTTGGGTATGAGAGGCATGGTTTTGGATAAAACAGACTTAATGGAAGGCATGGAATAAATCTGGCTTACATATGGCCCCATTATGACGAAATCTTGATAGAGTGTACAATACTAGGGCGATCGCAGTGCCATTTCTTAACCAATTACTGGGTGTCCAAATGAGAAGAGAACTATGACAGTGAATAGAAATAGTCGGGATATTGCTTTTCATTCGTTATTTGCAGTAGATCGTAAATACACATCTATCGACATGATAATGCGGTCATACAATCCATGACAGGCTTAATAGAGTCTCTTAGGAGGAGACATGGTGGCCTTAATTGTCAAGCTGCCAACGTTTTGCCAACCCTTCTTCAACAAGGAGACCAAGTAGTTGATGGCCAACATAATGTTAGAGATCAACTCATCCTCGGTCATGCCAACGTTTCCAACAGCGACACCCATGCAGAGCACCTTCTTGAGCTGGAACTTGATGGTGGACTTGACATCGTTGATCTTGCCCGCGAGATCTTCGTTGTGGGAGATAGGGGTAGGGAATTTACCGGCTAGAAACATTGTCAACGATGAACCGTCATGGAATATTGCAAATCGCGTTCTACCAACCTTTGGAGAGACCTGGACCCAAAAGACGGGGGATCTGCTTAATCAAAGAGTCGGAAGCAACAAAGGCATCGTATTTGCGAGCCAACTTCTTGATGAGCTTCTTGTTCTTGTTAAGCTTCTTCAAATCATCGGCGGACATGGCGTCAATGCCGTGGTGCTTGGCACGGTCAATGTCATGCTGGTCACCAAGAACGCTATCCGTCACAGTCATGCCATCAGCCAAAATCTAACCAGACCACATCCCACATATAGTTGTTCACGACATACCAGACGCTCATTCCAGGGCGAGGAACGGAGGGCAACTTGATGGTGCCGGAGAAACGCTTGTCACGCTGAGGATCATAGTTCTTCAAGCCGATCTGGAGCTCGACGGTTTCGAGGAAGTTTCTCTTCTTCTGGTTGTTGGAGTAATCCAGAAGTTGTTGCACGTTTTGGCGCACGCCAGCTGTTCGAGTTCCGTCAGTAACGGGCCTAGGCCAATTTGTCTATGTAAGCCCACTCACCGACTGTGACCTTGGACATGATGAATACAGTCTTCCAGAAGAATAACCTTGGGAGTAATTCTTATGGTGAGGACTTTGCGCTCGATATAGTGCTGACTTGAAGAACGAAAACTTCACGAGTTTCGCTTTCTAGCGGATTTGTGGAGTTGGGCCAGTTCTAGCCTAATAAGGGTTAGTGCAGCCCTAGTTAGATAGTTGTGCTGACTCATCCAGTTAACATTTCCCTGCAATTTCTGGGCTCAGCGCATACTTGGCCCAATCAACACATTTAAAGGATGGCCCTTCGAAATCAATTAAAAACTGGTATAGATTGCAGCAGCTATTTTTTCGCATTCTATACTCCGTATACAACGTCTTTGATATTTGTTCTTAGATAGTCACAAGTTCAGTGGTCTTTGCCATTGCGACAGTCACAAGGTCCTTTTCCTGCAGCTCCTCTATCTCTGGCGCTCCCTCCAAGGCTTCAAACCCACAACTCTGATACAAACTGATCGCAGGTGCATTATTTGCAGACACTAAAAGACTGATATTGACTTTCCGGGCCCCAAAATTCATAGCATCCTTTCCAACTGTCTCCACACTTTTGACCACGAGCCTGCGGCCAATCCCTTGTTTCCGTGCTTCTGGCAAAACAAACATCGATGCGGCAAAGTACGCCGCCTCCCCACTAACGAGCGAAGACATGTCCAAAGTCGAAGATGGCCCCATCGAAGAAAATACTTTCCATGGGGAAGCTGATTCAGATCCATCCGCTGCAAGCGCCCGAGGGCCCAGAAGAACAACCATTCCCACCCATGGATGATCTGAGAGGAGCTTTAGATCATCGTCAATGTGATCATCCTCACAACCCTCTGTCGGCGACGTCCTATTTTTAGCAAGCGCCACGAAAGTCTGGGCCAATGGGTTTTGCAGCCGCCGAGCCCACGCCGCATCGTCAAATTGGCTTTCTCGTTCATAACTCGAGGAAAATGCTGATGGATCAGCCTGGAGAGCGGCCAGACGAGCTTTTCGGAAGTTTTGGCTTAGCACTGCGAGGGTCAGGGGGGGAATGTTAGTCCCCGGCGGAACTCGGACCACGGTAGCTGTTTTGGGATTCATGTTCATGCAGGGGACTGTTCAGTGGGCTGTTGTTTCGTTTGAAATGAGGGGACGATATTGGTTTCACCCAATAAATGTATACGTCAATGAAGGACAGCAATGTTTTGAGTGAGGGGAGGAAGCGACTCGGGACCGTCTTCCCGCAGATCTCACGATATTTATGTTACTGCTGACAGGCTAACTGTAGTTAAGCCTGGTGACTCAAGGCGAAATCCCAGGCATGGCTCTGAGTCAGTCTTTTGCCATCGAGCGTTCCATCGCATCGTATGGACCTTTTCTGAGACCCCCTGTCCAGGGCAGTGCCTTAGCGCAATCCGGAGAGCACATGAACGGAGAAGACCGCTCCCTGTCCACTAGTTAATGGAACGCAGCCCGCACTGCCTCGGCGGCAGGGTCTGGTTGGTATGGGCTAAGCGCCGGGCAATAGTAAGGCTTGCTTCCATGCAGCGCAGGTCTGAAACGCCCGCCACCTTGTACTCCATAGATTGCCTTCAAAAGGGAGTGAAGTCCGTCATTTTTCAGGGTGTCACGAATTTTTAGTTTCCAGGTTGTGAAACTTTTTCTGATAACAATCTGGAGAGTCCGTGATCATTTGAGTTTAGAATTGAGTTTAACTACCGAATCGTTCCCGCAATGGCGAATCCACACCCCGCCTCTGAGGAGACACCATCGATGCCAGATTACTACTACAAGCTCCCAAACTGCGAATCGTTACGAGCGAAGCTTTGCAATCTCGATGACAGCTCTGATTTCAGGCGTTGCCAGTACTATCTCGGAAGTGATGAGACGCGTAACTTTGTCGTCGATTTCGATGACAATGGCGCCTGGTGTGCTTTTAACATCGAGAAAGATGAGCTATCTGCATTACTAGATAGGAATGTATGTTATTTTATTGTTTTTCCCATAACCTAACTGTACAAAATCACAAGACGGATGTGCTAAAACGCACGTACATACTAAATAGACATCGAAACCTTTTGAGACCAGATGGATGTAAGATAAGGAATCGTCTAGCCAAGCGAGATATCTTTGATCATTGACCGGTTTGGATCTATAGTAATATATGGGCCCCTGAACGACAGGTAGAATTGATACAGGTAGTGTTTGCAGTTGCAGCGCGTCTTCTACTTGTCGGACGGATAAACTAATGTATGCAGGCCCTTACCACCCGTTACGAAATGTCCCATCGCCTCGGAGGGTTAATGTGCTCGGATCCTTCGCGATCAAAAAAGATTACTCCCGTATCACCAAAGCTTGCGTGTGACAAGCCACACGCAGAGCATAACGAGGGAGACGACCTTTCCGAAACCACCAGATCGGGGGATATTGAATCAGGATCTCGTTTTGAAAAGCTTGCCTCAGTGGAAAGCCCCACATCCCTTGAGAAATCAAAAGAGTTCGACATGAGTGGCTTCTCATTCTCACAACTGGTAGACAAGATTTGGCACTTTTCGTCAGTGGACTATGGAAATGAGTGTATGGCTTCACAAAGAATATTCCTATTCGGGCCATTTTGCTAATTATAGCAGACACCTGTATAGGATACAATTCTCTTTATGTTGTTCCCAGTGTTGCATTCAAGCAGCCCCCAGGTAGACCTGATGGGAAACGAGTTTGGTCTTGGCTTATAGTGTGCACCGACGGTAGGGTTATTCGAGTAACCAAAGTTGCTTCAATAACACAGCTGACAGTGCAAAGGGACTGTTATCTCCATCCAGGAAAACCCTTTTGCCCAGGAAACGTTGAGCCCCGACCAGAGACAAGCCGCCTTGAAAGTAATCCGACGTAATACTGGTCTGATTCTTTCTGGGATATCAAAACAGCACAAAGAGAAAAAGAAGCAAAATCCGCTCATGAACACGCACATTAGGAATTTTTCTAATGCTTCCTCAGATATGAGGATCAAAGAGGGTGAAGGGCCGAGCTTGCTCTTCTACTATATCTTCGATGATTGGGTAACCAATTATGGCTTGGTCATAGGAAGAGAGCATTCGTACAGCTCCGCCCTTGAAAAGTTGGTGAGTAGTTTTTGCCAGTTCCAAGAAACCGTGATTGAAGTAGGCTGACACCAACCAAGAGAACCGATATGCTGGAAAAGCCCCAAGTAGACCTGATAACGGACCTCCACGGGATGGGAAGAGAGCTCGCGATTTTAAAAAGACTATATCAGAGTTACGAGCTCATTGCCACCAGAATTCTTAATCGACAGGGGCAGATGATGGAGCAAACGCGCAGAGTTAATACACGAACGGCCAGTCAAGTCCGAGGCCTGCACAAATATACTTCCGAGCCCATGCGAAACGAGAGTTGGAGATCGTTTCCCACTGAAAGAGACTGTGACGAGAGTATAGAAGATTTCGGGTTACAACAGATCGGAGGAGCGCCGTTGAAGGAAGCGGCACTCAACCGTATCGAGCGGCTTGCCGACCGAATAAGACTCTATGCTTTGAGTGAAATCGAGGAGTGTCTGAATGAAAAGGAGACCCTTACATTTTTGGTAAACAGTCATTACCTCCCGGTGTCCAAGTAATTTTCGAAATCTAACTCGTGTTAGGTTTTCAACTTGATCGCAATCAAAGATTCGCACGCTGTCGGAAAGCTAACCCGAAGCACTGTTCTACTTTCCAAGGTAACAATTCTCTTTCTACCAGTGAGCCTGATGACTAGTTATTTTTCCACGGAGATCGACGATCTCAAGGCCTCTTATACCGCCAAAAATTATTGGGTCTCCTTCGCAGTGATCATGTTCTTGTCCGCTGCAGGACTCTCTTTGTTCGGATGGATCCACAATGTTATTGGTGGCAAGTCAACACATCGGTCTATAAAAAGGCACTTCATGCAGGCGCGGAAAGCTCTGCAGCAAAGGAGGGCGAAGAATTACTCGTGATTTAGAGGGTTCGACTTTGGTGACGTCGGTCTTTTTCAAGCAACTTTGGCCTATCTTTCCAGTCTTGGTGAAAAACATTTTGGAATATTTATGATGCAGTGATATGGAGTATGACGAATGGAGTCTTATTATTTGTGGACATAGAGGGAGGAATCTCATGCAGTTCAGCTTGAAATCACTGTACGCCATGCAAGTCAGTAAAATCTCTAATCCAATAGGCCATGATGAAGCGCAGTCTCCTGCATTCTAAAAATGATGAGGAAGAATAACACCTAGCTTCTCTAACAAGTGTTCATGCAGAGCATTCCATTCAGTCCTGCAGCTCCAGAGCCTGATTAATTTTGGAGCCTGAGAGCTAAAAACCCTTTCGAATATTCACATGTGCCACTTAGAATTGAGAAAGTGGCCTCTTGTCAAGGAACCATTGCTGATCGCAGGCTGCACCAATTCTAAACAGAAATAAAAAGAGTGGCTGAAAAAGGATGATGAGACGAATGCTATTCTCATATTTTCCCCCGAGCGAAAGCAGTGTCATTCAGATTGCCTCCTCTTGTTTTTCTGTTGCTCCAGTTTATCGTGGAATCACGCCTTTTTTTGGTGTGGTGGGCCAGTTTGGGTGGCAGAAGGGCCTTGGCTGGGCAAGTGTGGGAGAGTGACAAAGGCTACGCTGAATTCCTCGACCTGACATTCTCCCCAAAATTTCCATCTCCATCAGAACAACTGTCAATCACCGGAAGATAGGAGACCTCTTATCCTTCCACTCAACCCACTACATTGAACTTTTTCTGACATTCGCCCCATCCGGCACTCTTTTCCTTGTGAGTTGATGCTCTTTCTTGTTTTCAGCCCTCTGTCAAAGTTACAAATGGACCCAACCTGTTCTGTCCCCTGGATGCCTACCCTCCTCATTTCACGTCCCTCCACCTCCCACATCAGCCACCTGTCCGCTCCCCTTTAGAACCCTCTTTGCAAAACTTTTACCAGGCACGTCAATATTATTGGTGCATATGCTAATCTGTTGCCCTGTTTTCCATCTACGTTTAGATCTCTTTTCCTACCTCTTTCTACGACAACACCACCAAGATGGGTATGACATTCTCAAAGCTGTTTGACAGCATATGGCGGAAGAAGGAGATGAGAATTTTGATGGTCGGTCTTGATGCCGCCGGAAAAACCACCATCTTGTATAAACTGAAACTCGGTGAAATCGTCACGACTATTCCCACAATTGGTAAGTGTTGGCGTGGCCGCGTTTGCATCCAAAAAAAAAAGACGTTGGGAGAATCCGGGGGTAGACGCTAACACATGCTGGTACCCGACAGGCTTCAACGTCGAAACCGTCGAATATAAGAACATTCAATTCACCGTGTGGGACGTTGGTGGTCAAGACAAGATCAGACCCCTTTGGAGACACTATTTCCAGAACACACAGGGCATCATTTTCGTCGTTGACAGCAACGATCGTGACCGTGTTGTCGAGGCTAGAGAAGAACTCCAGCGCATGCTTAATGAAGATGAACTCCGCGATGCCCTCCTCCTTGTCTTTGCCAACAAGCAAGATCTTCCTGTACGTCTTTGAACAATCCCTCCGATGTACCGGGCGCTACTAACGTGATTGCCTTACAGAATGCGATGAGCCCCGCCGAGATCACCCAGCAGCTTGGCCTCCAAAGCTTGACACGACGTGCCTGGGTAAGTCGTATTTCTCCCGTCATGCAGCGTCAAGCATAGCTAATCCGTCCCACAGTACATCCAATCCACCTGCGCTACAACCGGTGATGGTCTTTATGAGGGTCTCGAATGGTTGGCCAACGCCTTGAAGAAGTCCGGACATGACTAAATGCTCTCCAATGATTGATGTGTAATGCCAACAATTGGGATTACGTGTTGCGTCGGTGCGGAAATGTGGGCTTGGCGGTACACGTTTTGATAGGGTCCTTTGTTTCTCAAACCTGGCGTCATCTCTCTTACTTTCCGCCTAGTATGATTGTCGTGCTTTTACCTCTTTATATTTTGTCTCCTTTTTATAACCTTACTCGTTGTCAATTGAAGCCCTGCTTTATTTATATACACATCGGGGTGTCTTTGTGTCAACGAAGGGTGCGTCGTCTTTGGCCTGTCATATGTGTGCTCAAAGCCTCGTACAAAGCTGCCCCGTCAAACTCACTACAACCCTACCAGAGCTTTGGCTGTCTAGTATTCCTCTCCACACCTTATACTCTTTTTAGAAGTGTCTAATTACGGGGAAGAAGTCGCAAAACAATTGTACAAAGCACTTGCCGGCGTTACTTTCCGTCCCGCGGGGGTTTGCTTTATTCCGAATCATTTTTGGACCGGTCGGAACAGGAATTAATACATCGAATCATCTCGTCTCTTGCAACTTGGTTTCAGTGGCATGTCCATTCTTTTGAAATGTTTTGGCGGGGTTAGTGTTTTGAGTGGAACGTACGCCGAGGTGGCAAACAAAAGCTATATAGGCTTCGATAAGGCACTTAATTGCATCAGCTATAAGTTTCAATATATTCATCGGTTGGTAAATTCGCTGCATATCTGAAGTAAGGAATCTAATCCAATACTAGATATGGATTTATCTCTATAGAAACCGAGCAACGAGGCACAATGGGGTGTGAAGACCGAGGACATTTAAAGCAACAAGAGTTATAAAGAAATTAAAAAAAAAAAAAAAAAAAAAGAAAAAAGAAAAAAGGGTCCTTAATCTAGGAAATAGCAACCCGCCAACTTCGTTTAAAAGGTTTGTATTAATTGGTAAATTGGTAAGGTATTTGAGGGATTGCGGGCGACATATTTGCTTATGTATGTAGTAGAGTGCTGTGTGTTTGTAGGAGTCTGGTATCAAAGAAAAGAAATCATGTCAAAATCATCCAGGAACCCGGGAATATGCGCTTGCCATTACTCGTTTGTCATCATCGTGAGGTCATGAAATCGTTATCAAGCCGTGTTCTTTGTTCACATCGATTCCATGGCGTATGCGGCCGTATCAGGTCGTGTGGACATTTTGGTCAATTCAGAGCCGAATTCGTTTCTGCCTGAGAATCACCGTGTGTCGCTCGCTGAACTTGTAGAGTGGCAACCTTGTGGGTACAGCTTTGAGAGCGCGGTTCGATACCCGTTACCCACCACGCAGCGGCATGGACGATCTGTATCACACACTGCAAGTCCTCTATCGTCTGGGGCGCGTAGATCATTACGAATCCCGTAGGCACAAATCTCAGCTTCCACCACCAGCTCTCTCTCGCTAGGGGATGGCGTTCTCCCCATCCCTTATCGATGATGTGTTTCACGTCCAGGGGGTGAAGTGTTAGGTGGAGACTGCCGTCGCTTGGGTGAGAATGACATACTTCGCCGTTGCAGGTCGGCTGGTTCCTCAGAGTCGGAACCGAAAACAGACCAGTACTGTGTTTTTCGAAGCATGAAGTATCAGTGTAAAAGCGGTCGGAATTATGGACGGATATATCTTTGATTGCGGCTGCAAGCGCTGAGTACATGGCCGAAGTGCCTCGCTGGGTTATTTGACGCTGGGGAGCGATCCCCGCGACTTTAGGTCGGGATAAACTCCTTTTGGGCAAATTCTGTAGAATACCGGCATGAGGGTGAAGGTCGGGAGGCAGACAGGGCGGATTTAGAGGATCTCTAAGCACGAAGATCTGCAGCACACAGATTCGAAGGTACCCTCTAAAGGTCGAGGGCGTACCTCCTGGGCCTAGGGCTAAGAAGGCATGATATCCGCTGCGTACCCTCCGAATGAACAGCGTCAGAACCAGTATTGATATTGTAGAGAGAAGCGTAAGCATGAGCAGTGAAGAGGTGTATGAATCCACATCAATAAGGGCCATGTATCCGGCGCCAAATTGCTGCGTGGACGAAGAAGCTGCTTGTTGATGTCGAGATGGTGAGCGTGATATGCCGAAAACCCAAGGCACAAGACCGGCTAAAAATCGCTGGACATCCAACTGCATACCATTTGTGCTTGAGGAGGCTGGAAAGGTAATCATAGAACTTCGTGATTTGAAGTAGAAAACAAAAAGTCCTCTTGCATTCGGACTTGAAAGCAGGGGGACAGGCTATATGAACCAAATAGAAGAAATTATGAGAATATAAACGCAATATCAAGAAGGATGGTTCCTCGTCTTTATCACAGGGCTCATTGTGTGATTGATGCAGAATCGGCTCTAACAGTGAACCAACGCGGCAGGTGAATTCCAATGCCTGACTGGTCATGCCCAAGGATTGATCGATTATTAACATTTAGTTGCATGAAAACTGTGTTCAAAGCTATTAGCATGATTGTCTCTTGCAGCTTCGGAATTGGCCTAGGTCATTGCTAAACGATGTTGTGTGTGCATGACACATATGCCTTGTTCAGATGACATCCAGGCCACCCAGCTAGTTAAATTTGGGTGAAGGTGGAGTTAGTTTGTCACAAATTGCCACTCTTTTTCAGATTTCCCACCATATATCCAAGATGACGTGCCTTGTTTCTTTATTGAATGTCGGGTTCTTGATGGCAGTGTCTCCAAATGCGATTAAAAAAAGAAAAAGAAAACTGAAAAATCCAAAAGCTGTTCCCCACACAGCTGGTGCAGGAGCTGTAGATGCATAGATTTGTCCTTTCAGCTTTATGTCAGCTTGAAGGGAAAGTCACTTTGGATGTAGCCTTCAGCCATCCGCCAGTTGATGTGTTTCTTGGATTCGATGCCACCATGGAGCACGGAGAAGTTACGCAACAGCCAGCGTCAGGGCTCCACGGAGAGCCATGTCATTGATCCACGTTCATCAGGGACGGAACAGTTGCCAGAATCTCCAACACTATGGACGATTAGCTGGCATTCTCAGCCCAGTTTGTGCGGTGTATTTTGTCATCGATAGCTCTGGATTCCTCGACGCTGAATGGTACCCATCCCACCTGTCAGGGCAGGACCGTGGCTAGGGATCAAAATTGACTTTCATCTCACCCTAGACTGACTCAACATAGAGGGGTGAATCTCTTTACTCCGGGGTGTGGAGGAAGAAACTTATATGTTCAAAAATTTTGGAAGTCTCAAAATCCCCACTTCTACGAAGGAGACATGAGAAGGATTACAAGTAAGGGATTCGAAAATCGAAGATACCTACATATCCATCCAGTGACAGTTGGGCCTCAATAGCCGCTAGCTAACGTATTCTCGTATGTTTTCGCCAGACACCCGGCATCGCATAGTTTCTCCTGAGTCCTGCATCGCACTGTTACCTACCCTGGTTCTTTCTGTAGCATGTGCTGCTGTCCTTTTGCCTCATCACTGTTGTATCCCTATGATAAGAGGCCATCAATGAATTGCTTTTCGATATATGTACGGGGTACGTACATACATATATCAGTCTGTGACACTTTTGCAAACAAAAATAGTGGCTTGCCACGACTCATATGGACCCTGTATGTTGTATACCCCCAGATTTTAGATCGAACCAACTAATTCCGGGGGAGTGGGGTGGAATCGATCTGTCAACTCGGCTGTTTCTTCAGTCACTGCAGGAGAACCATGAAAAGTTGTGTCCACAAGTCTTGTCGGCATTTCAGATCCTCAATCCAGGGCCATACGAGGTTCAGTGCTGGCATTGGATAGAAACGTTTTTGTAAGTCATCTGATGCATTACTCATTCATAGTAGTTGTCCCTCCATGCCAGCTCAAATGCTGTCGCTGGACAGAAGGCTCATTGAATGCATCCTCCATGCAAAATGTCGTGGATTCGATCCTGTAGGGGTGTCCAGCCGACATCGTGGATTTGTGGATAAGATGCCGCGCTTACCTCATCAAATAGGCTATTCCACATTTGGATTAAATTTCTCGCTGAGTCATGCCCGAGGATGGCGCCAAGACGTGGTTGCCGTGGTGAACGCGCTCTCACATTAGTCCGAATTAGGTATAACCTCAACCAATCAAAACGGCTAATGGGACGTGCGGGTCTCGAGTCTGGCGCTGCGATTGGTGGAGGCCTTGGCGACTGTTGACTCGCGTCCGTTCCGTGAGCGGAAGGCTTGGACGACAGAGGCACGTTTGACGTCAAATGGACGACTGAGAAAGCCCCGGACGTCGACTGTCTCGAGAAGATTCCCTACCTCTCTCCGGTGGCTCAAGCTTCTAACCTCATCATCCTCTCTGGCGGATCGCTCTGCGTCGCCAAAATACTACTTTCGCTCATCTTCCATTGGGTGAATCTAGTTCGCAGGGCGTTTGACGGCTGTGAGATGCTCGAGTGACAACTCTCACCAATGCTTCGACCCGCAACTTAGCCTGTGATTCTGGTACGATTTTTTTTTTCCCTCTTCTTTAAACCAGGGCAGTGCAATGGGCAAAAGAGATTCATCATATCGGGAGAAATACCCGTATCTCTCTCGAGAATCGTCCTTCGAACGCGATGAAGAATCCTACTCTTTCTCTGACTCCTCTTATGGAACGTCGGACTCTGCAAGACCAATACTGCACCCTCCAATACCGCGCAAAAGACCCGTATTGCGGCCTTATCGTTTCCCGCACACTGTGATGAGATGTGTCTGCCTGGGAGTGTTTTGTGCATTGCTCTTGTTCGTGTTTGCCCTCTTTAGGGTTACTCTGATACACACCTTTATCAAGCCCATTGAAATAAAGCTCCCAGAGGGTGAGCTGCTGCCGAGACCACCACAGTGGGAGAGATTTCCCTTTCTCAAGCGATATTACGGCGGTATAAAGACGTTAGTGCCAAGACAGAATAATGTGCCTGAATACCCTGGCGAGGAAGTCGACGAAAAAGTGAAGAGCGGTAAAGGCTTGCCCACAGAGGATAAGAAGAAACGGGATTCTCAGCTCTCCAGTTTCATCTTTGATCCATATCCAAATTATACCTCCCCAGAATACATCGCTAGATACGGCAGTAAAAAGGATTGTTTTCTCGACACGGCTGGAAAGGTCTCGGTCCCATATGTCCGCCATTACAATGGTGTCCCGAAGGGATTTCCAGACGCCATAATTGGTTCGAATGAGTTGCTCGGAATCAAAGACGACATTTGCTTCGATCGATTCGGGAGGTTAGGTCCTTACGGCTTGGGATATGGTTCCAGATCTGGGGGCAGTGGTGCCGGACTTGAGGGTGACAGGTCTGGGATAGAATCTGTTTGGGAAGACGTCCCTCCTGTCGATTTTCGGGGTATCCAATGGGCAGAGGTTCAAGACCGTTGTGTTTCCGCGAACCGACACCGTTTTCCAAAACCATCCAAACCGAGAGTTGACTCTTTCCGGACGCTTCCACTTGCAAAACGACCCGAGGGTGATCAAAAGGGAACTGAGACGGTTCCCGCTAATGTCACGATTGGAACCGACCGTCTTCCTCGGGTTGCATTTATCATTCGCACGTGGCACGATTTCAAGTATAACAAGGAGTCCATCATGTACTTACGGTCGTTGATATCCGAACTTTCTTTGGTATCTGGCGGAGAATATATGGTACATTTCCTTATCCATGTACGGGACGACAATCTTCAAATTTGGGCCGACGACGAAACATACAATCGTGTTTTGGAAAACGCCCTTCCCAAGGAATTTTGGGGGATGGGGAGTCTGTGGTCGGAAAGACAGATGGGACTTATTTATGGTGGGCTTGAGGACGCGTTCGTTCGAGGTCTACCAGTTCATGGTGTTTACAGGAGCGCATTCATGCCACTACAATACTTTGCTCATCAGCATCCGGACTACGACTTTTACTGGAACTGGGAGATGGATATACGGTACACAGGGCATTGGTATCACCTACTCCATAAAATCTCGGAATGGTCAAAACAGCAGCCACGCAAAGGGTTATGGGAGCGAAATTCACGATTCTATGTTCCCAATGTCCACGGATCGTGGGAAGATTTCCGACAAATGGTCCGTGTACAGACTGAAATTGGAACGAATAATCCGCACAATATGTGGAGCGCGTTAAGGAAAGATCAGAAAAAGGGCTACCGACCATCAGAGCTCCAACCGGATAAGCCGATCTGGGGGCCCGAAAGACCTCCGGCAGAACAAGATATCCTCGAGGTGGGCGGTGAAGGGATACCGCCAACGACATACGAGAAAGATAAGTACGAATGGGGCGTAGGCGAGGACGCTGACCTCATTGTTTTAAACCCACTGTACGATCCCGAAGGAACAACCTGGCTTCTGAAAGATGATGTCACCGGGTACAACAGGAGCCACGAGTATCCACCGCGACGAACGTCGATCATAACAGCATCTCGTCTTTCACGCAAATTACTACATACAATGCATCGTGAAACTACCATAAAGCGACACACCATGTTCTCGGAAATGTGGCCCGCCACAACATGTCTTCACCACGGTTTCAAAGCCGTGTACGCCCCCCACGCTGTCTACATAGACCGACGGTGGCCACCGGTGTACCTGGAGTCTATTTTCAATGGAGGCAGGAATGGAGCCAGCGGTGGTTCACGAATGTCAGTCTTCGGGGACCGCGAGCATAACTTTCAAGGTACGACATGGTTCTACTCGGCGGGACATGCCCTAAACCTCTGGAACCGATGGCTTGGGTATAAAGTGAACAATGACGGCGGTGAAGACTTTGAGCTCGCTAACGAGGGGCGCATGTGCCTTCCACCGATGCTGTTTCATCCGATAAAGGAAGTGAGTTTGACCATTGACAGCAGTTGACCCGTGACCACAAATCGGAGCTGGTGTACATGGATTGTTGATGTTTCGGAAAATGCTTTCCGATCTATAAGTTTTCTGCACTTCTTCTGTTCTGTTTTAAAATTCCCAACGAATGCTCCGTGTTCAGTGCTTCTCACTTTAGTCAGCGCCGTGGGATTTCGCCTTCTCGAAAGTCGAAATCCACGATCCACAGAACTTAAAAGATTTGAGATCAGATCCCGGCTGGATCATTTTCTGTGGCGAAACTATTTTCTTTACCAAGCAAGAGGGCTTGGGGATAAGGCTATGCATTCCATGGTTTCACTGTAACTCGATTATGCACAGTTTTTATACATCCGAGCCAAAGGCGTGGCGATGGGCATATGTGTTTCTTTTTTTAGGGTCCTGGTGTTATGGGGGAATCATCATTCTGCGGTATGCATCAAGGAGTTTATGTGGCCATGGGAAATTGTTTCTAAGCGGGGTAGAAGGACCAGAATTTCCTCTACATGCATATGATGTACTCAAGAGCTCTGTGAATAATATTTTTCTTTATATGCGACTAAGACTCCAAAGATAACTTCAAAGTTAATGAAGCAAACCTGGGAGCGGGGAGTTAGGATGTTATGTCGGAGTACGAGATAAGATTGCGAGCCTATCTTATATCTGATAATCAACGTCATAATGTATATTTCCCGACTTGCTTTTGAATGGAGGACGGGGCGCATGCTTGGAAGAGGCTGAGGGTCGGACGGCCCCTTAACGAGGAGCCGAGAGGAACCCAAGCCTACCTTGGCCGGCTGGATACAGTTATCTGATGCTACATTCCGCATCCGACGGTTCTCGATTTGCTGGGCGAGCAGGAGATCGCCAGTCCATCCCACCAGCGGACTGGTATGTATTTCTCGTGCGGAGGCAAAAACTGGCCTCCAGAGAGGGAAGAGGTGTTTCAGCTAGGTCTCCAGCCTGTACTCCGTGCTCCGTGTTTATGTTGTTCGTTGGCGGTTTTAAAAAATTGTCGCTGGTAGCTTCAAGATGTCCATAGAAAAAAGAGAAAAAGTTAAAAAGGGCGTGGAGACACCAAGACCAGCTGACGACGGAATACACGGTTTGGGGGGGTTTAAGGTTAAATGTTAGCCCTGTCCAAGAATATGCATAACTCAAGAGCACTGCGGGACCTCGCTCGCCACCCTTCTGAAAGGAAATTATGACAAATTAAAAAAAAAAAAAAAAAAAAAAAAAAGGTTGGTGGACGGCGCTGCATGACGCTTCCCCATCTCCTACGATGTGGACTGCTGTCCACGAGTCCACGATGCCGAGATCACTTCCTCCAATGTTAACTCTGTACGGAGAAGGCGGTGAAATTACCTGCTTGATCTGCAGTTAAACCATTTTGCCGGTGATATACTCTGTAACCATGCATATGTATGTCCGTCGTCGTGGGGGAGCTTTTTTGAAACAGGCACCTTGGTAGCGCGGGGCCTCGAGCCATGTCCGAACATCCTGTGCACAACAATCAGCTCCGTGCTGGCAGGCAGGCAGAATTTGGCGCTTAACAGCAAGATGTCGTTGCACCAGAATGCAACGGGAGGGGGATGGAGTGCCTGAAAGCCAAGCTCCTAGCTCGCCAGCTAGCCAAACCGCTAAACATCCGGCGGCTGCAAGCTGCAGCTCTTCCCCAGATGCCGACCACAATTGGCCAGTCAGTTGTGTGTAGCACACCCGCTTTGACACCAAGGAGCATGTAGGTGTGGCCGCTTCTGTGACGGCGATGTTTCGGGCAAACGGGCAGAAAGTGGGTGGTCTCAACGCCATTGGGGGCTTGACTGGTTTGACCAGACCGGCCACCAAACTGTGGTGACAGTGGCGGCAGTGCGGAGAGAGGAGAACGCCCATTTGCTATTTTTGGTGATTTTCTTTTTCTTCTTTTTTTTTTTTTTGTTTTGTTTTGTTTTATGTGAAGGGCTGCTATGTGCATGAATATTTAAGGTCGTGATCATCAACCCAGGCTTTCTTTCTTTTTTTTTTTTTTTCTTTTTTTCTGTCTTCCTCTTTCTTTCTTTCATTCATTCATCGCCAGGTCAACCGCCTTGCTCTCCTTCCCCCCCTCTCACCGTCAACTCTCACTCTCACTCATCGTCCATTGCCTGTCATTGAGCGGTCTTATCCATAGTTCCCCCATACTTCTGCTGTCACTGGAATCTTCACGGCAGAAAATTGCTCTTATTTACTTGCTATCAAAGCTAATCTGACACCTGTGCTCTGCAACATACCCCCCATTATCAGACCTGCTGTCTTGGCAACTTCAAGTTCGGCTTTGCCTGTCTGCACAACTCGCATCTAATTCTGCTTTCTCGGTTGACTTGCCTGATCCAAGATGCATGCAAAATCCCTTCTTGCTTTTACTTCGCTCTTGAGCGCAGGCTTTGCTGCCGCTCAGACTGGAAGGCTTGGAGATGCCGATGTCACTGTTGGCAACTCTCCCGCCGTGGTGTACGAGGCCGAATTGCTAGACAAGAACAACACCAACTTCCGTGGCACCGTCCTTGTCAGCGGTTCTAGCGACGGCGTCGGCGTCATTTACAACGTCAATTTTACTGGGTTCCCCCCTTTTGGAGGCCCATTCCGTGAGTAGCTCCCGCAACCCAATTCAACCTTTAACCCTTGGTTCTGACCGTTTTCCCCCACCAGTCTATCACGTCCACGACCAACCCGTTCCCGAGAACGGGGACTGCCTCGGCACTCTTGCCCATCTTGACCCCTACGAGCGGGGTGAAATGCCCAAGTGCGACCCTTCCAGGCCACAGACCTGTCAGGTTGGAGATCTAAGCGGCAAGTTCGGCGATATCGAAGGCGTCAACGGCAGTTTTTCCTTCCAGCAGCAATACCACGACCCCTACTCCTCCGTCACCTACGGTCTCGGCTCCTTCGTTGGAAACCGCTCTATCGTCGTCCACTTCGCCAACACAACGCGTATCAACTGCGGCAACTTCACCCTGAAGGAAATCAGACCAGGTAGCCGCGGTCTCCCTTGCAACGGAAGATTCTGCCCAAACAGTCCTTCAGGAAGCATGTCAGTTCCTGTTCCAACTACAACTAGCCCTCCCACCTTCGAGGGTGACGCTGCCAAAGTGAGCGTAATGTCTGCTACTGGAGTACTTGCCGCTCTCATTGGTCTATTGTGGTGACTTTGATTTTTCAATGTCATCACTGATCACCTTTTAGGATCCTATTCTTTAGCGGTGGCGTCTAGGATAGCTTAAATTAATCCGTTCACATGTGGGTGGAAATGCCTAGTTCACTGTGACGCAAAAATGCTCTTATTTGCTGGGTAGCTGCTTTGACCAATCCCTCTTTTTTTTTTACCCTTTTTCTTGTATTCACTTTCACTAATAATTAATGTCTACACCTCTTAATGTGAATCAATATGCAAATAACAGGGGTAAAAAAGGGCTCCTCTTCATCAATCTTTGGCTTCCTTTTCACCGTACATAAGCTTGTACTCCATATAGTGAGTGGGTAACCAGTTTAGCAAAGTGGCTTACTCGGTTCTTTCTCTGTGCAGTTAGCTTTTGATTATGTATATGTGTAGGGAGCATACGAAGTACTTCTCGAGGAAACATACCCGTTTGGGGACGGAGCTCGCAAGCTTCGAGTATCACTTGTTGCGGTGGCTGAAAAGGAGGTGGGTTTGAAGACGGTGGCGGTCTTCGCGGGGGGGAATTTTATCTGCTTCTTTGCAAACCTCAGCATGATGATAAACCAGACCTCCTCTGGGAGGGGAGGGGAAAGGGAAAGGAGGGAGACAGGTGTGTCAGTTCTTTTTACACAAGTTTTTGAAACAACGCAGTAACACAGCTCATTGGAAGCAAGTCACGGCGTCCTCTGTGATGTCTCTGGTATTTCATTTGATATTCTTGAGTGTTGAATTCAGGCTTTTTATTTTTTGTGTTCTATTTCTCCCTTTCTAACTACCTATCTATAACTTCAGTAACTGTATTCTGGGGAACATGTATGTGGATTATATGCATCAGGTATGCATGCATGTTTATGTATGTATATGCAGTGAAACACCTGGGACAAAATGCAAGAGCTTATCCTGTGCAATTCCTCCAGCTGCTGCTGGTTGGCCACATTCTGAACCTTGGAAGGGTGGGACGTACGTAATGCAAAGTACAAGGTCCTCACGCGTCTCAAACCAATATGGTTCTCAAGGAGGCATACACAAATCACAAATCATCTTCTCAGGCAAAGAGTACACCTATACTCCAGGGTGTTTCAATCGTTCCGTGGTTTGGGTGGTTGGGAAATATAGACGATCTGACCGTGTTGTTGAAACTTTTCTTTTTTTTTTTTTTTTTGGGGGGGAGGTCTAGGTTACCCTTGGGCCCATGGTACGGGAGAATCTTGATTTAGAAAAAGTGACCAACTCCATCGTACACCTTTAGATTTAGACCGGGCAGGGCCCCGAAAAAATGGTGTTGAGATTCGACGTTGTGTAACTCTCCAGGTTCTCTCCAAACTTGTCATTATTCGGAGGAAAAGAAGGATCAGCGAGTGCAAAAAGGGAAGGGATTAAAAAAAAAAAAAAGGGAACAACGTCGAGAATCCAAAAGGGAAGATGGAGATAGTTTCCCCAGCTTGGAAGTGATTTTTGCTAGGCTTCTTGGGCCCAACGACGTTCTCGAAGCGGCATCTCCTCGCCAGCTTTGGCGCGGGTGCCATCTACTTCGTGACGCCAAGCCCAATACTCCCCAAGGCGTTCTTCAGCGTAATTGGCATAGTCGAAGTCGATCTGCGAAATCGTCGCTTGGATCAACGCCCATACACCCCTGTTTAAGCACGTCAGTTCGCAGGCGCTTTGACAGCATGGGGAGGGGATGGGCGTACCAATAGAAACCAGGGATTCCCCTGAACCTATCAACGTCCTGGAACAGCTTCTCGACAGCTTCTTCCTGGGTTTGACCCAAATCTGCATATTTACTGTAACTTTGGACGTATTCTGTGAGGAATCCACGGCGGACGGAGCGCGTGGGCATCATGTTGTAATCACAGTCGTAACCACCCCACTCGGCGAAGTGGTTTGCAATATCGAACGCTGCGGGGGATGGTGTGGCATACTCGTAGTCAATGAAGCTGACAGTTTCGACCGAGTCCTGTTCAGAGGCAATAGACGTGGTTGACTTCGGCTGTCGAATAACATTCGCGCTTAAAAGATCGCAGTGAGCGAAGACCAGCTATCACATCATCAGTTCCAACTCCGATTCAGATATATACATAAGTAAATAAATAAAAAAAGTAAAAATAAAAGTAAAAATAAAAATAGATATAGAAAAATGTATATATTAACACAACTTACCCCATTTTCTCCCAGGCCTGACTGATCGTCTAACTCCGCGACAATTCTTTCAAACTCTTTCTGAAGCCGCTTTCGTCTTTCACGCTCCTTATCGGTGGTAACGGGGAGAGCGAGAATCCACTTCTGCAACACGGTCCAAAGTGTGGGTATTCCATCTCCCTGCTCTTTGACCGGGTGGATGTCATCGTCGACTTCGACAGAGCAGTCCGTATTTCCATCCACAATGTCCAGGGGAGTTGCAGTCCCGTTTGCGGAGTCTGGGATAACTGGATTAGTGGTATAGTCATTGATCGGGAGGACGGCATGCCACTGGGCAAGCCGCCGTGCAACCGCCCGCCAGACATGTGGTTGGGTAAGGTCATGCGGAGAGGCTACCTGTCCACGGATAAAGCGATACAGGAGGCCATTCCTAAACCGAGCCAGCAGGGGAGGAGCGAGGCCTTTTGACGCAAGCAAGGCATGGGATCGTATTTCCTCTGCATATCACAAAAGATCGGTTAGAACCATCTATCCCCACGAGTGCCAGGAAAAAAGGAAACTTGGGCAGAACGTACTTTGTCTATCGATGAGGACCTCTGTATGATTGCCGTAGGCTCTCATCAACACTGCTTCATTGTCAATCTCCTCGTCGGTCATACCCGGGGCTCGTCGGATAATTTTCAACAGCTTTGAGCAGCGTGTTAGTGGGAGTAAAAATATATATCAGTGGCATCGAAATGGTGGGCGATTTGCTACGTACCGTGTTCGTGATGCCATCGGTGAACCTCACGAATTCAATCTTGCCTTCAGCATGTTCCCACTCCGGTCGCAAAGCCAGGACAAGCCTCAATGCCGAAGCCTGGGAGTCAGCATGAGTGTACGACAGAGGAATGTACCTTGTCGATGCATGGCCTGCACCTTGGGTCGACTGGCTAGGAGCCATACTGTAAACAAGTTCTCTATAAGGGGGGGCGTCTCGTGCGAGCGGGGAAGCAGATCAGTCCGGGGTTGAGCAGCACTGGGCCAAGTGTATTCAACCAAGGAACGCAGATTCCACAGAAACCTGGCAAAGGCAATTAGCGGACGTCCCTCTCTTCAAATAACAAAAGAACGCCCGTGGTACGGAGCAGCAATGAATGAGGTTTTTTTTTTTCTTTCCTTTATGGCAAAGGGTGTGAACAGGGTGGTTTATCACATGGTTTCCCCACAAGGTCGCTGACATCTACTGGACCGGGGGTGTCCCAACAAAAGAAGAACCAAAAACAAAAAAAGAAAAAGCCCTTGATGGAACACAGTCCCACGATTGAATGGAGCTACATACCAGATAGTTACGGCGAAGGGCGGCGATGTGTCTTCTACCCCGGGTTTCGTGACACGGGCGTGAAGTGGGTGGGAAAGGGGAGGAAGAAAAGCAGGGCGGTCTCGTGCCCACCATGCTGTTCCTGGTAGCCTGCCCAGCGCTTGGTGGGAGCGTCCCTAGCGTCATTCCCAGCATGGCCCTGGAGCGAGCCAAATTGCTTGTTTTGAGTCTCGCCGAAGTTTGGATCCCGAGCGAAATCCCACGGCAGCTGCCCGACGGGCGAGTCACAGCTCCGTTCACTTATGCGCTAGACCGTACCAGGCTAGCGTCGGTCGGACCTGCACGGTCTAGAATTTTATCCGATTGGCCGGCGTCGAACTGCTGGGATTCGCCAAGACACATATTACATAATAAACACGCCTTGCCTTATTAGGACTAGTTATTATCTTAATATATCACGTGAGTCCGGCTACAAAATCGTCGCTTCCGCACAGAAAATTTTTCCCTTCTTTTTTTCTCTTCTTTTCCTTTCATCTATCATCAGTAGAGGTTTACATTGACCATGTAAATTTCGCACCGGAGCTCCGTCAATGACGGCTTGCTGAGGGTTGTTCTGTTTCTTTCCCTATGGATTGCCTTCCGTTCCCAGCTTCGGAGAAGAGAGTTGATTTGACGACTTGCGTCTTTGACAATTCGCATGGCGAGGCTTTCAATCGTGAAGTCTGGCTATGGAGGAGGCGTGACATTATGAATTTTTTGCGGCTATCTGCTTTTGTGGGATTCATCTCTGGAGCTGCTCGGACTGTGACTGTCGTTTACGAGCTGTATCATGTGTCAAATAGAAGTTGATAGGAAAAAGTTACAATGGAAAACAGATCTTTGACAATCCATGCTGAGGTCCTTTTGAAGACGAAAGATTTCCAATTCTCGCTACTATGCCGCATTTATGCTTCTGCGCTGCGTTTTTTAATTATTCTCAACATTCCTCTCTGGCTTCAGGCCTTTGGCCTGCTTCCAGGTCCTACAAAATCACGTATTAATGCGTCACTTGGTTCGTAATCATCATATTCTCCTACCGTCGTCGCTATGCTCATGCCTTCGTTGCCCGTCCAGTTTGAATAATCTCCCCAGTCCTCCTGTCGTCGCTTCGTAAGACCGGCCAGCTCGAACCGTCAGCCTTAACCAGTGTCAGCTCCATTTTAGTTCCCATGATCTTGTATTGCGACTTCTCCGTGTCGATGGGCGCGAACAGCTCATAGGTATCTCGAAATCGCTTATTATCCGTAGTTGGGAGGTCAAATTCGATCATGTTCGGAGAGGAGAAATGAACCTTCGCTGTGTCCTTGTCGATCTTCTTCAGATAAAATGATACAATCACTGTGGAGGGCGTTTGATAGAAATCCGTGCTGTACCGTGGAGGGCCAAATGTTAAAACGGGCTCGAAGACACACTGTGAAACGGCTGTGAGCTCACCGAACAGTGTCAACTTTTTCCTCCCCTTTCTTCCCTTTACCAATGAATAGATGTCTCTTTTTTGTATTACAGCCGGGGATTTTCATAAACTCGTCAAACTCCAAGACTCGTCTCTTGCAACAGCTCCATCCTTTGCTCCCCTCGTGGAATATCGGTTGTCCGGGATGGTGCACGCATTCCTCCTCGTCTCTCGACGCGCCGGGACTATATTTGTCGTTGCAGCCCCTCCGGCGACATACCGAATTCGCAGCGATCTCCAGCAAAGGATCGTCGGATTCTGACTCCGGAGGGGCCGGAGTGCCGCTCGGAGTAGGAGTGTGTACCCCAGTAGCCCCGAGTGTCACGGGGGGATGGCTGGGCCGCGTCTGAGAAATGGGAACGGTCTTGCGAACTGCGCCTTCTGTTATCTCCTCTGTTTCTATGCCTGCTCTCTGTGGTTCTGCTGCGGGCGTGTCATCCACTGTCGAGTGTTTTCCAACCGTGCACGGCGCGATCTCGAGGAATTCGTCGAAGTTTAGCACACGCGGTTTGCAGCATTTCCAGCCTGGAGAGGCGGGGAAGGAATAATTAGTTCCAACATGCTCTGTAATGTATTCCGGAATACAGAGGGTTTCTGTAACCCCGGTGTTTGAAAAGCGCAGAATAACACTGGGGGGTTGGCAAGACAAAATGCGCTTGTGTACCTACCTTTGTGCCCCTCATGGAACACTGGCGGGCCAGGATGGTAGTGGCAAGGCTCATCCGGGTCCTCAAAGTCCTTCCCACAACCTTTGTGGACACACTTGAGAGGCATTTTAGCTAAAAGTAAGATCGTCAATCAGCAAAACACTTTTACCAACATCACACAAGAAAGTAGCTGTGGAAGACAAGTTCGCGGGCGGAATTTTAGCGGGCAAGCGGCACAGCAGCTGCCCCCAAGCAAATCGAAGCTTCTGGATAATTTTCTTCCACATTCAAACCTGCCAACATCCACGCCATCTTGGTTCAATTGACTTTCAGCCCCAACCAACGTACTTACCCCAGGTCTATCTTTTAGAAAATGCGCCCGACCAGATTTCTGTCGCAAAATCTCCGATTGACGCTATTCACGCGGGTCAATTGCTCCCTCTGCGATGTCGTCAAACACACATTGAACCAGGTCCAAACCGCACGGCCCTTTGACTACTCTGAAGTGGACGTGTTGAAAAACAAGGAATGGAAGCAAGCATATCAATACGAGGTTCCTGTTCTACACATTCAGAAGCGGATATCCGCCGGTGGCGATCCCGAAGTGCTCTCGGAAGCAAAAAAGCTGTTCCATCGCTTTACCCAGGAGGAGCTGGAGAAAGCAATGGATGAGGTCGAAAGCTCCAACTGAGCCGGTGAGTCGGATTCTACTGCAATTCAATGGGGCGTACAGTATCCTTAACGTGACATTTAGTAAAAATCTATATATTTTGCTCACACAAGCCCGACCACTGACGGCGGTTATCCAGCCTTTGCCGTCGTCAATGAACCTTCGAGATGAGTCGAAAGCGCGTAGACGTCGGAAGTAACGGAGATCTGTCCGATTAAAACAATGATCTTAGAAAAGTGCTCTATACAATCAACGACGGAGGTTTGGGATTTCTCCTCTGGGACAAGATACCATGTGAAATCCTTGTGAGGCAAATTTTTTGGCCATTTCGCCATTTGGACTGAATATACCGGCTTTTTTCCCATTGTCCACTGCTGCTTTGCGGATTCGCTCGATCGCGGCCTCCAACTCGGGGTGCAACTCATTAATCACTGGCCGGCCAATGTTGTTTCCCAGGTCATATGGCCCGACGAGCAAAACGTCAATTCCTGGTACCCTGGCAATCTCTTCGACCTTATAATTCATACCCTCTTGTATTAGTTATGACGACAGTTTTCCCCCATGTACAATAGAGAGAATCTTTTTTCCAGGCGATTTTTGCTGACGCACATTTTCTAATCCTTCCTTGGTCTCAATTTGCACAATCGTAAGCAAGGTGTCGTTCGCGTGGAGTAAATACTCCGTTGCAGAGACATTACCAATGGGACCCATGGCGAAAGGACTCCCAAAGCCCCTTTTTCCCATCGGAGGGAACTTCGCAGATGCTACCAGCTTTCTAGCATCATCTGCAGTGTCAAGCAGTGGTACAAGGATCCCATGGGCACCGGAATCAAGGGCTCCTTCAATTCGAATGTCAGCTGCTTCGCACATGTGCTTCTTACTCCTGTTTCTAGGCTAGACTCCTACGCTTGACCATCCAGCCTTCATTTGCAGCGATGCGGACTATCGGACTGACGCCTAGAGCAGCAATTGCGGCCACCGCCTCGTGCATTTGGGCGTCTAGGGGCGAAGTAGACATCAGTCAATCAGCTTCCACCTGTGTGCTCGAAAACATTGTTCAGGAGTCCACCGCAAAAAGGTATGCCTATCAGCCGTGCGGGGAACCATGGGGTTTCCCAAAACCCATACCTGCAATGTTTCCATGTTCGGTATCAACACAAATCCAGTCGAAGCCGCTTCTCGCCAGAATTCGCGCAACATTCGTGCCTGGCAGCATCTGCCATGCGCCGAACGCCTGCCCTCGGCCCGCCTGGAGCACCGTTCGTAATCTGTTTGCCGCCTGCATTGTCCTTTACAGAAGTTACCGGTAGCAAAGAAATGTGGTTCACTATCCCTCTTGCAAAATGAATTCCAGCGGAAAAAGCTACCGTTATTAAATTCAACTCCAGGGAAATGGTAGGCTTGGACGCTGTGTTACAGCGAGTCAAGTTGGTTGCTTGTGCTCGGGCCGAAGGGTTTGCCGCTACCCAACATTGATGTGCCTCATTAGTTAATAGCTGGTTGTTGCTATGCGAGGTAGTTGAAAGTTTAAAGGATGCGTGCATCCGGGGCAAGCTAAGGGCTCCTCGTGCCTCCGGAAAACACTATGAAGCTAAGGTTTACTTCTTCCAGAAAGTTAGCGGGCGGATATTCCACTTTTAAATTCAAAGTGCAGTTGCAGAGCACGGAAAGCTCTCTACCGCCAAGTACAACCGCCAATCTAGCATTGTCTAGGGCACATATATGCTAGATTGTGAGCGCTGGGAAATGGGTGGGGGTTTGCCCTTTGAGAGCTGCTTCTCTAAATTAAGTCTTTTACTTCCTATTTTCTTCTTCTTTCTGCTTTTTATTTTGCTACTTTAAGAATTATACTTTCCTGTTTCCTATAGTTACTCGGTCCAGCTTATGCTTCTCTTTTCGTGGGGATCACACTCTCCAGGGCCTCCAAGACCTGGTTCGTGCTTCAGTTTCTTAATTTCCAGCTCAACCTCAAGGTCCTCTAATCCTATCCTTTTTTTACTGCACATTTTACTATTATTTTTATTATTATTCCTGTCTGAAGCGCGTTCTACAACATGCCAGGTTGCCGACGTCGACCCACATTTGGCGATGTCTATGCCGTTAGACTGCCACGATTGAGGGTATTGATAGGAACGTACCAAGAAGGAATTTTTTGTCCGACCCGGGATTGGGACCATATCTAATTTCCGCACAAAATCGAGTATAAAGAACAGGCTGCTCTGAGGTTGTGATTGGGCCTGTGTTTGAGAACATCATTCGACACGGCTGTGTGGCACGAAACTTAAGGTGACCGAGCCGTGAAAGAAGTGCTTTCCTGAAGATTTCTCTATGTATTTCAGGCAGGTTTGGTGTTTCTGTCGCCATCCTCATGTCAAACTAGCGTAAAGTCCTCCGCCTATGGAAAGCGTCCCGGTCCTATGAGAATCGAAGCTTCTTGGATGCCATTGTCTTTTGTTGGAGACAGCGATTTGAGATAGTCATGTGCTGCATTCGCAATTAATTGTGCATATCCAAGGCCATTCGGAACGGCTTATCATGCTGGCGTTTAGAAATTGACCAGAACTCAAGGATGTAGAATTTTGCAGTAAGATCATCCAGGATAAACCACCCACACTGCGATGACATCTAGCGTTTAACATCTTGGAACAATGGTGTCCCGACCTTAGAAATGCTTCGACGTTCAAACATCAGAGCGAGCGCCCCGCCGGACGTTTGCAGCCCAACGGAAAGCCAAAAGCCTTAACCGGAAGAGCTAACACATTTACGGCTAGTGGGCTGGTTTTAGCGTGACTTTACATAAGCCGTGTCAGTCGGAGCAAGCAAGTGGCATCAGGGGATTTTATCAGATGCTTGCTCGCAGTCTCTTTGTTTACGCCTCCAGGCCCCTCACCACTCGTCCATTGGGGGGTTTCACTCCTAAGCTGACTTTAATTTATCGCTCCCCGAGACTTCTTATTGACTTTCTTCACATTTGCTTCTTCCACATTTCCGATCTTCCTCTACGTGTCCAGAGGGACGCGTCCGCAGCCGTGACCACCGATCAATATGAATGCAGATAACCCTAGCGAGCCGAGCACCCCTAGAACGATACGATGCGATCGTTGTCGCGCGGGACATAGAAAATGTGATGGCCGGCGTCCAGGTAAGTTGTGCTCTATCCACGAGTTCAATGGCCAAAAACCCAACCAATCCTAGTGCCTCTTAGGCTGATCTTCGCAAAGCATGTGGCCAGTGTTTAGGGAAAGACCGCGAGTGTACCTATCGGCTTTCGAGCACGTCGAACACGTCCATCACATCTCTACGCATCAGTCAAGCATGCACGGTGTGTAGAGCTAAAAAGAGAAAATGTGATAGGGAGTTACCTGGTAAGCAACCATTTCATTTGCTCTTTGCTGCTTGTTTAGCCCAACTGGATGTTATGCCTGCCTTTAACACAGTAGCTGATACATTACAGTCTGTGGCCCATGTGTCCGAAGAGACCTGGCACTTCAATGTGAATACCTTAGCTCCACCCCTGCCCGTCGTTCGTTGTGAGCCTCCCTTGCCCATCCTTCGGATCATTCTTTTTTGGCCAATATTTTGTTTCTTATGATATTGCTTTAGACTTGCGGATAATCCCTTGATACACCCAAGATCCGACGGAGAAGACGAAGCTCGCCCTCGAAAGCATCCAAGATTGTCGGGTTCATCCTTTGTCAGAGGGAGACCTGCATCACCATGCTTGGAAGCCGAGCCTAATGGCATCAATGTCGGCACAGATGAGAGCGGTCCTAGAATAGACGAAACTGATGCAGGCAGAAATGAAAGCGATACAAGCAGTGATGACAGTGATACTAGTGGAGATGAAAGTGAAACCAGCGAAATTGAAAGCGATTCCGACATGGTTAGACACGATGTTAAAGAGGTTGAATGCGATCCCAGTGAATGTAGGGGCGATGGTGTTGACATTGGAAGCGATTCTGGCGAGGATGAGAGTGATTCTGGAGAAGTCAGACCTGATGAAGCTGGAAGCGATGTCGGTGAAACTGCAAGCGATCTCGGTTCTAGTGAAGATGAAAGCGATTCAGGCAAGGCTAAACGCGATGATGAGGAGGTTGAACGCGATCCCAGCGAAATTAGCCGCAATGCTGTTGAAATTGAAAACAACTCTAGTGACGATGAAAGTGATGACGGTGAAGTTAGAAATGACGCTACTGAAGATGAGAGTGATTCTCTATCCGAAGTGGAACAAAACGGTGTAGAGGAGAAATCTCCTGGGGGTAGCGACGCGCCGTCGGACATTGAGATGGAAGTAGAGCCTGCCACACAGGACTTGGAGCCGCGGAATTACAGAAACATCTCAGCTATCCCTCCGTCACCAACAAGCGTTTCCACAGAGATATATAACTCTAGAGGCTCGGATGAGAATATCTCCCTGTTGAACAATTTGAAGGAAGCAATCTCTCAGCGTACGGATACCTCTAAACCGGGAGTGTGTGAACTGGCGAAAGCTGAGCTACGGAGGTTGTCCATGAGGATGAAGGCAAATTTCCGATTTTTGGAGGTACAGCCTGATGCCCAGGACTTGGTCCTCCCTACACGCGAGATTGCAGATCAGCATATGGCGCTCTATTTAACTCGTGAATACGTTAATCTACCAATTATCCATCTTCCAGCATTTCAACCCAAATATCTGGAATTGTGGCAAGAAAAGGACCCAATGGATGACAAGGGTGCCTTTCAGGGCATTGTCAATCTCATGTTAGCTCTCGGTTGTCTTCCTAATTTCGACACTCAGGAAGAGGCCTCAATGTACTTTGCTAGGGGCCAGAAGCTCATACGACTCGGAAGTTTAAATGGCGAAGATATACCTTGCGTGCAGGCCTACATCCTTTCCGCCCAATACTTGCTTGCGATTGGAGATGTAGATGCTGCTTGGAAGTCCATTGGCAATGCCATTCGGACTGCACAGGTTTTACACCTTCATCTCAAATCCGGGAGCCAGCACTTGGAGAAAAGGGTGGACAGAGAGCTTGCCAAAAGGCTATGGCATAGTGCCATCATGTTAGAAAGGTAAGTCTAGCAGATTTTGACGAATTTCGGCAATGTTCCTGTTGTCACTAACCCAACCCTTTCATAGGATGATTGCTGTGAACTCTGGAATGGCATCAATCGCTTCCCCACCGTTTCGGGCCCCGTTGCCTATTCCTCTTGAGACCGAATATGTAGATGTTGTTTTTGGCGGCGAACCCATGTCTGGCCCTGACCGACCTTCAATTGTTGAATTCTTTACAGCTTCGTGTCGTTTGTATGAAAGATACGACGACATTGTATCTATCCAAGACGAGCTTCGCATTACCGACGGCCGCTCGCCACGCAAGACCCTAGAAGCTTTCGATCCTCAGAAATTGCTCGATGTCGATAGATTGCTGTGCAATTGGAATGCTGCGTTACCACCGTTTCTCCAGTCACATGCACCTGCTCATGAAAACACCATTGCACTTCGCCAGCACAATGTGCTCCGTGTGCGGTATCTTCATCTGCGACTGCTGCTATGGCGTCCATTACTAGCTATTCTAGCTGCAGACCCCGAAATTTGCAAACCCAACCTGATTAATGGTTTGCACAAACCCGAAGCAAGTCGGCTCGATACACCACTCATATATACCATTGCTAAAGAGAGTGCCATCAAGTGCATTCTATGTGCCCAAGAAATTGTCCGCATCCTAGCAAGATTTGAGCGGTTGGATGAAAAATCGAATCCTGTTGGACCTGCTCCTTCTTGGTGGGATAACATAGGTTATCTGTATTGCTGCGCCACTGCTATGCTTGCGGCTCGCCTGTGTTCGAGTGCTTATGATGAAATGCCTAGAAACAGTGTGGAAGACTGCTGGAGTAAATCTGTCGATCTTCTGATTAGATATCGCAAGTTAACCCCCCTGGTGATAAGGTGTTTGACTGTGTTGGAAAAGCTTTCTTCCACTGTGATGGAAATCGAAGATAAAGACGAGATTAAAAAGGAAGCAAATGGCGATGAGCAATTTGTCCGGCGAACAAGGGATATGACTTGGTTGGAGATGCTGCCTGTTGATGTTGAAAACTGAATATCAAGAATATGAAAACGGGACCTTGATTACCATTTGCGATGGTATTACTACGACTTCAGACCTTTTTTTATCCAGTTGACCTTGTAAGGATTCTCAATGTGGTCGAGTATTTTCACATCTCCCTCCTTTGCGCTTCTGCCAAGGGACGTGCATGAAAACCTGAGCTGGCATTATGGTGCATGGTTTGCTGGTTGGTGGATATGGCCTTGTATCTATATCAATATTTTGTTTGAGGTATTAATTATCAACCCATCAGAGCTACTTTGAGAGGTGGTGGGACATTGCCCTACACTTCTCTTCTTTACATACGCAGAGGAAAAAGATTTTACGTAACATTTGCTTCTTTAAGAACTAGATATAAGTACAATGGACGCCTAAATAACTTCCCTTGCAACCATAGGATTTCAGGCAGGTATCCCATCAGGAAACAGGCTAAATTAATATCATTATGTGATCATATCATCATTAAGTCATTAAAATGTAACGGTAGTTGCGTTGAGGATGGCACCAACACTGAGCTATGCGACTAGCCGTGCAAGCACCTCAATTTAGAGCCATACAACAGCGACAACCAGGCAAACAATTAGGCCAAAACAACTCCGCTGCAATTCCTTTCTTGTCTTTTCTGACACCACTCCGCCAGAAATCGCATCTGAGGAAGGCTTTGGTACTGGGTTTCGGTGTGATCGGGGAAAGCTCAAAGGGGTCAGGATGCTGGGAGAACTTATTGACATCGCGGCATCGTCGGGGATGGAGGCAGGAAGTATGGGTAAATGGGATTTCGGAGGTAGAATGTGTGCTTCGGAGCCCGAAGAGATGATGTTGCGCAATCGGTCGGGCCTGGGGTGGGTGCTTGCAATGACTGGTATTACCGGTAGGACGAGATTAGATGTAGTTTCATTTATGTAGCTGTATACGGGAAGTCGAAAGTTCGGGCCGATGCAGAATGAGGCTATTTTTCCAGTGAGTACAGGGTATTTACTATGGATATGTAAATATGGGGGACGCAGAGAACAGCTGGCATGAACACACCACCGAATCTTTCAAGTGATCCAACAAGAGAATGCCTATTATGCTGCATTCCGTTCAGCAAGGTTCCACAAAGGCATGGCAGAATCAAGACTGCCATCCAGACTGTTGGTATCCGCAAGAACATCCACATTTTGGCCAGATGCATTGTTCATTATTAGGCCCTTCGAAGGCAGGGAAACGGTAGTGAGAGAACAACACAGAAGGAGGAGAAATGAAGAACAGGATGAAAGAGACCTGCTCCTTCATCAATTCAAGCCTCCTTGAGAGTAGTATGCACGCAGAGAGGAAGCTGCACGTCAAGACAAGCTGCTACTCATATATTGCCCATTGTTGTATAAGGGGCCTAGGAATGCGCCACATTCTGCGGCTGATAGTTGTCCCTTTCTGTGGACAAAATTGGGAGTGTCATTAACAGTGTTTGAGCCGTTGCACATATGCAGGGTTGCTTGGGGCGCAACGTCAAGAGGCTGGATGTCTGAAAGGATGACATGGGGCCTTTGTGGCCTGGGATGTAGCCTTGTTTTTCTTACCTTGGCTCTCTGCACTGGAGGCTCGGTGGAGTGATCACTTCAACTATTGGCCTGTTTACTTGAACTCTTTCCATCTTCACCATCCTAACCATTTAGCATGAGGTACAGAGTGAACTGTTCCCGCTTTACTGGGTTTCAGAAACTGAGTGCGTTGTTGGAAGGTTGTCCATCTGGGCATTTCTGTATGTGCTAAGTATACATATGCCTCCAGAGCAGCCAATTTAGGGCAACCTGATTTAGCATCAATGCAGTCTAACTGAATTCAGCGAATAACTCCGGACAAGCTGCGTCGCAACAAATTCATGTTATGGTACGGAGTACAGACAGGGGTTTGCAGCCCCCACAATGTCTTGTCAGTATATGGGGATGGCATTGTGCTGTGATCAAGTTATCATCAACTTAATGCTTGTGTTGCCAGTTTCCTGAGTGGATATTAACTTGCCGGTTTAACGGTTAAATAACCCGATCAAACCAGCTGAAACATCTGAAACTGAAACAATTTGATATATGAGAGCTATCCCATGACACACATGCGAGCCCATCAGAAATGAGTTTTGTTTCCTTCAGCAAGGACTGAACGCTAATCCAAAACAATATCAAGGGTATAACCATCGAAGATTCGTAATGTTGTTCATATTCTTACATAAATAGACGAGAATGAAAAGAGGAAAAAGATCAAATAATCAAAGCCTTGACTGTCCCAATTTCTTGGTTTCCGCCTTGTACACCTTGACGAGCTGTCTGATCGAGAGGTCGAGGAGCACGTCCTCCGAACCTCCTGGGATGCGGGCACCCCAAACCTCACGGGAAATTTCTACGAGTAGATGACAAGATTAGCAAACGGTGTAGAGGCCAAACTATCCAAACCTGTAATCAGACTTACTTTCAACGAGCTCTCCTTGGCCCGTTCTCGTTAACCCGTTACCACCGAACAACAGGACTGCAACCTGCGAACACTCATTAAGCACCATACCCGCCTTTGCCTTGGCTAAAGCAGTGAGACCCCCTAGCCGGCGATCACCCTCGTCCTTAGGCATATGCTTGAGTTGATACAAGAACTGCTCGACCCACGCCCACATGGATTCTAACTCTGCACCTGCCTTGGCCAGGCGGTGCCTCACAACGGGCTGATCCATCAATGTCTTGCCGAAAGCTTCCCGTTTAATGCAGTATTCGAAGGCCGAACTGAGCGCAACACGTGCCTGACGTGTTACACCAACCGCGATGGTAAGACGCTCATGGTTAAAGTTGGTCATGATGTACTTCATGCCTAGGCCCTCTTCGCCGATGAGATTCTCAACTGGCACTTTAACATCGTCAAGCTCAATGTACGTGGTACCGCTAGCGGTTTGACCGCTGACGTAGAATCGACGCATAGACACTCCTGGATAATTTTTCAAGGGAACAACGACAATCGATAGGCCAGAAGCCCCGGGACCGCCGGTGCGAACAGCCATCGTAGTATAATCGGACCAGATACCATTGGTAATCCTTGGACGTGTTAAGAAAGTTCTTCGCACCACGCAAAGAATGGGTATCGCACTCACCATTTCTTGGTTCCATTGATAATATAGTACTTTCCGTCCGCAGTCTTCTCTGCCGTTGTAGTGATATTGGCAACGTCACTGCCCGCATCAGGTTCAGTGATAGCAATGCACATTCTCTTCTTGCATGTCAGGAACTCTGGAAGGAATCTCTCCTTCAACTGCTCGCTGCCGAACTTGATAATCGGGGGAATACCAAAGGCCAACCCGGCTGTCAGAGAGCTGGGCGGCCCATGCAACCCCGATCGAGCCATCTAATCCCTCAAAAATGCATAATTAGCCCCCAAAATCTCCCCGAAGTTTGAACATGGAGTCTTCTTTTGCACCCACTTCATCCAGGTATATGCCCGTGTATACGAGATCCCAGTCCTCGACTTTGACTCCCAGAATGTCATGGATATCCAACCTCTTCAGCCAGTCAACAGGCAGTGGAGAAGGCAAATTCGGTAACAACATGTTATGCTTGCCAAATATTTCAAAAACATGTTCGGGTACTTGGCTGTCACGCTCCCATTCCATGGCATGCTTGTTTAGATTCTCCCAGAGGAAAGCCCGGCATCTCTTCTGGAACTCTCGATGGGCATCTGTGTAATATGGTGAGGGGAGACCGCAGAGATACGGAGGCTCAGAAAAGGGTATAGGGTTTTCAGCATTGGTCGCCATGCTAGCTGCTTGTTTTGAAGTGAATACGGAGTCTATCGGCCACTGTAGGCTTGGATGGAAAAGGTTCGGCGATTTGAACGATGGGGTTGACCAAGGGCAAAAATACATAAATATGCTTGGAAGTTAGAAAAGCTACGTCGATATCGGTATTATTTATAAACGAGAGCTTCCATGAAGAAACCTCCTCAGCCCGAATATGTACTGAGCCCGAAGCAACTCGGTGGAGAGGCGCTGGCGGTCCGGGTTGGAGTTAACCTTGGCCCGGAGAGCCGAGGCTCGCGGCACGTGAGGGTTAGGTAGGGAGTCTGAGTGCCAACAGAGAATTTCACTATTATCAACAAGAATCTGGAGAAAGCCCTGCTCCAGGGTGAGCCGATTTCTGGAAATATTATAAATTCAATAAATATAGATAGTTAATGTTACTAAGTAGAAATGCAGATCTAATAACGCAGTGATCCCTCCCTGCACAAAACGCAAAGCACCACACCAAAGAATATAAATCACAAATGAGGAGGAGGAGGAGGAGGAGGAGGAGGAGGAAGAAGAAGAAGAAGAAAGAAGAAGAAAAGGGCCAGGATGGATACTCTCAACCTATCCGGTAATAGGCTTTCTGGATGTATCTGTATTCCTGTATCAAATCGGCTGACCCATTATTGGGTCATTCACAATCGGCGAGACGCCTGATAAGCTAGTAGGTGTTCTCTTTTGCCATAATTGCGGTGTATTCTCTCCACTTGCGCCGACACGAGTCGGGGTGCTTTGAGTTCCATCGCTCCAGGACTTATCACCCCCAGCCACACTACTTGTACCTCCACTGCTCGTTTTCCCTCCTCTCTTCACCATTTTGCCTAGAATACCGACCAACTCAGCTGCATCTTCGAAACTTTCGTCGTCCATTCCTTCTTGGGCATTGTATACATCTGCGATAGCCTGCTTGGCAAGTCGCCTACAGGCGGTTGCGTCATTAAGACAATCGTACAAATATGCCGCATATTCGAGTTTGACGGAGAGTCTAATGGGGTGAGAGCCTGGAAGGAGTTGGTCGGCGAGCAGAGCTGCGTAAGTAAAGCATGCTGTGGCACGCGGAGTGTAATCGAGTGCTGGGAGAATAAATGATGCAGCGCTCTTGGGGGTTTCGGGCTGTATTACAAGCCCTGGTGGCCGAGATTGCGCGCGGTTACCACCCCCTACAGGTCCACCCATGGCTGGTGGAGGCGAAGGCACAATGGAATCTCGCTGACCTGCTGGATCAACTTCTGATCGACCGTTTCGGGAACCATTCGTAAGATCAATATGTGAGGTTGAGGAAGAAAAGGTGTGAATTCCAGAATTGTGGATCCTTGGTTGGTTGTGAAAAAGGACAAAAATGTGGTAGAAAGAGGCTTGGAGCTTGTATGATAGGACTTTCAAGTCGACATAATCAGTAACCATCGGAAGGATATATTGTTCCACCATGATCAATCCCTCGCGCGAAAGCCATAAGATATGGTGGTAAAGGTGTAGCGACTTAGTTTCTCGGGTTGGATCTAGTCGACGTAACTTGCGGGCTCGAAGAAGCTTCTTCGATAGAACCACTGAAAGGCCGAGAATCTTATAAAGCATTCCAGAGAGAAAAGGATTCGTGTGGCTCGTCGCTGTTGCAAAGTGGCCCAAAAACTTTTGGTCCACCTCTGAGGAGGCCATCCATGTAGCGAATGCAGGAGGCTCTGCTGAATCTTGCCACTGATAGGAAAGATGTATTAGCTCCGGCATATGGTTAGGATTTTGGTTTGGGTGTATAACATTCTCGATCGAAGGGGCATCCATGGTCAATTGGGTGGCTCAAAAAAAAGGTTACAAAAGGTGGGCGGAGAAAAGGGGCAAACGAGAGAAACAAAGCCAAATATAAACAAGTTCAACTGGAGGCTTAATATAGAATCCGTATCTCGTCACTGGGCATCATGGATAGATTTGGGAATGTTTGCTGGGATGATAGACTTCCCGGCGGCTAAATCCCCAAATTAGGTATAAACTGAATAAATGCCTTACCTTCAATGCGGTGATCAGTCAAGCCCCGGCGCTTATAATAATTTCGGGTGAAAATATCGCAACAATGCTATTTTTGGTGTAATTGTAATTGCGAGTTCTGGGTGGGAGGATATGAGTTGATCTTGGCCGCGAAAGGCTCGTTTGAAACGTCGTCAGAAGTTAGATTGAGGCCGTTCAAGGTCCCGGAAACCGATAGATAGTGCTGTGAGACGATCCGGGAAAAAGAAATAGTATTAAGGAAGGCCGGTGGAACTTTCTTATCTGACAAAAAAGTAAGATCGTTCGACAGGCGTATGCTGTTTAGAACTTGCCGATCTATGTAAAACGCCTCCGCAGCCTCAAGTCAAGTATAAAAAAGAATTCTGGCGAAGCGTATTAAAGACGTATATCGTACAATATTCCTCAAATTTCGAACTAGACAAAGCGTTCAATCGATGGTGCCCAGTCGAAGCACGGTATGTATCGGAGGTCGCGAAATGTAACATGAGAGTAGTATACATAAGAAGCCTGCAAAGTAGGTAACAACGATAACTACTTGCTTCGACATGTTAGCTATACTCTCTTGTTATAGTACCAGCCCAACGGCATACCTTAGTACCGGGATTTATTCAATTACGGTAAGGCATTGGTTCGATTCACCAGATGATAGCAACGAACGGCTCCCACTAAGAGCAAATAGAGCCGAAGAGTAGCTGGAGAGAGGGATGGAACGGTGGATATAATTCCTGAGAAATTCGTAGTTCATTGTTCGCAATTGCGTGCGAAGGAAGGTGATCTTGGGTGAAATATCCGACAGACTCAGGCAGGGTTGAAGGGAAGCGTTGGGCGCATATCGGGGGTTGAGCGGGTCAAAATGAAGCGAGTCAAGGCATGTTCGGATTCGCAACTTCAATTGACATGAGAACCTAACAGAAACGAATCCATTGATCGCGCGGACTCGGAGGATATCTTGTTGAAGGTTTTCTCGGCGAAAGAACAGCGACAGGCGATGCCCAAACCTGAAAGGGAAAATTTCACGGTCGACTTGAACTTATTGCTTATTTTCCGCAATCCGGCTACCTTTGGGATCTGCAAATCTGACCGTGACACAAGAAAAGTAATTAGTTGCTGTTCACAAGATAATATGGGAGAGCGGTCCTTAAAGTCGGCTGAAGTTCGAACGCTGGCGCAATGCGACCGTTGAAATCTCAGAATCACAACACATGGCACACGACAAGACAGCGCCTCGTCAACGGGATCAGCTTTTTTTTCCCCAACTTAATTACATCAGGTTCGCACAACGGGACCCAAATTGACACCTGGAGACCGGATTAGCCTCAGATTCTCGTGAGTTGGTGCTGCAGGTTGCATGCACTCAATCAGAGCTAAGGACACCGCCAGTTCTACGTGTCAGGCCGGGAATAGTCCGCGCCTCAACCCTGGGGTCCTCCATCGACTCCAGTTCGCTTCCGCCCCGGTGGCGCCGTCAACAAGGCAAGGCGCAAGGGCCACAATTCCTGTTCAAGGCGAAAAAGTGCGCAGTTTGTCATGGGTTCTTCCTGGCGTAACTCCATCTGGTATGTGTCCGGCCGCGCTTTGAGTTCAACGTCAGAGCCCGCCTTGTCTTGGCTCGTGAATAAAGCCGACACCCAACCCCTCGAACCCTCGAACTCCAAGCATAATGAGTTGACGTATTTCTTCGATGCCTGAGATGGCAGAACTCGGTCCTCCATGCGGAGTACCAGCCACGGTGTTTGGAGCATCGGCAGAGTGTTTTTGTGGGACCCGTTCCCGCTCAAGCTCCATCATGAATTCCATGGCTCAGCAGATGGGGTTCGCGGAATCCACAGCGCTCAAAAAGCGAATCCGCATAAATGTAGAGACCATTCCAGAGCGCACTCCCACGCTTTCGTTTGGCTGCTTCATCGCTAAAGCCTCTTGTGTCCTGTCAACGCAAAATCCACCAACTGAGCGCGTCTTCATGCGCCCCATTCAAGGTTGCTGGATATCCTTCCATCGGAGCTCTCGTTTCGCTTCCTTCGGCTTTGGTTCGCGCTCTGCCCCGGTTTCTCAGAGATTCCCGCATGGTAGCCGCTAATTCTCAGGAAAGGTCCATAACACAGGAGGTTTTGTACCAAAGTTGACATTAGTCAAGTGGCGTCTAGCCTTCAGTTTTTGCACGTGAGATGATCTTAAGTCGGCTTCTGAGGCATATACTTTTGGAGGCATTTTGGGCCATAGCGAAGGTCATCCATTTCAACTACCCCGTAAATGGGGAGAAAACAAAGCACCTTGGATATTTATCATTCCTCGCTTTATAGGCGAACCACTACTTCGAATCCATACATCCCAAACTTTCGGAAAACGTGGCTACAGTGCATTCATTTCTTTCTTTTTAATATGCAGCCTTCTTTGGTAGTCTATGACCCGATGAGATCCTCGCATCAACAAGCCCTCCCTTTTCCTTTATCGTTTTCGTCATCATGTCCCGGTTCTTCGACCTCTCGTGCTTTTAGCGAGTCTCTTATCGCAGTATATATCTCATCTATGCCATTTTTTTCCTCACGTCGCACCTCTATGGCCGCCTGGCGGATCATAACTCTGTCTGCTTCGGCGTTGATCATGTCGTGCTCGAGCAAGATTAGTCTCAGCCTCTCTTCAATCCGTGTCACTGTTTCAACCAGCTCTCGATCTTGACAGAGATACTTTTCCCTCTCAAGCACTGCACCACCAGCGCGGTCGTTAGCGCAAAACTTCTCGGTGTCGATGAATGCGCGCCCCGACACATCCCATAAGAGGATTTCTGCGTCCTCTTCGATGGTCCATGGTTTATCGTGGTTCCAATGTTTCGCTCTCCAGTTTCGGGAGAGACGACCTTTTAGTCGCATATCATTAAAGTGACCAGAAATTGAATTAATAGACCTTGCATTCCCCCCTGGTAGGTTTTTTAACAGCCAGTCGTTCGAAACATTCGGGTCCATGGCATTGACTACAAGGAAATTTTCCTCTTTCAACGTCCACTTCGCTCCTGAGTTGGACTTGTTAGAAAATACTTGGAGACAGGACTTTGGGTTTCACACCACTGGACTGTTTCACTTGACCCTATCAAAACACTTAGTCCTTGACATGCAAATAAAATATGGAGCACCTGATCCCGGGATGTTGCTTACCTTTGGAGCTTGATAGCTACCCTGAGTGTCAGGATCCATCTCTTTTTTTTTTTTTTTTTTTTTTTTTTTTTTTTTTTTTTCTTTTATGATTATTATTATTATTCCGCTCTCTGTCGAGCGTTGGCTGGATTCTTAGTATCACAAGTATGTCAAGTGGACACAAGTCTTGTTAAGATATTTATACGAATAATGAGAAGCCTGAAATGCTGTTATTGGAAAAAGTATTGAATATTTGGCGATCTAGAAGTAGATAGAGGAGCCCTTTAAAGCTTTCGCGCTGAAAAGGTCGAAAACTTTTATATTCGGTCAAAAACCTGGCTTTCGAGAGATTCGGGATAGGCCGGCCGTCCCTTTCACCAAGGACATCGTTGATAGTCGGCACTTTGCTCTTAACAGCACGCATTTTGTCCTCTTTTCGGCTTTCAACGGATAGCTCACGATTTACTGGATCTTCCGATACACGCTCTTTCTCGAGCAACAATAGATCGAGTTTTATGGAGCTTAACCAAGACCAGGTTGAGATGCAAATTTTGTATGTAAACTGCAATATTTGGTCCTCTTCGTTAAAATATGAACACAATGACGGTTGGTTCCCTTGTTTTAGTAGTAAATTAACGCGGACGAGCTACATATAATTTTTCGGCGAGTCCCGACCATGCTTTTTTGGGAGTTTCATAGAAGCCCTAGCGTCGGTGAAATTTTTGGCTGCTAGAATGCAGCGCGAGCTAAGGCCGATTGAGAGAGCACCATGTAATGCCCACAGGAGTGATTTCCGCCAGAATATTCGAAATAATGCACCCAATAGCTAGCTGTGTGCTTCCATATCAGGGAAACTTCAGTGTCAATGCCTTGGTATGTACTCCGTATATCAATTCTTAAGGAACCAAGGCTTGTAAGAGCTGGTGGATCGCCTATAGTTAGTTTTGGTATTCGCCGCCTTAGTGCCATGGCGGCAAAGAGCTTTTTCATATTTAAAAGTATAATGGTGCTCTGAGAATTATGGAGAGTTTCGATCAGGCCATAAACACTATAATATTTGGGGGGTAGGCAGTGATGCCTTCCAGCCAACAGGATACCTTTTCGAGACAACATGGTAGAATGGGCCTGAAGGAGTTGTCGTGTTTCCATATCGAGGTATTAAAATAAATTATTTGTTTGGCAGAAGTTTTTCATCTCCTAGAAGACTTGAATTTTCTCAGAAGTTGACAACTTTTGTCGGATGTGGTCATCTAGAACTGACATGTAATAAAAGGGTGAAATCTAGAACATGTGAATCTTGGTAAAGGGGTATTAGAATAGTTTTCCCCAGAAGCCAGGGGCATCTTAATTGAAAGGACGAGGAAGAAGCGAAGTCAAGCCTCTTCATAGGAACTTTGAATCTGGACAGTGCCATCCTGCTTAGGCATGTTGGGTTGCGTGAGGAGAGAGGGTGAGGCTGGTTTATATACCTTGCGACGAGAAAGAAAGGTAGAAAGATGTGAAGAGTTTTTAGTCCCCTTCATTGGAAACAAAATTTGCGACGAAAGTGATGCCAAAATCATGAAAATGGAAGGTTTCTTTCTACTGATGTAGACCTTCTGACGAAAGTGATGTGGAGTTTGTGAATAACACTGGAGATGAGTCCCTCACTTCTTCATTCTGCTGAAGATTAGAGGGTGAAGGAGAAGGCTGATGCAGCTCTGTTCACCGACATAGTGCCCCAATGAATACAACATAGAAAGCCGAGTCTCCACTTTGCTATAGAGACCGGGAAGTATCTGGAAAATACAGAAAAGGGTCAAAAACACTTCAAGGATGAAGGGTAGTGCAGAACAGATAGAGTTTTATATTCGACTGCGCATCTGTTAGTACAGACTTATCCATAGATCATTATAGCTGGATGGCTAGCTAATAGTAGCTGGCCCTCAAAACAACTTTCGCATTACCTTGGCCGTCGGTGGATTAGACGGCATCGGGCAAAAGCGAACCGGCCTGGGGAACACTGTACTCTAACAAATGAATCGCAAGGTGCTTAGCTGCTTCAACAACCATCAATGCATGACTATCAGACTGTGGCTATGAGGAATTGTTAGATGTGAGGTAAATAAGGTATTCTCAAATCTGTTCAAAGGCGCAAATTATCAAGCAAGTAGGGAAGAGTATATATGCTCAGAAAAGAAGATACTGAGTGGGAAAGCGATAGTGTGTAATAATGACCTCCAGGGCCCTTTTAAAAAAGGGGCATTATACTAAAAGTGTTGGGTCTATATCAATATTTTCGATACGGAAAAGAGCCCGCTATGAACCTGCAACGGAAACACGGATGCGAATAAGAAGTCCGATGAATTAGAGAACAATAAAGGATCGAAGAAAAGCACCTGGCAATGCAAGACGTGTCGGTGGTAGGGTAATAAACCGGTCAATATGCTAAAGTCGGAATTGTCGGAAATAAAGTATATAACCGAAGCGTGAGTTAATGAGCTAGCTATAGCTGAAGCAGAGGAGCAGAGCAGCGGTCCATTAAGGGCGTGCAATTAAGTTGCGTAGCTCATCATCATCAAAATACCCAACAAATGCCCTTCGCAGGAATATTTTCCAAATATTTCTCCGAGAAATGGTTGTTGTCCCATTTCCCTCTTCAAAAGAATGTAGAGCTGGACTTTCGGTTTCCGACTTGGTGACGTCTTGGGGTGGGTGGTGTTCGCAACCTTTGAGGTCATCGTAGGTAACGCAGTCTTTCTGGATCTGAGCGAGGTCTGGACTCCTCGCAATCCTTCTCGCCAGCTTTAAATAACTCTTTACGGTCATGTCTTTCAGTTTAAATAGCTTATCGATACGAGTGTTGTATTCGACTTCGAATTTCAACGATGTGTTTCCGGTGGTGCTGCTGGGCCACGGCCATTCAGCTTGCTGCAGCCGGTACTCACGCCAGCTTGAAGGGGGCATCCTAAATTTCGAGTTCATTTCCGTAATATTGGCAAAAAGTTGGGTATATCCTAACCAAGTGAAAGGCTGGTTTGAATAAGCTGGTCCTGGTGGCGCCGTGCGAGAAGGTGGTGATGGTATCGTAAACCTTGGTGGTTTCTTTCCATCTTTTTGTTTCTTCTTTTTTTTTCGACGCTTTTTCTTCGACAGTTCCACGTCGCTTTCCCATGTGCTCCCGAAAGATGAAGTTTCATAAAGTTTAGCGTGAGAATCACCAGCACCTTTGATGTGGCGGTGAGTCCATAGTGCGGAGTCGTCCAAGCCTGAGATATTATACTCGATAATTCTGAGGGATGGAAAATAGTTTGGAACAACGCTCGGTGACACCAACGAGACTGCGTATCTTTCGGCCCATTTTCCGCCTATTTGTCGATGATATTTCTTTTTCGATTTTCTCAGGGTGGCCCCAAGGATATCTTTGTGCCTGTTAAGCACGCGTAATTTGGCACTCTTAGAAGGTGGTGACGGTAATTTAGCCCATATGTCACGGAGGTCGCGAAGGTAACTTGTCCGGGACTGTGTTGTCATCTTGTCGCGTGAATCTGCTTCATAGTCTGGTTCCAGAGCGGCGGCTTGGTCTCCAATTTTCAAATCACGGAAGTCTTGGAACATGAAATGGTCTATATTCATATGCCCAAACATACTACCGACGACCACGTCTCGGTATTGCTTCACCCATAAAGTATACTTTTGCCAACACGTCTCGTCCCAATTTTGCTTAGAAGATGTTCTTGCTGGAGGAACATGGCCTATCAGGATGGCTTTCATGCTCCTATCTCTTATAAACTGAAGTTGGATTCGTAGCCATTCCATATGTTCATATCCGGGCTGAGATTTATCATAGCATCCATCAACAGCGTTATTTGAGGCGAAGAAGTACATAGTATTCAAGCTGAATACCGCCAACTTATTCGGTATGACTTCGACGTAAAACCAACCTCCTTGCACGAAGGAATGACGCTGTTCTTCTGGGATGAACTCACTCCACATGCGGGCGTATGTAGTCGTCCAACGGTTGGGGCCAGCATGAAAAATGTTATGGGGCATCACATCGTTGTTGCCTATCGTGGGAACGATTGGGATCCGCAGATGCATTTTCCCTTTGCTTGTCTCGGAAAATACGTCGCGCAAGCTATCAACCATGGCTTGGTTCAATGCGATGATTTCGGTTTTGGAGCGAGGGATATTTTCATCGTTGTCATGTCGCGCCGAATCGCCGGTCCACACCACGAAATCAATCGAATCACGAAGATTCTCTTGTATCCATTTGAACGTAGCGTTGACGAGGGTAAAGGGGCTGTCGCAATCGGTTCCAGCCGATCCCAGAAACCCCGCATCTCCTTTGCCTCGGTGACAGTCGTGACGCGAGTCGGAATTGGAAAAAGCCTTGTAATGGGAATCCGGGTGTATATCTATCGCGTCGCGTGTCAGCAAAATGGCAAGCCCCTGGATCCGGACGAGTATCGTATCACCTGTTATGTGGAGGAAACGGCCATGCAGCCTCGGTGTGTCCGAATTATCCAAAACATCATCTTCAGTGCTATACTCGGCGCCCGCTTGAAATGGATGCTGTACTTGCCCGGTAACTCCAGATATCCAACCGGCAAGCAGCAATAATATCCACGGGCGTTTGGCCATGACGTCGTGTTGAGAAGGAGAGAGGGCGCCCTGGCCCAAAGAGCTCGCCCTATATCATAAGAAAATAATCCTGCGAGAAGACCCAGATGAGTATGGGGATTTATAATAAAGATTTAACGCCCCCCACGGAGCTTGATATATTTTTTTGTTCACCTCTTAGCAGCCGTTAAGTGCAACCTTGTTGGAAAGTTTGGCTGATGGTCCCGGACCTGGCGGCTCATTGGCCCACGGCGGCCCCGCGCGACATGAATGACATCAGCTCGCCGTTGACTTGTGCGCGTTTTCTGCAGACGTTCGCAAGCCACCAGTGGTGTGTGAGCCAACCTTGCAATCGTGAACGTGATACTGACACGGCGTTGGATTGGGTCATAGGGACACGCGCTTTGGTTGCCATCAGATGGCTTAACGAGCTAAAATATGGATTTGATCTCCGTTCCTGCGGAGAGGCTAGAGTAGTTTACTTATATAGCTAATCTCCCTGGTCAGCCCCCGGTTTCACCGGCGACGCAACGAAGATCGGAAACGATTAAAAACGACGGCCATACAGAGTCAATAGGCCCATTAATGTGGTATATATGGTACAATTGCATGATAAGACTCCGTATGATGCTGCAGGACTGGATGTTTTGGGAAGCTCGGCCGAGGTACATAGCCGCCAGAAAATCCACAGTCGCGAAATACCATCTCAGCGTTGAATTTGGTTGAACGATTGATGAGGGTGGGTTAGTTTCACGCGGGCCCCTCCTCCAAGTCTAAGATTCAGCCTTGGTTGAACTCAACTCCGTCGGCTTTGTGAAGCTCTGTAGCTTTTTGAGTTACCTCCCGTTATCCCGGTGGGCTAACCAACTAGTAGTTACATGAACCCCTCCCCAGGTCTCGTGCAACTCCCGTGGTATTTGCGGCACGTTTCTTCTCATTGTCCTATCGTCTACTTGCAGGGTGAAGTCCCATTATTTACTCCTATCTTGCTGAGAAATCTTACGTTTTAGTATTACATCCAAAGAACCATGTCGGGCTTCCCAAGCTTACAACCCGCATTCACGCTCCAGGTAGGCTCCTGTATACCTGATGCCCCTCTATGCCGAAGGACATCAAAAGCTAAACCGATGGCGGCCCCGGAATAGGTGAAAATTGAGCCAGCGGCATCTGTTGGTATGGCAATGTCCCAGTAGCTATCATTTCACGATAATTGAGACGCCACACTACAGGAAGTGCATCGCAGCAATGCGGCCTGCTCATCACGGTGCGCCTTGCAAGCAAACCTCTGACCTGATGACCTCGAATGACTAACATTTCCTATCAGCCCATGGTCGGTGGTACAGTGAGGAGTGAGCCGGGCTTCTCCCCGGCATTCAATGGGGAGTTCACCGGCACTGGCAACGATTACATCCACGTCGATCCCGATGGGAAGCGTTTTAGACTCAATGCACATGGCCTTATTCGGTAGGCGTTTTCGATGAGCCTCCCGGACGTTGGAGACTGACCAAACGCTTATGCTAACAGAACGGATGACGGCGCGGTATGAAATCACCAACCCTTTCGGCCCGGCCATGCCATTATACTCATACAGTGTCTGCTCTCTATATCAATAGTTGGTATATCTCCTTTATACAGGCATTGTAAACGTTACTCCGGAACTCAACGCCATTATGAGTGGTCAATCGGAATCAGCAGTCACACCTTTTGGTGATGCATGTATGTTATCTACCGCCCCGCTTGCCTGATGCTACCGTTCTTGATTTACTAACATAAAATTTTGTAGTTACTCACCTTACATTCAAGGCACGTATATCCGCCCAGTCTGTTGGACTACATATAACCATTTTGGCCAGACGCTAATTTCTCCCTTATTACGGAATAGACTGGAGATGAGCGGTACACCTTCCTCGAGTCGGGGGTGTTCGTTGCAGCCGGACATTTCATCTATGAGAAAGGTCAGCTGCCAATTGTAGAATACAAAGTTAGTAAGGTCTGCAAGGGATGAGGGTTATCAGTTTAAGTGGGTGTTGGTTTGTGAGAAAGGCACAGAAGCGAACATCGTGTCTAAGGGGTTAATGAAAATATTCTTTCATATTATTGCCAAGTCGTAGGTTATCAGTGGTCCGGAAGTATTCAAACCAAACGGCAACCTTACGATAGCTGAACTCCTCTCCCGAATTGTCTATTCGAAGAAGAAAAAAGAAAAAAGAAAAAGAGCGCTGCTTCGCTTAACCGAGTAATGGGTCCCTCTCACCCTCATATCCACTCATACTCTCACCATTTTCAGCTTCAAAGAATGCACGCTGTCCCCTGGCCCCGTCTATGTATGCTCCAAATCCCATACTACTCCCCCACCCTTCACTTAGCAAATCGAGAATACCGATACCAGAAAAGCTCCCTGATATCCCCCCGCCTTGGTCTTCTAAACCTCTCTGCTTTCGTTTTAGTTTATTTATGACCCGTGTAACCACCGTCCACACGAGTAGGCCAACTATAGAAGTCCCCAGTATAGATGTGATAGCCGTTAGTACTGTAATCGTGCTCACAGCACACCCAAGCGGTCTGGAACGGAGTTCCCATTGTTCTTTTGGGCCAAGAGGGCAGATCGAATTGTTCAGGACGGGCGAAAATATGGGAATCGTGGATGGATTTGGGACACAGGCTGAGGACTGGAGTTTGAAGAATGCACTTTTTAGATGGGGCTCATGCTTCATGCCCATAGCCAGGCATTGATAAAGAAAATACAGATATTGTGGAGAAGGAGAGATTTCAACGTACGAATGGACACCAACTACAGGAGCTTGATGCTTTCAGACAGCTCCAGCAGTCCTGGAAACCCCAGCAGAAACGGAGGAGGTCATCGTCGCTGGATCCGCTCAACGGCGTGATGAGAGTATTAAGATTGTCCATGCCGATGAAAAGAAATGTAGATGGCCAAGTGTATGTGGAATGCGATTGTAAATGCATAAATTCTCACATCGCGACAGGGAATAAGTATTTCGAATCCCACGACAAGAGTAACGATCCGTACGGCACATCCAGGTAAGGGATATCAGACTTCGGCTCTTGGGGCTAGGCGTCCATTTTTGTGTAACCACAAGGTTCTCGACCGCGCCAAGATATTCCTCCAATGCAGAAATACGTAAATCAAAAATGTGCTGGAAGTCACTGATAAATATGTGGGCAATCATCGAAAGTCTGGCGTATGGCCGACCGATACTTTGATAGACTGCGACATCGGCTAAGGCCGTATCAACAAAAGACGGCGAGTTTGGACAAATAAATATCTCATCATAAGCACCAGAAGCGCCTGTGCCTTACCGGTAAACCCATCCATATTAAGGTAAAAGGGGGAAAAAAAAGGAAAAAGGAAAAGACAATACAGATAGTAATGAGACAGAAGGGAGTCAATGTCGAATAGAGAACCCCTGAAATCAATTCAGGCCCTAGAGAAGAAAACCAACTTTAATTACTCCCGTACATAAACGCACGAATCCTCTAGTGAACATTCATTCCACATGATAATCATTGCGGTATTTCGCTCAGAAGAAAAATTAAACCACACGTTTAACCTGAACAGCATAGTCTGTTAGTCTTGCTGCATAAAGGGGACTGGACAGCTGGTCCAAAGCCATCATACCTCGAAGAACCTCTTCAACCACCAGACCTGGAAAATGCCGTTTGAAATGAGCACGCCCAATTGGAAAAGACTCCACCATTTTACTCTAGCATTCGTACTTTCGGCGGTATTTCTGTGGGTGCGTTCGCGGACGATGATATACTGCTGCTCATCCTTCACGTGGGCGAGCTCTTGAGACAATTTTTTCACTGGTAAGGATTTCAGCGAATGCTCCTCGAATAAGGTAATATTCACATGTGGGTGGCGGTAAACAGACCTTCAGTCTCCAAGGGATCGGTTGGAAGTTCGGACTCAGGGACGTAGACAATTCCATGCACGTTGAAGGAAACCTCTTTGCTGTTTGAGGACCATGCTTCGTTTCCGAAGCAGTATACATATTTACCGTCTCGGGTTGCGGTAAAGGAGTACTCGTCGGAGGATACCGATGATTTGCTGTACTGATGGTGGCCGGCTGGGTCCTCGATCTACGCAAGTCATAGCCGTCAGTTGGGGCACAATGGGAATGACGACGATATCGGGGGGAATCCCAAATCAGAAGCATACCCAGAAGTTGATGTCGAGATTATCGCTTCCGCCGAATTCTCTATCACCAGTCTGGAATGTGACTGTCATTTGGTCTCCAGAACGTAATTGCTCGAAGAAGCATTCCCTTGAATGTGCGCGGAGAAGAATGTTATGTGATGAGACTACCCCTATCCACCCCAGGATGACCACCAAATAAGTCGAAGGAGAGAAGCGCATGATGAATTTGTTCTCAGTATGTTCAATTCAGTGTGTGGCAGAACTGAGAAGCAATGAGCGAGAAATGAATAGTGTGCTGGCCTGGATATCTATGTAAGTGTCTTGACACCAAGTGTCCAACTCAATTTCTAGCAACGAAGCGCGCACGGACCAGGTACACCCAGTGAGCGTCGCGAACTTTCATACTATGGACTCCGTACTCCGTACACATAGAATAAACTCTTCCTGGGCATCCATATCCCCCTACTAGCTTTCGTACCACACGCTTTAAATTGATTGACGGCATAATCCTCTAGCTTATGCTTTGATTGTCCCTCATATGCATAGAGGCAATACAGATTGTAGATACTTAAGCTATCCTCTAAAAGAATGAGAACAGCGACTGAGTGCTTAGTCTGTATTCCTACGGAGTACATGCCTTTCACTTTGCATAAGCAAGGACATCGCTAAACAAATGTTTATAGAATTCCCCTGGTCAAGAACCAACTGGTATGTACTGTATTGGAGTACATAACAAATGGATCAATACAGTATGAAAGACATGATTTTTCACACTTGCCCTTTCTTCAATGTTCAATAGCCTCTGGCCAAGTTCTCAGACCAATTCCTCATTCTCCCAAACAGCGGAACATAGAATTCTGCATCACTCAATTCCTTTCATCGGAAGTTCGGAACTTTAGGCTTTTAATAAACAAGATGCCTCTTTCTGGGCATCCTTTGCCAGAGATTAAGGTCTCATTTGCTGATGTTTTCAAAAGTTCAAAGACTTTGCGTGAGGAAGCTGCAGCGGCAGCTTTGAAGGTAATCATCATACAAACATACTGTTTGTCAAATGAAACCTCCTAACCATTCCTAAGCGATCTCTATTAGAAGCTAGCAACAAGGAAGCCGAGGAAGCCGGGCCGCCCCCGCCGCCTCCGAAGGAGCCCATCCCAGCAACAGAACAAAAGACGGAGGCGAAGCCTGCAGCTCCCGAGTCGGGGCCGGGGTTAGCTGCTAAAGCCTGTCCAGCGGAGGCGGCCACTTCAACAAACTCCATTTTGGAGTGGACGCCAGAGCAAGATCTACAGCTCTTGAAAATGAAAGCTGAATACACCCCTTGGAGAGCTATATCAGCATCCATTGGGAAACCTGTGTTTGCATTAAAGGACCGCTGGGGAGTGATTCAACCAAAGACAAGTGCATCGAGGGACAAGCAGAAGGCCCAAAAGGAAGCGAAGCCGACCAAGCTGGAAAACGAGAAGACCCGTGAACGCAGGGTCTCGTTCTCCGAGCCGATAGTTACACCGGATAACGTGAGTTCCCATACTGCCTATCACAACGTCTTCCGTGTTTACGCTTCATGTTAGCATGCTTACACTCTCCTATTCCCGTAATTAACTGTAAGAATAGGACGGTGCGCGGGACGCTGACTCCTCTAAAAAGGTTCTTTACCTTGACGAAGCCTTCACGCTGGAAGATGTCATCCTCCTCAATCAAATCGCCGCAAGGTATGATGAGGATAAGTGGATCAGGATCAGCTCGCGTTTCTTTGATAAAACTGGCAAACGGCTCCCTCCACGGATTCTCAAGAAGCACGTTTGCGTGGATTGAGCCGCCGAATACTCAAATCTAAGGAAATATCCACCTTTCCGTTTCACCCTATGAAATCCTAGACCTAGGCATGGGTTCTAATGCTTTGAAATTATCCATCATAGACAAGGCCTCTCTGAGTCTGCGATTAGCTTCATGATATAAGAATGCCAAATGACAGGTCCTTGTTCAAAGCCAGGCACCTTCTCTGTAGGATGGTAGCGTCGTTCATGTAGATTTATGGTTAGGAGGCGAGGTAACATTTGCAACCCATATTTCAGGTACCAAGGAGAAAGTCTATCACTGGTTCAACTTGCTCAGAGCGAATGGGTAAGTGACACGGCTCCATTTATTGCACTGTGATCACTATCTATGATATATTTAGATCTGACAGCCGGAACTGTTCATCCCTTTTCGTCACAACTGTTTACTGGTCAGGAGTCTCTGGGCTAGAACGCAGCAGCTTTGTGAAACAGCACTTGGCCCTGTAAAGTGGGCGTAACGTGTACGGTTCCCCTGAATTTTGGGTCCAACCTGCAAAGGATTGTGGCGCATTACTCTGATTTTGAGCCAATAGTGGTTAGGTGTCAGCTGGTGGCTTGGCCCTTTTCAGGATAGTGCAACGGGAGTGGTGATACTAGCGCAGTTTCTGAGACTGTATTAGGATTACGCCGAGGAAACGGCGCGCTCCAACACGTTTCCCACGGGCGGGTGAGCTTGAGAGTTTGACATTTCCGCTGTCTTTTCCTCTCCCTCTCCTGGCTGACGACATTGAGGTGGATTCGTTCCCTTAAAATCCCATATCATTCCTGTCCTTCGTTTTCGCCATTTAGTCTTTATTCCATCTCTTCCTTCTCCCATCCCCTTTCTGTCGCTGATTTCTTTCATTCACTTCTTTCATTAAGACCGGTTTCCTCCCAGCTTCGTCTCGGTTCTTTTCCCTGCACCTTGTATATCGTACATCCGTGGAATTCGTCATTCGCTGGGAAAGTTGATAATGCGTTTGTCGACTCTCCTTCCTCTCGCCCTGGCGGCCGTACCCGCTGTCTCTGCGGCCGGCAAGCTTGGCTTTGCTCTCGGTGTTAAGAATGCCGATGGTTCCTGCAAATCCCAGGCAGACTTTGAGAAGGATTTCGATGTTTTGAAGGCCCACTCAAATATCGTCCGGACATACGCCGCGGCCGATTGCAACAATGCTGAGGCCATTGTTCCAGCTGCTAAGAAGAAGGGATTTAATCTTGTCTTGGGTGTCTGGTGAGCCGAATTGATTGCTCATGTTTGGATGCCGCAAGGGCATGTTAGAAAAGAGGGTCTAACCAGCGCCCGGTTCTATTAGGCCTGATGTCCCGGAGTCCTTCGACGCAGACACCAAAGCTTTGCAGAAAGTAATCCCAGGAAATGAAGATGTGATCACCGCTATAACCGTCGGCTCTGAGACTTTGTACCGTGGCAACTTCACCGGCCAAGAGCTTTTGCAGAAGATCAACCAGGTTCAGAAGATGTTCCCCAAGGTTAAGGTCGGCACTGCAGACAGTTGGAACAAGTATGCCGATGGTACTGCTGATCCAATCATCGCGGGTGGTGTCAAGTATCTGTAGGTGCATTCGCCGCCGAACAGAAGGACGGGACATAACTGACCAGGATTACACTTTGCACAGACTCGTCAACGCTTTCGCATTCTGGCAAGGACAGGACATTTCCAATGCCACCGACACATACATCGATGACATGATGCAGGCCATGGTTCACATCCAGAAAGTCGCTGGAGCGAATGCTAAGCAAATTCACATTGCTACTGGAGAGACCGGTTGGCCAAGTGGTAAAGACAACTCCAATACATTATCTCGGCCTTCAGCCTGGCATATGATGTACTGATGCTTCTATAGACGGTGGAAGCGACTTCGGTGCTGCCAAAGCTGGAACTAAAAATGCTAAGACCTTCTTTGAGAAAGGCGTGTGTGCAATGCTTTCCTGGGGCGTCGACGTCTTCTACTTCGAGGCTTTCGATGAGCCATGGAAGCCAAAGAGCATTGGCGACAATGGCAAGGCTGCTGACGAGACTCACTGGGGCTTGTACACCGCTGATCGCCGGTCCAAGTACACGCCTGTGTGCAAACATATTCGATCTTGATATAACCACCACCTGAGGCTGCTGTGCTGGTCTCCGAGAAAATGGATGGGTCTAACAGTTTGGGAACGACCCGATGCCTAAGGGCTTTCGCATGGTTGAGGCCGCTCCTTAATTTTGTTTTCGCGATCATCTAAGGTAGGCGATAGAAATATGGCTATTGCAGGCAAAGTTGGCGCATTGTAGCTACTCTCTTTAGACTAATTGAAAATGCGATTGTTTTATCAATGTGTCCCCCCTGATTCATGTCTCATGCGTGCGTGCTGCGCCGTATGGCCGAATTACCTACCACACAAACTGTGGAATTAACTTATGCCTTTCGTCTCATGCAGATGTCAAGAGCCTACTTGATCTATGATGCCTTTTTTTTTTTTTTTTTTTTTTTTTTTTTGTCCCCCCAGAAGCTGTCGTGTCAGGGATGCTATAAATAATTAAATTATCCGGGAATTCCATATCCTCAAATTATATAAAAGCATCTAGGCCCCTTTTTGATGCGGAGCATTCCCCTTTTTCTGGTCTGTGCCCAAGCACCCGAATACTGTGTGGTTGCGGGCGGCAATTTATTATGCGATGGGAAATTAGTGTGGAAACCAATAATTCCACTCTTGATGATTTCCCCCTGGCCGCCTAAAACTTATTTTGCTCCGGTCAAGTTTGCGTCCCAAACCCAGCAGGCCCGAAAGCAACAAGAGCTTAATCCAGTGCCTTTGGTGATGCGCACCATGGTTCATTCTCTGGATTACCCAAGCTCTCTCTGACCCCGGCTTGTTTACCACAACATCTCCGTACTTTTTTGTTGTTTCCCGACAATCCTCGTGGCACCAATTCTGAGGCGTGGTCCACCGTTTTGGTCGCGTCAGGTGCCCAACGAAGACTCCTCGCCAATCCACGTCCTGGATCGCCGTTGACGACGGAATCCCGCTCTAACGTGAAACCCGTTGGACTGCTGAGTTGGTGATTTGGGTGTGATTTCCATGATTCAAGATTACGCCGAATACCAAGGGCAGCAAGCTGGTGCTTGCCACTGCAGAATCGAAAGGTAGGGGTCGGACATCGTCAACCCATTCTCCGAGGATAATTGCGTCGAAAGAAGCTACGAGAGTTTTCATACTTCTCTTCCCCACGTCCTATTCCTCTCTACACGTGTGTATGGATTGCAGGCTTACGCATAACCTGCCGCTAGGTCCCGCCAATCGGGCGTCCCAATTGCCTCCCCGCGGCTCGAAGCAGCATAACACCAACGAGCTGAACGTGCCTGTGCCGGCCGTGAAGAGGTCCGTAACACCAGGAGCCTCGAGCCTCGCGGCTGCTCCTCCTGGCCCCGACGTCTCCCGGTCTACGTCTCCACTACAACTTTCGCTCCCTGCTCTTCCGAAGTACCATCCTGCAGCGGGATCGCAGCTGTCCTCTCCAGACAATAGAAGAGCGGAAAGTAGACTCAGCAGCACTTATTATACAGCAGCCTGGGGCTCTCCATATGCAACACCGAGTCCTAGACGGCTGTCTTCCTCAATAAGAAGCCGTCGGGGTATTACAGATTTTGATTTGGAGGCTTCCCCTAATCACTCCATGCACGCTGGACAGCCAGAACCGTCGTCAAGGAGGAATAATTCGCGTGATATCAGCGTACCCCCATCGGAAGCCTCTCAAACCTTTTACGGCTCGCTTGGTAGACGGTTGGAGAGGGATCGTCTGGTGCGGCAAGGGGGAAAGTCGATAAAAGACTTCACTCAGGATTGGATTAACCAGTATCTTTCAGGGCAATTACGCTCTGAGCGGACAAATTGGTTAAGCGACGATTCCGGTGACGACGTAGCATCGTTCCTTACAGCCAAAAATCACTTTAGCGAATCTGAAGGTTGGCTTGGTCTTGACGACGATCCATTGGAAGACGACCCTCTGAAAACGCCGACAGCGTCTACTTTCTTCAACCGAAAACTTAAAGAGCCCGCGGCAAGGCTTGATCTTCCGAGATTGAGAGCTAAGCATCTCAAAACGAACAGTTCAGACACATTGAGACAGTCTGACTTTTGGGATTTCGGATACGACCAGGACGCCACCCCTGCCGTGATGCCGAACACCGAGTCCTTAGAGGCTACAGAGCCTGAACTCGAGGTAGCTCGCAAGTCAAGCATACCTGTCTCACCGGTTGAGAAACCGCTCCCGCCTCCTCCGACAGTGGATGAAGAGTCCAAAACTGAACCCATACCTCCCACTATTACTAGAACTTCGACCCAGAGGGCAAAAAAGCGTGTTCTCTGGAAGAATAAACCATGCGTGATTGCACTTCCCCTTAATGATTCCCGTGGTGCAATTGAAAGCTCAGGCCCACTCCTCACGCCTGCTGATGTCGAACGACGACTGAAGGAATGGGAAGAGGCTGGGTATGATGTCCGTTCGGTTGGATATGATCTTTCACAGAGTCGTCCAGCATTCCCTGATGCTGCCGAATGTCATCAAGAGTGGCAACAAAGGAACTATGCCATTAGCTTCCCTGATCAGGCGGAATGGGACGCTTATGTCAACTTCTTGAAAGAGGAGAAGCTCAGGGCTCTCGGAGTATCTCTTGGAGGTGATGACCTCGCGTCCGCTCCAGTGAGTCAAGCTCCGTCGCAGTTCATTGGAAACACGGTCTCTCCGCCCATTCCAACTTCGTCTGCGGCTAGTAACCACCTAAATATGTCGGGAAACCCACTCGCAGCAATTTTGGGTCAAACAACAAAGCCAAATGCCGGTCTCCTTTCTATGACTTCTCCATCCTCTCCTTTTGGCTTCTCTGCCAGCTCTCCATTTTCAAACCCGCCTGTATCGTTTTCAAGCGAGCCTGGGTATTCTTTTATGCCGTTTCAGACGCCAGCAACGACAACCCAAGGCACTCTCACGCCTCAAAATCTTTATGGTATTCGAACCGGCATTCTGTCGCCTGTTGGCGCTACAAGCATACCAAACCTGGGTTCATTGCTGCAGCCAGTATCCCCGCTTACAGCTGATGAGTCAAAACAATACCCAGCGGGGTTTAATGCTCACCCTTCATTAAATCATACGTTCGTCGGTCAGTCACAAACGCCACAACTTGGAGATGCCAGTAACATTATTTCTCCTCCTTTGGACAATCCTGGCCTCGAAGTTGAGGCAGATTCGGACACAATACAATCTTCTTCTGGCCCTGAAATTGCTCACCCAACTCCACGAGGGCACAACCATAACCTAAGCGAAACGCTTCAAAGGGGTGTCGAGCGTGGTGATTTCCGGCTTGGGAACTCGGTCACAAAAGAACTTGAAGACGACCAGGGAACTCAATCTCGCAATGATCTGATGAAATCGCGGTGGGACATGCCCGATGAATCTGCTCAACATCCCTTTGCTCAGGCAGCCCAGACTAGTCAGCAGCATCATTTGCTACAGCAACAATTATTTGGCGAGCAGCCTCATGGAGAAGGCCAGCTTGATGGGTCTGAGATTGATACGAATCCAAGCTTGTTAGGCACTCCTACCCATGAAAACATGCAACATCACGGATTTAACCCAATTAGCCATCAAGAAAGCAGTGCAAATACTTTCATCCCACGTCATCAATCGAAGCCCTCCCTCTCCAATCTCAATATTGCTGCTAAAGCTTTCGAACCGACGGCAACTTTCTCTCCAACTAATTATTCATTCATGACTAACACCTTCCCGCCTGGAGTCAGTAACGCTGGCACTATTTTCAGCCCTGGCCTTTCACAGCACAGTGCGAATTCGCATTCAAGTAGCTTCAATGTGAACGCTCCGACTTTCGAGGCACATTCAAACCGAAACTCGCTTTCCAATTTCAAGCTCTCTTCCGCCTCTTTCAACGTTGAGGCTCCTGTTTTCAACCCTGGTCAAGGTGCACGCGTCGACGTCCCTCAAAATACGTCCGCTGAAGGTAAAAGCAAAATATATGGTGGTTTCAATCCATCCGTCATTGTGCCACCAGCCAAAAGGTCGAAGGCGATCCCAATTGTACGACCAGAAGAACAAAAGGAAGAAATGCGGGATACTGATATGATCGAAGATGAAAGCGGAGATCATGATGTGCAAGGCCGTGAGAAACGCAAGCGGAGATCAAAGGATGACGGTGGTGACGAGACATCATTGCCCATCCTCGCAGATATTGCAGTAGATTCCAAACCGATTCTTCCGGTTGTCGGAAGCCCCGCCAACGTTGACGTCTCTGAAAAGAGGGATGATGCTGAGAACGAAACCGATAAAAGATCGAATGTCGTGGCAGCTGAGGATGAATTTGAAGCGGAAACAGACAGATCCACAAGCACGCCTATAAGTGAATCTACCACTTGGAAACCGTTTGAATTCAAGAACGAAGAAGATGCAGCTGCTTTCCATGCAGCCCTTCCTATTACTTCCGTTCCATTTAGTTCCAAGAAAAGCGAGACACTCTCGGAAGCTTCTCCAACGCCAGATAAGAAAGGTACGATGCGGCCTATCTCTAATTCGAATAAGGAGCTTCCTCTTCTTCCTCAAGAAAACATTGAAGATAGCCAACAAAAGGTATCTGATTTGAAACCAACGCCAGAATCATTGGAATTCAAACCCTCTGCTCCGTTCTCAGTGCCGGGTCCAGTTGAACTTCCGGCGGAAAGGCCTGAAAAACTGGTTGGCTTAGAAGGCTCCAAGTACGCTGTGCGTAGTCCGGCAGTCTCCGACGCTGAACAAGCTTCTCCCACGACAGATCTCTCTCAGGGCCAATCTAGTGCGGAAGCCGAGCGGTTAGACGATAATCTCGAACACGACTCGCCCAACGAGCAAGAAATCGATGCGGTTATGCGTCAATTGAACGAGGATGACCAAGATCTTGGTATCGAGAGAATGGAGCCATCGCTCCCTGAGCATATTGCTATCAAGGACAAGAATGTGCCGGAAAATCAATATGGTACTCCTGAACTTGCTGCATCAATATTAAGTCACAGCAATGCCCCTAGCCCAAGCCCTCGCAATATGTCTTTGACGCGAGGAAGTTTGCCCAAGCTAAACACAGGCATTATCACGCCCTCGCATGCTCTCTTTACCCCTCAACGAAGTTCCAACCTTGGCTCTCAATCTCCAATCCGCCACTTGAATAATCCCGATATCGATCATATTAGTGATTGGGATGATGCTATTTCGTCTGGCCAAGAAGAAGAGCTGCAATATAGAGCACGTTTCTTCGACACTCATGTTGATGAGGTTATCGGTAGTGTATTGGACGATCGTCTTCTTCCTCTAGAAAGGACCTTGGATACGATTGAAAACTCGATCGCTTTGCTTGCGTCACAAACGGCGACGCGAAGAAGCACGTCCGCTGATGTTGAACATAGCGATGCAGATGACGAAGATGAAGATGAAGATGAAGAAGCCGCTAGACACAGGTCACGATCGCCCCTTAATAGGCAGAATCGACTTATTGAGAAGATTAGGCAAGTCGTTTCGGAAAGTGTGACTACCAACCAGACTCCAAAAGAACCTGCGCCGCTGGTTGATCTATCCGAGATTCATAGCTCCCTTGCGGAATTGAAGACTCTAACAACGCAATTTGCTCCGAAGGAAATTCCTTCCGTCGATCTTTCCGAGGTTCATGCATCACTTTCGGTCTTGAAAACTTTGGTCACCACTAAATCGGAACAGGACGAAGCGAGCAATTTAAAAACCGAAATCATTGATTCCATTGTCAATCATCCTAAGCTTGCTGAAATGATGCGTAGTTCAAATGAGGAAAAGGATGCGGAGAAACTTCAGATGCAGCTTGAGGGTCTGCAAAGTATGTTGCGCCTCGCAGACGATCGAGCGGAAGAAGAGTACAAGAACCGAAGGAGGATCCAAGACTCCTTGGCGGAATCGCAGAGACTCCTGAAGGCCGCTGAGGATGATGCTGTGCGACACAGGGATGCTGCTGCCGCTTCCGAAGAGGCGCTACGGACCTTCAAAGAACAGAAGTTGCCTGAGATGGAACGGCTAGAGAAACAGTCAGCTCTGCTCAACGAAAATCAAGAAAGCCTACAGCTCACACTTTCTGAACTCTCGCAGAAGAACATCACACTCCAAGGAACACTTGACGAGTATAGAGAAACCGGTGATCATTTACGCTCTCAGCTTGATGAAGTGGAAGGAGAGAATAAGGAACTTCGTCGGACAATTAGTGTTTTGAAAACCCAGATGGAGGATAGCCTCCGTGCTCGCCAAAGTCTTCGAGGAAAATTTGAGAAACTTCAAGAAGACATGGTTACTGCTGCCCGGGATATAGCTCAAGAGCAATCATCGTGGAGAACAAAGGAGGAACAACAAGAGATCATGTATAACGTACTGAAAGCACAGTATGATGACGAAGTGAAACGCCGGAAGAAACTGGAGCTCCATATCGATGATTTGGAGCAGAAGGAAAAAGAAGCCACGAAATTGAGATTCATCCTTGGGCAGTCTCAGGAAGAAAATGCGAAGTTGGAGGAGCTGTTGATGATGGTGCGACAAGAAAGCCATGACTATCAGAATAAGGCAGCCAAATACGAACGCGAATTCAATGAGGCTCGTGAAATAAGTCGTATTGAAATCCAGAGAGTAAGGACATCAATGGAAGCTGACCTTGAGAACGCGAATCATCAGGTCAATTTTGTTCGTGCGGAGCTCGAGAGTCAGATCAATAATCTTGAAAATCAATTGGAGACCGCGAACATGGATGCGGATACGTCTAAAGCGAGATTCGAACTTCTATTAGAAGAAGCGAGAGATGCAAAAATGGCGGCCCTCCACGAAGCTGCTGAATCGAAGGAAATAGCGCTTCAGGAGCAGCGCCTTGCACATGAGCGAACACTGAATGACCTTCGAGAGCGACATGCCCGTGTTTTACACAATGGATCTGAAGACCGGCAGCGCGAGGAATCTCATTATATGGAGTTGATTGCACTTCGGGATGAGCGGATCGATCACGTCCATGATAAGGTCGCTCACTTGGAAGAAAAGCTCGAAATCGCCAAGACAGCAGCGCGCACCGCTGCTCAAGCCGCACAGAACGCCAAGGCAGCACAAGTCATGTCACCAACTCAGGTCACTTCGCCGTCGTTGACATTCACAAAGGGTACTAATGTTCCCGAAAAGATATCCCCTCAGGCACTTCGTGAATCAATCCTGGTGCTGCAGGATCAGTTGCAACAGCGAGAAGGGTGCATCGAAGAGCTTGAGCATGAGCTTTCGCTTATTGATAAAGATGCACCGCTGAAAGTAAAGGAAAAAGAAACAGAAATTGCTTGGCTCCGTGAACTGCTCCATGTTCGTTTGGATGACTTGCAAGATATCATCAATGTGCTGTCACAACCATCGTTTAATCAGAGTGCCGTACGCGATGCTGTTATCCGCTTGAAGGCGAATCTACAAATGCAGCAGCAGGAGAAAGAGAGGTCAATGGCGGGTGGTAGCCCCCAAACATTCCCTTCGCTCTCTGCAATCTCGACTTTCGCCGCGTCACCACGTGCTCTGCCGCTTGCGGCTGCGGCTGCGTGGGGAAATTGGCGAAAGGGGAGGGAGAATTCTTTGGGGCCCAATATGGCCGATAACGGGTCCAACAGCAATGACAATACACCATCCAAAGCATCAAGTTCACAAAGCTTCTTGACCGGACTGTTAACGCCGCCTCACTCGAACATGCGCACCTCGGCGAGTCGTTCCGTTCCTCCGCCACGTTCTTATTCTGACAGCCGCCCACTAAGATCCTCTGGCGCGACCCGTCGCAGGCCGTCAACTCTCCAACCGGAGGCAACACCCCAGCCAACGGAGGCTCCACGGACTCCACCTCTTTTGCGAAAGTCAAGCTATGACCATGATGCGGAAGCGACGAATTACGATGAGGCGTACGCTGATGATAACGAGAGTATCATCAGTGGTATTCTCACACGGGGCTCGACCGCGCCAGCTAATGATGGCCCGTTTGGTCCGGCCATATAATGGCGATGAAAGCGAAGTCGTTTCGCTTATATTAACTTTTTTCTGGGATTTGCCCGGAAAACTGGTTTACCCTTTCTCCCATGTCGTTATTAATTTTTTCCCCTCCTCCCCATAACTATTTCCCTATTTTCTCGGTCTTTCTCATATCATCGATGCATAGTGATAACGATTTTCACGCCATTTATTATCTATCACCGTTTAATAATAATCTCTTTAGAATTCCTGTATATTTATCTCCCACTTTCGTTCTCTCCATCTGACCTTCAGTCAATCGTTATCATCTATACAAGTCTTTCATTCCAAAATTTTTTTAATCTCGTTTGCTTTCCTTGATTTTTGACTTTTTTGGAACTTCCGGGATATCCTTTGCCCCCAGGCTGCATTGAGTGGATACAATTTTTTGTTACTTTTGATCGACATTTGAGACACCCGTTTATACCCCATTCTTGAATTCCTTTTTTTTTTTTTTTCCAATTTGATTTTTTATATCAGAATGTTGCTAGTATTTTCTCCGCTTTGACCAGATTGATAGCCATACATATATACATATACCCTTGCAATTTTTAGTATATCTGAATTTGGTACTTTAGATTATGAATGATATACAATGAGCTCGGATAAACGATTCCTGTTTTGGCGGCCCAAACTTGTTTTTATACTATGGTTTACGCTAATTTGTACCGTACATAGTCAGGCGCTTAAAATTCCCCAAAATACCCGTCAGTCTGGAATTTTGAAGAATCTTGGCCCGCCTGGCTGTTGGAAGCCCTATTTATTATATACTCCGTACGGAGTACATACACACATTATCAAGGGCTGGCGCGCTATAAGGAACCGGTCCGCTTTGAATCTCACCCTTGAAGCTAGAACAATATATTTGCAGAGTCGTGCCGGGGATTATCAACAAGTATTTCCCTGATGCGATACTATCTAGATTTCGTTTATATGCTTTGGGAATAATGTATCGTAATATCCATACGTGCAGCTTTGGCAACGTCACATAGGGCGATGCACATTAGCGCCATTCGCGGATCTCCCAATCCAGCCGATTTTTCTTACATTACCCAAATCGAAGGCCGTCAGATGCCATAGATGGATCGTACACAAAAACTATTCATACCACAGGCCAGCCCAGACTCATTCGTCGGCCCGTTTCCAAGGGTATCACATTTCAAATAATGTGGTAGGTAGCTGGAATAGATTGCCGCAACTTAGTTAGCTTCAATCTTTCAAATAAGAATGCAATGTTCTCGCGCGTAGAGGTCTCTCAAGATCTCCACCGACGACCTTGCGCTCGACTTTTTCGAGAGCGATGACGGGAACGTCACGATTGCATGTCTCAATGCCAAAAGACCCAAATCACCCCAAAATCCAACAACCCTCTGCGCAGAAAACTTCAACATCGCACCTAACACCGTCAGATGGGTATCCTGAATTTCCTCTGGAGGAACGTTAACAATGATTGAAAGTGCTTTCCAAAAGTGTGTGTTCGGTAGCGGGTTTTGGCGAGAAGTTTTGGAAAAGTCTCGGAGGGATATCGCTGCGAATCCGGCTCCGAGGCCGATCATGCGTTCCTCGTGGACCTGTCGGGAGACGAAAGGCCCGTCTGGTTCGTCTCGCCACCAACCTAGTGCTGTTTTACCTGTCTGGGTGGATTCGCTGCCGTAGAAGCCCCAGAGGACGGGGCATACGACGTGATACTTCGCGAGCAGGATGTCGATCATGGAGCAACCTTTGTAGACGAATGCGTCCATAGAAAAGACTTGGGCAGTGAGGACTCCAAGGGGACCGGCACATTTCGGCGTTACGCCAGCTTCGGCCACTAGTTGGGCTATTATTGCCTTAGCAAATATATTGAGAAGGTATATTAGTAGCGCGGGAACCTTGCTCTCTTCGTTCACAACGTGAGGTGGTGGGAAGGCGATAAATTGGCGAATGTCGATGGAGGGTTCTTGTAGGGCCGAAGCTTTCTTGAGGATGGTGACAATCTCGTTGGTCTAGACAAGGGTTAGAGCCGATATATCATGTCAACTGAAGGGTAAAAGTGGACCTACTGGAGTTCTGTTGGCCGCTGTATCGTTGGTTAACAGCTGGCCGACACATTTTTTGATTGTTCGGCGCATGTCTCCCATATGCTGCTTAAGAACCGGGTTCTTCTTGGTCTCGTCGACCATGTACTTTCTGAACTGCTTAAGGTGTTTGTGTAATTCGAGGTATCGTTTGTGCTCAGTCACCTCTTGCGGTGTGCGCCGGGTTTCACCGAGAAATTCTCGAATTTCCGGTCTCTTTTGCTCTGCGACCTTTTTCTCCTGCTCCTTCTGTACCTTCAGCCTCTCTTCCTCCTGTTTCTTCTTCTCTTGTTCCAGACGCTCACGTTCCTCACGTTCCTCACGGGCTTTCTTCTCCGCTTCTTCCTTAGCTTTCCGAATGCGTTCAGTTTCTTCGGCCTGTCGTCTCCTCTGCTCTTCCCTCGCTTTCCTCTCAGCCTCCCGTCGAGCGGCCTCTTCCCGTTCACGACGCTCCTTTTCAGCTTTCTCACGTTCAATTTTTTCTTTCCTCCTCCGCTCCTCCTCTTCTTTGCGTCTACGCTCTTCTTCGGCGGCTCGTAGATGCTGGTGTAATGTTTCCTCCGCCTCTCGTCGTAACTGGTCCCGTTTAGCGGCGGCGGCACTCAAAGCTGCATTGTGGACTTCTTCCCTCTCGCGATCAATTTGGTCGAGGCGTTCGTAGAATGATCGTCGCTCGTACTGTTTAACCCTCTTGAGCTCCGAATTATGTAGACGCACTTGCTCGAGGTCTCTGATGAGGTCCTGCATCAGCTGCTTGGAAGGACTGTCCAGCAGCCCTTTGGTGCGAGCCATGCTGACCGGATATGAGATGAAAAGAGGAGCACCCGTGGTCGAATGAGTAGTTCAGATGTGTAGAGGTTTCGTGGCCACGGAAAAAAAAAAAAAAGAGTATAGGGTCAAAGAACGGATAACTGCGAGGGTGCTAGGAGGTGCAAGGTACACGGTGACATCAATGGTTAAGGGACAAGAGACAGGAGCTATAGACACAAATGATTGTGAGAAGCAAACAGGCTGATTTAGATTGGGCGAGAAATTCTTTTTTTCTTCTTTTAGCTACGGACGTCGAGCAATTTCCCTCCCCTTCACCATCTCGATGGTTTGAAAGGACGAGAAGTTCCGTTGACTTGAACGAGCGCACGCCCACAGACCACCTTACGATCAATGAAGGGGCGGACAGCTCGAGCCAACACCGCCTTCTTGTGCAACACTGCTGCTCCCCGGCTGGTCCTGCGCGAAATTGCTAAATAAAATCTTTTTATATAACAAACGATTTTGTTATTATGTAGAGGGCCGACGGCGTGTGCAGGTCAAGGGACAACCCGAAAGTCAAATCTGCAGGCAGAAAAGGGAATGGACCTGTAAAACAACGGATCAACCGGTTAGTAAAACGTCGGATGGCTCGTGGGAGAGGACGTCATGAGTATTTACAGATTGCAAGCAAGCAAGCGCCTGGTCAGCGGCAAATCTTCAATCCACCTCTGTCGAGTCGCGCTAAAGAAGAGAGAACCCCATCTGGAAACAGCTGGAGTTAAGCGCCAACGGCAACAGAAGGTCAAGGTTGTCAGCAGAAGACAGGACAGACAGGGTGAGAGGGCCGCGGCGGGTGTTGGGGGGACGGATGGATAAGGGTATGCCAAAAGACTATATTTTTTTGTGGTTGCGGACAGACTTCAAAGCCAATAGCGGGTGGGAAACCACGGAACCAAAGAGCTGAAACGCTGCTGTTGCTAATGCACTTCTGCTGTTCTCTGGTTGGCTTTACATCACCATTTCGCCTTTGCAGAGTCTACCGCTTGTTGCTGTCGAAGTCAAACCGGCGTCATTCACTCATCATCTTCCAGCATCGCGGGGGGTGGGGAGAGAGAAAACCATAAGAACGCGGCAACCTTTAAAAAACGACTCTTCTCTTTTTCCTCTCTAATCCACCTGCCCGCCACGTTTGCTTTTCTTTTTTTTTTTTCGCTACGATCCTGCGTTTTCGATCCTCCCCCGATCTTTCTTTACCCAGTCATCAGTTCTCTAGCAGCCTGATTATTGATACGTTCGTCTTACAGAACAGCGCAGTCTCTCGTCTCCGCTTGATGCAGGGTGCTCCAACGCCACAGCGTCCTTCGATCTCGTGCAAGCTGACCAGCCAGTGTTCGCCGGCGCGATCACAGCGCCAGGGAAGCTCTCACCCCGAATAGGCCTAGCGCCTCTTGGAGTCACGCGCATTGCCGCACTAGTCCCAACACGTACAAGCGTTCTCACCCGGCCGGTGGAGCCCGGAAGCACGCTAAGCCCGAAACGGTGAGTGCCCCTAAAGAGGCCCAAGCTGGGCCGTCGCTTCCTCGCTGGCTCGAGTGGAGGGAACAGCCAAACAAATCCCCCCCTTCGCCATCTCTTCACAGCAAGTTCGCCTGGCATCCTTGTTTGGCCGTTCTTCCTTCCTTTCCCATTCCCCCCATCCGCCCTCTTTTGCCCACCTCCAGAGCGTCAGAGCGTCATCCCTCCCTCTCTCTCCCCTTCTCTCTCTCTCCTCCCTTCTCCCTCTCCTCTCTTCGTCGTATATTTCCCTTCTTCCAGCTGTACTGTTTCTTAATTCCATTTTTCCTTTTTTGTAATCTTGCTTTCTTTTCTCCGTTGCCGGCTGTTCCCTGTCCTTAAGCCTGTCCTTTTGCCTGTTACATCTTTCCCTCATTATCAGAGCTCTAGCTGTCCCACGCATGCCCAAAACTCCCGCAGCCTGTCTCGCTCTCTCTCTCTCTCTCTCTATCGCTGTCTTTGCGTCTCTTTTTCCCATCGCATATCAGCAAATTCCCCACTCGGGCAACCGCTGCGGTGACTCGCTGCTTTCTGCTCATTGGGTCTAACTCGTGCTTTCCACCAACAACAGCAGTGTCTGCGCTTTCCCAATCAGTCGCAGCGTGGGCGTGTCTCGGTCCTTCCCCCTTCGCTGGGTAACGCCGTCCTTTCCTTCCACCCCTCCAGTGGATGCGTACAAACAAACAACCAAACTAGTCCAGTCCGATCCAGTCGGATCAAGAAAGGCTGCCGAGTTCTGACAAACAACTATCCTTTTCCATCCCTCTTCCCCCCTCCTCCCCGGCTCACACCAGACTGCCCGCTCCGTGAGACCGTCGTATCCCGTCTCCGCCCGTCTAGTCATTTAGGTGAACCTATCCAGCAACGGTTTATTCTATCTCTTTTTGAGTAAATTGTGAGTCTGTTCAATCAACTCTCATTTCGGGGTTCTTGTCTAGGCTAACATCTGCGTCGTATTTCCTCCGTAGAATACCGATTAATTCGCATCTCACTCGAAAAAGGAAAGCCTCTTAAAACAGCCATTCATTGACCTCGAGTCATTTTTTTTTTCTGACAGGATCGAGTCTCGTCATTGAAGTATCCTGAATAGCTTGTCAGCATAACTTTGCTTTTGCTCCAGTGGCATCGCAATTATGGATCAACAAGGGCAGTCTGGGATCCCAGGTCCCACTGGTAGACGGCTGCATATCGCCCATCGGAGAAGCCCATCAGAGCTTACTCCTCTTATGAGTAAGTGCCCTATAAATCCCTAGAGACTTGTATATATGCGCAGCTGCGGCTGACATCTCAATCAGTGGAGCAATTAGCTTTACAGCAACAGATAGAGCTGCTTCAGCAGCAACAGCAGCAGATCGCTGCAACTCACCAACAATACGTTAACATGGGATATCTACAGCCCCAACAACCGCTGCAGCACATGACTAACGCCTACTCTCCAACCGGTATTCAAGGCCAAGGTGGCATCCCTAACATGCCATCTCATGGAAATGCGTTCCAGTTTCCGCAAGTCCAGCAACAACAGCTCGGCGTTCCCATGAACAATCCAAATCAACCATCGCATCGCCGCAACCAATCTGCTATGCCTAATGTTGGAATGGGTCCCCCCCCGGCTCCCTCCTCCGGGTCAGCTTACGGCGAGTTCAGCCAGCAAGGCCAAACCCAATCGAGTCAAAGTCGGGAGAATGGCGGTCAAGGTCGTGGTCGGGGTGCACCTGGTGGTGGACACCAACGTCGCCACTCTTTAGCTCTTCCAGAAGCCAGAAAAGCTGCCGAACTAGCACAACAGAAACGAACTACTTCCGGCTTCCAATTTCCAATACCCGGCTCTTCGGGCGCCTCTAGTTCAGGCCAGGGTGAAAGAAGTTCCACGCCCGAAGAAAAAGCGGGCACCGCTGCCACGAGCACCACGCCGCAAGCCCCACAAGGCTTGGGGGTCCACCGGGCTGGGAATATCCGTGCCGGTGCTCATATGCGCAGCCAGTCTCTTGCCGTTGGTAATGGTCGTGGGCCTCCCGCCAGGGGAGTTGGCGGATTCCAATTCCCCCAAACTGGAGATGGTCCCGGAGACGGACAACGCCGCTCAAGTCATCAAGGACATGGTCGAACTGCCTCTAGGAATTTTGATAGCAATTGGCGTCAACAAGGCAACCAGGGCCAGGCGCAAGACCAGCAGAGAGGCTCCATGGGGGGTTTCAACCAACAGCAAGGCGCAGGTGGTTTTCAGCCGGGTCACCGAGTACGGGGCTCTGTAAACCAGTCCGTTGGCTCTATTGGTTCCTTCCAATATACCGGACAGCCTCAGCTCATCCAGCTGCCCCAAGGACCGGTCGTCATGGCACCACCTCAACTTTTCGGTGCTCAGCATCTGGGGCCTCTTCAATTAGCTCAGTTGCAGGCCATGCAGCAGGGCGGACAGCTGAACGGGCAAAATATGTCACTGCAACCTAATCAACAAATCAGCCCTCAGCTCGCGGCCCAACAGCAGCAGCAACAGCGAAAGACCCTGTTCACCCCATATCTTCCTCAAGCAAACTTGCCTGCCTTGCTCAACGACGGACAGCTAGTCACTGGTATCTTACGGGTCAACAAGAAAAATCGGTCCGATGCCTATGTTACTACACCTGACCTTGATGCGGATATCTTTATCTGTGGCAGCAAGGATAGAAACAGAGCTCTTGAAGGTGATCTTGTCGCCGTAGAACTTCTCGATGTGGACGAAGTCTGGAGTCAAAAGCGTGAAAAGGAAGAGAAGAAAAAGCGAAAGGATATCACCGATACTCGAAGTGGCAGCTCCGCCGGAATTGACAAAGGCAGATCCGATTCAGTCACAAACGGAGACTCTCAAATCGCTCCCGATGGAAGCATTCGTCGGCGAGGTAGTCTTCGACAGCGCCCAACACAAAAGAAGAATGATGACGTCGAAGTTGAAGGACAAAGTCTTTTGCTTGTCGAAGAGGATGAGATCAGCGATGAGCACAAGCCATTGTATGCGGGTCACGTCGTTGCTGTGATAGAGCGTGTGCCTGGCCAGATGTTCTCCGGTTCGCTTGGTCTTCTTCGTCCAAGTAGCCAGGCAACAAAGGAGAAGCAAGAAGCTGAACGTCAAGCCAGAGATGGTGGCCATAGTCGACCTCAGCAGGAGCGGCAACAGGACAAACCAAAAATCGTCTGGTTCAAACCTACCGATAAGCGTGTGCCTCTTATCGCTATTCCCACGGAGCAAGCTCCGAGAGACTTTGTGGAGAAGCACCAGGACTACGCAAATAACATCTTCGTGGCTGCCATCAAGAGATGGCCTATTACTTCTCTTCATCCATTCGGAACTCTGGTCGAGCAATTAGGCACCATGGGCGACTTGAACGTTGAAACGGACGCTCTTTTAAGAGACAACAACTTTGCTTCCGATGAATTTTCCGATGCCGTCTTGAAGAATGTTGGATTTGAAAATTGGTCTTTAGAAAGTGAAAGTGCCGCATCGCTCGCCTCGCGTCGTGATTTCCGTGATGAGAGGACCTTGACCATTGATCCCAACGGCTCGAACGCATTGGACAACGCGATTCATGTAAAATCGCTTGATGATAAAGTCGAAATCGGCTTCCACGTTGCTGATGTCACTCATTTCATCAAGTTCAACTCTCTAGTCGACAGGGAGGCAAAGAAGCGTGGTACTGGGGTGTACTTGATGACTCGCATTGTGAACATGCTTCCACCTCGTCTTTCAGGCGAAGTATGCTCTTTGCAGCCGGGAGAAGATCGCTTGACAGTCAGCGTTGTCTTCCGTGTGGACCCTAAGACGGGCGCTGTCGAGGACGAACCCTGGATTGGCAAAGGAATAATCAAGAGCTCAGGGAAATTGACGTACGATGAGATCGATGCAGCTATTGCTGGCAAGGAAGTTGAGCTTCAAGCCGCTACCCTTGATGAAGTTAAGCTGCTGAACGTGAGTGCTTTATTATTCATTCCCCACTTTGGTATAACGGGACTAATCGCCGATTCCAGAGCATCGCGTCGAAGTTTAGAGAAGCCCGCTTCGGTCATCGATCAGCAGATGTGCCGCCGCTGAGACTATTTTATCAACTTGACGACGAGAACGTGCCTGTCATGCATAATATTTTTGACTCTTCTACAGCTCACGAGCTTATGGAGGAATTAAGCCACAAGACAAACTCCCTCGTTGCTAAACGGCTATTTACAGCTTTCCCCCAGAAGGCTTTCCTTCGCCGCCAGACATCTCCCAATTTCAGGAGACTGGGAACTTTTGTTGATAGAATGTCCAGGCTCGGGTACGACATGGATTCCACAAGTAGTGGAACTCTGCAAAACAGCCTTTTCAAAATCCAGGATGTTGACTTGCGGAAAGTATGTGAACATGTGTAGAGCTTTAAATGAACCTTGCTGATTAATTTTTCATAGGGCATGGAAACACTTCTGATCAAGGCTATGCGCCGTGCGAAGTATTACGTTGCCGGAACCGTCCGGGATGAAGAGCGACAGCATTATACCCTCAACTTGCCTCTTTACACTCACTTTACTAACCCGTCGCGCCGCTACGCGGATATTATTGTCCACCGTCAGTTAGATGCGATGATAAATAACGCTGACTTCCCGGAGGATATTGAAAACCTCTCTAAAACCGCCGATCACTGTAACAACAAGAAGGATTCTGCCCAGAATGCGCAGGAACAGAGCGTTCACATCGAATCTTGCCGCATCATTGACAAGAAAAGACAGGAAATCGGAGGTGACCTCATCAGCGAGGGCATTGTCCTTTGTGTTTACGAATCCGCTTTTGATGTGCTCATCCCAGAATATGGATTCGAAAAACGAGTACATTGTGACCAGCTCCCTTTGAAGAAGGCTGAGTTCCGCAAGGATGAACGCGTGCTTGAACTATACTGGGAGAAGGGCGTACCATCTTCCGCCTACATTCCTGAAGACGAACGACCAAAGCCTACTCTAAGTTCACGAGCTGCGAACGCTGCCGCTGCTGCTCGCCAAGCAGAGGAGGCCAGACAGCGAGCCAGAGAAAGAGAGGAGGCGCAAAGGAAACAAACTGAAACGGGTACCATGTCGACCGATGATGTCGATGCTCTCTTCGATGACGATGAGGATGACATGTCCGAATTGGCAGAAATGGCAGCAGGCGTATCGCTCAACTCGCCAGCTGACCGCTCCACACAGAGTATGCCACCATCCCCAACGAGAAACGGCCATGTTCAAACGCCGCATCGGACCCAATCCGATCCGAAAATAGCGATTAGCGCCGCCGAGGCTCCAGAGGTCAAACTTTCCAACAAGGAGAGATATATCAACCTCTTTAAACTTCGCGAGGAAGATGGCGAATATATCCAGGATGTTACAGAAATGACCAGAGTGCCAATTATTCTAAAGACTGACCTTAGCAAGAGTCCACCGTAAGTTGACCTTCACCCACCCAAAAAGGCTGCTGGGTTTGTAGCTTACAGTATCGAAATAGGTGCCTTACTATTAGGTCGGTGAACCCATATGCGCTTTGAAGCCGGTAACGACAAGCTGGGCGTATCTTTATAGCTTTGAGTGTGTACTGTGAAACGACAGTCCCTTATTCTGCCTGCTTAGGTCATTTACGAATGGTCAACATCATATATGCGGAGACTTTCCTCGGCTGGTTGCCCACTTGCTACCCCAAACTCATTATTTTGAACTGTTCTGTTGATGCTGCATTTCATACATGAGGTTTCCCAGCTGCTGGCGTTCAGGTCCGTTGCTTCTTGCGCATATCGCCATATCACCTCACCTGTTACCGCATTGGGTTGAAATAAGAACTCTCACTCTTGCAAACTCAAAAGTCTAGTAGTCTGACAGCGAATATTCATGAAGCAGGCCCAGATTGCTATTGACTACAAAATATTACTGGTGGTTCATGTACTGCTGCTTTGACAGAATTTGTCATGTGGCTTGTCTATATGCTTATTTCAAATTGCATGTTCCTGAAAATTGATTTTATACAGTGACACGCGAATCAACTCGGTATCTTTTCAATCGCCTGTGGTATATGCATATATTGTAATTGACGTTGATGTTCCTACAACTAACTTATTAGAAAATGCTAAAGGGAGATTAGTAGTCTTGCATGTATGTATACATATGTATTTCACATGCAGACACCTTGTATCTGCCATGGTCACTTCTGGTCTGTCTTCCCAGACCCTTTGTCGGATACATATTTGTGTGCACTGCAGAGGGGTTGGTATCACTTTCACATTTTTTGGTTGCAGTCAAGGATCCCCAGCATCCTAGCAGGCTCTACACCATAGCCTCATTTCGTTTTTCTTTCTCAAAATAGTTAGTCTTCAACTTGGAAAGAGAACCTAATTATTCCTGAGGAGCAAATTACATGGAGATGGGGGCAGAGAGTGTGTTAAGATGCTATTAATATATTACGGATCTACTCTGTGCCTTACACCATGATGTCTGGCAATGTGAAATGCCGGCTGTATTCTCTGTATCACGATTTACAAGTATCATTGGAAAATTTGGGCGTACATAAATCTACTCTTACTTCGCTATCTTATTCCAAGTATCATCTGCTGCTCTTAACTTTCTGCCGTTAAAGTAAGATCCGAGGACAACTCTTCAGACATCGGCTACACCCTTGTACTTCTTTCGTTCACCATAAGTTTTCATTGGGACTGAAAACTGCTTCGCTGTGCAACATACATTAACGAAAATAATCGCTGTTGAGAAAAACCACCCTTGCTATTTCATGACTGAAAGGAGGGACACGAAAGCAAAATAAAGCATAAGTAGCTGGTAAATAGAAAGGATAAAAAGGAAAATAGGGAACTATAGCCGTCTAAGCCCCGTTCGCGGCTTCGGTCTAACACTGTTGGTTGATACCTTGCGGGTGGCAGGAGGAGGTGGTTTGGATGGTCGAGATTTGGATGAAATGGTGCCGACGCCAGAAAGGGGGCTTCTCAAATATTGGGGCATGAACGCGGTAGTTGCGGATGGTGGCTGGGCCCGAGGAGCCAAGTTTGTGATGATGACGTTGCTCTTTAGCGATGTATTGCCGATTACGGGCTTGGATGTTTCGTTATTTGCAGGGTGAGCATCGCTTAGACTTAGTTGCTGCTCGGCTCGACCCTTTGCATGAGCCGTTTCGGAAGCAGGCTGCAGCCGGGCTGTTGACTGGAACTGGGAAGCCGGAGTAATTGGACTTTTTCTCGGATCTGCGATTTTCGGAGATTTCCGCCGTGACGTCTGTCGCTGGCCACGGTCGCTGTAGTTTACGTTTGCCGCGATGTTTCTCTCAGAATTGCTTAGAGCGTTGAAACCGTCCTCATCGTCATTAATCACAACCATTTCATCCGGTTCGGGCGGTGTGAGCGCGGAAAGCGGCCGTTTGCCAAGGACGCTCTTCCACGGGCTCGGCGGTGGGAAAGTGACAGGGGACAGTGACAGCGACGGGTCATTTTCTTTGGATGCACTGCCTGGGTCATCGCCTTCATCTGAGTCATCTTCCCGCCCGCCATTTAATTTTTGGTCCTGCAAGCTATCCCTTTTGAGTCTGATATCTAGCTTGGAGCTAGGCATCGGCGCATTATGCGACGTGACGTCCTTCTTCATAGTCACGGAGGATGAGCTTGGCCTATTCCTCGACTGCGAAGGGGCCGAATTCTTTGTATTTTGAATTTCGTCTAGATTCGTTTCTGGGTCTTCACCTCTTCTCTTCGCCTCCAGCGCAAGGCTTTTTAACTCCTGTGGAACAGGGGCATGTATGGATGTCATTAGCTTCGCCTGGCGCGCGAATGCCTCATAATCATCCTGCAAGAGGGCCCCAGCTGCCGAGTTCAAAGCCGAATCCGGATTAGGATGTATCAAAAGGCACGATATGGTCTCATCAAGAGTCAGACACGAAGCTCAAAGAGTAACTGCCGTTCGCCGAATGAAAAGAGGGAAAAAAAAAAAAAAAAAAAAAAAAAAAAGAGAAAGAAAGAAAACCCACAATGAGTACATCTCTCAGTGTTAATTTCGGTTCCCAGTCTCTCTTCAGGGTGTCCACACACACCGCGCCAGTTGATTCTTCGACATTTGGATGCCATATCCGTGTTCGAAATGCAGCTTTCGGCGGGCTTTTTGGATAATCTTCAGGGATGCGGAGATGAAGCCGCCATAGGCCCTGTGAGTAAGGCGTTACCGGGGGCCCAGCTAGAAGGATAGTGAGCTGTCTGAGATCATCCGGAAAGGAGGATTGGCCATTCGATGGGGGGAATAAATAATTTGGCGGAAGGCCTGAGCTGTGAAGAGACGCATGGTCTGCAGCCAGTCTGCGAAAACCAGAAGCCTGTAAATATGAGACGAGAAAGTTAGCCTTTTGTATGGATAGCTATTGGTAGCTGCATAAAACAAAAATCCGTGATAAGAAAATGTCGCTACCATTGCACTTCTGTGTCTCTTGGTTTCACAAGGGAGCTTATTTGCTTGGATGGTTGGGGGAACAAGCAATGCCAAAAAAACCAAAATTCAGGGTTAGGACTCCTTTGGATCGACAATAACAGGATAATTACTCTGTAACTGGGAAAAGAAATTGTGAAGAGCGGAGTTGGCTCCCCGGGCGACGTCGGTCGATTGTCATCGGCTTGGTTGTTTTGCTTGGATTGTTGATGCTCCCCCCGTTGATCCAGCTACCGCGCCGATCGACGCCCAAAGCTTAAGGCTCGCTGGGCCAACGCGTGGCTGGGAAGGCCTGAGCAATCGCGTCTCGGGGCGCGCGTTCCGTGATCACGTGACTGGCTAGGGCGTTTCCGGACGTGCAGACGGCTCGACCACGTCGGGCAGGATGCAGACGCCAGACGGAGGGCTGCCGGCGACGTTCCCCCTGGCGACGTGGACTTGTCATGCTAAATTCATGGGCTGGACCTCGAATAGGAGATCACGAAAAGAACGACAAAAGCTTAAAAAAAAAAAAAAAAAGGCAAAACTGAAAAAAATATTATGCTCCCTTGTGATTTGGCAGAGTGGCACGCCTCTCATGTGTCCGGATGAAAGAGGGATGGAGAATCAGGAATTGTTTCCAAACCGGCGAAACAATTCAATGCGAGATAATCAAGAGGCGCACACATCAATGTCGATCGTCATTTTGCCTGCATCAGTTCAGAGAAACATCTAATCACTAGGTAATAATCCTATGTATTGATTTGCTACAACGGAGGTATTTATTAATTTCCAGCCGATAGTTCAAATCCGTGAGCATGTTGAGAACAAATTCCGTCAAAGCCGTACAGGAGAAAACAAAATGAAGAGGATGGCAATCTAAAACGCCGGGTTCTTGAATGCGTACATAAATTAGACAATATTAAAGGGTATTTCGAAGCAATGTCACATTCTCTGCCACAAAAAAGAAAAAAAAAAGGCCCCCTTCATTTTGTCAATCAGCTTTACTTTTTTTTCCTTTCCTTTTTCTTTCTTTTTTTCTTATTATCATGTCCTAGTCCGGAGACCAGTACAGTCGATATTAGCACCGTTCGACCACATGGTACACAAAAAAAGGATGTTGTTTTTCGATTTTTGTTTTGACGCGAACGAGTGTCCAAATACGGGCAATCAACTTGACAAAAAGGAGGTGTCGTTTAAAGAAGAGCAGCGACGAGAGCACCGAGACCGAGACCGAAGCCAACGGCTTGGGGACCGCTGGTTGGGGCCATAGCCTCGGAGGAAGAGGTACCTGGGGCACCTGTGCCGGTTCCGGTAGGTCCACTGACAGTGCGGCTCTCGGTGTCGGTCTGACGGGATGTCATGGTGCTGTTACCGGGGATCTGAGTGCCGGTGCCTCCTGGAGCAGTTCCTGTTGGTGGGATTGGGAGGAAGGTCATGCTCCCGGTGTCAGCGGGTTGAGATACGCTTGTGCCGGTTGGGGCGGCGGTTTGCTGCGTGTAAAAGTTAGCAAAAAGGGCAAATATGCTAGACTCGACATCGAGAATGAGGGAAAACCGGTAGAACTCACATCTTGTGCGAGGCCAACAGCGGCCAGGGCGAGGACGGAGACGAGGGAGAAACGCATGTTGGGCGACGTGTGTGTGAGATCGAAACAGACAGCAGCTATGTGACGGTGGCGGAGAATAGGAAGCCGGAAAGCTTGGTGAGCAGCGCGTTTGTTGGTTTAGTGAGAAAAGAGGACGTCGACAGATATATAATATTGTACACGGGAGCAACAGTGTTGTTTTGCAGAACGGGGGGGGGAGGAAAGATGGAAGGAAAACAACCTCACCTGGGGGATTCGTAATCCTTTATATGTCCTTTCAGCGGGAGCAAATCCTATTTCCGATTTGGTAACAGAATCCCAGTAACTATCGCAACTCGATTGGGTGGCATTGGCCCACTCGGCTCTGCATTGTTTCGGATAGGATCACCGCTGCCTTGGCAAATTACACATCAACGAGGCTTGGTGACGAGCACATCCCTGCCCAGGGCAACAAACCGCGACCTGCTGTCACCATTGCCATGCAAGTCCAGCCCACTCGCGCTGGCGGAGCACGGGTTCAGCCAGCAAAGCCCTGGCAGATGACAGCGGTTTCTTTTGCAACTTTTAACTATTCTATAAGCGACGGGGGAAGCCCGCAACGACAGACATTGCCATTCTTCCTCGACGCCGCAATTGGCTCTTTGTTCGGATTGGTGGCTTGCAAAAATACAGTGCTTACAGAGTCCATACATTACGGATGTACCCGCAGCAGGGAAAAGAAAAAGCAACATTCCACCTGTCTCCCTTCGAGACGGCGGATCTTGTCAGAAACAGCTGACGCCCACAACAAGCGATATTATCGAATAATGGGAAATAATAGGTAGCGCAGCTGGGTGAACACGTCTATAGTTATCGCCTGTTTCAAGATGGTAGAGGTTGCCCTGCCAAAGGTGTCGTGAAGAAACCCACCTTTTTCCGTGTGGGAACACCGTCGTTTGAACCCTCCCACGATGGCGCCACCAAGCTTTTGTCGGCTTGGAAGGCCACGAGAAAAAGTTGGCAACGCTCCGCTGATCTTTTTCTGCGAAGAGCCCAGCGCATTCGTAAGACCTCCCTTTCACCTTGCGATGCAGTGCGTCACGGCGCTTTGAGCGCAGACAAGCGACAAAGCGAGGAGGGTGGGTGGCCACAAAAATAGAAATAAACAAGTGGGACCGCCGGCTGGAAAAGACGCAGTTTGCTTGGTCCTCGCCTTGTCAGACGGTGGCCCACAGCGATCGACCCGTCCTAAACAGCCCCCGGTACATTATTAATTTGACGACAGAACATCAGCGACGAGCTCTGAGGGCCAGAGCTGCCGTGCCGGTCGAGCATTTTCTTCTTGCGTTGGAGGTACGGAGTACTCCGTACGGACTTACAATTTTTATTTTTTTATTTTTTTATTTTTTACCTTTTTTTTTATTTTTTGGATGAACTCCGGGTATACTTCTTATAACTAGCTAGCGGTTAACTATGTACGGAGTATCCCGTACATATGGGGTGATTTTCGTACCGGTTTGTTCATACAAACAGAGTTCGCCTCCAAGCACTCAGGTCTCGCCAACCCCGGGTGTTCCTGGCAGAATCTCGGGGTGGTGTCCTGCCCCCTTTTAAAAGGACGCATAATATATATGTATATGCGTTGTACCCGAAAATGTACTCCGCACCCTTCGCGGAATTTCCCACCAAGTTCGCCACAGCCACGGAGGCTTGAATAGGAAGGCTAAAACGCAAGGTTCTCTCCCGCCGCGCGCTCCATCCGACCAGGACCCCCAAAAAGCCCCGGTGATTGTCATTTCTCTCATGGTGTTAATGGAAAATAGCCTACTCTGTACTCGGTACTTCCTCGAAACCTCGTTTTCTAGAAACTTGTGACCCCTTCCGAGCGCTTGACGCAATGCAGTCGGTCATCTGAGCCTTAAAATAGATGCAAGGTCAGCTTTCACACTCCTATGAGCCTCAGCTCCAGATAATATTCCGTACTGTGTACTCCGTACTCCGTACAAGCATCGACCTTGGGCTGAAGCGATCTTCTTTCTTTTCGTTTTTCGCAAGGGACTCTTAGGCCACACAAGCTCGAATGTGCCAAGCAAGACAGATACGGAGCACACACTCCGCACTCCGGACCCTTCTCTTTGCGGGCGAGTATTGCATCATAAATTAACTGCCGACGGAGAACATATCTCATTACGCATGCTTTGCGAGAGCCGAGATCAACAGCTGCAGTCAGCCGCGACCCAATCTCAAGCTGCACACCGGACAAATATTTTCTCGTAGGCGTTTTTTGGAGTAACTGTATTTCGCGGAGCTAAATGAACGACCCCGACGTGATCGACAGTAAGCATTAAAACCCGAAATCCCTTTGAATGTTGTCTGGGGTCCAGGCAGACGGAGAAAACCGCTCGGGACACGCAAGTGCTAAGTGGTTACCCGAGGAGAATTTCGTCCGAAGGGGCTTCCGATGGGTCGCAACATTCATAACATTACACAATGCCCCGCACATGTATGAAGTAAGGACTATCTCATTTATGTATGATAATTATGAGCCTCTATATTCATGGAAAGCCGTTAGTCTGGCTGAGAATTTGCCATGTTAGAGACACATGGACTCCGGCATTGGCAAACGCCGCGGAATCGTATGTAGCTTCGGCTGATTTCTTTTTTGAATAATAGTGGGTATCTCAAAAGTGCATATCAAACGTATTGATGGAGTCCTCAAAGCCAGCCGCCGCCAGACATAGCTACATACGAAGACAACAGTGAAGATAAGATGAGTAAAAAGTCCCTATAACCTACACGCCGAAATCATCAAGGTCACCGCTTCACCGAGGATCCATCCTGCTGCCTCATCCAATCCGCAAACTCCTTCCTCTTCGCCTACCAAATTCATCAGCATGCGTGCACTCTCAATAAACACAAACCGCCCCCGCGCGGTCCCAAAGTCCCCGCACAGAGCTAGTCGATATTAACACAACGTACCCTAATATCCAGAAACGCCGTCCGATCTTCCAATCCCAGAAACGGATTATCCAAGCCACCTTTCTTTTCGATCTCGCCGGCCCACGCACTCCAACTGATGGGCTGCGGTTTCTCAGCTCCAAGCACTAAGCCGAATATGACCAGAGCAACCGCGACGAGGGTCTCGAGAGTGATGTCCAGAGGAATTGGGTGTGCGCTGCCGTATAAGGTGGAGTGCTCGTGTACAGAGTAGCCGCTTTGCAAGTGGACCAAAAAGTACATAAGTCAGCGGATGTCAAGAAAGTTATGGAAGGGGGGGTTGTTCTCTCTCTTTCTCCCGAAGGGATTGACAAAGGCACTTACGCATGTGCAAGGAAAACGAGGCCGAGTGTGGCCAGTACACGTGGGAGGAATGCCATGGCTGCTGCAGGTATAGGAGTTCAGTTGAACTTTTTTTTGGACAGAAGTCCGCATATATTTAGACCGCTGCGTGAGTTGCAGGACGTGACCGTGGTTGGTCGAAAATCCACATATGCCAAGACCGGAGCTTTGCGGTTCTCCCCAGCAATCTTCCACAGCCACATTCTGAGAGTATGGAAATTTCGTGAGTCTACGGAGCACAGAGCGAATAGAATAATACTGAAAATTAGGCATTATTTTGAAATTCATTCAATCATTTTCATTCATTTTCATTCTGCTAGTATGGGCCTAGCTTCCCACACGATCCAAGCTCGTGTAAATAAATTATCATGTTTAATTATCCGTCATTAACCTCCAGTCACAACCCACCGGTTGCGTTGCTTAAAGTTTTTGCATAGCAGCCTACAAAGGTATAAGTGATGATCTTTATGGGGAAAGAGGGAGAAGGCAACTTACAACGTCGGTAGACTGAACGTGGTCCTCGTCACCTTCGATCTCCTCCTGGAGATCGCTGACAGAGATCTTCTCGTCCTCGATGACAATATTGATTTGCAATTTCTTAATACCAAAGCCAACAGGAACGAACTTGGAAGCACCCCAGACGAGACCGTCCTTCTGAATGGCTCTGACATTGGCTTCCATCTGTTCTAAATCTGTCTCATCATCTACTCTAATGTCAGCATCATATTTCGGGTTCGAATCGACAAGGACAGTCTGGCTTACCCCAAGGTTTAACTTCCAAGGTAACAATAGATTTAGCAGCAGGCTTAGGCTTGGCGGCCTTCTTTGCTCTATACTCGGCCAGTCTCTTCTCTCTCTCAGCGACAACTTCAGGGTCTTCTTCCTCTGACTCGCTACCGAAGAGGTCCATATCATCATCATCAGCGGCAGCAGGGGCAGCCTTAACATTCACTGGAATGTCAGAGCTCTCTGGGCCATAAGCGGTGTAAGGCTTGGAAGAGTCTCCTGGCAAAGAAGAGAATTCCGACTCGTAGGAAGCAATGTGCTTGTACCAACGAGCAAGATGAGGATATTTGGCAGTGTCTGGGGCAGCATTGAGAGCCTTATAGGTCACGGCATCAGCCTGAGTTGGAGCATATCTACACATGTATACTGGTTAGGCACATAGTGTCAACAAAAGACAGTTGTTGCGGTTGTAAGGGTGGTTGAACGACAGGAGCTCAGAGGTGCGAAAATCGCTATTGTGGGTAGTCATACAGCGGTGTCTTAAGCCGCCTCATAAACACGGACCAATTTTTTCTCATCATAGACAAATACGAGTGAAGTAACGGGGGCTTGAGAGCGAAAAAGAATGCAGAAGTGACTTACCCCTCAACGTAACTACGTGTGGACAGGTATTGGTTGGCGACTGGGCAGAGTAATTAGCCAAAGCCAGCGAATGCACGCTTAAATAGCAAAGGTAGCTTACTGGCAAGGCCAGAATCGGTTGAAAGGTCGGCGAAACCCATGATGATAAAGTGTGGTGAAGAAAATTGAGAAATTGAGGGATGTGTGTGTGAGGGAGGGGTGGTTGCAAGGTGTTTCGATTGTTGTGGTTTTTTAAAATTTTCTCTTCAACAACGCACGGGGAAAGGAGCTAGTGTTAGCCCGCTAGATCGGCTTAGTCATGCTTGTCACATGACGGTCGATGACCGCATCAAGTCTGGGAGGCCCGTTTCTCGGGGTTGAAGCTACCAGAGCTTTCGAGAACGCCGGAGACAAGGAAAGTATATAAGAAGAATTGAAGCACACAGCACCCGATTGGACATGTCTTTTTTTTTCCTGTGTGTCTTGAGACACTGCTGAATTTTTTTTATCTTCACACACACAAAATGAGTTCAACATTATCGACACGATTCTCCAGAGCAGGTGGACGGCTTGCGGTGCCAAGTTTGGGGGGCATTTCTCGATATCGGTTGCCCTATCGAGCATCCGAACAGAGCATCGCGGTATCCCGCAAACCATTGGCCTCCTTACCACGATACTTGAGACAATTGGCGCCGGTGTCGAATTTCATTCGACATTATGCGAATGGTAGAGCCCATCCTCCAGGCGGCACTCATCGTATGAACCTCGGTGGAGAACCCGAGAAACCGGCGCTTGAAGAGTTTGGCGTTGATCTTACTGCTAGGGCTAGGGATGGGAAGCTCGATCCAGTCATTGGCCGTGATGCGGAGATCCACAGGACGATTCAGATCTTATCTCGGAGAACGAAGAATAACCCGGTGTTGATAGGAGCGGCTGGTACCGGAAAAACAGCTGTCTTGGAGGGCTTAGCGCAACGCATAGTTCGAGGCGACGTGCCAGAGAGTATTAAAAACAAGCGAGTTGTTGCTTTGGACCTTGGTCAGCTCATTGCCGGTGCAAAATTTCGGGGCGATTTCGAAGAGAGATTAAAACGAGTGTTGAAGGAAGTTGGTGAAGCTCAAGGAGGTGTGATCCTGTTTGTCGATGAGCTACATACTCTCCTTGGGTTGGGGAAGGCAGAGGGCAGTATCGATGCTAGCAATCTTCTCAAGCCTGCATTATCCAGGGGTGAGCTACAATGTTGCGGAGCGACCACGTTGAACGAATATCGACAAATCGAAAAGGATGTGGCACTTGCCCGCCGTTTCCAGCCAATCTTAGTTGACGAACCAACCGTTGCGGATACCATCTCGATCTTACGAGGAATTAAGGATCGATACGAAGTTCACCATGGTGTGCGTATTACGGACGGAGCTCTCGTAGCAGCCGCCACATACAGTAACAGATACATAACGGATCGGTTTCTCCCAGATAAAGCAATTGATTTAGTTGATGAAGCTGCTTCTGCATTACGGTTGCAGCAAGAATCGAAGCCTGACGCCATTCAAAAGCTGGACAGGGAAATTATGACGATACAAATCGAACTGGAGTCGCTTCGGAAGGAAACAGACATAGCTAGTAAGGAGCGTAAGGGGAAACTTGAAGAACTTTTGAAGGGAAAGCAAGAAGAGGTTGGCAAACTGAACGAAGTATGGGAAAAGGAGCGTGCACAAATCGAAGAAATAAAGAAGACCAAGGAAGATCTGGAGCGGGCCCGGCTTGACCTTGAACAGGCACAACGAGAAGGGAACTTTGGCAAAGCTGGTGAATTGAGATATTCTATCATCCCAAGTCTCGAGTTAAAGATCCCCAAGGAAGACGCTACGATTTCTGCGACGGATAGTCACTCTCTTATCCATGATTCCGTTACTGCTGACGACATCGCCGGTGTTGTCTCTCGCACCACGGGCATCCCAGTCAATAAGCTCATGGCTGGTGAAGTTGAGAAGTTGATTCGCATGGAAGATACTCTGCGCAAATCTGTTCGTGGGCAGGATGAGGCTCTTGCTGCTGTCGCCAATGCGGTTCGAATGCAAAGAGCTGGCCTTAGTGGTGAAAACCGTCCCTTGGCGTCGTTCATGTTCCTCGGACCGACAGGTGTCGGAAAAACTGAACTCTGCAAGAAAATGGCTGAATTCCTGTTCTCAACTGAAACGGCTGTTCTACGATTCGATATGAGTGAATTCCAAGAGAAGCATACAATTAGCAGATTAATCGGATCACCTGCTGGATATGTTGGCTATGAAGATGCTGGCCAGCTAACCGAGGCGGTTAGGAGGAAGCCGTATGCCGTACTCCTTTTCGACGAGTTCGAGAAAGCCCATCGTGATATCTCATCCTTGCTTCTACAGGTCTTGGACGAAGGGTTCCTTACCGATGCACAAGGTCATAAAATTGATTTCCGAAATACATTAATCGTTCTGACATCGAATCTTGGTGCCGACATCCTTGTTGGAGCAGACCTTACACAAGGAGATGAGATCTCACAGGAGATCAGATCAGCAGTCATGGCTATCGTTCAGTCATCGTACGCACCAGAATTCCTGAACCGAATAGATGAGTTTATCATCTTCAAGAGACTCTCCCGCCAAGCACTGAGAGATATTGTCGACATCAGACTTCGAGAACTACAATCTCGGCTGGATGATCGACGAATTACTTTGCAAGTGACCGACGAGACCAAAGACTGGCTTTGCGATAGAGGTTATGATCCAAGATATGGAGCTAGGCCTCTAAATCGCCTCATTTCAAAAGAAATCGGCAACCATTTGGCGGACAAACTTATCCGAGGTGAGGTGATAACCGGTCAAACAGCCTATGTTGTTTTTAATGCAAACAAAACCGGACTGGATATCTCAACAAGCCCTCCATGACCAATATAGCGAGCTGACTCGACATTATTCACGATTTTATGATTGATCTATGTACAACATTTGTTATGGGAAATATCTTTGGAAAACGGATTGGTAGAAGGTAAATGCACAGTATATAATACTCACTGTATCATAGGTAGTGTTGAAACCCGACTCACGTAATATATACGCAAAAAATTGCTTCTGTGAATTACCAAATTTGGTAATTTCCACATCTTTCCATCCTTTCTCCTTTAGATTCCCCGCTGCTCGCAAATAGGCACACATAAGGGCTCACTAAGCTTTGCACATCTCTCATCATCTCTATTTCTTGTGCTTCTCTACATATTGAGTTATGTCACCGTTGTCACAGACAAAGCGACGACTTGCCGGTCGTAAGGCTACCCGAGCCACTCCTCGGCCCCGAAATGGACGCTCTTCAGCTGCCCAGTCACATGGACATAGTATCCTACCACGATCGTCCCAATCTCGAGATTCGACAGCTAATGTAAGCCCTCCAGCAATATCCCATGCAACAGAGGCTACAGCCGAATCAAGACAGGAGAACACCCTTTCAGAAGGGGGCGGAGATGATGATTTATGCCAAATTATCATGGCCATTGATATGAAAGATCGGGGGACGGTTGGTTGCTCCTATTATGTTGCTGATCAGAAGAAGCTTTATATCGTTGAAGATATTGCCTCTGGGGGTATGGACGTCGTGGAGACATGTAAGAGCTTCGATGAGCACAATACAATCCTCTCGCTGACTAGACACCAAAGTGAAACTTGATGTTGAACCGACGGTAATTATTCTTTCGACCCGCGCCGAACGAGACGCACAGGAGCCCTGTAGAAATGGAAACGGCGAGACGTTTCTAGCTGATGGTGGGACATCGACACCTTCCTAGACTCTTGGGGCTCATTCTCACGAATTCCTTTAGATTCTCAATTTCGACTTCCTTATCACCTTGAAGTTCGGCCTATCCAAGAGTTTGGTTTTGAGCGCGCCAAAACGAAACTTACAAGTCTCAAACTTAGGCAAGGGAGTGCCGATATTCCCAAATTTCTCGTTCCTGGAAACGCTTTCTCCCACGAAAATGCGGAAGATGCCGAGGATGTAGGCTTCACTAGCCAACAAGGGGAACTTTTGTATCTCGCTGGCATCGTCGATATGGAGAATCACGTTTCGGTCGGATGTGCCGGTGCTCTTATAGCATACCTTCAAAGAAAGCGCTCAACCCAGGATTTCCAGGGAGATTCAGCTGGAGATCAGTTATTGAGGATAGACAAGATTGAGATGTCATCCTTGAAAAGCAATATGTAAGTGTTATTTGTCCGTATTGACCGCGTAGTTGACTTATTGGCCCTTGCACTAGGTTCATTAACAGAGACACTCTTTCATCGCTTCAAATAATCCAGTCAGAATCTCACCCGAATGCATTCAACCAAGGCCCAGGTCAAACTTCTTCTAGTTCCAAGGAAAGCCTCTCGATTTATGGTCTTTTCCACCGGTTTGCTCGTACTTCCCAAGGGAAAACAATGCTGAGGCAAATCTTCCTTCGGCCCACCATTCATCAGAGTATCATCTCTGAACGACATGTTTTTATCAGTACATTTCTGCGAGTAGAGAATGCTGATGCCGTAGCAAAGCTGACAAAGAGCTTAAAAGGCATTAAAAACTTACGCCCTGTTATGATTCATCTTCAGAAAGGGATTAGTACTGGAAATGCTCGGTTTAGGGGGTTCAAGAGTGTCGTTTGGGCCACAATTTTAGAGGTATGATAGCGAGAGCAATTCCGTAAATGGAAACTAACACGTTATCAGTTCGCTTTTCACAGTATTGATATCCATGAAACCTTGAAAAAAATCGCTGGGGCTGAAAAATTGAACTTATGCGTAAAGGCACGGCCGACTGTTAAGCACATTTCAACTCCGAGCTAACTGAACTTAGGCTATGCATAAACTGGAATTAGCGAAACTACACCAGGTTGGAAGGGTGATCCATGAGACGGTATGGATATTCCAATTATCTCTAGGTCTTATTCTCTGATGCATGCACAGGTAGATCTGGAGAGTTCAGTCCAAGAACGTCGAACCATCGTAAGACCAGGAGTCGACCAGGAGCTGGATAAAATGAAAGAAATGTATAATGGCATGGAATCGTTGCTTAGCGATGTTGCAGTCACCATTGCAGCTACCCTTCCAGAAGAATTGAGCAACGAATTGAATGTGATATACTTTCCTCAACTTGGCTTTAATATTGCTATCCCGCTCGACGAACAGGGTAGACCAGTGTATGATGGGGGGGATGAGGAATGGGCGCAGGTTTTCACTACCGAAAATCGGGCATATTTCAAAGATTTCCGCATGCACGAGATGGACGAGAGATTGGGCGATATGTATGGGAATATTTGTGGTATGCCCTCTATGTATCCGAAAATGTGGTTATGTTGATCTAATCTTTGACAATGCATAGCGAAAGAGATTGAAATCGTCTACGACCTTGCCCAAAGCATTCTGGGCTATGAGGAGATATTAGTTGAAGCATCAGACGTATGCGGAGAGATTGACAGGTATGTGCTTAGGGTTTACATATTTCGGGGTATTTATTGGAAATAAAATCTTATCTGGATCTAGCCTGTTAGCGCTTGCCCACGGGGCCGATTTGTACAAACTTGTGCGACCACAAATGACAGATGAAAACGTTGTCATTATAAAAGGGGGACGGTAACAAAATCATCCCAAAAGAGACAACAAGACGTGCTCACCCGCCGCAGACACATCCTCCACGAAGCCACCGTATCTTCCTATGTCCCCAACGACACGTTTCTTGTCGGTGGAAAGGGAACTGAGCGATATCAGTCTCCCACGGATGACCCTAAATACTCCGGAGACTCTCAAGCCTCAGACTGTACGGGACCAAGTATGCTTCTGCTTACGGGCCCAAATTACTCGGGAAAAAGTGTATATCTAAAACAGGTATAGAGAAGGATCTGATGTGACTTTCAAGCATAGGTAACTGACTAGACTAAGGTGGCGCTCATTATCTACATGGCCCATATAGGGAGGTATGTCATTGCACTCCGAAACACCGCTTGAAAGGCTAATGTTCTTATAAGCTTTGTTCCCGCGAAGACTGCAACAATTGGGGTTACTGATAAGATCTTAACTCGAATCACATCTCGGGAGACTGTTTCAAAGGTAGGAAGGACATTACCGTCTAATCTGTGAGTGTCTCAACTTTAACATCAAACAGACTCAAAGTACATTCGCAATTGATTTGCAGCAGATCTCGTTCGCAGTAGCAAACTCGACCAACCGAAGCCTGATAATTATAGACGAATTTGGAAAGGGCACGGAATCAGCGGGTGAGTCCTGGCCGTTCCACATTGTTTCTTAACCCTGACGCACATATACTGTAGATGGTGTAGGACTGGCTTGCGCATTGTTCGAATACTTTCTAGATCTAGGAGACGAGCGTCCCAAGGTAATAGGTGCGACACATTTTCACGAAATACTTGAGAATGAGTTCCTACCTCAAAGACCAGAACTCCAGCTTGGACACATGGAAGTCCAAGTGGATCCGGCTGCTTCGGAGCTACAAGATCAGATCACGTATTTATATAAGTTTGTATCAATGGTTACATGGCAAACCGGGCTCAAAACATGCTGACCAAAGAATTAGCTTCCGATTCGGGCGCAGCAGCGAGAGCTTTGGAACCATGTATGCATTCAATTCCTCTATTTCTGTTTCCCGATGCTCATATGCATAGCTGTGCTGCGATGAATGGTATAGACCTAGCAATCGTTTCACGGGCGAATGAAATTGGAGACCTATCGCGCCGTGAGGAGGACCTTGTTGCTGCGTGTGCAAAGATGACAAATGCAGAAATAAACGAGCTTGAGGTTGCTGTAAGTGTTGATCAAGGTTTTGAGTACATCCAGGGACTTAAAAGGGACATCGAATGAGCAAAAAGCTAAAAGTCCTGCCCAGGAAAATATCGCAAGAAACTTTCTCCAAGCCAACTTTTCCAGGCCATTGTCCAATATTAGACAATGCAGCCAATCTGACACTGTCACTTCTATCCTCGACGGTATTGTCGGGAATATAAGTGATGCGGACACGACCAGAGGCGGCGGAGAGACTTTTCAGGCTGGAAGTTCTTCGGATACATCTGTGGAAGAGGTCTATTGAGAATTTAATAACTAGTTACTCGATTATGTGGTATGTAGTTATGTAACGCATCATGTTCGAGCGGCTCAAAAACTTGGTACTTCATCTTCATGAGAAAATCATACCACGGATCCTAACCGTGATGAACCAAGAAGTCTCCAAGCGTATCGTCATATACATTTAAGTATAGAGTATTCTTACAATTTAACACTCTTGACCAGATTTTTCTTAATACCTGTCAACTCTCCTCCATATCCACCAGCACCTTCTCCTCCCTTATACACGGGCCGTATGCTGCCCAGTTTTTTCTTCTTCTCCTCAAACTTTTTCCTCTTCTTTACACGGGGATTGCGAACATCCTTATTCCTCTTCGGAGCTAATCCTTTATTCTTTTCAATGGCGTATGTGATGGCTCGCTTTCCGTCAGGGCCAATTTCTTCTTGGACCTCGACGTGACCACCTTCCCGAGTAGCTTCAATATATGCTTCGGCGAGTTTCTTCTTGTTCTCCTTTTTCTGCTTATTACGAGCAGCAACGAAATCGTAATAGTCGTCACTATCAGAACCCATTTCTCCTCTGATCTTCTTAGCGGCTCTGTAATCGTCTTCATCACTGTCACCACCAAGCCGCTCAAGCTCGTTGGCTTGCTGATGGCCTCGTTTCTCCGCGTTTCTATTTAGACGAGCCTGCCGGTCCTTCAGGCGCTCACGATACGGTAGATCTGCGTCGCCACCAGCATCACGTCCTGCAGCATCTCGTTTATTCGCCTTTTGCGCAATCTGAGATGTATAGAAACGTAATGACTTCTTTTTCTTCGCTTTTTCTGCAGCTTCGTAGGCAGTAAGCCCAATTTCGTCACCAAAATCCGAATCATCATCAGGGGCGGATGAGACCATGTCTCGCTTCGATATATGTTTTTGCAGCTTATAAGGTTCTAATTGCCTGGAAAGCTCTTCCAGACTCGCTTCAGTCTGGCGTATTCTTTCCGCTCGTCGTAATTCAGATTCCATTTGAGCCTTGTCAGAGACCTTTTGTGCTTTTGTTTTCCGTATTCTCTTGGGTGTTTCTTCGACAATCTTGTCGTTTGTTTTGGACACGGGCTTAACAATGTTTTCCGGTATTTCACACACCGTAATGTTGGAGAATTCCGGTTCTTGTATATTTTGCACCTCTTCCCACTCCCTCCGACATTTAAGTAGAGTTTCCATAATCGGGTGTTCTCTAAGCTGGGCTGGTGCCATTGCAAGGCAACGTTGTTCAACGTCCCGAGCAGGGGATACTAGAAGCACAAAATACATGCTGATAGCTCCGAGATACGCTGAGAGGACACGCCATTTTATCAGCAGAGCCGAGATATCATTATCAGTACTGGCTGCCCTCTGTTTGAGAGCTTCAGAAAGCTCCTGGTGCAATTGTTGTAGTACAAGAAACTCTTTCGATAGCGGCTCGAACTCGGGGTATCTCTGTTTCAATAAGTTCAAACGGTCTCCGATGCTCATATCATCAGATATCTGCAATTCTGGTAGAACCTCTGTGATGGTGTCTCCGCTGGGTGCCTGCTGTCTATCTTCCTCGTTTGGCTGTGGCGTCGCCCAGCCGGCTTCATCAAGCCAAAAATCCGCCTCATTCATGGACTGTAACTTCTTTTGCTGAAGCCTCTTAGCTTCTGCCTCTTCCTCCAAGGCATCTCCCTCGGTTTCAATAATATCTGCGTCGTAGTAGTCTTTCTTCGAAGACCCCCACCCTCCTACCTCCTCGTCTTCGTCTTGAGCAGCCTGCGCATCTTCCGAGATTGGAGGGCTCGCAGACTCGCGTCCTCGTCGCCTTAAGCTTTTCCCTGGCGGGGAGGGCTCTGCGTATTCCTCCTCGACTATTGATCCATCTTCATAATCATCCTCGTCGTTGGACGATCGGTAGGCATGGATTTCTTCATCGGACAGCTGGAGAAGTTCCTCTTGAAAGTTACAAATTAGTATCGGCCCAACAACAATTTGGAGTATCTGACATACCATCCTCTGCCAATTTCCGTCTCCGTTTGGCCTCTGGAGCTTCATCAAGCAAAATGCGATCCCTTCCGGCCTGAAATTCGTCGGCGGAGTCGGTGAATTGCTCGTCGAGATCAAACCGCGAGTTCTCGCGGTATGCAGCATCTTTTGAAGCAGCTTGACCAGAAGATGCTCTAGACTTTCTCTTTTTACCCATGATGTGAGAATCCAACCGCGAATACTCCGCACGCAGGCCTCCAACTATATGCAGTGCGGACTTTTTCAGCGCTTGAGTTCATCAAAAAAAATTAAGTGTAATGACAATACAGGTGGTATAGACTTCAGCCAACCATAGCATGGTTTTGTGACTGTGCCGTGTAATATTGCATGTGACGCGGCGTGCGACCTGACTAAACCGCTTTAGGAAAGACCAATACTGTCATGTCGCCCCGGCCTTCGTAGCAAGTCGGCCGTCCGGACCGGGACAGCGTTTTCTGCTACCACACCCCCTGTCGAGCTCGCTGAGAAGAGAGAGTTTCGTTGCCTGAGCCGGAACAGAGCCCTTATGCTTGCAGGCAGAAAAATTAGCTGTCAATTCTTCTTGGTAGTTTGAGATTCAGGTGGAATAACCCATAGTTATTGCACCCTGCACGAAGCTGTGCGCAAAGGGGAGAGCACGCGGCTTTGCCTGCCGTTTGATACCCTCGAGATAGAGAAAGTGCTCTCGGTTCCGGGGTCTCTTTCTCTTCTCGATGCTGTCTTGCTATATCTATTCATCTACGTACGATCTTTATTTCTCAAATGTTTCCCTTCAAGGAGACTCTCTCGAATTTTGAGCTAGGAGTCGGTTTCGCTCTTTTCATCCTATTTGTATATCTATCCGCAATCATGTTAGGCTTCGCCACGACAAACCACTTTGTGGTCCATGAAAAGGTATGTCGATCTTCTTTTGAAGTTGACATATTTTTTACTCATTGCTGACGGAACTCGCAGACCGTGGTGATTACGGGTGGGTCAGAAGGGATGGGCAAGAGTGTTGCCATAGATCTATCCCGCAAAGGTGCACATGTTGTGATTGTTTCTCGGACCGTAGAGAAGCTCGAGTCCGCTCTCGAGGAGATAAAGGTATGAGAGTTGATTTTGTCGAGTGGGCATAAATTCAGTGCTCACTCCCCAGTGTAGGCTGCTGCATTCAACTCAACTAGCCAGAGATTTCACTACATCAGCGCGGACTTGAGAGACGCAGATGAAGCTGACCGAGTGCTTACGGAAGTGACCGCCTGGAACAATGGCATACCTCCCGACGTTGTATGGTGCTGTGCTGGTCAATCTTTACCTGGCTACTTTATCAATACTCCCACGCAAACCCTAAGGGATCAAATGGATACAATCTATTGGACTGCAGCTTTTACTGCTCACGCGACTCTGAGAAAATGGCTTGTCCCAATTGCACCTGGTCAAAATACCAAGCCCCGCCGCCGACATCTTATTTTTACGGCCTCTGCAGCCGTTTTTGTTCCTCTAACTGGGTACGCACCATATACTCCTGCCAAAGCTGCAATGCGTGCCCTCTCCGATACCTTGGTCCAGGAGGTCGAGGTCTATAATGGATCAAGGAGCAATCCGCGAAATGTCGCCCCGGCAGCAGATGTGAAAGTCCACATCATTTACCCAATGGGCATCCTTTCCCCTGGCTTCACCTATGAGCAACAGGTGAAGCCCGAACTGACGAAATTACTGGAGGAAGCCGACAAGCCCCAGACCCCCGAAGAGGTGGCGAGAGTAGCCATTAAAGGGCTCGAAAGGGGTGAATATATGATCACAACAATGCTCACTGCAACTCTTATGAAGGCGAGTGCCATGGGAGCCAGCCCGCGCAACTATTGCCTTCGTGATACTATTACGAGCTGGATTAGCAGTCTCGCCTTCCTCTATGTCATTCCGGACTTGACTTCAAAAGCATGGAAATGGGGGCGAAGATATGGCGTTCCGGAAAAGAATGAACGCTATCGGAGCTAAGAACGCTTACCTAGGAACGCTGGCGTTTGCGTCATGGTCATGTGTATGACATGCCCTTTGTACTGTACATACATACAACACACACCTAGATACCACCTCACGCATAAATGAGTTGGTAGTCGACTTAGCCTAAAGTTATCGAATACTTATACTTTACCTGATTAAGAGACAACATAGCAAAGTACAACCATGCATATATATCTCCATGTCACATCTTTTGTCGCGGAGAAAAATCCCTGCAATTGCAAGCTGGTGGGAGGTTGCGCCGCCATTTCCCAAAGCGGCAGGGGGAACGCAACCTCGCAGGTTACGACAGCACTCCCATCCGTCTCGGGGATGAAAGACGTCGGTCTTCTCCATCACAGCCCACATTTAGCCCAGAGAAGTATAGAAATCCGATCACGGAAGTTTCATCGTCAGAATGAAGCTGCTCATTGCCATTTGTCTTGTCGTTGCTTTTGCTTCCGGCCATGAGCCCCGTGTGAGAGGGCAGTATGACCCCGCCATGATTGTGGTCGACGTTCAGATGGCTTCGCTCAAGCCAGCCATTACCTGCTGGAATACTCTCAACTGCTCGATCGGACAAATCGAGTCAATGAAAATCAGAGACCGTATAGAATTCGTGCAGTTCATGGCTAGGTCGAAATTGAGTTTTCTTGAAGCTTCCAACCAATTCCGCGCCGTTGAAGGGACGATGGATTTCTTTGTTCGAAAAGGCATAGCAAACCGGGGGACTTGGATGTCTTACATCAACGCCGCTGTTGTTGAAGCCATCCAGCGGGGTGCAGCGATCGCGTTGGGTGAATCCGACAATACAGGCGGCAACCCGGCCACGTTAAAGTGGGCAGATTATTTTGATCAGCGTAAATTGGGAAGATTTATGAATCGTGATGTAAGTATTTGGATCCTGTCCTCTACTTGACAATGTGTTGTTGTTGTTGCTAACAAGCAGTTGTGTCAGGCACACGACCGTGCATGGGCCGTCGCGGAACAAACGGCCGTGGAATATGGTATTCGACTTGCAAACTCCAAGCCGGATATCGAGACACCAACTACGAGGGAGAGACGATGGCAGCAGTTCACAAAAATTTATCGGATGGTGATGCAATACCGTCGGACTCTCCTCTGGCTCATTAAAATGTGCGTTGTCTGTCTACATATCGTGTCCGAAGTGGATTTGTGAACGGGGAATATGGAAGACAAACTCTAATTATCCGCTGCAGGGCTTTCAATTTTACTACTCCGGGCTTACCAATGGCTTCGGAAGCTTTCTTAGACTGGTTCACAGATGTTACGGATGCGACGTCAACCGGATTCCTGGCGGAGATTGCTTGGACGCTGTGCGCATTAGGTCTATCTTGGGATGGTGAGGACCCTATTAAGGATTTGGAGGTCATACTCGGAATGGTCACCGAGTTCTGGGAAGCGTTTCCAACAAGCAGGCATCTTGATAATTGATCCGGGCATACTCCGTTCGGATTAATACAGTTCCCAAAGGCTCTCGTGAACTTTTCAATTTTTTTTCTTTATTTTTTCTTTATGTTTTTTTCGTGGACTCGTTAACCGCTAACTAGTTAATGACTGAACTAAGGTTTCGGGTCGGAATAACATGGCTTGTTACCTCCCGATCCAATCTTTATTTACTCACGCTGAAGCCCAGGGCACACAACTCGTTTATGATGACGCAATAACCACGAAAGATTAAAGATACACCGTCCTTGCACGCTATGCCTTAAAGGCATAAAAATTGCCTTTCGCATCTCAATCACTGATGTCTACGGAGTACTAGAGTTAATAATATTGTGAAATATGAATCATTAAGGACACATTCTGTACTTGAGAGTTCGGCATTTATGTCTTGTTTGCCCAACAGTTCTTCCCACCTGTGATCACAATGGGTGCTTTATTTTCGATTCCGATGCTGTCTTTTTTGCTAGTTCCAGCTATGTCCTCGTATGGTACGAGTTTGAATCTCTTATTCTTCTACATAACTTGGACAACCTTGGTGCTTTCGCATTCACCACTGAAGGTTGAGATTGTGGGAACCATTGCAGTCCGGTTACTGTTTTATTTGATACCATCATTGATCTTCTTCCTTTTTGATGTGCTCGTTCCTTCCGCTGCAGTGATATTGAAAGCACACGGATCGCATGGTCTACCGTCGGGAAAGAAAAGGAAAAGCGGGAAAAAGGAGGCCAAGGTAGCGGCGTGTGCGGTGTTTAATTTGCTGCTGGGATTGCTGGTGCAAGCATCCATCGAGGTCTGTTTGACGAAGGGATTAAAGATGAAAAGTGCGATAAAAGTTTCCACGCGATTGCCATTGCCTTGGGAGATTTTGACAGACCTCTTACGTGGTCTGTTTGGTCGCGAGGTATGCACCTTGCGGAGCGCTTGCACATGATGCCTAAGACGGGGCGCATGATTGCAAAAATTGCATTGGCAATAGCTTACGGTTTATTAGCTTCTTGAATATATAATACATCGCTATATTTTGCACTCATCGACTCTCCGTGTCGCCAAAAACCATGATACATGGTACCATGCGCTGCATACACCTTACCCTCTAACCGCTCATTACGACCATCCGATCCCATACCTTCTTCTAAGATTCCTTCCGATGTTTCTCCCGGCGGCCATCTTCCGTTTTCATTTACTGTCCTTTATCCTATATCTTTCGTTGATCTCCTTGGAAGAGACGTTTGCATACTCTGGATACAAGGCCATGCCTACAAGTTTCTTTATCGGAGGAATCGCGAAACGGGTCGAGATGCACCTGACGAATAGTGGTAATGGAAACTACTCACCATGGGGAATTATGGACTGGATTTTTGGAAGCTCGATCGGTGATAGCGTTGCCGATGACAGCCTCGAGGATACGGAGGAGCTTGATGTTGATGAGCTGGCAGAGAAACTTATGGAGAGATCAAGGAAGAGACGAAGAGGTCTAAAGAGGCAGTCGAGAAAGAGGACTGACTCCTAAGGTCTGCTAGTATTTTGGGTGGATGCTTCCGGATATTTATGGTGATGTATATCTCTGTGGAATTGTGAAATATTAGTCATTCTGTAGGTGGGAAGGGTTAGATATCCAATATGGGAAAAGGCGTCGCGTCGGTCGGTTCGATGAGTTCAGCACTAAAGTATGCTATGTTTTCAAGATGGAGTTGCGCGGCAATTCGAAAGCGCATGCATGGCACACCGGTCTGAAGGTGAATATTTGTATTGCAATTTTCGAGGTTACTATTTGCTTTCTGCAATAGAAGGTGTTTCGAAGTAAAAATCACCTATGGCAATTGCATAAGTGTACATATGTTTAATGACGTTTTGCAAATTTCCCTCTCTCGCATACAAACAGAAAAAGGACATTAAACCGTAGCTCCTCAACCCGCATCTACCATTTCATTTCATGAGGCTTGTCACCTGTCCGCAGGCTGAAAGTGGAGGCAAGGTAACTGCCGAGGAATGGCTCTTTCTTGATGGTGGCCAAAAGAGCCTGATCTATGGCCTTCTGGTCGGCGGCGCGTGCGCTGGCGACCTTCTTCTTCTGTTCCCAAGGATGAAATATTAGCTTCCACTTTCCACGTAATGAACCCCATTTCATTTTACCAATAGATCTCTGTCATAAGGGCCACTATAACTTCACATACCTCTGGCTTCTCTCCCTGCTTGAAGAAAGCTTCTTCACCCTTCTTCTGCTCGGCCTTCTCGCGAGTGAAGTACTCGGGCTGCGAAACCTTTTCCAACGTTTTCTGGTCCACACCGTTCAAGTCGACAGTCGAGCTGGTGGCGATGACATATCTGGCGTTTACTCGTCGGAGAGGAACACCGTTAAGCTTGAAGGGACCGGTAACAAGGAGGACACCCTGGCCAAGGTGCTTGAGCAGGATAACACGCTTTCCACGGAAACGGCCAGCGAGGAGGATGAGGATGGTTCCCGGCTGGAGGCTCGGGCGGAGCTTGGTAGGATGGGCAGTCTTGCGAGCCTGAGTCAAGTCAAAGACATATTGTTAGTCTCGTTCTATTAAATTTTCGTGAATGGCAATTCCACCGCTCTGTGTGCGTGCGACCGATCGAGTGCGAGATTCATCGTAGGCGCGTCGTTCGTTCGATTTATCGAAATTCGAGGTGGTCCGGAGACCCGGCACACCGTCGCACGCACACCGATCGTCGCAAAATCACGAATTGCAAGACAGCAGGAAAGAGCGTATACTGACTTTCTTCGGTTGGGGCTCATCATCCGCAGGATACCACTTCTGTGCCTTTTGGCTGGGGTGTGGGATCACTCTCTCGCCCTTTCCAAACTTCTTCGTCTGGCCAACAGACTTTGAGTCCAAAGTCGCCGACATATTGGCTGCTGTGACGAAGATTTTGGAAAAGAAATTGGAAATGTGACTGTTCCGGGTTGTCGACGGTGGGAGTTGCTGGGTTGAACAGTAGTTGACTTGGTCGCCCGGAATGCACTCTTGATGTGAGATTGATTTTGTGGGTTAGAGTGCCCTACCCATTAGCCGAATCGCGCTAGTGCGAATCTGGAGCTAGTGGCTGCGGTAGCCAATTAGCGTGCCGCATTCCGAGCTCCATCCGTCTTCCCCAAGAACCTCTGCCTCATCAGACATCATCGTCATCCAGAGTCCCTCGCAGATCGCCCGGTTGTGTTTGACGTACCTTGCATCCGCGCAGCTCTTTGCATAGTTATTATACCTTGTGTGTCTCCCGGCCACATAGCACCCAAGACATGTCGATATCTCCGATAATCACCTTCAAAGCAGGTATCTGCGATCTCGATGTAAGTCAAGTGCTGTTGCCATCAACCTTGGCCCCTTGTTGTCATGAGGCCTACAACGAGGAGCACAGCCCTGACGATGCAAAATTTTCATCTGGATATCGCTGACATCTACCCTTCAAGACCTCCCCTACTCCTCCTAGGGTGAAACCAAAACAAACGCCGGGTTATATTTATTTGTATTCTGAGGATGACCTTGTTCACTTTTGCTGGCGCCCCCGCTCTGCCCCTCTCGACGAGCCAGAACTCGACCTGGTGATGGTCCCCATGGATGCGACCTTTACACCTTACAAGCCTACAAGCGCTGAAAATCCCCTAAATCGTGACCGACCCACCAACGGTAGAATATATGTCCTTAAATTCTCCTCCAGCTCCCAAAGATTTCTCTTCTGGCTGCAATCGAAAAGTCAGCATGAGCATGGGAACCCAGCTTGGTTCAGTGCCAGGGACCTTAAATTAGGCCAGATCGTGAACGGACTTCTTCAGGGTGAGGAAATCGATGTTCAGGAAGCAATCGCAAGTTTGCCAAGGAACGATGACCAAGATGACGACGAGACGATGGAAGACGTTGAAGGAACGGATCACAGCCCAGACCATCACCGGTCAGGTGGGGGTGGTGCTGGACCCGGTGCCACCGGTGGTGATATTCGAGAAGAGGGCGAAGAGGCAAGGGAGGGCGGAGCAGACGGTGGACGAGCGTAGGTATTGCTCTCTGAAGTTGCGCTTTCAGAATTGAATTGTCTATCTAGCTTTGGACGGTACTCGTCTTGACAAAGAATACTGAAAGACATTTGTTTTAATTTTTTATCCTTATCCTGGGATTTTACGAGTTTGTTACTAAAGGTAATTATTCTTCTAGTGCCGCAAGTGGATCGGATCCGTCTGCAGTCGTTCAAGGTTTCCTACGCTCGCTTCAGGGCAGTGCTGTTACCCAGTCCGAATCTACAGAGAAGCCGTTCGCCACACTCAGCGAACTTCTCGCGCCCTCATCAACGATGGCCCTGGTCGAATCAGCAGACTCGAATGCTGTGGATCACCTTCTAAATTTCCTTCCTCTTTCTCTTTTACTGCTGGCACAGAATCGTAACATCCCAACGGCTGAAGTTCGCCCCGAAGAAGCGCAGAAGGCGATGGAATCGTTAAGCCTAGCCCAAAAGAAGGCCATCCTTGAGCGAGTGCTTCGATCACCCCAATTTGCGCAGAGTCTTGGAAGTTTGACCGTAGCATTACGAGATGGAGGCCTCCCCAGCATTAGCGATGCTTTGAACATTAAGGTTGAGAATGGAGGATTCATGCGTCGCGGCGGTGTACCACTCGGGGGAGGGGACGCTATACGGACATTCTTGGAGGGCGTAAAGGGCCATGTCAAGGAGAAGCAAAAGCCAGCAGATAGTATGGAAACGGATTAGACTTGTTGAGATACACCTTGTGCAGATCTAAGAGCATATTTTGGACCACAATTGTTAGCGACCACGCAAAACCTATATACTTTGCTTCATAATCTGTCTTCTGCAGCAAATGCAACCCACACACAGGACTGTTGGCAGAACATTTGATTCACAGCCACCAAAAATAGCTGATAGAAACCTTGGCAGTCACTGTGTTGCTTGTTTATTGGGCCTTGTGAATGGTAGTCAAAGCTTAAGTTTTTGTGCTGGACTGCAAGCAGCTGTTTCACAAGGTGAACTGTCAATCGCCTGTCACAAGTCACTTGTGACAATGAACTCAAAGAACAACCTGATATCCTGAAATACATAACCAAAGGCAGTGCTGCGCTAGGAGGCTTGTTTGCGATATATAAGGCAGCGTACGGAGTACATTGAGTTTCAATGTGTCTCGCGAGGCTGCCAGACAATGCTTTGGCTGCTGATTGACTTTTCTATAAGGCTTAGGAACCGGGCCGTATTTCCACCTGCAATCGGGGCAATGGGCCACTTTCAGCTGCACGGGTGCTTCCAAGAGAACACTATGGGATCTGGCCAATGGGCAGCACGCAGAATGTCGGGGCCTCAGCCATGACGAAGCCTGTACGAGGATGTAACGGTAATTTACAGATACTTTGCTAGCCTGGAACATCTTTGGAACGTTGGTAAGATCATCCGTCGATAATGCATTGCAACTCTGCACTCTGTACTCCGTACCTGAGCCAGAACAAGGAACCACATTTGAGGTTCGCGCTTTGGTTACAGAGTCAACATCCTACTATTCCCGGTTCGAACAAAGCCTTTTTGTCTTATATCAATACTTACCTTTGCGCCGGGGGTCTCGACTGTCAAACGACCCCTCTTCCTCGAACTCACCTGTCCAAAACTTCCCCCAAAAGTGACGAAACCTGGAACCTTATTCTCACACAAGCTGAGACTTCTTGTCGCTGAAAGAATAGTTGGTTGCTTCGAGTTCTTTTTTGCGGCGATGACTGGCATTCGATGACCACCGCCAACCACAATGGCGTCTTCTGGTAACGGCAATCAGGCCCCCAATAACGGACAGGGCGACCAGATCCCACTCCGAGACCTGTCCCGGCCTCCCGATACGGTGATAGCGGAGCATACCGGTCGACGACTAGGAAGAGCAAGGAGCGTTGATAGCGATGAAGGGTATGGCTTGGGAAGACGGTCCCTGCTCGGTCTCGCGCCCGGCGTGCGAAGATATGAGCGGATTGCGGAGGACTCTCCGAGTCGAGAGCGCGCGGATAGTCAGGATGGATTCCAAAATATTGATCTATCTCAAGATGGCGCCCCTAGCGGCCGTGGAGTGTATACAAATAATCCTGGATATTCGAGTGCTTCCGGCGAACAACGAGGAGCGGGATTGCGCTTTGTCCCATTTGAGCCGATTTCTCAAACCCATTCTCGATTAGACAGCATTGGTGGAGGGAACACTGATGGATATGGAGAGTCTGACGGTTTGGCTTCGCTGTCTAACATGGAAGCCGAATATTTCAATGAGAACGCCTCTCCGACCGAACCTGGCGAGACGGATAGAACGCCTTTGACCGACCGAAGATATTTACAACCAATAAGTGGCACTTCTGAAGGTCAAACCAGTCTGAATAAGACCTTAACCGGAAATAGTGGGCATAGCGTTCGTTTTGATGATTCTGTCTCAGGGACACGCCTCGGAGATGATTTACCACATCTTGAGGGTGGGCTGGGCAGAAGGCACAGCAGCTACGAAAGTCCGGCCAGCTCGCGGCTAAGTCTGGGTAGGTCGATACGCCTCACTCCGACTGGCTCAAGCTCGGCTCTATCACGTGCAGGGTCAATGATGAGGATGATGTCTCAACGTGTGGTCAATCTCAGTAATGAACCGGAGCTCGTGGAGCAGACGTTACGGAGAAAGTCCTCGCTGAAGACTGCACGCTTAGAAGGCCCGCCTACCCTTCCAGCTATGGCGGACTATGCGCATGATATTCGAGGTAGCCCGGCGAAGACGCAACATGGGCCCCCAGAAAAGCGGTTTCCCTCAATACATGTCAGGCAGCGAACTTCCCAGATCAATCCGCTGAGAGGAAAATCGCTGGGCATTTTCTCACCAGAGAATGGGCTACGGAAGGCTTTGTGCGAAGTATTGATTCATCCTGCCACTGAACCAATCATCCTGATACTTATTGTCATCCAAACCGTTCTCCTCGCCGTGGAATCGTCAGTGAAAAAAAGAGCCATGGTTGGAAAATGGGGTGACAGCGCTTTTGATTATGCCTTCTTAATTCTTTTCACCATTTATACCCTTGAATTGGCAGCACGGATAATAGTCTCCGGTCTCATCCTCAACCCCGAGGAATATAGCACTCTCGATCGTTCGGAGGGTCTTAGAAAGGCAATAATTTCCAAAGGGCGAGACCTGTTCATGCCTCAACGGCAATTTTCGAAGAAAAAGCCCCCGAATCCTGTGAATAATCAGATGTCCATTTTGAGATCGTTCACCGGAATGCAACCCCAGGCAAATCACGCTGACGAAGCGGCCCAGCAACGCGCTAGACTTGCTCGTCGTGCCTTCTTACGTCACTCGTTCAACAGACTCGACTTTCTTGCCGTGGTCTCTTATTGGATATCGTTCGTGCTATCCATTATGTCGGTTGAGTCAGACCAGCGCTTGTTTGTCTTTCGAATGCTCAGCAGTCTTCGTATTCTTCGACTGCTCGCTCTCACTAGTGGCACTACGGTAATTTCTAAAACATACCTCCGTGTTTCTAATCCTGGTTCTAACTGATCTTAGGTCATTCTTCGAAGTCTCAAAAAGGCAGCGCCTTTACTCGTGAATGTGGCCGTCTTTATTGGTTTCTTTTGGCTTCTATTTGCTATAGTTGGGGTTCAGAGTTTCAAATCTAGCCTTCAACGGAGTTGTGTCTGGGTAGACCCGGAGAATATCAGAAATTTCACGATGAATGACGCCCCTGACAATATTCAACTTTGTGGGGGATATCTTGACAATATTACTGGTGATCCAATGCCCTGGCTTCTGCCAGATGGGAGCCGAGGGGCTTCTAAAGCTAAGGGTTATTTGTGTCCCCAAGGCTCTCGTTGCGTACAAGGTAGCAATCCCTATGGTGGGACTGTCAGCTTTGATAACGTGGCAAACTCCCTAGAACTCGTCTTCGTCGTGATGAGCTCAAACACGTTCACTGATCTTCTTTACTATACAACCGACAGTGACTACCTCGTTGCTTCGGTTTTTTTCATTGCATCTTTTGTCGTCTTGAGTCTGTGGCTCGTCAACCTTCTGATTGCAGTCATAACTTCATCCTTCCAGGTTATACGAGAAGAAAGCAAACAGAGTGCCTTTACGACCGATAACATAGATGATGTTCAACAAGAGGAGAAGGCCCCTGCTCGCGTTAGTGCATTAAAACGGATGTATAACAAGACATATTGGCTTTGGATATTTTTGATAACTTTCGATCTTATCGTTCAGGGAATGAGAAGTTCGTCGATGGGACCAGATCGCAAGGCATTTATTTACACTACGGAGCTTGCAGTAACAGTCATCCTTCTCTTTGAAATATTCTTTCGGTTTGCATCGGACTGGAGGAATTTCTTTAGGAGCTCTCGGAACTGGTTTGACCTCGCCTTGGCAGTGATCACAGCTATTATCCAACTTCCACCTATTCATAATTCTGGCCGCGTCTATGCAGCCTTGACCATTTTCCAAATTCTCCGGATCTATCGCGTGGTCCTTGCATTCTCCTTAACTCGGTCCCTCATTATGACTGTCTTCGGAAACGTTATTGGATTGCTGAATCTCATCCTGTTCGTGTTTCTGATCACCTTCCTGACCTCGATTTTTGCCGTGCAGCTGTTTCGCGACCAAATTCCAAAGGAAAAGGACGGCGAAGTAACCCCAGTGTCGTTCTTTAGTATATACAACTCCTTCTTGGGAATGTACCAAATACTATCAAGCGAGGATTGGACATCGATTTTGTACTCAGCGACAGAATCAAGTGCCCCTTGGAAAACCTCATGGATCTCTGCGGCATTTTTCATAATGTGGTTCATTCTCGCAAACCTCGTTGTCTTGAACATGTTTATTGCTGTCATTCAAGAGAGTTTTGATGTTTCCGAGGATGAAAAGAGACTTCACCAAGTTAAAGCATTTTTGCAGCAGAAGCAACTAAGTGGCTCTTCTCAAGGGAATCTTGCAATATCCTCCATCTTCAAACTTGGCCGTGACCAACAAAGATACCGTGACCCTCTTGACCATGGACCCGCCGCCCTAGAGATGCTTCTTAAAGATGCCGTTGTTCACGAATTTCTGGATGAGCCCGCACCTTTACGGATGGACAGTCAACACCCAGAACTATCCACAGACCCTGCTCAACCCGGAGCATTTTCAAGTTGGTTTAGCAAGCTCAAAGGTCGGATATTGAATCGGGAACCGAACCCTTTTTACTCGAAGTTGAAAATCTCCAGGGATTATGATGAGCTCGATCCGACGGCGATGGCTAAAGAAGTGCTTTCGGCATCAGAGCAACGAAAACAAGCCCAACGACAGTACTTACAAAGGTATCCGAGATATAATGTCTCTCTCTTCATTTTCCCTCCAACTCATCCGATGCGGCGTCTATGCCAACAAATTGTAGGACCTGGACGGGGCAACACGCGAATCGAAGGCGTGGATCCCTACAAGCCGGTCTGGTACACTTTTTCTGCCTTCATTTACGCTGCAATTGTCGCGATGGTCTTGCTGGCCTGTATTGCCACTCCTTTGTACCAGCGGACTTACTTTGAAACACATCGCTATGCGGTCAAAAATTGGTTTGTGTGGACAGATATCGGTTTCGCCATTCTTTTCACCGTCGAAGCACTTATCAAAGTAGTTGCCGATGGTTTCTTCTGGACACCTAATGCCTACTTTAGAGGCTCGTGGGGATTCATCGATGGACTTGTGCTGATAACACTTTGGATTAATG